GCAGAAAGTACTATGCCAACAGAAAGTACTACGAGGGCGGAAAGTACTACACCGGCGGAAAGTACAATGCCAGCAGAGAGTACTACAAGGGCGGAAAGTACTACACCGATGAAAAGTACTACGCCAACAGAAAGTACTACGAGGGTGGAAAGTACTACACCAGCAGAAAATACTGCGGCAACAGAAAGTACTAGGCTGGCAGAAAGTACTAAACAAGCGAAAAGTACTATACCAGCAGAAAGTACTACAACGAGCAAAAGTACTATAGTACCCACAAACCAGCATTGCGCACTTTTACTAGCACAGTACTATACCATAGTGCCCCAGAAGCCTCAGTACTCTAAAGTACTGAGACGAGTCACTTTACTGAACCCTCTGGTTTCAATGGCTAAGTATACTACGCCTTCCTTGATATATCAAGGAGGTGGTGATTTCATTGACACCCGTAGCTGTGGTCCCTTCGAGGAGGGTAACTGTGTTGGAGGACCATGCTCTTCCGCGAGCAACACGAAGAATAATAAGTTCGGGGGCGATGCACTACATGAGATGGTTATAATGAGCACCCGCCTGTTTCACAAAGGGAAGTCTATGCGGCAGAGAAAGGACATACCATGACCTGACCAAGAATTGGCAGAACTATATTCTGGACGCTGCTTGATCTCGCGTAACAGATGATGAAGATCATCCCTGTGATGGAGTATAGAGCGGCGGATTCGATGACCATCGACGACAGTGAGGTGTACATGCGAGAATGTGCCGGGCTAAGGAGTCGTCCGATTCGCCGTTTCATGGCTACAAGGCGGTAGACGATAGCCAAAGTGACGAGGATATTGAGAGCGATTGAAAGCGACCAGTACGGCACGGAAAATCCAAGTGTTATGTGCGACCAAAGACTTGCGCCTGGTTGAGCGGTTTCGTAGATCGTAAGAATGGAAAGAGCTGGCAAGACGTGATGCATCAGAATGTCAGCAAATGTCTTCAAATCGTCAAGTGCCAGTCATACCAGTGGAGGCTAAGAAAGACAATATCGGAATGATGATGATGTACCAATTGTAGCTCCAGATGACCCAGAGGCGATATATCTGTACCAAATGTCAGCAGTGTACCTGAATGCGGCATGTAAAGAACGTACAATCATCGCGTCTGCGAGAAAATTGGAGAATATATACGACGCGCTCCCAAGAACATTTACAGGTGTCGAGTAGCCTGCTTCTAGCCAGGCATTCGGGCCTCCGGGGATATTGCGATCGTCAATCCACATCATATCTCCGAATTTCGTGTTACAGGCTATGTCAATCGTTCCAAGAGTAAAGAGAGAAAATATAAATATCAGGAAGCTCCACGGTAGCCTTTTCAACGCCTTGTAAGCAGAAATGATGAAATATGTAGCAGCAGCGAAGACCGCAGTATGGATACCTGTGGAAAACGGCCTATATCAGCGTATGGTCAAGCTGTCATGAAATGTATATATTACCGTAGGCCACACCACCGACGAAGACACCAGCAAAGTTCGAACCTTTCGAGCCATAGGTCGGCAGCAGACTCTCCCGGTGGTGCATACTCTGGGCTCGACATATCTATGTGAATGTCTGATCAAATACCCTAGTGATGGTCCGCGACTACGCTATCATGTCCCATATATATAGTACTTTCCGTTACAAAAGTACTATCAGCTCTATAAGACAATGCGTGTCGTCCTCAGGGGGTGTTCCTGGTCCTTACAGGTACCAGGTTCTTCTACATGGGTTCGCCCCAGCCAAATATTTCCTATCTCGGCAGCCATCAGAGCCTCTGTAATTCTGCTCTTTTCATCACGTGGTAGAGCCTGGACTGTGGAGCGGGCGCCTTGTGGAGCAGGCGCCTCGTGGGCGCCTCGGCTTGGCCGTGGCGCCCACGTGTTTTTGTGTCGATACCTTCATTTAAACCCAGTCTGCGTACCGTTGGCGCCGCAAATTTTATCTCGCTATGACTTCTCCCCCCACAAAGCTCGTTGACACCCCTGCTAAACGTCATCAGGTTGATAGACCTCATCTGAGACGACGAGTGCGCCGTCGCATATATTTATGTGATATATATTCAATCAATGGTTGTGACTGTCCGCTGGGTATGTGCTGTATTCCTTCTACGTCGTGGTTTTTGGTTTATTGATTTCAGCGCGCCAGACTTCGCCTTTCGCCCATCACTCCCTATGGATTATCCTGTTCTTCTGCTACCGGAAATAGACTGCCGCTATATTCCCAGCGGTCGTAGGTTGTGCCCTAGATGCGGTTGAGTTGTACAGTGCTGCTGCAGTCTTTCAGCGAACTCATAGGGCCCTAGGAACAATCACGGCCTCTGAATCCTCCGTGTCTACGCACACAGACAATAGTTCCTTGGCAACATCGTCTTCTATCCCTGTTGGTGCGTATTATAACACTGATCCCAAGCAGTGGACGATTTGGCTTATCTGTCTTCTTTCTTTGCTTTTTAGTTTGGTCCGTTGACGTGGAATGTGATGGTGTCTCTGACGATTGTACGTTCCCAGCTCTCGTGACTTCCATTTTTCTTTTCTTCTTCATCGTTCTTGTACATAGTGCGTCCGTTTCGCCTACGAGGTGGCAGAGAGATTACGACGGACTTTGCTGAGGATGAGGACGATTGCGAAGTCCTTGTCACCGATGAAGCTATCTTTATGGCACCCCAATCGTCTAGAACGGTGTCCCCATCGCGCTTGACGAGTTTTTACTCCTTTATCGCGTTGGGGAGCTTAGATGATGTTCGTCTCGTTCGTTCAGGTCGTTCAGGTCGTCACGTTGTCGTTCACGTTAAAGATTTGTATCTGTTGGTATCCCAGTGTTGTTTTTTTACTAGAGCCCAACTACAAAAAAATTGGGTTTGCTCACCATGTTCGAATGCGTGCGCGCGACACTAAGGTTGATGTATACCGTGCGCTTGGACTGCATGTGTGTGATCCATTGTGTAAAGGGCAATATTTCCTGTTCGAAACCCTGTCCTCTGAGCGCATTGTGCCCTATAATCGAATCTGTGAACACTCTGAGATTTTCTCGTCTTTACATGGGATTAAAGAGCCGCTTGACGAGACTGATCCCGCGCTGCGAAATGCAAGCGCACCCGCTTCGTCGTTGAGAACCGTATTCTCCATAAACCAAGCTGCAGAAAGTCTGGAGTTCCCTAAGGGTGACAGCCACCTTCCTTACGATAAATTTCCAGAAGTTTGCTGTGAAGATGTCAGGTTGGATATAATTCGCGAGTTCCAGGACAATATGGATCCTAGTAACTTCGTGTACGACGCTTGTGCTGTCTGTGATCAGAAGAAATTTCCTTCTCAGCTCTCGGTGATTGACGCAAATGAGATCGATTTGCATTTGCTGAGGAATGACGATATTCCTTGTCACATATGGCCTGAAGATTATAATTTCGAAGCATATGAGCGCGCCTTTTTGTCTCCACAGGGAATGCATGACACAGAGTGTGTCTCCGATATTTCAATCTGTACGAGTTGCCTACATATGTTAGAGAAAGGAAAACAGCCTGCCGATGCCATTGCTAATTATCAGTATTATGGGTATAAGCGCCTTCCCGAGCAAGTTGGTCGAGCCTTTAGGGATGCTACTATGCACGAGAAGCTGTTAGTTGCTGCATGTACTGCGACTAACATTTCCCATATAATAACCGAAGATAGAGGGGGTGTTCCCGGAGCACCGCAGCGGTTTTGCCAGAATAATGTGGCTATTATTCCTCAGGATATTGGAACACTCCATCAATTGTTACCCCCATCCAAGGAGGATGTTCATTTTACCATGTGTGTCCTTTTCATTGGAAAGGGAGGGAGGCCTAAGATGGAAACGATTCGGAAAATGTCACCATTGCTAGTGTCGAAAAACCGTGTCGAGATAATGCTTCGTTTTCTGCTGGAAAATAACCCGTATTATCGAGATGCTAATGTTTCTTTCAGTCGCCGTAACCTGGATATTCTTTGTTCTGGTCCCGGTTTTTTGCCTGGCCAGGATATTGGGGTTCCGTCCACCTTAGAGATTCAATACATGCCGACCGCGAGTTCCGAAGCTGAAACCGTCAATTCCAGTTATGAATCAGATGAGCGACGTGACTTCCTTATTCCAGATAATGAGACGTATACTGAGGTGACTGGTTTCTCCAACACCGTATCGAAGGGTTGCGGACACCAGTCGGCAAAAGTACGCGCGTTGCAGTGGGTTTTGGACCATAAACCATTTATATCTGTGCAACCGGGATCCAAGCTGTTTCCAGATAGAGATCCACGCATGTTGACGTTTGTGTTTCCTCATTCGGATCCTTGGGGTATAGGTGGGTTTAACCATCCAGCGCGCACTGGTGATTCTATCATACCGATGTATCATCAAACACGCAATTTAATGATGAGGTATGATAGCCCGTTCGAAAGGGATCCGAATTTTGCATATGTCTGTTGGAACGCGGTACAGAAGCTTGAAGCAGCACGCAGCCTTCAATTCCGTACGCAGGCCTCCAATCTTGCTTATCTAGCCGACGAGATTACTCAAAACAAAGATATTATCGAAGACATGAACGACCGCTGGATGAAAGATGAAACACTCACCCCTTCTTCCAGAGGTGAACGTCGTGTTGCAGCGATACTTGCTAAGCTTCGTCTGGTAGCGAAGGATCTTAGAGGGTCCAACGGCCGTCGAATCGCTCTGCGGAACGAGATTAGAGGACTGTTGAAGTCCAATGGATGTCCAGCATTATTCGTTACTCTGAATCCGGCTGATATTCACAGCAAGCTTATGCATATATTATCCGGTCAAAGTGAATCCACATTTGCAGATATGGACAAGTTCCAGCGAGCAAAAAATGTTGCTGACCATCCTGCGGCTGCCGCAATATTCTTTGATCTCATGATTAAGGCGTTTAATGACTACATCCTCCGATATGGGAGATCTGAGCCAGGTATATTTGGGACATGTGATGCGTATTTCGGTACGGTTGAAGCACAAGGGCGAGGTACATTGCATTGTCATATGCTGATATGGCTCAAGGGAAATCCCAACCCTCAGGCTCTCAGAGACAGAATGGCCGAAGACGGAGCTTTCAAAGATGCTATGTTCGGATGGCTCGAGTCTATCATTAAATGTGAGCTTCCGGACATGGGTCATATGATTCACGATGATACCGATGGAAAGTGGCCCAAACCGACCTTAGAATATGATGCGCGCGCGACAGACGCACCTTTTCTTGAAGATAATCTTTCCGAAGAAGAACGATCCCGTTTTCAAGAAAGCTTTAAGAGTTTTGTTTCTGACCTCGCCGTAGCGTGTAACTGGCACGAACATAAAGCTACATGTTGGAAATATCTCAGCGAGGGAGAGCCCCATGATGATGCTCACTGTCGTATGAGAGTTGATGGTACTACTCGTCTACTCACGGAATTGGACGCTGAGACTTCTTCTATTCTATTGTGAAGGTTGCACCCTTGGATCAATAATTACAATGATCTAGTTCTCTTTTTGATGAAGTGTAACATGGATGTTAAATATATTGGGTCTGGTCAGGCAGCTAAAGCTCTAGTGTACTATGTTACAGACTACGTTACTAAAGGCTCTCTACCATTGCATTTAGGATTACAGTCGCTTTGTTGGGCAATCAGGCAGAATGAAGCGAAATATTACCAGGATAAAACAGTGGATGCAGACCGCGTGCGACGCAGCCTGATGGTGAAAGTTGTCAATGCTATGATGGGCCGTCAAGAAATATCGCACCAGCAAGTCATGAGCTATCTCGTGGGCGGAGGTGATAGTTATAAAAGCCACACGTTTAAAACACTGTACTGGGGAGAGTTCGATAGGTATTTCAAGTCCAACGGTCAACCAGATAGCGACGGAGTGCAAGCTGTCGATGATGGAGCGGTGTCTGTCCCGGATGCTGTTGATGCTAGTCTCCCAGCTATGGACATCGTTGATGACCTCGATGAAGTAGATATATCTGCGAGTACCCAAAACGCACCTTACCGAGTAAGCGATATGGCAGAGGAAGTTTCTGTGGCCTACACTAAGGCCGGTATTATTCACCATAGTCTTGTCACGGATTATAGGCTGCGTAGCAAGAAACCCGTTTTTGATAGTATTGCTCTGTGGGATTTCGTCGCGACCACGGAGATGGAGCCCTGTACCCAAGCGAACAAAATATTTAATCCCAGAGTAGCTAGAGGGAAATTGTTAAACGAGTCGCACCCGCTATATAATACACATGTTAATCGACTCAGAATAGGTCAGCGGTTGGTTCCTGTCTTGATAGGCCCTCAGTTACCTCGTAGAGAGTCCAGTGAGTTCCAGGCGGAGAACTGGTATCGCCTTATGTTGATTTTGTTCAAGCCGTGGAGATCTGCATCTGATATCAGACTTCCTGGTCAAAATTGGCGTGCTGCATTTGAATCGTATGCGTTCCCTCCGCATTTAGCGAACGTCATAAGAAATATGAATATAGGACAAGAATGTAAAGATGCTCGGCAATCTTACGATTCTGCTAGGCGTGCTAAGAAAGTCGCCCCTTTGATCAATAGCTCGGAGACATCATATCAGCTGGGAGACAATGCAGATCTGTTTGAGCTCTCTGTCATGAACGATGACCGTTATGATATAGCGCTTTTGAAAGGGGATACAGATGACGATCCATTAGAAAGACAAAACGAAAAGATACTTAACGCTGACACTCGTGTGCAGGACACTTTAAGGAACATGGAGCTGTCCGGAGTCTTGGACACGTCTCCCAGTGATGAAGGGAGTGGTATCTTACTTGATAACTCCGTGTATCCCGCTGAGCGGGTGAAAGAACAGAGAGATCTCATGGATGCGTACGGAAAAGACAAGAGACCGACAGCGTCTCCACGCAGTGAGACCCTGGCAGAAGCCGAGAATCAATGTTATGGAGATTACGATCCACGAACTTATGTTGACAGATTGCTTGGCGAGCGCGCGCGGCCACCACCAATACCTACGGTTCCTTCGGAATCGCCAGAAAGTGCCTACAGAAGAGCGTCAGATGCGGTTATTGCTGCGGTTCTCAAGGATCTTAACATCGACGGGAACATCGAACAAGAGGCGGCATTGCGCATTGTAGGCAATCACCTTCTGCGAGGAACAGCAGAGCAATTGATTATGTACGTTGGTGGTGAGGGTGGAACGGGAAAAAGCCACGTAGTGAAAGCCATCGTAGACCTCTTCACCCGTTGTCATGTTCGCTCTCGGCTTCTGTTGAGTGCTCCAACAGGTATCGCGTCCGTCCTTATCGGTGGGTATACCATTCATGCGTTGACCTTTCTACCTAAGTCGGACAATCAGCGCGTGAATTGGGAAGCATTGACTAATATATGGAAAGACGTGGATTACTTGATCATTGATGAGGTCTCTATGATTGGGGCGATATTTTTAGCTCACGTTTCAGAGCGACTTCAAGCTGCCCGCGGATGGAAGGACAAAACGTCAGACAAACCTTTTGGAGGAGTGAATGTTATTTTTTTGGGTGATTTTGGACAATTGATGCCTGTATCTCAATCGTCATTATTCTCGCGCGACCTCGTGCATCCTCTCAAGGAGAATCAAGGGCAGAGTATTTCTGGACAGACCTCAATGTATGGGGTGTATTTATGGCGGCAAGTGAACCGGGTCGTAGGCTTGAAAAAGAATTGGCGTCATTCCAGTGATCCTGGATATTCTAGCATGCTCTCTCGTATTCGTAGAGGACAAGGGCAGGATAGGCGAAGTTCGCGGACCACGCGTTCAGATTACGAGATTCTGTTAGATAGACAATTGAATGTTCTGCGATATGAAGCAAATAAAAATGGTACTGACCTCTCCAGATTCCGTGATTGTCCAATCATTGTAGCAGAGAAAACCTTGCGGGATGCTATCAACGTGCGAATGGCTAGAGTGAAAGCAGCTTCCGCAGGTAAACCACTACATTACTTCGTTGCTACCGACAAGCGGTACGGAAAGGTATTTGAGGGAGCTCACCGTCGGAAGATGCTCATGTTACGATCTAGTTTGACCCACGATTCACTCGGCCAGTTGCCCCTATTTGAAGGAATGAAGGTGATGATAACGGATAATGTTGATATTGGGCATAAGACAGTAAATGGAGCTGAAGGTATAGTGCAACACATCAAGTGGGACACAGCAGAAGATGGCACAAAAGTCGCAACATGTGCATATGTGTATGTTCCGGGCAGTGGTTTAAGATTTAAAGACATACCTCCAGACGTGGTTCCTATATTTCCTACTAGAACAGCAGTAGACTATACATCTCAAGATAAGACGAAATTCTCGTTCAGCCGATGGCAGCTTCCTCTCTTACCTGCATATGCCTACACTGACTATAAAGCACAGGGCCGATCTCTGGATACCGTTATTGTAGACTTGGCGGGATGTCGCAGTGCACAGAGTGCCTACGTGATGTTATCCCGCGTGAAGTCTTTGGAAGGTCTTGCTATTCTGAGGTGGTTCCCTACACTTAGAGTAACCAAACCATTGCCGCACGATCTACGAGACGAGTTTGACAGGCTGGATCGTCTATCTCATGACACACTTAGGGCGCCGTTGTAACGCCGGTAATCTTATCTTATCGAAGATCATGTGCTTTTGTGCATGCTTCAGATCGTCTCAAACTACACCTTTTCTTTGGCTATCGTCATGTCATACTGCTATGGCTGGTTTAGTTTGACATGGCTATAGATTGAAAGCTAGCTATAGGGCTTTCAACGTATTCTATCCGCCGTGATCGTGTCCGCTGGAACAATTGTTGATGAGGCATATGTAGGAGCCGCTAGTCGGAGTGCTACGAAATCTTCTCTGGTGTGCTATTCTACGCCATACGTATTACGTGCTTGGACATGGCATGAGCTAGTAGTGGATTTCTCTTTTTCTCCGTAATGGATATCAACATGCCGCTCCCCGTATCCGAGGCAGTGATCTAGACTTCGATCTTAGTCATACTAGAGCCAGGTGACTCTGATGATGTGTCTGACGAATTGTCTTTGTGCCCCCTAATTGTCCTATATCAGTGTATTGTAACGGGGATGCCAGAACCTTCGCTCTTTCTCCTGCACCTTCACCACTGCTTTTCTATCGTAAGTCCTCTCGGTGGTCGCTCGTTCGTATTGACATCCATATTTCTCTCCCTGGTAGATTGATCATGCCCAACGACGTAGAAGCGACCATAGTTTTAGACAATCATGTCGAAACTTCCTTGCGAACAAATGCTCACGGCCGACGAGATCCTATTACCATCATGCAAATCTTCCTCATCGACATTGTCCGTCGTGTTGTTACATTTATCTCCTCTTGTGGACGTCATGGCGTACTTTCTGCGGTGAGTATACTCCCTATTTTTTTTTTGATTCAGCGCGTCGTTCTCAGATTGGTCTCTGGGAACATCCACTTGCTTCCAGGGAGGAGACAACGCGGCAGAAGAGCCGCGTTCTTCTATCGTCCAGTCATGGCATCATGCTGTTCTTCATCAGCGCGCTGTATCTGCCACTGCATCTACCTCCACATATCCACTGTCTGCCATCTTGACTATAGCCTCCTTCCCTCCAGACGTGTGGTCTGTGATTTCTTTGTCTTGGAACTCGGAGGGACTTGCGGTCATGTCGTACGGACGTGAGGTCATTCTACAGCCACCCACGGATGGGTTGCTTGTTCCTTTCTTCGTTCTTCATTATCTTTTTTTTGCGAGATCACGGGCTTTGCGCCTTGATAGTTTTGGTCTTACGCCACATTTTATTCGTCTTATCCGGCTATCCACCTTGGTATCTTTTCGGCTTGACGACTCATACACCCCTACCGATACCACGGCTACAGTGTATTGTCTACTGCATACCATACTGGAGACAATGCCGTGCCTCCAGTTTCTGTTCGTTTGCGTGCGGCCTTCGATGGCGTTTTTGGATCGATTTTGGTTGTTCCCTTCTACCACGTTTTCACTGCCTCGATTGGTCCCACTTTTGAGGGGTTTAGACTTGACCGGAGATCTGTTCCAGATGCGCTCAGCCATCGACTATCTTTCCCCGCCAGGCCTTCGTCCTTTATCTACGGTTCATCTATACTTCACTCATTCTGATCTATCAATACCGCGCCCTGACCTTCATTCCGTCCCGACTCTGTACGACGAGATCTCGCTATATTGCCAACAACTTCTACTCGATCCCATACTCTTTCGTGTTGTTACTTATAGCATGTACACACCGAGACGTAGACTGACTATACATGCTTCGTGGGAATTTGATCATCGAAGTCATCCTTCAGTGCGCACACATTCTACATTCTCTGATTTTGTGTCTGACTTAACTTTTTATAGTCACGCACTGTGGACGACGATGCATCCAGTTTCTATCTTACGCAAGTGCGCGACGTCCTCGGCACTGGATCTCCATCCACCGTGGCTCTCCTTGACACAATGTCACTCGTGGACCTTCTTCTGTGTTGCAATTGGTCATCTTTGACTACATTGATATGCACTGGCAACCTTGAATTTCTTTCTTGGCTCATACAGTTGGTTCTGTTCAATCCGATACGTTTTCTGTGCCTTCATACGATCCGATATATCTATACGGGACCATTAGAGGAGAACACACGCATGGATATACGCACCCTTCTCTCCACACTTCTCCCTTGTCCCTTTGGCATAGTCAGAGATCGTCTGTTACAAGTCGAGGCTGGTCCGATTCGCGGTGGGGATTTGGACTCATTTATATCAGAGCTTGACGTATTGTTTACTACAGCTTTCTAAACTATGCATTTTGTACAATATAAAATTTTCGAGCATCGCGAGTGGAGTCAGCAAACCTTGGCGTGTATATTCTCTTTTTCAACGGGACAGAGTCTACGATTGTTATAGAACATCAAGTAAAGTAACCTTATTGGATCGAGTCATCATCTATCTCCTCTTCAAAGTCGAGCGTTTGATCTTCGATGTCCGGAACATCAGCTGCATTTGGAACGGATTGGCCGAGTACCTGAGGAGAATGTTAGCGTGCGGTTATCGTGCTCGAAAGACTGTTTGTCACCTCAGCGAGGTCGTCAGCTGTGGCGAGTCTCACAATCCGAGTGAAAGAGAAATGGACGTTTGTCTTGCGATCCCTGGGCGATCTTCCGAGTGATGCGATGTCGATTGCTGCGGTAACGTCGACAAAGTCACCGCGGTTAAAAACTCCAGGACTACTCCTCTTGATGGATCCGTCGTGGATTTTCCGGCCGTATGAAGGCGATGTTGCCGGGGTCCAGCGGCTGGCGATGGATGCGAGGCGAGCCTCATCAGAATCGAGGGGCGCAAGAGGACGCTGGAAACCGTAGCCATCAACCTGACAGTTGCGATGTTAATGTAGGTAGTCGATGAGGTTCATAACACGCACCTTATTGAGCGCCCTTCGGTGAAAGAACATTTCATCGGGATTGTATCCGTTGGTCGGTTCGTGCTCTCCGAGAAGCTTGAAGACCATCTTTCGAAGATCGGAGAGTGCTGCTTGCTGTGCAGTGAACTGCAGTTGGAAGGGACCTGCTCTGAGGGAGATGAACTGCATCGCCTTTGCAGCGCCGGCTTCAGTTCTATGTGGATAAGTGACAGTCAATGAGTACAGCGAAGTCGACGAATAGTAAGATTACTAACCTATCCCAGTTTCCTAGATTCATTAGATTGAGATTCCCAACGATGCCGAAGACGCGGATGGTCATACGTTGGAGAGATACACGACCCGGTGAACTGTCGCTCATCGGACGGGGTACGTGCACAATCTCCCATTTCCGCGAGGGATCCGACGAATAGGTAAGTTCCTGGAGCTTGACCCAGTCGAACAGGTCGTCGATGCCAATCGGCACGTATGATTCCTTGGGCATGTCGTTCCATTCAGTGCGTTCCGAAGAGTTGCGCGCAATGTCGCAAGGGTAGTCGTCGCGGACGAGACCGAGAGTGATAGGATCTAGCAGAAAGATAGAAAAGTCATGAGTGATTCGGTTCAGTTTGCAAGTCAGAAAGGAACTAAGTAATGTCATGCCTTGTATAAAAGCCATGAATTTAGTATGTGCATTGTCACTCTGATTCTCCTGGCTGTTATATACGCGGATTGTACATTGAGATTGACGGGAAGGCGACAAGTTAGGTTCATGTGGCACCCAACGCCACTGTGCGTACCCAGAGCCACGTTCTTGGTCAATATCACACGCCGAGCGCTCGATTATCTTTCCTGGCTTTTCCAAGTCGCCTTCGTCGTTTACCCCATCTTGGCTTGTCAGTGACCTATCCCGAGTCTCATAGCTCTATGACCTCGACCCAATATATCACGCTTCGAACCTAGACCTCGAGACTTGGGGCTAAACTGATATGGTCTCATTGGTGGCTGCCAGTGTCTAAGTTGACTCTGGAGTAGTACGTGAGTTGCTGACAGCACTCGTTCTACGCTATGAGATACCTCAATTTTTTGGCTTTGAACTTACTTGTCGCTAGTCTGGAGCTTGGTCGTGTGCTCTTCAACCGATGATGTCGGTATTACGTGGGCAGACCACCATTGGCCACTCTTTCTTTGAACTATAGCGTGATCACTGGACGATCTGTCGTGCCTAGGTTTAATAGTTGGAGTGGATTTTACTCTCTTGGTCTTCTCTATCCGGCCGCATCAGGTTGTTTCTGTTCTCGATGGGCCTTATTATGAGTCGTGCTTGCGTTTGAGGTATAGAATGCACGGGATCGTTGGTATGGCCCCGTGAGTCCATCATTTACGTTTATGGTCTTCGCTTTGGTTGTGGTATTAAATTTTTTCGTGTCCCCAGAAGTTTTGAACCCGAATCATTGTATGTGGTCTGGAATGCAAAAGAAATCTTCTGCTCCACTTTCTAGGCGTTTTTCTTCGTCTTGGTGGCCTTGACATCGTATCTGTATGGCATCGTATCCTGGTGAGAGATACGTGGGCCTTCATTGGATTCATCGTGTTCAGCATCATATGGCGTGCAACTGGTCTGTATAAAGGACGAAGGTATTTGTCGAGTTTTCCGGTATCTTTTACATATGGCACCAGCTAAACGTTCTTTACAATCAATCATCGACACACACGATCAGCATCCCCCTGAGACGAATAAGGGTCCTGCCAAACGGACGAGGTGCGTTTCATTTTTGATTTTTAGTGCGTGTGTATGCTGACATCTGCTTTGAAGAGCCGCTAGAATCATACAAGACACGAATTCGTGAATTCGACGTCTTTGTGTATTCAAACTTTTTGACTGACCTACATTTCTATAGTGATGATGAGAATCTTAGTCCTCCTCCTGATAGTCCAGCAAATTATCATGATACTGCAAGGTCAGCTCGTTTTTAATGCACTTCTATGTTATTGTACTTACAGAGATTGAAGGGTTGACCCTGATGTCGATCGAAGGTGCGTCAATGATCTGTGTTATAGGCATTTTCCTTCTGATTTCGTGGCGTAGCCCACCGGACGAAGAGGACCATTCGGGCGAGGTCAATGCCTCCGCCCAGGATGAGCATCATCTTAACCAAGATAGCACCTCTGACCAAGACCCAAACCCTCTCTCGTCGAACTCCAACGAGAAAGAGCACGTCCCAGAAGGCACAACATCCGACGACGTCCCACCATCGTCTCCACCGTGGAATTCGCTTTCCGATTCGCATGGATCCGATCGATCCAAATCGCCTTCCAGTCCTCCACCTTCCACAGCCCCAGTAGGTCCTGTTACGAACCCTATCACCACGTACGTTATCCCTGGGCATTTTGGGCCCAAACTTCAGAGGTTCGTACGCTGTCAGTGATGTCTCCATATCGAAGTTGACTGTTTTTCGTCTCAGTCGAGTCACGGCTCTTTTACAGTACAAGAACGAAAAGGATCACGTCTATTCCATTTCATGTCTTCCAATCGCAGACTTATCCTGGGGCGGTTCAGAGAATGCTTCAGCGAACAAGCTGTGTATTCGTGGACATGACATGCCCGTCACAGTCTGGATTACCGCGCTCATCGGACGCCACTACATGTTTGAACCCGATGGGTCTCCAAAGAAGAAGGTATCGGTGGCCTTGGCACCTCTGACAGAGCATAGTCTGCATACCAACTTCAAAGTCTTGCATGACTTTTCGAAACCACAGGAACGTGAGTCTTTCTCTTGTCTCTATCGTTCGGCACTTGTCTCAGCTTATCCATTTAGCCATTGACACGGCACACCGCCGTATATATGCGTCGCGTTGGCAACAAAAGCAGCTTCCTCGACAACGAGAGATGGCGGTACGTCCTTTTTATAGTGAATGCTCATCCCGACGCTTGCTGATGTGCATCGATTATAATGTTGTTTCTAGATACAGCCCTTTAAGGAGTGTTACGATGCGACCCGGCGTTATACGCTCAAGACTCAGATGCCTCGTGTGGACGTCGAGGACTTGAAAGAAGGAGATTTGGTTCTCGTAGAGGCTGAGATTTCTCGCTTCTCGACGGCAGATGTTAATCCTAATAAGTCGTGGGCTGAGAAATCTAGGGCGAAGAAGAAGGGATTTGTGGAGTATAAAGCTATGTTTGAATTGTCTTCCATCTCATTGTTGAAGGCAGGACCAGAGGCTACCGCTTTGTCTTCGGATCCAGTTTCTCGGGAGTTTGCGGTGTCGATCTAGTTTTTCCTCCTTCCTTTGTCTCCTTTTTGCGTCTTATCACTCTGATTCCGTCTACATATTAAAAAAAAACCAGCTTCTTTCTTACTTTATAAAAATAAAAGGCTACGTTTCTGTTAATGTCTCTTTGTCGGCCGTGGATATCGCAATTGAGTGGCGTGATTACTTGTGCCACCCGCTCTTCACGTGACGCGATCACTATCCGAAGCGCACTGCCATTGGGCGCGACTTGAACCTGACGACACTTGACTGTATCGTCCATGGACACAAACAGACGCATTTTGGTGAGTGAGGTTTACTCATATAAGCGTAGTACTATTGACCCCATTGCAGAACACTCTGCTTCGCCTTCTTAACCATGTAAAGTCTTTACAGTGCGAAATCGAGGTCCAGATAGAAGTCCTCAGCCAGCTCTGTTCAGCGGAATCGGGGATCGTTGTGCCACAGAATGACCCAACAGAAAATGATTTTCGGGTATCCGCACCAGACGTCTGTACCTCTGGTGATACTGTCATCGTACTCAACTGAATCCATACTGGGTTTCTACTATCTCCAGCCTTTCCGACTTCACCCCCTTTCGTGGGCCACTTCGGATTCCGTGGTACCGCCAAGTTCCTTTTCTAGGCAACATGCTCATGAAAGGTACTTGTCTATTCACCTGAAAACTTCATTGTGTCTTATTAGTTTACAAGGCTCTCGTTGCGACCGAGTTCAGTACCCATCGAATCTCAGAGTGACTATCGAGACCTAGAGCCTGCATTGCCCACTCTAGTTGCCTGTCTCTCGTGTAGGTCAAAGAAGACGAGATGTATAGGGGCCTCTCCTACTACAGGAGAGTCGTGCATGTATGTAATTTTTGATTCTTTCAATAGGAATGACTCATCAGGTTTTAGGCCGTGTTATACACGAGGAGAAGTGTGCTGTTATCCATCATCTAGTCGGCTTTCGCGCGCCATGGGGGAGATAAAATGGTAGTAGAGCTTGTCCCGTTTCCTGGCCATACGTGCCGCCGTATCGTACCGTCTATTAGGCTGCGTCTGCCGTCTTTCCTCCAGCTCCACAACCCTCAAGATCTTTTGTAACGATCCATTTACGTGTACTCTCATTTTCACCACGAGAGCATATCTTTTGTTCTTATGCAGGCTGCTGATCCAGATCATGAATATACAGATAGATTGTCACCTCTACAGCCTGGATTAGTCTCGACTCTGTTGCACTCGAGTATATCAAGCCCTGTCTGCATACGAAGATTCTTCCAACACAACAGCATACAATGTACGACCCGCCCGATTCTGAAATCTGCAACGCATTATTACACGTCTTCGCAACGTGGCCCACGGAGAAGAATAGCATGCCGTGGGTGTACCAGCAGATCAAGAGAGACAATCCTACCTGGCGAATCACACTTCCGGTAAAGACACTTTTGATGTTACTGCGTGCGCTCTGTAGATACTAACAATTGACGCTATCCTGTAGCAAGTAACCTCTTTACACACCAGAATGCAACACGACCCCATTCCTCCTGACCCGCTTCTCGATCTCCATTGGTCGGGTATCGTCATCCACCCCGACGCATATCATTTATCCCCCTTGAAAGATCCAACCTCTCTGATCGACCATCTCGACCTTTGCGCCGTCGACTTTGACCGAGATGGCGCCGTTACCGCTCAATCATTGCACGATCTCGTTGGTTCGAAGGAAGCAGTTTGTTTTACGAACGCTTACGATCGTGACTCGCGCATCGATGACTGGTACTACGCTTTTTATGCCGATACATCTAACACGACTGGTGCTCTTAACCCAATCGCCAACATCGTGAAGCCTGCTGAACATCCTCCGATTCGAGGGCAAGTCCTTGTGGTCCTGAATGGTCCTGAGGATGGGATGTGGGAGGTCATGCAAAGAATAGACGAGATTCAGCTTGGTCGATCTTTGTGGTGGTATCTGAAGTCTGGCAATGAGCCTCGTGATGTTTTCGGGGAGAGGGAGCTTCGGCGATATATTTGGACGATGATAATCTAGGTACGTATCTTCGCCGATTTTTGGTACCCTTTCTTTTATGTTTAGTGAATATTCACAGATCCTCTCTATAGCTATCATACGCCCTCGTGCTGGTAACGAGTTTTGGTTTATAGAGATGACAAATTTGTATTCGATCATTCCAGAGAAAACGACGCTTTCTTCGATGATGTTCTAAGTTTCCACCGCCCAGATGGCTCGTCTGACTAAAGGGATCTAGGCAATGACATAGTGCGCGTTAAGAGAAGTCCACCCTCGCTTATTCTTGTTTGAATCGACCCATTCGTTGCATGCTTTTAAATAGTCAGCCTGGATATCACGTTTGATCCACTCTCCGGAATGTCTGTTATTCGTTGTGCGCTTTTCTTCACTGTCATGTTATCAGGCTATGTCTTATCGTGACCCCCGCTTACAGGGAAAACTGGTGTCGCTCTACTACGCGTCGTATCCACCTCCGACAATTCTTCTAGCACAGCCGACCAATCATATGTCCCGACGACCCCTTCAGGAATATTACGGTGGCTGCAATTGATCTCCGATGGTTGCGAGGACCGTGATTTCCTCAATTATCCCTTTCGAGTCGTATATTCCCATTCGATATCTTCTCCTTCTCCATCACACGTCGAGATTCGAATCCAAGGCATACTCAACATTGGTGCTCTCATTCACGGGATCTATGTCTCGTACGTATTGACTTTATCGTGTCGGTTACAGAAGGCTCTAACAACATATGTTTAGACGACCCAAGTGCGTCGGGGATGAACGAGTGCGCTGGATGAAACTTGTTCACGGTAATGACAACGATAAGGAGAAGTTCGAAGAGCAGATCATAGCACTTCGAAGAATTGCCGATGCCTGCAAAGCCCAGTTATCGTTGCCGCCTTCCCATTCATGTCTACCCACTGCTATTTATCTTCGTCGTCGCCAACCAGAGAGTGTAAGTGTTTCCCGGGTCAGAATCATGCAGCGCGGTATTGATCATGGAATAGGGCTCCTCCGTCGCCCCACTGAGTGTGCTCCGACTCGATGCGCTGTCTGGTCTCTTTCATCCTCTGTCCGTGCACGATCTACGCCGAGGGGATCTTTTAGATGTCAATGTGTTTATAGACGTCACTGTGTATCGTGCAGAGGATTCCATTCCTCGTGCCGTGGTCTATTTCTCATTCAACAGGATTATAAGGCTTGCTACAATATCGGGTTCGGTTAGTATACATATTCTACCGTCGTAAAGAGTCTCATCCAGTTTTGTTATAGCGCGGACAGATTGGCGCATTCCTCAAGAGAACTTTAGTGGACGATAGATATTCCGAGATGGAGAGTATAGGTCATACCGTTGTTGAAGCGATTAATCTCCCTTTGGACAGTGCCCAAGGTCAGTCTAGTACGCATTATATCCACTCTTCCATTTCTCATCGTCCTCTTCGATGAAGAACGCCTGCAGAAATCTTTACCCCCGCCACTATCACGTAGTTCCTAGTCTGACGCTAGACGGTATGACTTGTGAACATTAGTCCTTGACCGTCGTATAATATATTGTCCGTGTGAAAATATCCACGCCGATCACCTGGCTATGGTGTGTCCGAATTGCAACCCAATGGTTTCGTGTTTAAATCTGTATGAACAGAAGGAAGGTATCGAGGAATGAGCTAATTCCGAGACAGCCAACGTATACACATGCCTTCGAGACGAAACAGAGATTGTCCAGTCTCTCGGAAGAAGGGTGTATCGTGTTGATAACGAGGACCGAGTTTGGGCTTGGTCATTATCGCACATCCATATGAGGGCGCCATTCTTTCTGTCCGCTGTGTCCTATTCTTCGAAGGACATTTATATGGCGATTGCTTAAATCGCTCATTATTATCTGTTCAAACGAATGATAGCCGCCATACATGTCTAGTCCCGGACAGATAAAATGATATATATTTCCATAATTGCCATATAGTGTAATTCAAATAATGCCCCTCTTCCTCTGAACCGCTTCAATCCATTCTTCACAAAAAGACTGTAACTCTATCACGGTGCTTTCTTCGATGCCTGTCCACTGCGAGATCGTCTTGGATGTCCATGATGCGATAGACTGAGGACCGAATCCATGAAACTCGAGGACGGGAGATTCTGACTGGATGTCGATGCCTGTGTGATCCGCAAAATCAGCCAATAAACGGCGAATATTGTCGTTGGGGGTAATATCAGGAGAGACGAAGACGAAGGCATGTTTTGATCGGACAGGAGTGCGTGGAGGAGTGGCAGGCAATTGGTTGGGTGGCGTATCGTGATGATTAGGGTGATACGGCGGAGCGGCTGTAGTATTTGAGATCTGTGGCGTTGGAGTGGCAACATGCACGGTAGCCCTGTTGCCGATGAGTGACGGGCTAGTGTCAGGAGAGTGACGGGAGGTACTGGACAGGGAGGCACGAGAGGGTGTCGTAGTTTGGGTGTGTGTGATCGTGGAATGAAGAACATCTCGAAATTCCGGGAGGCTGGGAGGCGTGTGCAGTGTACAATTTTCCCCTTTAGCCTGTATCATATGTGAATTTGAGTTAAAACAAGTCACAGGATAGATGCTCTCATAATATGCCGCTCACCAATGCGACTGCCCAGAGATCGATATGTCGGCAGTCAAGACGTACGTGGATACCGGGTGACATTATGACACAAAATCCTGGTATGTTGGTCTCGTCCAGATGTACCACGCAAGAGTGCTGGCGCCTGAGCTTCGAGACGTAGGATGCTATTGTGTCGCCAGCACGAAATCCGGCGCGCGGAACCTTCCTTTGATACGATGCTCCAGATGTCGACGCGCGGCCATGGCCCTCGTCGTCAACCTCGTCGAAAGGTCTAGCCTATAGTAAAGGTTCAACGGATGTGTGAGAGACCAAGCTATTAAAATAGACAGTACATTGCCAACTGCAGACCTTTGGTATGATACTGCTACAAGCGGCTATACCGCCGTCAACCGCGGAGGCGACGTTTTCACCGTTCTTTGAGGATTCTGCGACGCAAGATGAGAAGGTATTGGATTGGAAGTATTCCTGGGACACAAGCGCGCTTACCTTCAGATAAGTGATCACGAGTTTGAGGTGGCACAGACACTCGCGCTGATGGATAGGCCGGCGCAAGGAGTGGTCGTCGTTGAATCGTCGCTAGCGATGTCTTCTCCGGGCTTTCAACATGAAGAGAATCTACAGCTGGAGTACTTTCAACACCCACTAACCGCATGAACATGGCAAGAACCAACTGTGTTCCTGAGAGCTCGAGGCATGACTAGCGTGCGGTGTCTGCGTACGGGTCGACGCAGTGACGCCTGTGTAGGATAACTCAGGGACTATCGCGGCGAAGTGCGGGCAAAATACTCACATGCAAGCTTGGATAGTGTGAGTCGCGAACATGGGACGAAAGTATTGTGGCTCATTTCGACAGTATCACCCCCACCAAGACTGGCCGAGCGCGCGCGCAGAGTCTTCCCGTCACCGTGGTGGACCGAGGCGGGTGTGTTCCAATGCGGTTGGGAGTGTGTACGAGTAGAAGTAAGACAATCATAGCTACACGAACGAGAAAGCCTGAAGTGAGCACATGACGAGCGAGAGTTGGGCGTATGTGAGAACTGAAACATGGTTGGGTAATGATGGTGGTTGGCAAAGTGCGATTGATGTAGAACAAAAGACCATATTCAAGGACAGGATATGGATTATGACGGAAAAGCCAAGCTCGTAGAGGCGTTTCACCATCATCCCATTGTAGCGTCGACCAGCTACTACGCACATTTCGAGGGCCGAAGACGAGGTCGGACGCTCTGGACTGCAGTGGACCTAGCGTCAATGACATCGCTCGTATGTACAAGTGAGTTCGTTGCATAATAGATTCTAGAAAAAACGGGACTAGAGGAAAGATTATGTGCTACTAAGCGAGAGCTATAGCGCGCGCTGGGCATTGGTCAAGAGGAATGAGCGCGAACCAGGCCTGTGGCCCTAAAGGTGCCTGACGCCACTCGTCATCATTTCTCCACAGCCAAAGACAGACAAACAGACTCGTGCGAACTTCTATTCAATTTTCTGACTTCGTCGACTTGACTTGTTCTGGGCTGGAACAAGTTTCTCTCGTTCGCTAAATCGTAATCTTGGGCGACCTTTCTTATTGGAACTGATTTGAAGTCTAGATGAGGGCCTCACTTATCACCATGCCACCGCTGTTCTTGTGTGTGCAGCCTAGGTACGGCGCCAACAACCTATTAGTGTTGAGCCACCATCTGTACATCCCGTGCCCTATCCGCTAACTGGCCACAGTTTGAACGACAGTCTTGCGGATGCTCTGGAGCTTGTTCTATGTATCTGGATCTAATCCCAGGCGAATGCAACTAATCGAATCTCTCCAGTATTTGATTTCGACCCTGTATCTCGGACATCGCAACGCCGTTATGGGACATATGGGCAATCCTTTAAAAGCAAGTAGGACATTTACCTCTGCACCACATCAAATCATGCATCTTCTTGATCTACCACTCGAATTGTTGATTCACGTTCTCTCTTCACTTCCTATCCGTCATATGCAGTCACTTATGCTGGTCAATACTGGCTGGCGCTGGCTGGTCCAACAGTTTCTTTCTCGCAAATATCACATCACTTTACTTCCCTACATCAAGGACCCCTCGTCATTCCGTGATGTCCTACGCCGCTCTCACTCCGTCATATCTGGTTCATTTGCTCTCGAATTCTCACTTCACGGTACCACCAGACCCCCCATAAACGTCGGCGACATAGAAATATACGCTGGCGTCGCGAACACCATCACCATCATTGAACACCTTCGCAGAGAAGAGGGCTATCTCGCCATCCCTCTCTCCATTCTTCCCTGCATCTCCTACATCGATGATTACGATGGTGGTATCGCAGCGGTTGTACGGATGCTTCATCCTCGAGGGACCAAGATCGATGTCATCTGCAGCTTGCGGATCTCCGCATTACACCCCATCACTTTCTTTTGGAGTACGGCCATCATGTCTTTCCTGACATCGGACGGTTTCTGCTCTGCATATCACGCCTTAACTGAACGTGGGATCGCATGTCTGAATCCGTCTCGGGACTTGACTCCGCGCATTCGCCGTTGTATAACAAAGTATGAGCAACGAGGTTTCAAGATTGGGCGTTTTGACCTCAACGAGGTATGCCCGAATATGTTCCTATCAGACTGTGCTCTTTCTCGTATTCATCCTATTGTAGGAAACTCCTCACACCGCTGTGGTACTCGAATGTTTCGGTGGGGACGAAGCCTGTCTGACACGACCGTACAGAGTAAGTGTTTCTATGCATGATCTTTATCGAGGCCGATCGTACTGTCACTGAGAATCGACTCTGGTAGACAGAATTTCCGTGGAGTTGTCCACATGTACCTCGCAAGTTCAGCGACAAGGGTTCACTTCACATACGGTTCAGTCCCCGAACACAAGGGAATACTGTTCCTTTCCCATTTGAAGAGCCAGAATGGGTCATGGGAGGTGAACAATGTGGCGGTTGTGGACTTGTTTCGGACAGTAGCGTGTTACCTTATGCGCGTACTGTCTAACCCCCCATTTTCTTTGTATGAGATCGTTCGTCGTTCGTTTTTTTTCCGCTACCTTTGAAAAAGACTTATATTTATGTATGTAAATTGCGTAAAATGAACGCAGAGAAAGCCGCAAGTCTAGGCCTTTGACTAATCGAAGTAGACCGAAACTTGGAACAGGAGTGCGCTCTCACTTAAATACAGCGTCAGGTTTTGGCGTCAACTTCACATCCTTCGTATGTCCGAACTCGTTTGTATGTTCTACTCTTCACTGGTATTCCTGATACTGACTTCGTACCTATCCCAGACCACGGACTGAACACTCTATTGCATCAGTACGACCCCCCTCTTCGAGCGGTACTCGTACGCAATCGCAACCCAGCCACCCACATCGTACCCGATTCTGAAGTCAATATACATCAATTTCTTCAAGTCGTTTCGGCGTTGGATAGTGTCCATGATTTGCCATTTCCTTTCCACGTCGTGTATAGATCTCAGCTCCCGCTTCCCATGCAATTCAACGTGCCCGTACAAGGAATTGTTGCGGGTGCATGTCTGGATCCATTCGGTGAGACGCTGTCGTAAGTGTCTTCGGTTCTCTCCACCTCCAATCATTTATAATCTTTTCCCAGTGATATCGACGATTCAGATCCTCTTCAGTGGCTTCAACTAACCTGGGGATACCCTCAATTCAAAACGAAGTTCGACGCTCAGGCATCCCATCTGAAAATCATTATCGACGCATGCTACGCTCAGTTGGGTCTTCAAGCTCCCTCGACCGAGATACTGCCGCTCCTTAGCCTTCGTCGGAGAGTGTATCGAAGTGTAAGTCTTCGTGTTGGGTCGTTCTACATGTGCTCTTAACAGCTGCATAGTTTTCGGATACACAGGTCAACCATGCGTTACGGCTCGACGAGCTGCTCGATGATGGTTCTTTGGTGATGTGTAATCCGAATCAGTTTTATCGCAGGGATCTTGTGGAGGCTATTGCCACTGTGGATATAGCTGTTGAGCCAGCGGAAGACACAGTACCCCGCACGTCGATTTATCTCAGTTTTAATAGAGTGACATGTGTACTATATGCGAATAAACTAGAGCAGGTACGTAGCTACCCACCCTTACTTTCCACCGCCGAACTAACGATCGAGTAGTTGTCCATGTTAGCAGGAGAGGAATGTCAACTCCCGTCGAAGGATGAACTCTTGAATCATCGTTCTACGGCAAACATGGGATGGCATGCTCCACTTTTGGTGGGTGCTGTTGATGACGGGAACGTTTAGTGGTGGAAATAAGAAAAATTCTGTATTTCCAGTACGACTAACAAGAAAATTTCAGTTCGTACTTTTACGTGTGATACTGCGTCTCCTGACTATACACGAGTTTCGAGACTGTGAGCTTCTATTCGATGAAACAAGTATCTGAGAAAAATGATGAGATATGTGGCGAGAGTGGCGGAGCCATGAACTGGGGTCGAGGCGAGAGTTCGAGTCGGAACTGGAACAGAAGCAATACTGTACCGCGTGTAAACATGCGTCATTCTCTTTCGATCAATGGAACACCGAGTGGTAACTCCAAGAGAGAGGTATGTGCGTCAGAATCAGGTGCTCGCATTGTCTCTGTTTTGTTTTGTTTCTAGACATCCTGTCACAATAACTGAGTGCGCATTGGCTTGTGACGACAACGGCTTCCTTCTGTTCACCTCCCTGACTATTATAGATCAAAGATTGTAGTCACCCGACCGGGGAGCATGGTTCAGGATCGTCTATCGAACGTTGCAGTTTGGATTTAGTGTGGTGAAAATCGAACTTTCCGAACTTTTGATCTATCACTTGTACGCATTCGTGGTATACCTGGATTCAAAAATGGACCAATATCGCTAAACTTGGCTTGTTCTCTTTCTGTCAACAAGTGTACCAATTCATCATCGCGAGACTGTATAAGAACCATTGAATGTATGCCCTATGGACATCCTATAGTGAACACTCCCTCGAGTTTCTCTTTTCCCTTTATCAAAGTTATCATGTCTACGCCTTTGGAAAGACTTCGTACCACGGTGAGTGTTTTCGTACAAGTTTTCTGAACATTTCCTAATGGACTGCAACGCAGCGTCAAGCCCGCATTCACTCGGCCAACGCATCACCACGCCTCAGATATCCCACTGCTCCCCCGCCTTCTCCAATTCAGCGCCATCGTCCTCCACGCGACAACTTTTGCTCGCACGAGATCATCTCTCCTCTTTCTTTGCCCACCTCAGTCCCTTGGAACAATTCTTTCGAGCCACTGGTACGTCCAACTCACTAACTCATGTCCAGCTTGATTATAACCTTACATCGTAGGTCGAGCATGAAGTTCAACAAGAAATGTCATCGGGCAGATTCTACCCAACTACGAATGACTCACCAGTTTTAATTCCACGACCGGTATGTGTACCACTCAAGCCATTGAGGTTTCACGTGCTCATGATACCATATTTCCATTTAGGACACGCCTCGTCCTAGCCCCCATTTTTCTTCGCCCACTTTCCCCCGACTCGATAGTACCATGCGCAGTATAATTAACACCGTCCCCCAGTCATCTGACACTGCCCGAGACTACTCGAGGGTCGTCACCGAAGCCTATGACGCCCCTAGGGGCTACACACTCAGGGCTGTCATAGAAGATGAAGCCGTCGAGGCCTCCGCAGACGAAGAATCGCCGGAGAGCGATTCGGCGGATGCAGAGGCCGTGGAAGGCTTACTAGCGCTCGCAGGGACTCCGGATGATTCATCAGACTGTGATAGTGAAGTTACTAATGAACCATTTGGTGACTCGGACGATGGTTTCATCGTAGACGACGAAGAGGTCGAGGAGGAAGAGGACGATGATGAATACGACGGGGACGACAGTTGCGCGGCGACGGTGGGGTCCGATGTTGATCGCGCTGATGAGTCGGATGACGTCGACGGACCTCCAGCTGAGTGGATTAACGGGTATAGAGAGTATGAGATCGAGAGAATTATCTCCCATCATGTGTTCCCGGAGGCTACTTACTTTTTGGTTCGATGGGTCGGCTGTTCATCGGCTGACGATCTTTGGCTCTCCGCGAGCGAATTTCGGCATGCTCGCGCTATCCTCAGGGAATACAAGGATAGCGTTGGAATGACCTAGACACCTTTCCTTTGTTTTCATTTTTCTTCACGTATCATTGATTCTACTTACCACTCCGCACATACGTACAAAATCAAAACTTTCGTTTGGTTCGCTTGAAAATTTTCTGCTCGTTTTGAGGGTGATTCCACACTGCCAAATATGGCGACGTCTGCAAATTCTACGTGTTTTGTTGGTGTGCTGAGTCTCAGAGAAACACAATGGCCAGACCAAACGAACAAGCGATCATCGTCACGGTGGCGCGCCACTGGTGACTGCTATTATACGTATAAGGTCTGTCGTGCCGTCTCGCGTGGAGCTCACGTGGGATTCCTTATTCGGATAACTGTTCCGCGGTTCTGTTGAACGTCGAGTCTTCTTTCTTTCATGAATATTCTCTCCCTAGAAAAGGGTGCCTCTCCCATGTTACATCGTATCCTTTCGCATACACTTGCTTTCCTCAGTTCTACGTCCTCAGACCACTATGCAATCTCCGCTCGGGCCCAAACTCATGCACAATGCCTCGCTTTTTCCTGACCCCAGTCTCTTCCCCTTATCTTACAACAACGCTATCGACATCATACGCTCATTGTCTGACACTGTCTCGAGGCAGAACAACGACATCTTCCACGCGCGGCAAGACGCTGCGCAAGCACGCCTATCTCTCAATCAGTCTATCCAAGACTACGTCGGTCAACACGGAGAACACCTCGCACGGCAGTCGACCTTGAATAACCAGATCCAAGACTGTTACGATAACATCGTCGCCTTCCTGAACCTATCCGCTGGGTATCGTGATAATGTCGGTGCGCTCTAGTTCAATTTTATCCCTGGTCTAATATGTGTTGATTTATTCATCCACGCAGATGGTATACTTCGCACCATCCTGTTGTATCATCAATATACTCAATCTTCGCTTATCAGATGCTCTCTTAGAAGAGATGGAGGAGTCTGTCCGTAAGTGGACGTTTTATAGGCCTGACATGCCCATGGAAAAACTAGCGGTATGTCCCTTCCCTTCCTTTATGACTCGCCCTTGATATCCGCAAAGACAGCAGAAGAGCAAATCAAGTGGCTCCGAGAACAGAGTGCCGTCCCCATACTCCCCAAGCTTGCGGACGCGACGGATAATACGGACCATGTTCCGAACAAGGTTATGGATGAGACGACTGGTAAGTGCAAAGTCATTGTTCACAGATCCACTCGCTAAACGCCCGCTGTAGGTTCTGCCGCTCAAGACGATGAATGGCCCTCGCTTCAGCAGGTCTACGGTAAGTCGATTGTGATCGCTATGAGTTTGGAGCTTGTGCCTAAATCCGTGCCTTCCAGGCTCGCACTCTGTTCGTCGTGACTAAAAATTACATTTTGGGGTATGATGATACGTCCAAAATTTGCGCAGTGGGAGATGCTCAGTATTGTCATCCGTCTACTTCTCGTCGAGTACAAATCAGGAAAGCTTTCTAGAACCCCTCTTTTACTTTGAACTCTATACAATAAGTCGACTTTCGTTCCCGTGACAAGACTGGATTATGTATCGTACCCTGGCCCATGGCGCTGGGACTTTAGGGGCTACAAGAAGCGTATCTAGAGTGCCTTGTGATCTTTTCCTTCAATTGTGCGAGGTTGCTTCTGTAAGTCCATCCTGGTAAGAACACGGAGAAAAAATTGACGTTCGCATTTATCCATCTGATAGAATGACCCAGAAGATACGTTGTGGTGGGGCTTGTTGGTAATTGAGGTACGACCCCAGAACTACCGACTCTCGATACACCTATTAACCGCGCTGACCATTTCAACTGTTCCTAGACGTAAAGTCCTCTGGTCCATTTAAAAGAGCTGACCATCAGCGTCGCTTTTCTCTACCCTTTCCTATTGTCTTATACGTTGTATCACTTTCCTTTCACAATGGACTCTTCTTCCTCTATAGCTGATATTCTGCGCCGGTCTCGCGAGGAATTGATCATTCTTCGCGAGCGTGATGCAAAATGGACGCGCTTGGTCGACTTACTCGAAGACAAGTTACGATGTGTTCAATGGCATCTTCACAACGAAAAGGGGGAGCGAATGAAGGTGGACGCGGACATCATTTGCCTTCGCCGTGCCCTTGGTCCGTCTTCATTAACGCTCCTTCGTGATCGGTTGACGACTGAAGAAACGCGGGTATGTTTTTTTTCACTCTATCTATACGTTGCATCGTCGATTAACAAGTGCTATACCAGCCACCACAACTGCACACTCGTCCTCCTCCCGACCTCTCATCGATGCTACCTAGTGAGTCCATGCATTTTCTATGTGTTTATTCCGGTTTTCCTGATAGTCGTCGTTGAGTAAGGCACAATAACATCGACCGAAAACAGTACGACTATTCATCAAACTCCCGTTGTATGTATACTAACTTATATGTTCAGGCCTTCTTCCAGCTCCCGACTTGGTAATTCGCCCTACGCAGCCTCCTCAAACCCGCCATGTGCTACCTTCTCGCCCGGCACTGCAGTCTGAAGATCGCTCGGTGATACCGCCCACGAGTTATCCTTCAGCTCCATATCAGGATCACCCGTCCCAAACTTCCGCGCCACTTCAATCTCAGGCTCGCCGTGTGGCGTCTGAAGTCCCATCTTCCTTACCATCCCAAGCAAGCAGCGACGAGGTTTCGCCGATCCCTGCTGCTCGACTCCCTATGCTACGTAAGCGCCAAATTACCATCCCCCTGTTCTTCTTCTGACCTCGTAATAGGGTTGAGACTGCGAACACCACCTTCACTCGACGAGCTGTCGACCCCAAGTATGTCTCTGTACTTTTCTACTTTGTTTTGTCCTTGTTTTTGTTTGTTTGTTTATTTTTGGTGTCTCGAATGTAGAGCGCCAGCGATTATCTCATGAGCGTTCACGGGCGCCGTCGCCTACCACTACACGCCCAATGGCAGCGTTGTTACCGCCCCATCCAGGTCGGTCTTTATCTCCCATTTCTTATACATCAATTTCAATGTTTTCCGTCATATAGCGACGGCATCAGGGTCTTCCGGGGATATAGGCGACCCCAGGAAAGGTCAGTCGTCGTGATCAACCAGTATGTCTTCTTGACTTATCGATATAGTGAAACGCTAAACAACCTTTTCGCTTGTTTAATTCTGAAGGGCGATTACATCGTCAAAAAGCAAGAAAAATCATCCCTTGTTCAGATACCGTCTGTCCTATATGCAAACCTCCTGGAAATCGACGCTGAGGTCAGGTGTTGGCATAGGGCTTCGATGTTGTTGAGGGTGGCGTCGGGAAACTTATGGATATTGTCGTCCTTTTTTTTATATCTACCTAAACACCAATCAAAACCCAATATCTTTTTCTTTCCTCGTACAATCTACGGCTAGTCAGTCACATAAACGCTCGAGCTAAAAACTAGTGAATCTTTTGTGCTTACATCGAGATTGTTGTGGCCCCTTGAGTGGCGCTATAGAGTGTTATTTTTAGGAACCGATAGTTCGGCGACGGGGCTAATGAGCCGCCATGGACTAGCGAATACTATGAGCCATTGTGGACTCGTGCGATACTACCATCCTGTGTATTCTATATGGATGATGGTGTGTATGACATCTTTCTATAGGCCCATGCCACGACAAGTATCTTGAAAAGTATTTGCCATGGGTGCAACTCAGAGCTAAGTACTGGTTACATTTGATTACCGTTACTCAAGATTGTTGTCTTTCTGATATTATCTCGTTTTTTGTCATTCATCTAGGTGTGTCATTCCTCGTGGGCTCGATATCACTGACTTACGTGCGGGTACTGTGATGACATCACTTTTGCGGTCGTATATCATGCTCAGATCACACCGTTGGGCCGGTTCTGAATCTCGACTTATTACACCTGGCCTCGAACGTCCTCAATAGCCGTTCAAATCGCTCGCGTGGAGCCTCGACACAAAAAATTTCACTCCACTGCTAGACGTAAGTCATTAAGTGTATTGGTTGTCGAACTTGGTGCTCCAGGCCTCTGCCCGGGAAGGAGGACGGATACAATCTGCGAGACTCACATGCTCATGTAAGAAGTCTTCAACCATGACTCAGAAATTTTCGACAACTGTGCATTCCATCGTCTTCAATGCACAAGGCCTCGAATCTTGCCACGCTATATTCACCTTTGGTGACGTAGGAAGTGCCACATGCACTAACTCGAACATCGTATACATATACGCCACCACATTTCTCCCTTTCCTCGTCAGTATATAGTCGTGTAGTCACCTTGCAACTAAGAATGAACATTTTGTCTCTCCTTATCTGTTTCTACCATCCCTGACCGTTCTTTCCCTATAGGAATATCTTTTCTCATCTCGCCTCGTTTATTTCTTGTTGCCTACGAACATAAACATGTCCGACTCAGTTTCAGTGCTCAGTCGTCTTGCTCAAGAACGAAGATGTGTCGCCATCTACGTACCAATCCAAGACCCAGGAGGTGACTGGATAGTCAGTGTTACCCTCCAACGTAAGCACTATTCCTCTTCATCTTCATTGTTTCGTATTCCAACAGTGATAACACCCGTGGTCCACAATAATCTATTAGAAGCTCACAATGCTGGGACCCATCTGCTCGGCGTTGTCGCGCAGTACAGCGGCATCGGTCGAGCTAAACGAATCAAGCAGGCCAAACAGCGCGCTGCTCACGACATACTCTCCAAACTCCCACTACAGGGTATGACCTTCACCCGAATGTGCATATGTCACGACTTTTAATCCGTGCTGATTTTGATTTTTCAGCGAGTCCCCCGGACAATATCGCCGATATATTGCAGTTCATCATGGATCGTCATAATGGCAAGGTCGTGTTCAATGCTCTCAGCAAAGGACAGACCCTACCACAGTACTGGAAGTTCGAAATCCTGGGTCCGTGAATTTGTACTTGTCAGTGTGGCTTTCTAGGTGTTCGGCTGACTTCGTCTTAGTGAACGGCAACACGCACCCCCTAGCGGTATCTGATTGGGGCCTCCGACGCGATGCTATCAAACAAATTCTCCGCATGGCGTGCATCCACCTCGGCTATTTGAACGCTCCCCCTGTCGTACTCATGCACATCGTCTTGGACGATAGTGACGAAGAGGAAGTCAGAGAGCTTCCCAACATTTATCGCGCTCCAGAGTTCTCCCAACGACCTATCATCACTCGGGCTTCGAGTCCCGCCGAAGTCGGACCTAGTGCGAGTGCCGGTACATCCCTCGACATTTCCTCACGATGTGAAATCCTCTCCTTACCCTTCTCTGCATCGCCGTCACTCACAATGCGTCATTTACTAGGGAACGGGTCGGATATGCATCGATACCTCATTCAGCGATATCAGTCGGCCGTCTTCAAGATACAATCCAGAAGTGGGGAAGTGCCCCTTCGGTGGAAATACAACCTTTTTTGTACGTACACCTTGGCAGATTCGTGTCGTCGGAAGTCGCTCATCAGAGCGCACAGTGGGTTGTGATACCAGACCCTGCGCTGTGTCTGATTGGCTCCCTCCTGGTCTCGCAAAGCACCAGACTCTGACGAAAGCCTTTGAGGTATTAGGTATCAGGCCTCCACACGACGATGCTGGTGAGTCCGTGTCTGTAATATCCCATCTGTTATCACTTGGCTGAATATATCGGAAGACGAGGAGTCTTACTTGCATTCCCAGAAACGAAAACGTACGGTGGTTGATCCCGTCTCGCACGAAGCCTAATATGTTCGACATCTCTCGATGGCACGCCCTGTTATCGTCAGTGATATATCGTAAACCATCCTCTATCCATCATTCTTTGTCTGTGTGCGTCGATGTACCTGAGAGCCAGCCTGTATATATGACTGTATCTACATAAGCCTAAAAATTCCATTGCTCTTACTACATCAATAGATTTGCGTGAACGAATAAAGTAAGTTCTCTGACGGGCACACCCGAATTCGGCCGGTCGGGAGAGATCGGGGAACTGACTCCCTTTCTAAAGTTGTGACAGTGCCACGTGAAAAGCACATGTGCAACCTTTGCGATTTCTACATTGTCTCTACGTCTCGTCTCTAATATGTGGATTCTGTCGCGCACACTGATTGGGTCAAGTACTCCTGCTTATCTCTGAGCTATTTATTCTACGCGTTCCTGTTCTTTCCCTACTGTGCCACTTGTTTTTTTGCTCCACCACTGATTCCCGTCCTTATCATCCAGAATCCACACAAGAAATCACCGGAACTCAGACACGGCATTTACTTCTGTAATTAATGGACCCAAGGTAACATCTCGTTCTCGGTTCGAGTCCCCTCATGTTCAATGACGTATATCAAAAAGAAACATTAGCGCAGACAACGATAGCTCCAGGCCCTCACAGACGAACAATGACCGTGTATCGGCGAAGGGAAAGGTATGATTACGTTCTGTCCCACTAATCTATCCATGTTCGTGGAGAAGACGCAACCCGCTTCTTTCATCATATGTATAATTCGCATTATTTTCTGCCCAGGATATGTTCCTCTCATTCTTTCTCCCTCCCTCTATACTCCGTACCAATTCGCTCACGTTTATCGCTTCCCACTCCACACCAAATCGCTCAAGTCTATCGCTTCTCGCTATGCCAGGTCCCTTACTATCCACCAATAGCTTGCTCCTTTCTGTGTCGGCATACGCCCCCGATGGCTCCCATCCCATTTTCGCCACTGTACGATCGGACTGGGAAGTCAATGTCGACTATCTGATACGCTGTAAGTCAGTTGGGCTCTGGATAATGTAACGAGATCTACCCTCGTTTACCGTGACACAATACAGGTCTAGTTAGGCATAATTGCCTTACTATCGTTCCGAAAGCGCAGACCCTCCCTCGAACGCACTGCTCCGCCCGGCCATCCTATTCGATCACATTTGCTTCGGTCCAACGCCAACCCCAGTACCGTCCGCGTCTAGGCCTGGATGAGAATAGTGAGGTTTGGACGGAGGATGGGTTTGGGCTCTTACGAAAAGTTCTAGTGGGGGAATGCGAGGGTCGAATCCACGGTCACTTCATTTTTCCTTGCTGGGGATGCCGTGGGGTCTGTGACAATGCGTATAGCCATCAAAGCTGCCTATACGGCATTATGAAGGTTGAGCAACAGTTCCTCCATCCTTCCTTCAATCACGCCGCTGTCCCTGAACTTTCTCACTTCACGTACAACATCAACGAGATTTGGCGCAATATTCCATTCGACAACCATCTTCGCCTCGCTCTCGTCTACCCACCTGGATATACACCCGACATCACTACATGGTACGATCACTTTCTCCCCATTGCAGTATTCACGACGGAGAAGGAGGAGGAACTCGTCGCCGCAGAGAATGCACGGAGGGGGTTGGTCAGCTTCGATCATCGTCGGCAGATGAGGAACCTCAGCAAAGAGTCAGAGGCAGAACGTTATACCGCTCTCTTAGCTCGTGAATTATCCAGACGTCTTGCTGAGCTGTGCCAAGCCAAATATTTCGAGCGTGTTTACCGTCGGTCCCTAAGGATGACGGGAGTTCTGTAACGGAGACTTTGCGGAGTGGTAAGTCTCATTTTCTTTTGGACCTTGCTGCACGGTCTGACAGTAACCAATCCCTTCTCAGGGTGATATCCGCCGGAGTCCGCATCTTCATTCCCTTCATATTAGACCGCTCGTTATACCTTTATCAGGGCCTATCTTCTTTCTTTTTTGTGTTCGTTGCTATTTGTGTTTCGATCTTCTGGATCATGCACCTATCCAATTCGTGATTCTCCACGCAAAAGGTCTCTCTTCTCGTTCTCATCCTTCCATCTTGATACTTGTATTCAGAGCAAGTTTGTTACCTTCTTATCTTGTAATTGATCCTTGGTTCTGCCTTTGTGTTCGCAAGGTTGTATCTTTGTCCACGGACTTTATCGTACTATACCTGGGCCACAGTGGCGTTCTCGTGATCTCGGAACGTAGTTTGCCGTGCTTTATGCAACTTAGCGTGAACCGATTTATACCTGGCAGTCCCTCTTGCTGAAATATTCATCCGTTCACTTTAGGCAACACATAAAACTGGTATGTTTGGCAGTACACACTTACACCAGGGCAGTACAGAGGCCGGCAGACAACTCTAGCCCAATCAACTAACACATATCTGATCGCGTTTCATCTGCGTATCAGGGAATTGTGGTACGAAACATGACAAAAGAAGGGAAAGCACGATGGTGGCCTGAGCATAACTGGTGAGGATATAACCATAACTATATGTTCGAGATGACGCAGAAAAAGAACGTTCGGTACATCTGATCGACACAAGGGACAGGATAAGTATAGCACTGACGTGTCTAGGATAGACAAAGACATTACCATTCTTCAATCGGCCAGGTGCCCGTATTCATTCCATTCCTCACAACGCGCAAACTCGGCTCCAAATCATACGGCGTGTCATACTCGACAGCTCTGACGGAAGAGCAGGGATGGTTTGCCGGGAAGGCGATCGCGACTTCATAGTACCTATCCAACCCGATGTGCTTCCATCCCACCCTCTCAGCCTCCACCTGAAACTCGTCGTTGCATACGTACTCTCCATTGGGAGAACCCGCCAGCTTGTTCGGTACGCGTAATATCGCCATGCTCTCCGAGACGTCTGACCCATCTCCGTACTCATCTTTATAGACAAACACAAGTGCGTACGTCCAGTCCGCCGCCATCGCCAGCATCTCCAACACCGCAAGACGGTGGGTTACCGGCATGAACTTTTGGTATACACGAAGGTCGCTGCCCACACGGACGCCGGGAATAGCACCGTTGTTGTCGACAAAATGGGTGTATGCGGTAAGCATAACGGTGGGATGGGGTGGGCACATCTTCACATCTAACCAGGCGATAATCTGACTCTTCTCCGAACTGTCTACGTCACTGGCAAAGCATGTCGCTCCGTATATTTTAACGGTGCGATCAACCTTTGCAAGGAGTTCGAGCTCGATGGATGTAGAGTTGTCAGTGTCGATGTCGTCGCTTCAGCATTGGGTCAGTCTCTCTTTTTTCATATCACATTCAGGATAAAACGTACTCAGATATGTCATCTTCTATCGATGAGACAGTGCTCGTTTCAGTCCCGTCATCTACCTCGTACAAATCTCCACCCATGGGATAGTCGCCCCCCGACGGAAATGGGTCTTGACTGGTGTGTTTGGTGCTGTTGGCATCGAAACGGTCGGCAACTTTACATATCCAGTCAAATTCTTTTAAATGTATGTCCTTGAGGTAGTGAGCCACTGAAAAGTGGTGGTGTGCGGGAATGAGTGGTTGAATAGTTTGAGATGGGACGGAAGGGGACTCCATGGTCGTCAGTAAAGATGATTGACTGACGTGGAGCACTAACTTAATACCAAACTGTCCATCAAGGCGGTGGTTCTTTTACGTCCAAAGTAGAGCCCCATACAATTGTTCGAATTTAGTCAAATTTAAAGTGGCAATATCATTCTTCAGTCTAGATTCTTTCATGTTTAGAATATGAGTGCTGTTGCGCCCCCAATTGGTTTGGAATCGTATAACAAGGATTCAGCAAAGTGCCCTAGACGTGCAGACAGCGAAGATCGGTTCGGCTCCGATGAATTGACAAAATGAGCGGCCAGAGTGGGCCAGAGGACCCCAGTTTGCTCACGTGAACAAGATAAGGTTTTCATTCGGTCATGATATTATCCACAAGATCCACGCCAGATAAATACTTCACCATGTAGCGCCAAAAGGAAATGTATGATTACGTCCTCCCCTCATGAATCTGGCCCAGATCACAGGAAGAACGTAACTAGCCTTGTCGCCAGGACATAAGAACCCTCCCACTCATTTGAAGTTCTCAGTCAAAGTTCTTGCCTACACTGCGTCTCTCAGTCCTTCTCCTCATAACCCATCATTCCCTCCCTACCCATGAGTATTCCTGCGATATCAACCAGCAGTCCGCTCCTCTCCACGTCTATGTATGGTCCGGGCGGAAAGCACCCCATCTTCCCTAAAGTGTCTCCCGGCTGGAGGATAGATAACAACTACCAGATTCGGTGTAAGCTCCAATATAACATGGACACCACACCTTCCCCGGAATGTTACTCATCAAATCGTGGCCCAGTTGTCATACAGGAAAATCACCTCACCATTCGCCTGGCCACCACCCGAGTCCCCAAAGCCTACGAAACCTCCCCTCCATTCTATTCGATTACCCTAACTGCGGCACAGCGTCAGACAGGACCCGCACCTCGGCTAGGAATTCAGGAGGAGAGCGAGATATGGGGAGAGGATGGGTTGGATCAGATGCATCGAGTGGTAATAGGCAAGTGTCTAGGGCAAGTACGGGGACACTTTATGTTCCCATGCTGGGCATGCGACGGGGTCTGTGACAGTGCCTGCGACCACCGGCTCTGTTCCTACGGCATCATGAAGGTCGATCGCGCCCTTCTCCATCCGCTTTTCAACCAAGCCAGCATCCCCGAACTCCCTCTGCTCGCCTTCCAGATGAACGAGTTCTGGCGCAGCATCCCCATCGAGCGACACCTGCGCCTTGCGATTGCCTACCCGCCCGGTTACCAGTGCGACATGACGACCTGGTATGAGTTCTATCCTCCCATCGCGGTCTTTATGACGGAGATGGAGGCAGAGTATGTGCGCGCGGAGCAACGACGGAGGGGATGGATCGTAGAAAATGACCGGGAGAGACAACAACGGCTCATGGAGGAGTCGCGCATGGAGCGACGTTTCGCGCATCATGCCCTCCGGCTTGCCAAAGTCATCGCCGAAGCCTGTCAGGCAGCATACCTGGAGCGCACCTATCGTCATTTCCTGCGGGCCGTAGGGGGGAGGGCGTGAGGAGGAGATGGTGAGGAGGAGGGTGAGCAGTCGACGCGCCATCTCTGGCTATAGACAGCCGGACATCGGATTGCCCCCTCAGCTCGTTATCGGACTCGGAATGTACCTTACGCTTTAACATCTCTTCCATATCCCACCGACAGTTTCCCTCGGCCTTCCTACTTCGTTTCTACCATCGCTTGTCTAGCTTGTCTTCGCTTGCCGATCCGCGTCCCACTTTCGTTTACTGATTTCCGATTCTTGTTTTCCTTTCTTGGACATTCACAGTTTCTCGCTGTCTCCTCACTCCCTACCTATCGTGTCTGTGTTCTCTGTTAGCTCTTCTTGGCTCGCAATCACATACTACTACCTTGTTTAATGCCAGTCAACGGGTACACGTCGTCCCGCCGATCCTCAAATCCTTGAAGAACGCGCCACTGTTACAGTGTTAGCTCCTCGGAGTCAGACCAGCCGACAGCGCCCGCTGCCCGGGGCGGGTCGGGACCAGAACCGGAATGCCACACAGGGGCAGCACCCGGGCGGGTGACGCGTCGCGGTAGTATGAACCCGACTCGCAGTGACACGGAATGAGCATGCAAGCGTCAGTTAGACTCAGGAGGAGAAAAAGGAAAAGGGTATGTATACAGTAGCTTACCTGGCGAGAAAACCCAGTTGAGCAATCCCACATAATCCTTCCCATCTCCGAGCCCATCGAAAAAGCAGAATGCACCGCACCTAGAACGAGACTTCCGAGGATACCTCCTCGCTACGCTACAGCGCCATCTGCTTCGCATAGTTCTCGCGTCGCGTGTCCTTGGATTCCGACAATTAGCCGGTCGCATGTGCCTAAGTCCCTCGGACAACTTGGATACGTTCCGGAGAACGATAATTCCGACCTATTCAAAAGCAAAATCGTGTGTTTTGTTTCAAACCGACGAGCGAGCAGTACAACTCTCGGGCTATATCGGGAAGAAGGATGCCGATTAGTGGTGGCAGCAGTAACCTGTGGCGCAATCGAATGGACAAAACATGGCATACCTAGAGGTATATCGGCCACACAAGAACTCCAAAAAGGAGTGGCTATGATGCTTAGGGAAAGCAAGAGTGACACCGTGCTTGAATTCCTCACCTGAGTAATTACACTTGATAATGTCGGCTCGTAGTGCACTGACTGAGCTGTATCGGCGCGACAATGAATCTGCAAGTGGCGTGAGAAATTTGCCTGCATAAATGTTTCGGTCCGCTGCGACCCTCAGAGCGGTTTAGGCGGAGTGCCAATTTGGGAACGGTGGCTACATTGACGAACATTTGAGTTATGGACCCGGTGAAGCTACATTATCCCCTGTTGTCCATATCTCTATTGACTCACGACCGAACTGTTGTTTGCTGTCTGACACTGTGCTACGTGGAACACGGCTCTGAAAGTCAAAATTCATATCGCACAAAAACACAACCGCGATTATCAACAAATGCCCTACGCCCCAGCATTCAGCGACGCATGAACAAAACATCCGATATATCATATCCCGAACCGGCACAATTCTCCCCCTCCCGGCAAAGCATACCAACACCCGAGCGATCATTATCGCACGTACCGCCGCCGGCTCTCCTATCTCCCGCTATCCTGCTTGCTCTCGCTCTTGCCGTCGACTGTCTTGTCAGCGCTGGAGCAATACAGAGAGCTGGTCTCGATGATCGTCTAAATTATATAGTTCGTCAGTGTCTATTCCCCTACTGTGATACTAGTACTCAGAAGCACTTACTTCGTCATTCGACAATTGATCATCATCAAGGACTGTCGGCATCGAGGGTGACGCTTCGAGCTGGGACCTGGTATGGTACGCATATTCGCAGGCCCTCTGAGCGCAAACCTCCGCGTCGAACATAGGAGGTGCTGGGTGCTGGACGAGGTGAGTGACCGTCGCAGATGTGTATCCCAAGGGGAAGAGCAAAAGAGCGCTGAGCATGTTTGCGTTTGGTATCGCAGCCCATTCGCGTTCGAGGGTGGAGTCGATGTAAGGAATGAAGTGCTGGTTTCGAGGATTCTGTGGGCGCGACACGAGGGTGAGTGGTACGCGAAGAAGACCTGCTTCTTGTGCGGGAGACGTAGCGGGATCGTCTGGATAACTGAAACAACGGAAGATTCCCCAGTCCTTCGTTGTAGCCAATTCTCTCCCGACTGCGATGCGGAGAAACGAACACTCGCGTTGGACAAAGATGTCCTTGTTGGTGAGTACACCCGGCTCCGTACCGTCTCGATCACGGCAGTGGGAAGTGATGGTGAACGAGAACGTCGCGATTCGGTGGTATTGAAGATACTTCCATTTTATGTTTTGAATCCTGCGGGATGCTGGATGATAGGTGGTGAACGCGTCAGTCCCGAGGATAAGAGACTGGTTGGCTGGAGCTGGTCGGGTATAAGGCAATGAACTAAACAGCACGTCCTGGGGTATGATTGGCACTGCGTATAGAAGGGATCGCCTTCCAGTCTTGCTAAGGCTGATGATGCTACTGAAACTAACGTTTTTATGTTTTGTTTCAGATCAGGGTATACTCAGCAAGGTTGCCCGTACACACCGTGAGAACCTCCGAATAATCATAGCCCCAGCATTGTGGTCCACCCCTTCTTCCACCTCCTGTTCCAACAATATCTCAACCGGCATGCGAGTAGTTCTGGGACTGCACAGACGAGAAAAGACTGGGATAACCATTGCAGGGTCTGTGGAAAGCAAGGAGAGGAGCTCGTCAAGCGACGCAGGCGAAACAAATTTCATAACGGGGATAAAATTGGGGTGAACAATATCCGGAGCGGCTACTCCTGTTCTCCCCCGAGATTGATAAATAGTGGTGCAAGATGAAGTTACGGCGTTGTCCGATATCCTTCTTTTCAATGTGTGGGAAGTGGGCAAAGGGTACTGGTTCTGGAAAGCGCCACATTACGTAGATTACGGATAATCAATTCGTGGATAAGACCCATTCAAGGGTCCAGGCGCTCATACTTGGCCATCTTTTGTGTGAGGAGAAGAAAAGACGTGTGTACCACATGCCCACCCTGAACCCATCGTCATGGTAGGTGTCGTCAAACATCCTCATCAGCAGCAGGCCTACATCGAGGCAACGGAATGGGAGAGCAAAGTAAACGAGGAGAGCATATTGCAAAACGTAAGGTCCATGGAAAGTATGACCCGATGACGGTCTTTTCAAGTCTCGAATGCGACAAAGATAGAAAGCAGTCAGCAGCGCGCAGTCTCAAAAGCAATGGAACAGTAATAGAAGGAGATAGGGAAAGACACCCAAGGTTCTGAAGCATGAGGAACAACTCTTCTAGTACTTCATGACCTTATAGGCGGTCACTTGGTTGAACAAGACAGGGACTTTGATCTGCGAAGACGGTAATGATGTATCAGTCAATCTTGGTCGGATGGTGCAATACTCAATAGTCTTACCGCTCGGTCGATATGGTTGCGGTTCGAACCCCCCATCACCTCACTCTTTACACGCCCCATTGTCCCACCTCCCTCGTGCTCCCCCGTTCCTGCCACCATCCCTGCAGTGCCTGTTTCTATTCCCGCATGATCATCATCTTCCAACGAAACCTCGTCGCCATTTATGAAGTACACAAAGTCACGGGCGGCATGGGAGAATTTGGGAGGGAAGGTGAGGGCGACTTGTAACTGGTTGGAGAGAGGGATAGTCGCGTCCCATTCTTTCTCGAGAACGGGAGAGAGGTCGGGGAAGACGGGACGACCGATTGGAACGCAGAAAGCGCTGGCGACAAAATCGCGACGGATACGTAGAATGCCGACAGAATTGCGGATGCGTTTGGGTATGTCACCATCAATGGGAATGACGTAGAAGTAGGATGAGATGTCGCGGTTGGCCATCCAAGTCGTTAAAGCAACTCGAAACCAGGTGTGGTTGTGATAGACGGTCATGTAACGCCCCGACGCTACCGCCGTCCATATGTCCTGCTCTAAGCTGCCATACCCGAGCGCGGTGGTAAGAAAGAAACTCGGTCGCGTTCCGAGCGACGAGCAGTGAAGATAATCAAGAAGTGAAATTTCGGGCTCGAGGACATAGGTGGATGTGACGACGAGTTCGTTAGGAACCTCCATGTTGTGCTGACAGGGTGAGAAAGCCGTCGACTTCTGAGTCCTGCTATAAGTACGCTCGAACACGATGCTACGGCGTTGTCCCGGTGTTAGGCTCCACGTGGTTGACCATTGGCCGCGATGACCACCAGATCAACACAACGAATATTGATGAAACCAACTGGGATACACACTAAATGTCACTAGGAGCATTCCATTGTGCACAAGCCGGTACCGTTCCTCAACCAGAAGGCAAAGAATTGCCCGTCGAGGTCTACACCGAACACGAGTTCGACTGGCATTTTCAATGTTTCCTCTCTCATAGGTTCACAGGCTAATGTGTCAGATCATTTTTGAAGCCCCGTCGTCTCGAGTGGTGATTACCTAACTCCGACAAAGCGGTTCCGTGTCTATCATCTACCTGTGTCCGACAACAACAAAGGCGTCAGTGTGGTGCTTCTTAGCAGGACGAGAATATACACGACCAATTTTATCATATGCGATGATGCAAAAACTATAGGTCAGATTCGAACTAAGCCTTCGACTGGGAATGACTGACTGATTCATTGCCCTGTGGATGTTTCTGAATGATATATCAGTGATATGTTGGGGTTCGACCACAGAGATGAAACATGGTAAAGAATGTGATTACCTTGTGGTGAGCAAAGGACACTGCCGACAGGTACCCAGGCCACCCGGTATAACCTCTCTTCGTCGCAAGTTGAAGTGACAATGAAGGGCCCTTTGTTCGCCCCCAAGTGTCGCAATCCGGGCCACCCATGGTTGAGTGGTCGGCGTCGCCCGAGCCCCTACTTACCTTTCCAAGTCCCACCTTCGCAGCCGTCTGCGCACCACTTTCTTTCTGTACATTTTGAGTATTTCATGTCCTTTCCATTTCTCGACTGTGTGTACAATGTCCCGGTATGCTTAAACATTATGGGCTCCCGGTGTTTCAGGTGGATCTGGTCAGAGTGTATTGATACCGACAGTTCTACTTACTGTGGCCCTCAGCGGCTTGGAACATCAAGATCATCTCAATGATTATATTATCTCCTCCGATTCACTCCGTGTGTTCCGCGTAGTGCCGAACGTCACAATCAGACCACATTTATCCATTCGCGCGAGCAAGATGAAACCAAATCGGATAGATTGATAACACTATCTTTGACTAGAGCTGAAGGGACCAGGTAAGGCCCAGCGGGCGATGATATAGACAGCTGAAACATAATATTCACAGCCATATGGAGACATGATTACTACATTGAGCTGCAGGACCCACCAGACCGAAGTGTGAACGGCAATGCTGACCGAGAATTAAAAACCGTTCAGGTGTGCCACGATGATCACGGACGGGCAATGGCTCTAAACAGTCACTTTATTGTAGCAGAGACAGTGTAGGGGAGCTTTTGGAAACAAGCAGTACCATATCGGCAGGCACGTCGTTAGCGGCGTATCTTCAGTTTGTGATGATCATGAAACGCTCAGGAAATGAACGTTTGTCGGTCAAACAGGCTACAGACAGGGGTCAATGGCCATGACCTCGAACTACCTCGAGGAACGTCTGATTCTGATTCCGACATCTCGAAATAGCTCTGTGAAGTTTGCAAGATTGCACCTGGATGCAGATGGAATGCCTTTAAGAAAGCAAATTGGTATCCTGAAGTCGGGCATTTTCTTGATCCGTGACCTCAAACGGAGACAGGAGAAGACAATTGTCGGAGTAGAATGTCTATGAACAGGGTGTTCGACCATCAGTCAGGTCTTGGCAATACCATAAACACTCAGTTTCATCCAACCCGAAATGTCATGAAAAGTCTTACGCAGACACCAAAAACCGCTCACGACCAAAAGCAGTGAGCCAGAAGCCCAAGCGCGCTCATTGTGCTGCTTTAGCGCCATCGATAGTGCGCAGGATCCTTCCGCACGACGTGCATCATACGCTCCAACAATAGAAGCAGGCACAATGCAGTCGTTCCTGCCGCACGACGACTGGCCCGGCACGCCGAGAGCAAAGACCTGAGGCGATGATGGACTGTGGACCAAGCAGAGACGAGTGTCATTCTTTAAAAACCGGTGGTCTAATTATGCGCTAGCGTGAACTCGTCTGCAAAATATTTTGTTCTGTTTCTCCCAGAAGCCTGGAACGAGTTTTCCTCGGTATTGAGCTCGGACGAGGAAACAGGTCATCATCGAAGTAGTCGAAACACTGAGGAGACTCGCGTGATTCTATAACGCGGAGCGAAAGAGAGATCTCACTCTTCACAGTCCTTAGAAAGGCACCACATAGGGCAAGATACCGCCGAGTTCAAACTGTCGTCCCCATGTATTGTTGTTTCGCCGCGTATGACGAAGCCCAGTGATTGGTAGAATTGAAGCTGAGTAATGGGTATGAGTATGCATATCTGGAGGAACGTGGTGGAAAAACCCTACCGCAGCATCGGTCTCGGTTTCGACTGTCATCGTAGTACCTAGGGCACCACCGCCTTGAGTTTGTGTCGCCTATTGAGAAGATAAATTAGTACAGATTCTGGCCAGGTAGTCATGCAACGAACTTTTGCATGACTCTCGACAGCATGCACTAAAGCATGCCCAACTCCGAGTCGTTGACAATCGTGGCGGACACCTATCAGTTGGAGCTGCCAAGCGTTGTGCTTCAGTTGTGGGTCTTGGAGCGACTCTGATGTGAATGCGGTATAAAATGGAAGAAACTTTGGAAGGTACAGTGGTCGTTAGTGGAGTCCGCTCATTATTCATCAGGAGACTGACCTTCGTCATCCACCATCCCGGAAGCTCAGGATGCTGTGTACCCAAATTCTTCATGAAGTCGTTGAATCCTACCTCGGCCTGCTCAGGTCTTCCAAAAAATAAGTCAATTATGTAGCACGCGTCCGCGGACTAGCAAAGAGCAATTTCATTCAAAGGTAAGGCCCTTCAGGAACACCGAGAACCTGTGATGGTGAAGAATAGATCTGAACAATGAACCGACGCGAGACAGATACGCAAGGGGGTGACAGGAATAAAATAAAAAACCGGATGTAGGGGGGGGGAGGGGGGCCCGGAGGGCCCTTAAACGCGAACTGTCCGGACATTATGGGAGGTCCTACGACAGCCATTTGGAGGGTTCTTGGGGCTCATATATGATTATCTTTATATACAGTGCTGGTAGAACTGTGCATAGAAGATGTTTTGAGTGTAAAAAGGATAATAATGAATAGTTTTAGGCTAGGTTAAGCTACGGTCGACGTCGGTCATCCCCTCCCCTAGCCTAGGTTAGGTTAAGCTACGGTCGACGTCGGTCATCCCCTCCCCTAGCCTAGGCTAGGTTAAGCTACGGTCGACGTCGGTCATCCCTCCTCTAGCCTTAGGCTAGGTTACACCAACATTCATCAAAGCAATGAGTTAATACCACAATAACCCTCCGTTTTCATCTTTTATGTTGTGTGAAAAGTATTAAATAAATCATTTTAAAATTATTTAAATATTCGAGGGGGGGAGGGGGGAGGGGGGTGAGGCCTTAAACGCGAAAGGTAAGATCCGGTACAGAATTTTACGCTTGCCACCCCCTTGCAGATACGAGAAGTACAGTCGGATGACCAGATGTTCGGTCACAATAGAACTAGTCTCACAAGGTACTTATAAGGAGCTACTCCGGGTCAGAAAGAGTCGCAAAGTTTAGGAGACACTGATGGAAACGCTGAACAAAAACATTAGAACGCGCCGCTGGACGAATCATTTCGGAGTTTGAACCGTTTGAGCCCCGCGTGCTGACGCAAAGTGTCCCGCATCCGGAATCTCGGCTCTGTTACCTTTGTGCCTGACCATCACCTGCTCCCCAGCAGCGAACGCTCTACGAACGATGTTCAAAGCTCGATTGATGTCCTTCTGCTCTGCTTCACCGAACCAACCTCATAACCATCATGTCAGGAATTCATGTTCGCCAACTGTCGCCCAATGAGGCCAACATCGGTAAGCATCTATCATATCTTTCTATTTTCCACATATTGAGGATTTCCGTCTGGTGTACACGCGTAGAGGTTACCTTACAATCTGCCATCGATGCGATGGGAGACGCGTTCAAGGGAGGAAAGTATGGTTCAGGTCATTATGAGGACCAATATCTGACTCTCGGGGCGTTCTAACAGATGTCTTCACCGAAATGACGGCTGGAAACGCAGACGCTTCCGTCCAGTCTCCTCTAGTCCGCGATCTTCACGCTGCGCAGATCCGGGCTGGTCTGATCGGAGGCCTTGTATATGTTGCTGAAGTCGAAGGTCGCGGCGTCGCTGGGGCAGCTGTTTGGTTTGGTCCAGGACAGGACCTGCTCAGCTCGTGAGTCTCTCTTTATTGTTGCTGGGAGGTGTCTTATTTGCCGTAGTTCTGAACGTCCAGACATACTAAGACTATGTCGTCGGGAGTCATTGAACTCGAGATGAGTGAACCCTTCCTGAAGAATCGTACGTGAACCACCACTTTTCGACCCTTACTATCTCATACAGATCGTCAATTAAACTTTTGCTCAGTTCATCAGGAAAGGTGCAAATCCCGCCTAGAGTACTAGAGGTCGCAAGAGGTTATAGAAGGACCCAGAGAGCCTTTTTCTTTTGCCGATGTCTAGGAGCATGGGCGATCGGTTGGTGGGAAAGAAATGGCAGTTGAAACGCATCATCCGCGTCGGTTGACGTTCATTTTATTTGCCAAGAGCAGCATGTCAGCGTACATACGAGTATGATTCACGCTGCATACAGCACACCTCTTCCTTCCTTCCTTCCTAAAGGTCACTTAAGCTTGCCCTAAAGTGAACGTGGAAGCTCGCTGGCGCGACGCGTCCTAACGCGTTTCCCTCAACAACTTACCTTCATCCCATTGCTCGTTCGTTGCTCGTTCGCATATGTCACCCTCCGCCTTCCCTGTCCAAACGCCACTTTCAACCCAAGCTAAACAGCCTCTCCGGTAGTGCCCTCAATAAGAGTTGGTCCAAGGTTGTACACGATGATATGGTGCGTGCTGGTCCGTGGTCAAGCGTACTATCATCTACTTATCATTCAGTTTCTAGCATAGCAAGTATGTTTCGTGACGAGGAACACGATGCACAAGCTGAGAACAGTGGTATTCGACACTTCAAAAATTGAACTGGTAAGCCCTATTCTTGTTAATTAGTTGCGTATCTCGTGCGTCGTATACCTTCGCTCCATCGCGTTCAGCGACGGCTTCCACTCAAGTCTCAAAGGTTAGCCTTGGTCAGCGCTTCAGCGCCCTATCGTTACCGTGGCGTGTTCTTGCGACCCTTCCCTCCCATTCTCGTTTACCGCGAACGACGGACACGTACTCCTCCATGTGTTCCGAACGTCCATCCGCACTTCTCCTTCACGACATCCTCCACCGCAGCCTCATCCCATTCGTCACACCCGCACAGTTCCTCGCATACTATATTCCCTCTTTGTTACTTCTCACACTCCCACATTTTTAAGTAACTTGTATGGCTCTTACTTTATCATAAATACACATGGATATATATAAGATGCCCCGTATCACCTTTCGGATGAGCTATGTAATAATGGAATACCCAAGGAATACCAGGCTAGGATACAATAGAGAAATGCGAACGAAAAAGAGCGCTCTCTTGTGCCAAGGCAAATGATCGGCGACTACGATCAAATGAAAGAAGAATGCTTTTGACGCGTCTTGGAGCTCTCTGGGAGGCTCTCAATAGAGGGGGTGTCTCTGGAGTCACTTGCCGGACTAGGAGCTCTTGCTAGAGCTAGCAAGAGCCTCTCAACTTTGCTGATGTTGTGCACCCATCTCCCGAGCGTACATCATGGAGAATAATTTTCCTCGCAATGTCTCTAGGGATCCTCTCCTCCGCCATCATAACATCTTGGCTTCTCCCGTCGCCCACTACTTTCTCTTCGCTATCCACACCATCCCCTGAAGACTTACCGCGTGTGAACGCCTACATCGGTCTCGACAGACTCCCTTTTCCGAAGTCGCTGAAGGGAAAGGAGATCCTCAACTTTCCACTAACAATCGGGCGTGTAACGTTTGACGATCCAAACTTCGTCATTCCCACCGAAACTCCTGACGTACCGTCACCCGAGGGCGTTGTCTTCCCCGATGTTCGCGAGATTCTCATATCATCGACCGTAAGCCTACGTCTAGAACCGTCACCCCGCCGCTGTTCATGTTGATTGTTCATCAAGATTTCTACCGTGGCAGAAGTCCGCGTCTTGGACTTTGGGATGGAGCGCTGCCATGTATCAATCATGCTCGCTAGGGTACCGTGAAAAAAGGCCGAATTAATAACTTGTGAATAAATCGGTGTTAATAACATGTTAATAACACGTTATTAACAAAGCTCTCTGGCTGGGGGTTTACGGCCATGTTAATAAATGTGGGGATGCCGAGCATCTGAATGATGGTTTGTGTCTGAATCTCGATGAGAGGCCCACGGTGGCTCTTTTTGCCAACTTTTTGCCAACTTTTCGCCCACTCTCGACTTGACCTGGCCTTGGCATAATCTCAACTTATCCTAACCTAACCCCCGCATCAACTCCGCATAGCCTCAACTTGTACTTAACTTGACCTTATCCTAACCTACCCTGCACTCCGAAGATTTTCTTCTCATTTCTCCGAGTCCAATGTGCAGGTAGTGACTTCGAAGTGGCAGGAAGTGCAGGGTAGGTTAAGGTAAGGTTAGGGGATGTTGAGGTCAAGAGTAGATTAGGGGTAAGTAACCCAGGATATTGGTGGGTAGGTTAGGAGAAGTCGAGGTTATATGAAGGCTAGTTCACGTTAAGGAGAGGTTCAGAAACAAATCTCGTACGTTCTTCTGCTCTACTCTATCATCCTTCGAGATTTTAACAGGCCTGATTTTATTAACATGTCCATAAAGCCGTTACTCACATGTTATTAACTCGGAATTTCACATCGTTATTAACACTGTGAAAAATGTGTTAATAAAGAGGCGAACACCTCGGTTGTTAATAACATGGGTGAGACTCGCCCCGGGAATTATTCACGGAACCCTAATGCTCGCGTCTACGGCAGCACCTTCGTCGAGCAATGATGGCGATCGTCTTATCAGCGATGAAGGTGCATCCATACAAGTATTCCGCTTGGAAGCAGAGCGTCCTCTGAACCTCATTCCGAACTCGAAGGTCGCCATGCCGCGTAGAAAGGAATCTTTAGGGGTGTTAGAGGCCGAGGTCGGCTCGGTCGTCAACACGACTGCATTTAACTGCACCTCTGGGTCTTTGGAGCAGTTTGAGCTCGTCTGTGCAACGCCGTCCTGTTATCTTAGGCTGCGGCAGGAGACCGGATCACAAGGTCTCGGTGAGCTTTAACGATCTCGAAATCAATCATGGATTGCTACTAATGACGGTTGTGTCGACAGGCGTGGTCGTAGTGCAGCTTCCGTCGCAGTAATATAGCTAGAAAAGGTCCCGCACAGCACGATCGTGTGCCGAATCACGTTAAGGTTGACTATGGGCATTGTCATTCCTCGGAATTTATCTACTCTACATGGCATACCGCTCTTCGCTCGAACCACTGGTCCCATTCACCCACTCGTCCCAATTCCTGTCCAAATCTTCCAACACAGCGGCCCAGTCCCTGCAACATGCGTCGCACCAACCCTCTCAACTTCAAAATCCCTCTCCAGCGGATCGAAGGGTTCCAAAGTTAAATCCGGATGGCACAACACCATCTCAACAGACGCACAAAGATCGTCAGCTACCACTGAATGCTCAGGATTGCGAGGCTTGATCGTGGATTCTCCCTCACCTGTCTAATATAGTTAAGGCAATGATGAGCATGGGCCAAAGACCCAAGCGGATGCTCCGGCTCCATGATAGCGAGGCGCAGAAGGCGCAAACAATGCAATTGATGGAACATCGATACACATAAAACACGGTGTGGCGATCCCATTCGGACGTAGCCTTGCCCTCGAGGTGACGTTGATGCCCAGTGGGCCAGAGCGTCCGGACCTTCGAGAGGATAGTTGAGGCTTTCCTCGACTGTCAGCAGGACAGGAGCGAGTTGTGGCATTGGGTAGTATTGAGGGCAGTCGTTACCGATGTATGCTGTGAAAATGTGAGTGTCCTAGATAAAGCGTCGTGCAGGCACAAAGGGGCTTACTGTATTCCCTAGACTTTTCTACAAAAGTAGCGGAATGGTATAGCTGGTATACCGTAGAAAAGACACTGGAAAAAAATGTCACCACGAAGACAAGAACCGGAGTGGTGAGATCAGAGCGCATCGTCTAGCTGTCGTCAAACGGAGAGGGTAAGGAACGGGAGACGATAGTGAATAGCTCGACAAAGCTGACGGACTAACATTAGACGTTTGTGCGCCTGATCTACCATTCGAAAGAGCATATGGCGGGGCCGCAAATTTGTCCTACGAATCCAGTCACGAGGGCCCGTTATCGGCCGGAGAATACAGTCGGTTTTTGTTTTATGATGGACACAAATAGGGGGAGTCAGAAGCAAACCTTGAGGCGTTAACGAGCACAAAGGCTTCGCTAAGAATGCCGGTGCGAACATTCAGACATCGGATAACAGCACACAGTCAATGCCCTGTCACCAATTATAACAGCCCGGATGTACTCTCGTAGCGAGAGTGGACTCACTGCTGAAAAGTCCACGAATCGAAATAGATTGGGACTCAGGGAAAGGACGCATGACTGAGACTAAGCAAGTCTTTACTTCGCGTCTGCGGCGGCGTAAACCACTCTCCAATCCTCGCATACGTGCATGACTGCCATCTCCACAGCATGTGGACCGACAGGGTCTCGCACATTCTCTAAATGCAGGTCAGAACGACATAACATCATCTGGGAGGGCGCAATGTGTCAGTCGTATTCCGAAATCGGACGTATATAGATAGGGGGAGTGAACTGACCTGGCGCAAATAGTTCATGCAATGCCTCACCAGGCCGTATGTAACATTCCCTCGCGGCCTCTCGCCTGTCTCGATGCGTGTATGCGAAATGACGATAGCTGCTCGAATAATGTCGAGGCAGCGCAGCTGGTGGAACATCGAAATGGTCTGCGGCTGTTCTCCCGAAGTAGTGAAGATCTTTCCACCGTCAGATGGGACGAGTTGAGCCCACTGCTGGATCCCTTCTTCGGTATCGAGCTGATAGTGAAGCGTGTCTTCGACAAACAACGCGACAGGTCGAAGAGGGCCTATGTTCCAATGACTTGATATCGACCTCGCTGACACAAAGGCAATTCAGCATATTTACTTGTAAGCTAAAGGTGAATCAATACTTACGTGCTGTATGAAAGGCTGGGTCCACAACCTGATGGGAAGTTGCCCACAAATTGGATACCATGGAAGCGAGTACGAGTCCGAGTGTGCAGCCCAGAACGATGAGAGAAGCTGTTTGTAACCGAGAGAGCATCAGGCCCGCCGAACAAACGAGGATATTCTCGAGCTGAAGACCACGGCAGATGGAGGTCTCGGTACAAATAGCAGCTCATGCGGGCGGTTCTACCTCGTTCGATATAAGCGGGGATATACCGCACAAACAAGAAGATCAACTACCATTTCAGGAACACGAGCGCCGTCCTCAAAATATGACCACGGGATGCATCCGTACTGCATGAGCACGTTGAGCGCGGGTGTCCATCACAGTGGTCGTTTATCAAGGTGGCGTCATGTGAGGAGGCATAGGCGAATGACGGTAATTTACTCTTGCATATACGACCATGGGGAGAGCGATTGAGCGACGATTAATAGAGCGCGCGACATTTTGCCTCTGCCGCACAAGAGAAAGGATGGAAGGGAATTAATTGAGTTCCAAAGGCGGAAAGAAATCAATAGTAAGACACCTCAGCTGGTAGCACGGATCAGCAAGAGCGTAGGCGTAGTTTTCTCTGACAAGAGCCAGGTTAAGCGATCTGCGTGCCACATGCATACTGGGTATCAAGAATATGCCACCGTACTCTGTGCAGAGAGATTAATCTCTTAGAGAGGTTACAAATTTACAGCCTCATCCGCATTCAAGATGAGTGTCGCATAGAACTTCATAATCTCCACGAACGAATCCATCAAAATCCCTATAGCAGGCAGCGGTTAGTCAACATGATCAACCACTGCAATCATCGATGTATGGGAGGAGACATACTTTCGTCGACTGTGTGCGCGAACTTATGCGCCGGGTTCGACCGATCAAAGTGGCGATATCTGAAAATATGTGGCGTCAAGTCCCAGTACCACCTCGTATCTGTAAATTGAACGACCACACGTGCGCAAATCAGCTCCATCATTCCTCTAAACACCCACAGTCGACAGAGAATTCGACTCGCCAGTACCACCGGTACCCATCCCTGGACTAACGACCAGCTTGTCCTCCTCGCTCCCACTTACGATCCCCCTATGGCCGTTGTATACCGCCCTGATCGTACCACTCAACAACCGCCAAGGTTCTGCGTCGTCGCCCGAACCAGCCGGTGTCCCAGGTGCAGGTTCTCGGGCTTTCCAGACACCGAACGCGTGAGAGAGGATGAGGGTTCCATAGGCGGGAGTGGACGGTGTGTAAACGGTGTCATTAAAGGCGGTGAAAGCGAGAGAGTACTGGCCAGCGAGGGAGAGCAGGCGAGAAAAGTCGTAGGATTCGGTTTCAGCGACAGAACTGGTTTGGCGGAGAGGTGTTACTGGTCAACATATGTGTGGCGGCGAACAAGACGAGTGTGGCGTCACCTACCTGTCTGTGGAGATCCTATGGTTCATGACTGCGTAAGCCCTTTCGGGTAACGCATTCGTCTTCACTCCTCCTCTGATGATATCAATGGCCTGCGTCGTCCCTAGCAGATTCTTGATCGCCTTATCCTCCAATACCACCTCTTCCAGTTCATTCAATGCTTTATCCGAACCCGCATCGGACGATTTGACGAGTTTGCGGAGCTTAGGATCGACGGAGGATGCGTGGGTGGATATGCACTGTAATGTGGAGTAGAGCGGGCTGGTTCGGGTGAGATGCACGGGGAAAGGGTCTGATTCCCAGGCGACGAGCATGGAGGAGAGCATGCCGATGCTCTGTCAAACCACATAGATCAGGGAAGAGCGTAACGGAAGTTTGGGTGAGATGTGCTTACCGTGTGGGGAGGCGGGACGGATGAGTGACCGCCTGGGGAGCTCAACTCCAATCGACTATCAAGGGCCGTGAGAAATGAGTTAGTTCGCTTTTTCGAGAAAGAAAGGTGGGCTAAAACGCGTACACGTCCATGTAGCCCTTCTCATTCGTACCAGGTATGGCGATCGTAGAGCCATACTTCGTCTCCCATTGACCTGAACGGTTATAGTCAGCATTTAAGACCTGGATTAGTGTCGGTATGATCCGAGTCACTCACCGCCCTCGTCAACGAGCATTGCAAATCCGTTTTTACCGAAGGTCTTCAATAGGTATTGTCCAAGATATTGCGCCCCCTGAAGAAGGCTTCGTTTCAACGAGGCTATTTGTGAAATGAAGGGTTAGATGAAGGAGAGACGTACATGAGCACCCATGATCTCTTCATCGAAACCAAGTGAGAGGACAATCGTGCGGCTAGGCTTGAATCCTTGCTCGATCAGTATCTCAAGGGTTGACCTATCATTCACCATGAGTTCTTTTCGCGGTCGAGGGGTAAATCGTGAGGTTAACTCACATCAAACCAATCAGATCTGTCTTGTCGTCGAGTGACCCTCTTCCCCACATGAATTCTCCTGAGTAACGTGAGGTGAATATTTTTAGGAGTAACACACGTTGAACGAAACGCACCATCGTAATAGCCTGCGTACGGTGGATAGGTCCACTCGCCGAAAGTTTCCGGATTGACCGGAACAACATCTGTAATAGGACGTGAGCTTGGTCAATCACGACATAGGGACTTTCGTGGCGCACCTTGATGCGCTGTCAGCAATATTGGCTTCAAGGAGCTGTCCGAGCCCTGCCAGTGGTACACGAGGCCGTAGGTGTTGACTTTCGTCAGACTGACTGTCGAGTGCCTACATGTAAAGCGATCAGAGAAGGTATAGAAGCGGGCGAGTGAGAAGGTACTCACACTTTGGGATAAGACGCCACAAGGTACTCATGGAACGCGTCGAACTGCTTCCATCGCTCGTCGGCCCCTACTGGTTGCATGTCGTCAAACGACTCCGTCCTGGTGAGTGTTTAAAATTTAGTGCTTGCACAAGAGAGTTCTCGCGAAGGACTCACTTCACTTGGATAGCTCCACTCAACTAACATGCCATGCGTTAGGACTTCCTCCGCCACAATCCGAGGCAACGATGATGCGTACCCAGTTCACCATCCTGGCCTTACCACCATCCGAGTCATACAGCGTATTCAACGTCTCGAGCAGAGTTTCGTGCACTGATGGATACAGCGCATTGAATTGTGGGCATGCCTCAGTTCCGGCGCCTGCGAAAGAGTCGAAGGCCCCCAGAAGAGCTGACGCTGGAGTTCCGATTGGCAAGGGAGCAGCGTAAAAGATGAATGATCCTCCAAGTGCTGCAGCAACAACGATTCCGAGGCGACGAAAGTGGTTCTTCACCAAGTTCTCGCGCCTTGTTCTAGTGGGGCTACTACGGCTCGGATTTCCCATGTTGGAACGCGAGCAGTTGGTACGCTGAGCGTTACCGCCCAGAGGAAGGTTTGTCGAAAGCCTTTTGAAGGAACGTAGAACCCGCACAAAACCGAGAACATCTCGGAAGAGGCTTCTACATATCGCTGATATCGTTGATTTGTCGTTGATGATAAGAAAGCATGACGTGGGGACATGCCAAGACCCTCTGATCCTAACAAGGACAAACAAGGCACCGGCTACCACCGAGGTTACAGTGTGCCTTGAGTGCGCCACACTGCCTGTGTTGCAGTACTTACTCTTGTTTCTTCCAGGGACTTGAACGGCACTATCTACATGCTGCATCCTGTGCTCGCAATAATCACCCTCAATCACTGACTTCTTGTGTGCTTTTAGGCATACGTCGTCCAAACGTCGTCGGGCGCATTCTCTGCAGATAGAGTGGGGGATCCGATGTTTGTATGCCCCTCTTTCACCGCACGACTTTGCCACGACAAAAACTCTTGACAGCTCATATCAGAGGAAATAGAAAATATGCAGAGCTTCTGGATAAAGAAGAGCTAGTACCCATACATACAAGTACAGAGGTGATGGTTCTACAGGACTTGTTGGTAGGGAGCTCATGTAAGTATATCAATCCGGAAAAGCGTTGTATAAATCTGGCAGGGACAGTGGTGAGAAATATTCATATGTATATAGTGCCCATGCACGGCGTTCAAATACGTACAGCCGGACTGTCCTCGATCTTATGCCACAGGGATGATATTCTACGTACTCTCCGAGGCACCAGTCTCCCGACGCAGCTGTCTCTGAGCTGTTACCCAATCGTCTTCTGGTATCCCAGTCCACTGAAAGCTCCATTTCTCAAGAATTACTTTTCTCCATCGCTCCAGCGCTTCTTCATTGTCACGATCTAAACCATCGCATTCCGCTCCATTGAATTCGTACATCAGACCGACATCGCGGGAGATAGAGACTACCTCGTTTGCGGCGGGTAGTCGAATGTCTTCATAGATCTTCATTGCCTCGGGAACGCGTTCTTTTGTGGTGGTAGGGTCTGCTAGGAGGCGACCAAGTAAATAGGCGTCCTGAAATCAACATATTCCGTATGAGTGCCATCCTCGTTGATGAGTTTCTGCGACTCACCTCCATCGCTTGGCCAGCACCTCCAGATACATGCGTGGTCATAGCATGTACCTGTAATCTTCTCAGCGACAGGACCCATATCATGTAACTGATTACTCACTGCATCTCCTATGAGTGCGACGTTACCCGAAGTGGATATTGGAAGGGAACTGCACACATGAATAGCCCATCGTGAAGTCGATTCATCCAAAGACTACAAAGATTTGATGTCTGATCATCAGCCCGAGTGGAAAAAGGAAGACAGTTTCTTGTACCTCAATCATCGCTTTGACTTGTGGCTCCCATGCCTTGTATAATTCAGCAACTTCTTCCTTTGGAGCATCACTGACCCATTTTCCACTGAAGGGCTTCCCCTCATTGTCGAGATTCGTGTCAAATGCGAGGAAATTGATTAATTTGCCGTTTGCAATCGGGTACGCGATAATATGCTTCCAAAAAAAATCGTAAATATATGGACTTGGAGGTATCTTGATTGATCTTACCTTTCCTTTGCCACTGTACTGAACAACATGGAGTTAGGATAAACGGTATGGTTCAGCAAGGTACGAGAGTTAACAGACATACACTGAATCCGACAGTGGCTTCTAGTACAGGATGGTCGGGACTAATCGCCCGAAGCTTGTGCGCTTGGATGAGGCTTCTGTAGACCATGGTACCGGACCACTGAGGCTCGATGACTTTTGTAAGGTCATCCGGGGAGGACAATGCGGAAGGAAGGTTTCCTTTACGGGCAAGGTCCTCGAATAGAAGTCGTCTGACGACGGAACGAACGCCATCAGCACCAACGAGGACGTCGGTCTCGTCCGTGGTACCGTCGGCGAACTGCAAGACATATCCTCCCTCGTCTCTGATGGCATACGACGTTAAGGCTTTGCCGGTATGAACCTTGCAGCGTGGTGGAATACGACTTTTCAACATGTCGACGAGTGTGCCACGGTGGAGAGGTATGGGAGAATCTGGTGACAAGAGCTCGAACTATGAGAAGACCTTCGTTGAGCGATCACAGAAATAGAGACGCACACGACGATATCAGTCGATTGATTTCGATACCCTTTTCCGGCTGGTCGCTTCTTCGAAAGATCATTGCCAGGTCTGAGGGAAATCAACGGTCAAGGTGAGCCATTAAAAATAGCATGACACGTACTTTCGCCCTCCGAAGGCCTAGCGATAGATCGCTTGTCCATTTCGTCGTCGAGATCAAGACGGCACATAACATCCCATGTGCGTTTCCAAACAGCCAGTCCAGCTCCGACGGTGCCGATCTCGGAGGAAGACTCATAGATATCAATAGGTATGTTGGAATATTTCCCCAATGTCACCGCGAGAGTGAGCCCGCTGATTCCCCCGCCACTGCAATGCACGTTGGAATGTAAACAGACGCGTACAGACAACAAGATGGGAAACACATACCAGATCGCTACTCTGAAGGTTTCAGACATAATTGCGGAGGACACCCACAGGACAGAACAAAGAGAGAAGCAAGCAGTGGGGATGGGGAAACCGCCCCATGCGCCGAAAGGCTTTGTAGCTTACGTTTGGCGCTAATTGGATATAATCAGAGATGTATTCATAGACGCTTAGCTTCTCGGGTTCAGCTGTATCCAAACGAGGAAGAGCATGAGATGGCAATCTTCCTTCTTACATATAACAGCAATATATTATCTACTTGTTCTGGATACTACAGGTATGTAGCTTCTCAACTGGGAATGGCATCGCATCTCGTTACTATATATGTCCTTGTGAGCACCGAAATTAGAGGAGCACAGTCCCTGCAGGACGCATACGAATGATAGATCACGAACATCGGACCATAAATAGGTCAAACTAGAGAATGAACGACCCATGAAACCTAACCGAACCAGCCAATTGTATCATGCTCTTATTCATTTGCGATCTTCTGTGTCGAAATCTCCCAATTCGAGGTTTTGATCCTTGGCGGTGATAAATATGAGTAAGCGCATTTGCAGCACTACCGACGAGGGAGGACTCACGGATCTCGAAGGCGCATCGCCAATCTGATCGATACCTACATGTATCTCCACCGTTCGAACCTTGTTATGAACAGGTTTAGTACGACGAAACGATCCAACAAGATGAGGAAGAGCATGAGTATCAAATGACTGACTTCGTTCGTCCCGTCCCTGTTATTTTGAAAAGCGCCGGTGGTGATTTGCCCCGTCGTAATTACGTCGGAAGAGAAAAGGCTTGCACGACCGTTCAGACTACACAAAGTAATCAACGCGGCTATCCACAACAGCTCGAGAGTAAATTAACGTACGAAGCCAGTAAAGAGTTGGAGTACACTTCAAGCATGATGGGTCAGATACCATGGACAGGAACGTTTTGTAGAAAGCTCACATCGCGCGCTATTGACGACGAAGAAGATGAATATAGCTAATAGAGGTACGATTAGACCTACTGCTGTCGAAGATTGGAAGCCAAAAAGGCTCACTGTTGCCGGACATCGCCGTGAGCTGTAATGTGAATGAATCACTATAATTTTAATATCATGGGTGTTTCTCACCAATATGACCATGAGGATCGCAGAAATACTGTGTTACGTCGAAGTCAGCCATATGGAGTGGACATCTGATGAAATCCCACGTACCTGGTGAGGAGTCCGGTTTCTTCGTACACGAATGCGTATCAGTGAGATTGGAAAAAAAAACAGAACAGTATCTTAAGAACCTAGCGTCCAGATGGTCAATTTATCCACCATCCTCTGAGTTCTAGGAGCCTTAGATCAGAGTCAGTCAACGATTGCTATATAAGTGGACTCACTGTCGAAACCTTGCCTTCTGCTTCGATAAATAAAAGCACAGACACACTGTGTTGAATGTGTCTATAGCTGCTCCGAGGGAGAAGTTGAACACGATGAGCCATTCATACTTCTTGATGAACAGCTGCAAATCCTCCAGCTTGTAGAGAATAACGCTCAGGGCTACTCCTGACGCTATGCGGCCCAGTATACCTATCCAGGCGAGAAGTGGTAACCAGATGCTGTGTGTCAAGCCGCGCAACCTCTTCGTGAAGAACAACTGTAAACGACGGTGAGATCAGTTTCGTCCCTTAGGTACAAGATCTTGATATAACTTACTTGAACGGCGGACGTGACAACCATAGCGATCGTCACGGAAAAGCTGATGGACCACAAGTCGTGAAGAGCTCCGAGGAAGTCTCCAAAGTGGATGATAGTAGCTCTGTAGATGAATGTGTAGATGAAGGTGATATGTGCAGTCTCCATAATCCTATGGCATCAGACGAGGATTAGGAATCAGACAGAAAACAAATGCAGTGGATACCTACAACACACAGTAGAGCTGTATGATGGATAGGTAATCAGCCATGACATGATATGGAGGACATGAAAATTCAACGTACGATAAGCTTTATGAACAAACTGTCCTTGAATCTCAGCTGGTAGTAATTATACACCTGCACGAGCATAGCACCGTAGAGTATTGAAGAGCAGAGAATTCCGAGCTCGATAGCACCCAGACTTTGTCCCAGTAACGAGTTCAAGGAAGACATGATAGAGTAGAGAGATCAAAAGGACACGAGTGCAGAGATCGTGAGGGTGGTGTCCACGACAATAGGTTTCCTTTATGTCGTCTATTTTCGACAATCAGTCCTAGCATTGTGATGGGAATGAATCGATGACTAATGGCAGTACCAGACGTCGTTAGAACGCATGATAATTTCCAACCCGCCCCAGTTCGAGAAAAGCCTTGTCATACTGGGACCAGGATTCGCCGACTGCTATGATGAAGAGAAATTTCTCCACATTGCGGAAATTGTATCTCTGGTTGAGGAGATTTGCGGATACGACTGATGGGAGGACTTGCCAGACTACTACACTTGGCTCAAAAATTGCACCGCGGGAAACGCCCAACGATCACAATAGGGGCCTCTAAGATCCGTTGATACTCCACTACTTAGTAATGGACTGAAGCTAAATCGAGGGCCTATCAGCTATCGCTCTCCGTAGACTTACAAAGAACGTATCAGGTAGAAAGATGCGAGGCTGATAGATGAGACTAAATGAAGCCCAGCGCATGATGGAACAAGTCAAAGGAGAAATTCACCATACTCTTATGTATATATGTGGGGAGAAAGACACCTAGATGGCATGCGACAGATGGAACAAATCACAATCATCCGCTGTGTATCTGTGGCCACCCGTATCATTTTCGGGGACGAGTGTGTGATGACTGCAGTCATAGATGCCACAAAGCTCTATTGATGAAAGATCTGGCTTTGAATCAGTCTCGGGAGGGTGATGATGAGAATAAGGCCTTTTTATAGCCACGCAGACATTTCCTCCCAAACCTCGCTCTCATGATTGTCCGAAATGGCTGTAATAGCCGGTGTGGAAAGAAGGGAATTTTGGATGCAGCCACAAAGTACACGAAATCCTCCTTCCGCAAGCAATTCGACAGATCTGTGGACGTCTGTGCATTTTAGGCGGATCAAAAGCATATATGACCGACGATAACGTCGCACAATGGCTCCATTGGTTTGATCATCGGAATGCTATGATCAATCACCAAGACCCTCCGCGGACTTGAGGCCAGACCCAAGGTAGAGGCATCCGTCTGGTTGCCCCCCGGTCGCTTTTTTCGCTGTGCCACTGGGCATGCATCGTCACCGTGGTATTCTGAATCAGCCTGTTGTCAGTTATGAGTAATCGAATATACGACCTTAAATTATATGAGGCACTAGCTTCTAAGTCTGTTGTGCTCAAGTGAACTCGTTCTAGCTGGACCGTCGACAGCAGAAGGAAACGGAAAGCGCAAGGATCAGTGGTCCTCCCGAACTCAATAATGCACAGCGTCCTTCCTCATCACAGCGGGCCGCGGTCGGAGCCTCCAACTGTGCTTCCATTCTGACTTTCATTGCACAAGCAATTGAGCACAGAACGCCAGCATAGGGTAGAGTGTTCCGTGTACTTGTTCCGTAAAGGGAGCGGTGATGACCGCGAGCAAGAGATCATCTCCACCACCCGCAATCGACACGCGCACTCTAAGCCCACGAAACAAAGCCAGAAGCGAAGACATGGGCGATGGGACTTCCCAGTAGACGACATCATGTCATATCTCAATAGAGATCAAGTCGGTGTTCTGTTGGATGCCAGAAGGCTTATGGCAGAAGGCGGGTTCCGTCTGCGGCTCGCTGCAGCCTACCGAAGACTACTGCGTGTCTCGGCTCCTTTTTCACACCTGAAGCGTATACAACGACCAAGGAAAGATGAACGGCGTGAACAGCAGGACCGTCCAATAGACGGTATGATATCGTGTCTCAATAGTTGACAGCGAGTCGGTAGTTCTCCGGGTGTGAGCAAATTTGTAGCAGAGCCCCACCTTCCAATTAGCGTCATGTTCACGGAAAATCTTCGCATCCATCGCGCATGAAGTGCGCATAGACAAGATGGTGTGACGGACAAAATGGGGCGTATTACCCAAAATCGCGATGAATTTGACGAACGGATAGGGTAACAATGTTGCTCAGAAGACGCAGCAGACATCGTTAGAGGAGCAGAGAGGCATTGTGTTTGGACTGAGGGATGGTCAGGAACAGGCTGGAGGCAGAGATCATGAAGATGAGAGACGGTAAGGCCGGTGCTGCTGACCCGAACGGACGCTGACGGCCCTTTGGAATCAGACCATCGTATGTCGCCACCGATTCCGCTGGAGAGAAGCGCATCCGAGTATCAACCAGTATTCGAGGAGATCAGACAAAGCACCGAGTACTGTGTTTTGCCAGAGGATGGCCAGAGTAGGACATCGACGAAAAAGGTTGGTTGGCGAGAACACAAAGAGGTCACAATGCATGTTCCTCCTTTCTGCCCTCGCAAAAACAAATCTTGGTTGTACTCTGTCGGAGAAGAATGCACCCACGAATTCTGAGCATAAAGGATGAAAAGAGCCATACTTGGATCCGTTTCTGCCTGTGCAGAAAAAAGGAACCGGCGTTGTGTCTGGGCCACAACGGCTGTGGCTATGCTACGCTTCTGAACAATGTGACTGAATTTGCCACTGCAATCAAGGTTTCCACCACCAACGTCTCTTGAGGCCTGAGGTTTGTTCCTCACCCCAATGCGGAATGACACCCGTGCGGATGTCTAAGCCCACGAAAAGTAATTCGAGCAGCAGGACCCCCCAGTAGACAGGATTATTGTATCATGCATTGATAGCTGACAGCAGGTCGGTGGTTCTGTTAGTGTCAGCGGACTTGTACCAGAACCGCACGTTCGAGTTTATAGTGATGTTCACGGAAAAGTTTAGTCGCAATCGCGTGCTTCAAGTGTGCATAGACAACACGATAGGATGAGCAAAACGGAACGTACCTGGACCGGACATCGCGATGAATTTGACGAAGGGGTAGAGTAGCGATGTTGTCGAGAAGATACTACAGATTTCAAAGTCCTAGGAGCCTACAAGCATCATGTTTAGACTGGAGCATAGTCGGGAACAAGGGTGGAGGCAGAGATCTTGAAGATGAGAAGGTAGCGCTGACGAGACCTCCCCATCAGATATCGCCACCGGTTCCGCTGAGGGCCAAAAAAGTGAGGCATATCCGTGTAGCGGTAAGAGCTTCAATAGGATGTCTGAGACGAGTAGTGAGTCAGGGCAGCCCAAGATTCGAGAAAGCTGCGGAGGACGATATCGACGAAAATGATGGTGGGTGGCGAGAAGAAAGAGAGGTGGGCCACAACGGCTGCGGCTGTGCTGCGGTTTGGAACAACGAATTTGCCATTCCTGGCAACCAAGCTTTCCACCACCAACCTCTCCTCGTCCTCATCTCTGCTCTCACTCTCATCGCTCGGCGCAGAAACTCGTTCTTTTAGATACCCACTCTCTTCAATCCGACAAGGAAACAACTCGACTTCGAACAAAATGAAGTCCCTCACGCTCGTTTTCACCCTCGCCGCCGTCGCGCTCTCCGCCTCCGCCTCCCTCTCCGACCTCTCCAGCTCAAACACCCATCGCGCCCTCCACAACCGTCTCTCCAACATCAAACCCGCCTCCAACCTCGAAGCAAATGCATCCGTCGCCAAGCCCCGTCGCCGCAAGCGCTCGCTCTGCGCCGCGATGAGCAGTAGCAGCGCCGCCGCGGCGGCTTCTACCTCTGCGAGCTCTTCGAGTGTGTGGACAAGCTCGAGCTCGAGCGTGTGGGTTGCGCCGACGACGACGAGTAGCTCGGATACGTGGACTAGTACGAGTAGTAGTGTGGCGGCGGCGAGTAGCAGTGCGAGTGCGAGCACGGATGCGGGTGGGAATACGTATACTGGCGATGGACATACCGTGCGTTATTCTCTTTTATATCAGCGGAGACTTCATGCTAATAGCTTGTATGTGTGCGTTGTGGACAGTTCTCGTTCTCTAACCAGTGCTCGTACGCTGTCGTCCCCGTCCTCGTCGACGTTAGCGGAACTTACGATAGCGGTGAGTAGTGCCCGTGTTTGACTACTCCCAATCCTCGCTCAACGCACCTTCTACGTGTAGCTTCTGGAACTACGCAGTGGAGCAGCACCTTGAACTCGCTGGCTGCTGGTGGTTCGTACAGCGCGACCGTTCCATCCACCGTACGTCTCGCTCCATTCTCATCTCGGTGCCACTGTGGCACCATCCCACTCAATCACCACCGTCCCCTTCTCCCCTCCCCTTCGGCACCTCTCCCATGAACCTCTCTACTCTTCCGTCCATCCCTCCCACCTTCAATCTCAATCTCACTCACATCCATCCTGTAGTGGAACGGCCGTCTCTTCGCGCAAGACTCCGCCTGCGGCTCCCTCGGCGAAGACTGCACGATGGGCGAATTCAACCTCGGCGCGGACAGCATCTACACGCCCAACTCGTGGGATGTGAGTATCATCCAGGGGTTCACGCAGAGTATGAGTATTGCGAGTGGGGGGAATACGGCGATTTGTACTAGTGCGAGCTGCACGGTGCGTTATTCTCCTTCATTCGTTGCTAGGTTGGAGTGGAGAGATGGGGTGGAGAGAGTTGTGTACTGATGGATCTTGGATTGGATGTGTGTAGTGCCCCGACGCGTACCCTGTTGGCGATATGACGGGTTGTGGAGACGATGCGCCCGTGAAGGCGACTAGCTCGGGTGATAAGACTTTCGATAGTACGTCCGTTTTCCTCTTATTCTCCTCCTTCCTCTCTCTCTTTCAACTTCCAGCAGTTCTTGTTCTTGTTGCTTTCGCGCTATCCCACTCAGTATCTTTCCAATGTGCTGCGCACAGCGTTATCACAAGTGTACTAACGCATACATCGTTCTAGTCGTCTTCTGCCCCTAAACGCCCCTATCCACGATCGACACTCACCACTCAAGCCCAAAATACTCCGTCTACCCCTCGAAGGGTAGTTCTCTTAAATCTCCATCCCCACCGCGGACTATGATCATACATCCTATAGACTGTTGTTTCGCTCCTACCGCCGCTGCTGTTGTTTTGCTCCCTGGTCGTTGGTATTTGTTGTCTGTCTGTCCGTCTCCCTAACTTGCCCTCCTCCCCGCTTTATAGTTGGCGTGTGCGTTTGTCTTCTTCTCCCTCTTTATACCTTCCATTATTCCTTGTTTGACTGGGTCGACTTCGTACGGACGATATATGTGTTTGCTTTTGTGTCGTGGTACCCCTTGCTGGTGCTGCGCTCCCCTGTCCTCCTTCCAGGCTACACTCTTTCGTGCACGACTTTCCCCGTGTTTCGTCCTTCTAGCTTACATCCCTCACCCCCTTTGATGGTGAAATATGTTCTGGTCTTCGTCTTCGCCCTACGCTGTTGCATTGTTCCACTATTACTTGGTGTTACTTGGTGATGCATACTTAAACATACGGCGCGTATATACCCTTGGTTTCCCATGTTGATGCTCGACGTTTCATCCTTGTTTGATTGGTTGGTTGGTTGGTCGCTTGGGTGATTGCATGCGCTTCTTCACGCTCGTTGGGCTGGAGAGAGCGATTGTGTGCGAAGCTCCGTCACCTGACCCTTGACTCTGGCTCTGGATTTGAATGAGTATGTCTCCATGTGAGGAAGATATTTGGATTAGGTCGGCACACAGCCGGTGGGTCTGCTGTCGTAACTTTTGGATGAGAGGCAAGTATGTACATTGGACTTCGGAACGGGGTGAATAGATGTGGCGTGTGGCGTATGGCGCGTGTCGTGAGCTTGTGATTGGCTGGGCTGGAGCTTCTGATCCTAACAAGGACAAACAAACGTCCCCCCGCTGCTATGACACGTCACGAATGTCTTTCTCCCTTGCGCAGTGCCTATCATCATCTCGAGCCCAACTGCCTTGGTTTGCGAACTTCCTCTTGTTGGTTGAATATCGGCTCTCGGCTCTCGATGGCGTTCGATGATGCCTCTCGTTGGCTCTTGTTGTATGCATACATCGACTCTTAGTGGCTCCCCTCTTGCTGTCAGTCCTCCCTTCGATGTTTCACAGGCCTACGAGTTTCTCCGTTTCTAGCGCGAGGTCAAAGTGTCCACCTGGCTGGTAGCGGGTTCCGTTCCTCGCCTTTCCTGGGCACTTGCGTGGGCGATCCCCGAGATGTACAAGTTGCGCTAGCTTGGTCCGCATCTGGTCCGAGTCGCACATCCTTGTTTGGTTTACTCATGCGTCATACATAGTGTTTATCTTGCTGTGTAGTAAAACTTGGCTTGAATTTTCTTTGATAGAACAGGTCTTTGATGTCAGGAAGGCCGAGGGCTTAGCCTTCGTCCCCTTTCCCGGGCTCTATAAACACCGGTCGTCGTGGCGGAGCATGGACGCCACTCTATGTAGAGCTGCCCCGGTTGGCAGCATGCCTGTCCCAGTGGTCATTCGAAATCGTAGCTGGACCCCTATTCATAATAATAGACCAGTATGTTCGAGCTCTGTCGAATGTGCTTCTTCTTTCGTGTCCGTCCTACACCCCTCCTCCATCGATGCCTCATCGGATGGTTGTGTCATTCAGTGTATAGTATGCTCTGTGTAGCGATACTGTGGTGGACTCTCTGGTGTAGCCGTTCCTGCCAAGAAAAACAAAGACGATCAATGACAGTGCCGGAATCGCAGGCTATGTAGGTTCATTCTACATCGTCAACTTGTTCTTTGTCTGGAAGTGACCGTGCCTACTGCATCTCCAAGTTTCAGAATCAGCCTTTGCCTGCTACTACGAAATATTTCGCTTCCGAAGGTTATCTCGTCACTTGTGTTGAGTCGTGATCTTGGGCGATAAGGACAAGCCTCTCGGTCGCCGTAGCACTTCGCTACCGTTTACCGACCCCTCTCGAGATAGACTCCTGGCCCTCGAAGCTTACTACCGGGGACATTCGGGAACATACACTTTTCTTTGCACCAATGGATCTGAATGGAAGCATCATCAGATATATACCTTCGGGACTCGCACCATAGAATATTTTTCATCGTCCGTTCTTCTCTGTTGTTCGTCATCGCAGACGTCCCGGTTTATGTCATCGATACCACTGGGTAGCTTTCAGCCCGAACTGGTCGAAGCCTAAGCATGGAACACTAATAAAAAGGCGGTCCACGACGGAGGATGCCTTCCCCTCTCTCTCTGGCCTGCAAACGGGACAGATATACTGTTTACACGCTTCATTTGGCCTTTACGATGATAGACGCGGCGTGGAGCCTCTACATGAATCGTTTCTTGTGCTCTGACCGTACTGGCGGTCTTTTTTTGTCGTACCTGTTGTTTATTTTACATGAGCATGCTTTTGAGGTGCCGCCGAAGGTATTGAACTCGCTGTTTCGCAGAGTCTTCTCCCCGGTGAAGTGTTCATCTTCCGTGTATTCACACATTTGAATTCCCCGTTTTAGTTCTCTTGCATACCGCTAGTCAAAGCGTATATCGACTCCGTCGTTCCCATGAGATTCTGCGAGGTGCTTCCCTCGCTATACTTTCTCTCTGTCGCCCACAGCGGTCGCTCTATTGGCATCTTTGCCAAAGCGACTCATTTGGGGCTATCTCACCAGGGTAAGAGCGCTCTACGCTGGTCGACATCAAGGGTCCATAATGATGTACGGCCCCTGCTCTGACATATCAGAACGGGACGCCCTCTGAGCCTGAGACGTCCCCCAAAATACCATCATTCCATTGACAGATCCAAGCAGGTTCCACTCGTCTTAGGACTTTCACCAGATGTTCTCGATCCATGTAACGAACCACCAGGAGATACATATCGTCACCGTGATACGAGCTTGTGTATGTGTATTCGAACACTCTCTTCATCGTCAGTATGCCACTGGTCTGATGCGCCGGCCAGTGTCAAGGATACGGTCATCATTTGACGTGCGGCTGTGCGCAATTGTTCGTGTCGTACTTTTAAACCTCCCATGCGAGGCTGGTTATGTGATTACTCGTAGTGGGACTGCTTCATGGTCGTGCGTTGCGAGAAATATGTGGCCCATGCAGACTCGAAAAATCCCAGTAGAAACATAATATTTAATCCGAGATCTGATACAAGTGGACACAATGAATACATAATGGGGAATATAGATACATTCAACCTCTTTGCGAATCAGGAAGCGAGTTCTGGCAGGGCCCCAACATTCCACCGCTACATATATGCTCCAGACTACATGTCGCACACTACGGTACCCCTCATGCCTTTTTATTCGTATTCTGCGAGCTGTCGGCTTGCTTACATCTCCACTTGTTCTACCTGCTGTTCAATCACTATCATCCGGTGTACCTCTTCATTGTGTCCATGAAGCAAGACAGCACTTCGACAGCGAGCCAACGCCGCGTCAGGTTCCCGCGGTAAGGTCATGAACTCGAGTCTCAGAAGTAGACGAGAGACCGTTACAATGACCATAGCCCAAACGACACTTTATTGTGTTACGTAGTTAGTGTTTGCAATAAATGTTTCTCGAACCATGAAGTAAGGCTTGAGCACTCACAAGAATCCAAGGGTCATATAAGCGGGCTAAAAGGCGCGGTCAGTGGTAGTGCTCGACGAGAGCTGTAGCACTCACATTTTGGAATGCGGACAGGACTAGGTTTATTAGTCGCAAAACTACGATAGTATACACCGTATGGGAGTACTCTGATTAGCGTGTAGCCGAATGAACCCCTACGAACCACGACGTACAGAAAAGGCCCTAGTGGTGACATGGACGAAATATTTCATCAGTGCATTCGATTGAGAAAACATAGCAGGCAAATGCTGACAAGGAAAAAGATACCGCCATCGCGTTGAACATCAGTAATGAGTTTGACCCCCCGGGACCGTGGCCTATCAGCGGCATTGAAGATGGTGAGGACGATGACCCAAATATCGAATGCGGTCTTTGAGTAGTCGTTAGCTGATCATAGAAAAACCATCTATCATAGATTCGGACACTCGCCTGTGAGACCCAAACACCGATCCATGTGGGAGGTTGACTTCCAATTATGCACATATGGAAGAAGGTAGCGTCATATGTGACACTATCTGGATAGTGACATCGGTCACCGTTGTTTGAATACAAGGCGGACATGAGTCTATGCACCTTTCATGACTACTAGGCTCTTGATACCTGAGGAGATTGTCCCTACAAAGGCAATAAAGAAGCCTCCGAGGAGAGCGTACAAGATCTTTCGGCGGTGATCCCATAGCGCATACACTCTAAGGATTAGAAGCACTTGAGTCATGATGTTAATAATATTTGATAAAAGTCCATTTGAAAACGAGTTACGGCTGGGGGACTACTGACCATTGGCTCCTGCAAGTGTCAGAATACAGGACACCGCAGTGTAGATGATCCATCCTTGGCAGCTGTTCAAAGTCACGATACAATGTTCTCAATCAGTAAATTAGCAGAATCATATATGAATTCACAAACAACTAAAACATAGTGGGTGAGCTTCATAAGACTTGATATGTCGTAGTAGATATAAGCATACATATTCGTTTCCTTTAGAGAGGCCACTCAAGGCTAATAAAAAGTAGATATGGTAGTGGAACATCGTCAAGAATAGCTCGCGCTCTAATGTCGATTTACTCACCGAATGCCGCAAAAATCTGCGAGCCAGCTACTATGTAGCGCGATAATAAAAACATTATCCTGGCATAGGTCCACGGTCGTCTGGACCAGATTAAATCGACCTCTTCTCCGAATGTGATGACATGATCGTAAAGCAAGATAACCAATGCAGTGGCTACCCAACATGCTTGTCAATACGGTCGGATTCCCAAGGAAAAATCCCAGAACAAAAGACGTACCAGCTAGATATCGTTCCGCCAAAACTGGGTGAATTTCTGCCAGGACCTCACCAATGATCTGAGCTTCAGTAATGTTCGAACTCATTCTGTAGACGCCGAGGGGCCTTCAAATCCTGTCAAGTGCGATATCGCAGGTTATGTAGCATAGCGATGTCTCGGACTGCCTTTATTCCCAGATAGTTGCGGTTCCTGAGTAGCTAGTTCAGCGCTCAATGGCGCACAGTTTTGAAACTCGAAATCGTAAAGAGATGGGATCATCTAACGACGTATCAAAAGGCTGTGCATGTCCTCCGCATGTACCTCTTGTACAATCAGCCAGTGCCAAAAAAATGCACTAGACGTCTACAAACAAAAAAAGAACCATCAGGGTCGTATCCGGGTCTGTATGCTTGGCACTGTTCTCCATCGTAGGGAATACTTGCAGCAAGGATGCCAAATATAGGTAGGCAATGCAAACGATAGTACCATAAACACTTTTCCGCGAAACATATGTCACTAAAACCATCATATAAGACAGGCATTGGGAAGTCTCGCAATAAAAGACAGTCTTCTCATTTATATACAAAAATATTGTTGACCATTTGCGTATATATATTATCCAGCATATGAACGAGATAGCGAAAAATCTGACTTCACCATCACAGCAAAGTGACTAAACAGCTGCGCAAGCATTCGTACAATCTGTTGAGATGAAGTGCTAGACGCTCCCCGAAAACCTTTTCCGTCCTCAGTAAGCGGTAGTCCGCGTTCGGCACTAGAAGAATGTAGTTCTCACCCATTGAGGCGAGAAGTCTTCTTTTCTATTTTCTGCATGTGCGGTGCTGATATGAGCCCGCAAGTACACACACCAAGGCTAAGGCTTTGCGCTCGCGCGCTGTGACGCCCCACAATTGATCCGAATGCCCCTTTCTGACAGCTCATACACTCTTGCACAATCTTGAGAACTTCAAAAATCACAGCCAAACCGAGTGGTCGAGTCAAGGTCGACTGATGTTCCAAAAAAGAAATAGAACTTGTTCTCCATTGCACGGATTTAGAGCACCGTGCGGCGCAACGATGGTGTGAGCGTCAATCGAATGCGACACAACGGCCACTCATATGCAACCGCTCGTTCTGCATTCCTGGGAGCATGTACTTCGGTGTTGAGCCCTCGACGATATTTCAGTAACTTAGCCGATCAAGCTCCTCCCGCAAACCGAGCTCGTCTTCAGTAGAGATCTTACGTTCCCAGGGATAGATTGCTAACTATGGCCTTCTCCTTCTTTGTCTATTCTTGAGAGTCTCGTATTAGCGCTATGGGCTAGCAATGGACTAATCAAACTGGAGGCAAGGTGATGGCCTTCAATGCGCTCTCCCACCCGCCATGGTCTCGACCAATTCTGATACCCCATTCGTCTAATCATTGTCACTGTAGTGCGTGACTGGCGCACCAAGGTTTCCATGCTTTAAACATGGAGAAATACCGGAGATGTTGCTGCAGTGTTAAATCCATTTTGGGCGCACTCGAGGAAGATGCATGTTCTCCGGAAAGCTGCGCACACACTACTAATGGGCCGCACTGACATCGTTTGACGCTTGCATGCAACCCTATTTTGATGATATATTCCGACGCCTCAGATAATTCATGCATCATTTATCAGAACATGGGTGGAGATATGATCCATATGTATTCAGGTAGAGTGTTCAACAAGAGCCCCGTTTCATTGCTCAGGGTGTTCATCAACAATACAATCGCCAAAGCTGTTTCGGTTAGCACGGGATCAGTCCACAACCGTCTCGAAGGGAAGCACGGGATGATCTTTGTCTTGGAATCCAAGCTATGTTTAGTGAACTTTCCCGCCCTCTCGACCATGCCACCTCACCTGGTCGTCCTTCTCCCGCATCTCACGCCTGTACTACCCACCCCCACTACCATTGCTTCTCTCCACCCCACTCGTAACTTCGTCGCTCTGTGCGTGCCATGCACACCATGGATTCCCCTCAGGCTGCGACCGAAGAAACACCAAAGAGAGACTGGCGTTTTTGGATGGTTTTTGTCTGCATTACCATCTCTATATTTCTGACTGCTCTCGAATTGGTGTGTTCTCCGCCTACTGATCCAAAACAGAAGTAATAGCACTGATATAATATGCATTGATAGTCGTCTGTCACGACTGCCCTTCCGGTCATTATCAACGAGCTACATGGCTCCGAATTCCTGTGGATCGGCTCAGCGTACACCTTGTGTTCTACTGCATTTATACCACTGAGCGGAGGGCTTGCACAAGTACGCCGCAACCCTATGTACTGACACACTCTATATTAATACTTACAAATAGGCATTTGGTCGCCGAGTCGTCATGCTCGGTTCCATTCTCTTTTTTGCCATTGGAAGCGCACTTTGCGGGGCATCTAGTAGTTTGAATTTTCTGATAGCAGCGAGAGGTAAGTGTCATGGTTTTTTTGTCTTGTTCTTCTGTATCTCATTGCACTTTTCGAATTGTAGCCGTTCAAGGTCTTGGCTCAGGTGGAATAGCTACCATGACCTACACGATTCTAGCAGACCTTGTTCCGCTGAAGGAGAGGGGCATGTTCAATGGTCTTATTGCTGTGTAAGTAGCGACGTCCATGATAATTCTAGTCTTGTTGTAGCTTGTTTCTACCACCCGTTTCTGGCAATTTACATTGTGCATTCTTTCTTAGTACATGGACCATTGCTGGAGGCATCGGTCCAGTCGTTGGTGGCACATTGGCGGAACGTGGGAAGTGGAGGTGGCTCTTTTGTACGTCACACTCTGTCGTGATCATCCTTCAATTATATAACACAGCACGCAGACCTTAATATTCCTATCTGTGGACTTGCGGGAGCAGTGTGTGCCTTGTTTCTCAATTTGCGAACACCAGAGGGAAACACTATTGATAAAATCAAACGGATGGACTGGACGTACGTTTTTCAACGACAATTTCATACACCATTTGTCCCCTCACCATCATGTCCTCTTATAGTGGAAATATTCTAGTTGTCGCTGCCACCACATCGACTGTTATTGCACTAACATGGGGCGGAATACAGTTTGAGTGGACGTCTGCTCACATCATCATCCCGCTGGTCCTCGGTCTTGTTGGACTAGCTTGTTTCTTTACTTTTGAGGCTATTGTGCCGAAGTCGCCAATCGTCCGTTAATCTTATTCGTATCCTGCGCAAATACATGCATTCTCATCACATCTCCCATCTAGGTTCCATTTCACCTGATGGCCACCAGAACCGGATTGAGCGGTTACTTGCAAACCTTTATTCAACCCGTCACCCTCCTTGGTGTCCTCTGTATGTCCGCTTCTTATCGCTGTGAAATACTAATATCTGATTATGATGTACATTTGTTTGCCTTCACTGTAATGAACATCAACATAGACTATCTTCCGGTGTACTATCAAGCCTGCAAGGATGCCTCGCCCATTGCCTCCGGGGTTGATGTCTTTGGCATCCCTTTCGTCACTGCTCCTTTTGCTGTCATTGTCGGTATCTCCATCACAAAATCATCCCGCTACCGCCCTCAGACATGGGTTTCTTGGTCACTTGCTATCATCGGCTTTGGCTTATTCAGCACCCTGAATGCTGAGACTTCACGTGGAAGGTCGATCGGGTTCCAGGTTGTGCTTGCCATGGGTCTCGGAATGTTAAATGCTACTACTTTCTTTCCGGTATTGGCGCCACTCCCTCCATCCTCAAATGGCCATGCACTAGCATTATTCACATTTCTGCGAAATTTCGCTCAGGTATGTGTTGCCAGTATGTGGCCTTCCTGCCTATTTTCTTCTAGTTCTTTGGTTGGTCTCTACTAAAATACATAAATATGTAGATCTGGGGTATCACTATTGGTGGCACAGTCCTTCAAAATGGACTCAAGTCCCGCCTTCCACCTGAGTTCATTGCTCAATTTCCCGAAGGCACCGCCGTTGCCTACTCTATCATACCGCTCATCCCATCATTGGAAGAGCCTCTTCGCACTGAAGTGCGCAATGCATTTGCTGGAAGCTTACAAACATTATGGCGAGTATCCATTGGTCTCTCCGGCCTTGGACTTCTTGTCAGCCTGGGTATGAAGGGCCTGCCCTTGCATACTGCTGTGGATATGAACTGGGGATTGAAGGAAGGAGAGGGTGCTGGTGTAGGGAGTGTTGAAGCTCTCAGAGTCAACGATGTTGCAATGAAAAATTTGGGAAGTAGTGTGGGTGAGGTGGTAGATGAATGATATGGAGGTTGATGCCTGTAGGCATTGGGTTTGAACATGGACTTCATATATTTTGCTCCTATTCTGACAGTTTCATGGTTGTCCACTGATTGCATCTCCAATATATATGTATGGTGTTTGAAAGCCTCAAAATCGTACAGAGCTCAACACTGACCGGTATCAGCAGATACTGTTGCATATGAACAGCCGGTCTTTCTATAATACGGTCATCTCCAACTTTCCGCTGTGTAATTATGACAAGACTCAAGTCTGTATTTTATTCCCTGTCCGAGAGAACCTGCATGGTCCACAGCTCTACAATGTGTGCATAAACATGTTCTACGTGAATTTCTGGATTTGAAGGTCTTTCTCTTTACAGAGAGGGTGACTAAACTAGGAGCAGAGACTCTGAACAGCATAATCATTCTCTCAGAATGCTGTGTGTACATGCGCTGATGATACATATGTTACAGGCTTTGATATCTTGGAGATGAAGTACGTGCCGCGAAAACTGATCTAATCTTTTCCGAATGTTGATATATAGCTCCTTGATCCTGATTCACCTCTCCATATCCATTTTTCGGATTCTATATATACATGAAGACACTGAAACATATTACACTCATCAAACTGACCGGCCACACATCGCCGCCTTTCTGTTCGAACATGTTTCGGCCGCATTGATTTGCCACATTCCTAGGTTAGCGCTCTTCTACTTTTGCTCTCGGTGGTCTCTACTTTGCTAGTATGGTTTGAATCGGTCTCGTTGTTCCCTTATATTAACCATCATTCTTTCAAAACCACACATGTTTATCCAAATGATTTATGCTCTAATCTCCCACTTCATCCTCCAGAATTTTGTATTCTTTGCAAGCCAAGTTCGCCGGCGTGGCATTTTAGGGAGCGCGCGCCACTCGGCACTGCCCGGAAGGAAAGGAAGATGTGGCGACGTTGTCTGCCCTTTTCCGATGCTGTCATGTTCGAACTCCTCCACCACAATCCCAGCATGACTCGACGACAGATATCCAATCCTTGGCTACTTTCTGATTCATCCTATTTAGAAGCCTCGAGTTGTGTAGAGTACAGTATATGAGTATCGACGGGAATACTCCCACGCGACCGTCCGTGCGGACTATTATGCGTGAATGCAGAGTTCTCGATGTGCGTTTCTCTTGCTTGTATGCAGCCTGCTGCAAGAGCTAATGAGTAGCGCGCAGTTTACGGGTATTGTTGCATTGGACATGAATGCGGTACCCGTTCCTGGTCCTTCGCGACTACTAGTTATGGTCCACGCATTCCTCTCTAATTGCGTCTTTTCCCTATCGCCACTGTCATTGGTTGCTTAATAATGTGTGCTGCTCGACGCGTAGCACCTAGACCTGATCGTAGCTCAACGGGATATCATGTCTCGCGAGTCGGCTGTCTATATCCGCCTTACCTTGACGCTGTTCGCACCCTGACACCCATTGCCTTTAAATTTCCCTCAGTCATGCTAGTCTCTCCCACCACACGACCCCTTGCTCCGAAATATCCGGCCATCCCGTAACCCTCCTCACTTCCACAGAATCTCCCTCTCCCTCATTCAACCTCCGTGTATGTCATCGGGTCTGTGCAACCTTCTTTATGCTGGGATTCGTGTTCGGAGATCTTGAGACGCATGTGGATGGTGTGTTGACCGAATACATTGTTAATTGAAGCTGGCGTGAGTTGTTCTTCCTCGAGAATGAGGGATTGATGCTAGGATACTGATGACTGACATTGTGCTTGTTTGATAGTCGGTAGCCTGATCGCTTCATTGGGTTCCGAAATGGAGCAGTATCAAGAGGCTTACTTACACACTGCCGTACGTTCCTCATTATGTCTCGTTAAGTATACTCCCGTTAGCGTCCGCCGACTAGGGTAAGGCACCTATGTCTGACCCACGGTGAATATATTCTCTACCTATAAATACAGTATGCTCGTCTGTGAGCCATGTTATACTTGCCACATGTGAGAGGACCCACCGGAAATGTCCTAATGAGAGGTCAGCTGTGATCAAATGCAGGCTTCGAGTCGGAAAGGTACCTACACTGGTACATCGTTCAATGTCGATACATCTCACCAATTCCTCACCAGGATTATGTACGTTGCATGACAGATAAGTATTGTGCATACAGTATCAAGCAGTCTGCATTCTAGTCCCGTCAAAAGCTATAATCCGTGTGCGGTGAAAATATTCCTAGTTTAACGAACCATACGAGGACGCACCTTGATCTGAAGCATCCAGAAGTCCGTTTTATGATACCTTGTATAGTAGATATAGCCTTGAATGATTGTAACTCCGTATATCCTACAAAACTAAGGGATGCAACTTCTTGCCTATGAAGTGGTGCTACCTACATAGTGCCAAGTAGGGTGCGGATCAGTTGGTATCCATAACTCCCCTCGATATCAATATGAGATAGTGGATGAGAGGACATGTGTAACGTTCGCGCAGAAGTGGACGTTGTGTGTCAAGAAGAGAACGCGGATGCAACTATAAGAGGGCGATCGTCGTGCTCCAGGAGTAGACAACCATGAACACTTGTACATTGACAAGTGAGACACTTGCTGACAAGAGGCAATACATGACGCCCGCTATAGGTTGTCTCCACCTCGGCCTCATACTGAATATGTGGCGTCGGTATGGTTCAGCAATCCAAGAACCCTGAGGAATAGTCTCCTTCCGTATACACCGTGCATGTCTCACATAATCGGAGTGACGATGGAACTGGGCCGATGCATGAGAGAATCGGGGTCGTGAAACACTCAGATGCGGTCAAAGTCTACGTTGCATCAGCGTGTTCAATTCAAAACCTTCGATGCATAATAAAAGCCGAAGGTCGTTATCCGCCACAGGGTAATTTGCCAGGAAACACGTCAATGCATGGGAAACTTGCCTGGAGGGAGACGAGAGACAAGAAGAGAGCTGAGAGCTGAGAGAGATAGATGCGGAAGGATGACATCCCTTTCCGATGCGCGCAAAGCAGAACTCGGAAGTGAACATGCGATACGAAACAACAGGAGCGGCACCAAGGATTGACCAAGAACATGGAAGCTTCAGAAATGACATGAATGGAATCCCTACCCTCAAGCTCGATACTCTCTTACTCCAGTAGTGTTAGTCTCTGAAGCAGATCTCATACTGATCCCTGTGCGAGTGGGTATGAATAGAGAACTCGAATCCAATGCCCCGAAGCCGAACGGCACCTCGGCACCTTCCGTTATCGGCAGGAATCGGCCAGCGTGGGCGGCTAATAGTCGTTCTTCTGCAACGCGGCGTTCGACCTCCCTGTACGATCCAACATGTCTCGCCGCATATTTTTCCCATATCTTTCGGGCACATATACACGGAACACGACTATGAATGTGTACAAGTAAGCAGATAAGTCTCAGCCGAACTCCTGCATCTGAATGCCTTCAGCAACACGGAGACGCCGCCGGTCACGGTGCAGGATGAATGCAGACCGTCGGCAGTGGGTTTTTTCTCTTGTACATTGTGTATGCATGAGCTGATATATAGTGCTGTATAAGTCGCAGGCCATGACTTGTTAGAACATTTCAGTCATTCGAAACCGCTGGCCCAAGTCTATGCGTCTTCCCAGCTGCGTTCACGCCTCAACCATGGTAGTAACGCATCTCTCCTGCGTTTCTGGACTCCACGTCTTCCTGAAACAAGACATAGTGTTTGCTCAGGGACAGTATCCTGGTCGCAAAGTCAGTCTTACCCTTCCCCATCAATTTCCCGGATTGTTTGGGTCCAGACCCTCGAATATATCACACTGATCTCAATGACGCGACAGTCTCCCCTCTGAACGCCTACCACCGGGTTTTCACTTGACCAACCACATCGCAGCCCGGATTCAGTCTCCTTTCCAGGTACGTCTTCCTTCACTTGTTCTTTTGGTGACATATATTTTGCTACGTCTTGAATCGGTGGCATTATTCCCTTCGGTCGACTATCATCTTCTCTTAAACCTTCACTCGTTTCTCCCACCTTCATGCCCCTGGTTTCCGCGTCATCTCTGAGTATCCTGAATTCTGATGGTTTCTTTCCCCCATAGGCTTCCCGCGCTCTCCGGTCACCATTGAAGACTTCTCCCAACCCCCAGTTCATCCAGTACTCCAGGCTCAATGTGCTATCGAGTCGCACTGCCGCTGTCCAGCCATCGACACTCCCGCTCAAGATCCCTTCAACGACACATTCCTCGTAGCCCCGGCTCCGCCATCTAGTCCCAACATGATCAATGCCATCTCCGTCATATTTGAAGAATGGTCCACTCCTTCACTTACCGTCGAGAGGGCGACGAAGCCGCTCCGCAAGACTCGATATACTTATTTGCAGAAGACGACATCGGAGCGACGGGAATTGGGCGAAGGATGAGCGCTTAGTGTGGCGCAAGCGCGCGCAGTGCTGAGGACTTCAGGACCGGGGCCACGTCGGTTCGTAGGAACGACTCTGATGGAAACTTGTTGTGGAGGTGAATATTGTCATGCGTGTTCTTTTTGTCCAGGCGAAATGTTGCTCACGGGAAGTAATGACGAGGAATATCAGGGAATATCAGGAGACTGAGGAAGTACACGTCGATCCCCCTCTCAAGGAGAAGTACACCTTGGGAGTTTTTCTAGGTACGGAACGGTTTGAAATTGTTGATGGGCAAAGCCTGACGAATTCCTTCCGTGACGTGAAAAGGCGATACAAAATTATCCGCTGATGCTCGAGGTATGCCACCGTTTCGCTCCTCACATTTATCTCTCCAATTCTCACCGGCCTCGAGTCGGTCCTCCATCTAACTATCCCTTGTTTCTCAGATGCTAGATGTGCGATGACACAAGTACTAGTGTGATACCGCCTAGACGGCATTGTATTTCATCGTTCTGTTCGAAAAAGGCCAGAACGCGATGCTCGCAGATGCTCGCGCTTCGCGCAACGAAAGAAAGCGGTTTTCACAGAGTCTTCCTTGTTTCACGTACGTATCGGGAGCACCGTTGATGATTGCGCCTGTGCACTCTTTGGTCTCCCAAATTCGGTTGAGAGATTTGTTCCAATTAGAGTCTATCGGGCCCGGAAGTTTCGATGGATTCGACTGCGCCTGCCAAACGTTCATCTCCGAACGTGGCAATCCTCGTGGCGCAATGAGCTTCATATTTCTTCTTCTCTCCATAGCATTCCTTTACCAAACAGAGGCTGGGACGTGCATTGCAATCATGGTGAAGCTAGAGCTTGCTAAAATTGATCCCAAGAAAAGTGTCTGTACATGGAAGGCCTGATGCAGCATCTCCATTTCCCCGCGTGGGACAGGCATGGCTCTGCTGATAGGCTTGTCAAATCGAATTTTCCGAGGTAAATCTATATCCGGGCGAAAGAGAACACTATTTCATCCATGTTTTGGCAATAGGTGGAGGATCGATCGCCAAGCCTCATATCTTCGCAGATACGCCGACCTAACTTAATCTCACTTGTTCTGAGCTTCTGTTGTAATCGACCTCCTCACCCTGGTGTGAGTTGTGCTGTTCTCCCTTTCGCTTTGTACTCCACCAGTTTTTCCAGTCTTATCACTCCAACAGCCATGACACGTCCTACTCTAATAAAGGCCCCTCTTCCGCTTGATTTCATCATTGTGGGTGGTGGTGAGTTCCGTTTATCTGCTACAGAAATCGTCGGTCCTGACCGCAAAATGTCACTACAGGCCTTGCTGGACTCGCCACCGCTCATGCGCTCTCCTCTTCTGGTCATCGTGTACGCGTCTTTGACAAGTCTCAGGGTACTCGAAAATGGGCGGCTGGGATCCGGCTTCCACCAAACGGAATGTTGGTGCTACTGAGATGGGGTGTAGCGGAGAAAGTGGTCGCGAAAAGTGTGAAGTGCATGATAACGGATTTCGTGGATAGTGAGTCTTTTTCAGCCCCTTGGGTCGCTCCCATACTCCTCCATCAGAGGGGTTCTCGACTTCCGCTGCACTTGCTCACGGAAGCTCTACGACGTGCGTAGTGGAGAGTGGAGAGTGTCTTGGGACTTTAGGGTGGCGAGAGGAGGTTATGAAAGAGCTTGGAGCACAGTTTTACATGATCTCGGTGCGTTTCGTCCATGTTGAATCTCACTTGAACTTCGTTGAAGCGTTTGAGCTCGGTCTTTCCTTTCAGCATTCCGACATACACGATATTCTCCGCGAACTCGCACTTTCCTCCGGTGCTGAGCTGCACTTCGACACCCCCGTCTCCCTCGTCAGCCCCGGGCCCAGCTCGTCTCAGGGAAAACCATACATTACGCTCAGCGATGGCCAGGTCATTCACGCAGACATCATCATAGGTGCAGACGGCGCCGACAGCATCGTTAGACCTATCGTCGACCCGATCTCCGACTCCGAAGTACGATCCCCCATGACGGTTTACGACGGATCAGTACTCGTCACGACGATGAAGGCAGATCATGACCTAAACTCGATTATTCAAGACCTCAAGATGCCGCACTGGTTGGGAACAGATTCTTGTGTTCTAAGTACGTATCTACCTTCTGACTCTGCCTCTCGTGAAGTATTGCGACGTTGACGAAAACTTATCTTGATCGCGCAGCATATCCGGTGGTAAGTTCACGCTTTCCATAACATTCTCCTGCCCCACTTTGAACATCCCTTCGGTATCTAGCGATCTGGTGAAGAATATAACGCCACTTTCTGGATTTCAGAGCCCATACCGGAAGGCGCCCCACAAGGTTGGGATACGCGTGTATCATCTCAAGAAGTCAAATACCCGACCGTCGAACCTCGGTAAGTACAATGTCTTGCGGTCGGAATTCCGAGCGCTCATCCGTCGACGACTCTCCTCGCTGCTTTATAGAATCGCGGCTCTTCTCGCCCATATACCAACTCTCACTCGGGTCCCTCGTTTCCGAAAGGAGCAGGCGTCGTCTTTTCTAGATGAGTCGAAGCGGATTGTATTGGTCGGCGAGGCAGCTCATCCTTTGCAGGTGCGTACACAACTTCACCAAACGCCCTCATAATTCGAAACTCATAATCTCCCTATCGTCCAACAGCCCTGCGGTATGCCAGTCCTAAGCGCCGTCCTCGAAGACGCCGCCGTCCTAGGCGTTCTCTTCTCCCGCCTTCGGAGCGACGACCAGATCACGCCACTTCTATACGGCTATGAAGACCTCCGCAAACCGCGGCGAAATACCCTGGTCGAAGTTGAAGACGCGAACCACCATATCATTATGATGCCGCCTGGGCCAGAGCGCGAGGTGCGGAACGCCGAGTGGAGGAGATGGAGGGAGGCGGAGGAGGCTAGGGGCGACGCGGAGGTCGAAGAGGGAGAGCTGAAGAGACAGTTTGATGAGATTTGTGTGATCTGGGGATACGATGCGATTGATGCGGCGGAGGATTGGTGGGTGAAGTGGGGGATGTTGAGGGAAAGCGCCCTGGGACTAGGTGGCGGAGTCTTGGATGGAACGGTGCGGATGGAGGTCGTAGGCGTTGTATAAGTGCTATGATTGACGAATGACAAATATGGTCGCAGTAGATAATCACTATACCCTGAACTTTAACGACAACCTTTTTGCAGGCGAACTGACTCCATCCTTGTGGCGCAGAAGGGAATATACGACTTTGCTTGTCACGTTTACCCAGCTCCCGCAACGAGATCGTATACCATATCATGATGATTTTGAATAGCCTGTATACACCGTCTGTTGGACAATCGTCTGTCCAAGAGTCCGCATTTGTAATAATCATAGCATGGAGCATCCAGAATATTTCGTAAGGACTCCAGATATGCGGCGAAGTACTACTCCCGTCAGGCTACCGCCACCCAACAGTATGTTCGGATGTCGATGGGCCCCACTGAACATGCGAGCGGCACGCCGTAATATCCACGCCTGAAGCAATATCGCATGGAATTCAGCGACCATGGACGGGTGAAGCCATATAGGCGGCATTGGATAGAGAAGCGACTCGGAGGGCATATGTACGCCAAAAAAGAGCACGCACGCCTGACCACATTCGCACGACCAATTTGGACCGAGCTACTTCATGTCGACCTGTCACCGATTCCCTTCGCTCCTCACATGGCCAACTGACAAACGTAGACTGAGAAGTAAAAAGATCGACCATAATGTCGCCATTTAAAAGCCGAGAATCGGAGTAGATTTGAACGGCCTGTCCAGAGGCCAAGGGAATAAGAACAAAGCAGAGATATGAGGAGGCATGGGCCCCCATCAAAAAGTGACCCCTCGGAGCGTTAACTTTCTCGGTCACTATGGGAGTCGTTGGGCTTCGACCGGACGCACTTCGAGTCTAGAATACTTTCAGAATAGTCGTCAGGAAACATGAACACGTCGACACACCCATACCTAAAGGGAGGCCACAGATCATTAGCGCGTGTCTTGACCAAGATGAGTATGCAAGAATATGGACAGCTACCGAGCCCAAATCGTGAAATGCGGAAAATCCAGACGTGGACATGAAGTCGACACGAGGTCAACTGGAATCCGACTCCGAGTCGGTCACTTCCACAGTGCTGGTGGCGATTGCACAGTTATTTATGAACCAAACACCTAGAAATCGAGAGCTACTGTTTGGGTAGGTGTCATGCGAAGATCAGTGCATGTAGAGGACTCCAATCAAGGCCAAATAAACCTACCTTTATCTCAGCCACGATGTTCCGTCATGCCCGTCTCTCCTGAGGCATCCCGTACTCTTTCCATACACACATCTCTTCCCACAAGACCCCACGACCCCGCCTCTCCAATCCAGCTCTAGTCATCCCCAGCCGCCACCTTGACAACGACCTTCCCCACATGTCCCCTCCCTGCCAAATATTCATACGCCTCCTTCGCATCCTCAAAGGCGAAGATCTTATCGATACATGGGTGGACTCTGACAGGTGATTCGGAGAGCCAGGCGGCCATGGAGCGAAAGCTGGGGCATGAGAAACGAGGATGAGCACAAGATCATACGCAAGACGAAGATGAAGATAAAGACGAGGAAAAGACGAATAAAGCATAACACGGGAATATACTTACTTCTCCGCACCGCCCATAACCACCCCTCTCAAACACACATTCTTCGCGATCGCCATGAGTGGGAGGGAGGCTAGATCCGCCGGTTCGTGCTGTTCGAGATTCAGCATTCAAAGGGTCAGACGAGTGGGGTGAGCCGCGCGGGCAGTCTTATCTGTATCATAGAACGGACGTACCCCGATGACACCAACCATCTGAATCCATCCTCCAAACTTCACCGCAGCTATAGACTTCATGATCGTCGACGCTCCTCCTATCTAGACCAGTACGAGCAGACCCACGTCACCAGTGGGAGCACACGATCAAACGGTATGAAGACTATCAGTCGGTATGTGCATATATATGCACAACATTGAACGCAAAAAGACTCACATCAACTACAACATCGACCCCCTCCCCACCCGTCATCTCCAATACCTTCTTATCCCACTCCGGCTCGGCAACATAGTTGATCCCGGTTACTTCTGTACCACCATTGTGGTCCGTCACGTTGCTAGCTTCAGAAAAGCCGTCCACAAGGGACACTGCTGTCCGTAGTTTGGACGTGGAGGATGACGTGAGGAAGATACGGGAGGCACCGAGGGCGCGGGCGAATTGGGCGACGAAACTGTTGTATAGAAGACACATGATGGTTAGCCGACAAATCGGAACGTACGGAAGAGAGGGAGGAAGCGTAAAAGATGGAAGGCACAGCGATGAGGAAGTGGCAGCGAGGGGATGGTATTAAGTCGACGAACGCCACATGGTGGGGGAGACGGCATCTTATCCCTGAGCGACGATATAAAAAAAAACACGTACATTGAAACACCACTCGTCCCTTGGATCACTATACTCTGGCCTTTCTTGAACGGGACAGGACCGTGGAGCGCGCTATAGGCCGTTAGGCCTGCGCATCTGTGAAGGGCAGTCATGCGAGTTAGTGGTTTCGTTGTTCATCGCGTTATCGCACGTAAGAAGGGCGAATAGGCGACAAAGGAATGCGAGATAGGGTATTGGCCAGAGCTCAGTATAGTTATAATGGAAGTATGGTAGGAGAGCATAAGGTGGAGAGGGGAATGGAGTGGGAATAGCGGATGTATGAAGAGCGCAGTAGCTATAAAGAAGGGAAAATATTCGCTGAAGGAATAAATAACGCGATCCGGAGGGAAAAGAGATGCGAAAAGGAGGAGAAAATGGGGAAACAGAATAGCGCGGAGAGGACGTACGGAAGAGTGCAAGCCTCTTCATACGACATCCACTCCGGGATCCGTATCAAGCGATCTGGCTACGCATGATCAGATGAGCTGAATGTCAATTACCAGGATTCCAGTCTCAATCCTCAATGGCGAGGATGAACGACTCACGTCAGCTTCAAAAACAACGTACTCCTTCAACACACCATCAACATGCGCCCCTAGATCTCCGAACACGAATCCAGGTATGGCGAAATTGGCGCAAATACGATCTCCGACGTGGAGGTTGAAGAACGGAGGGAGAGATTCCGGAGGAGAGCCGAGCGCTATGATTTGTCCCGACATGTCGGAGCAAGGAGTAATGTTCGGGGAGAGACTAGTGGGAGAATCATGGAAGGGGATATGGTTAGGTTGGGAGATCTCATGCGTACTGAATCCGATGCAAGCAGAAGACTCACGGGACAGGGTATTGGCCATTAGCGACTACAAGGTCTCGTTGCTACACGTCCGTTCGCACAGATACATGAGATAGTGACGATAGTAGCAACATAAGAAAAAGACGCACCTGGAGAGAAACGGCATAGACCTCGACCAAAACCTGCAAAGGACCAGGAATGGGCGTCGGCACCTCCTTCATTTCCAGCGCATGGATACCAGTGAACTGTGATCCATTCCACAGCTCATGTAAATGCAAACGCGGGCACACTGACTAGGAGATGATTCTCACCTCTGAGAGTCTGTATTCTTGCATGGTCGCCATCGTGAAAAGGGGTATTCAACTTGAGTCCGAAAAATCATCGATACGCATATATACTGGTTGGGGTTCGTGAGTAGAGTGGATCAGGCTTCAGGCTTCAGGAGACGGTGGAGGTGGATATGCGTCGCTGACTCATGCTGAGATCGTGCAGGAGGCTGCAGGAGGACGATGTGGCCCAGTTCGTGTAAGTTATTCCGGAGAGTGCCGAGTGGCGTTGCTTTCGTGGTTTCCGAAACGCCATGACGGCTCTTTTCCTTGTCTGTCCCTCTCTTGAGTCTTAGCTCCAGTATCTGTCAATCTTTCAGTGGGCTGCGTTGTAAGTGGTGAGTATGATGCTCCTACTGGGGAGAAATAAACTGGAAGTGGGTAGGAGGTGACGTGGCTCGTTTTGCATTGTTCATTGGCCTAGTAGCAAGCAGTGCATTGGAGTCACTGGTGATCTCCGTGGTACCTATTTTTTCCCGCTCTAATTGGACTATGATTCCGAATTGCATGAAGGAATTTACACAAAACGAAATACTTGATCCTCCATACAATTCGGATGCGTGTCTACCTTGAACACTCGATCTTCACCCACAGAATAAGTATACTTCCCACGTATCCCATTGTTTGCCTTGCCGGTGTTCCAAAGGTCGGAAGGAGGTTCTCTCACAAGCGTGGCTAAATTCCAACGATATATGCGAAGGGACGAAGGAGAGACGCGGGCACAGGAAGTTAATGCTAGAACTTCGCTCTTATGCAAGGCCTTGCGGCAAAGCGACCGGCGATGGCGAAGACCGTACCGAGTGCGATCGTGCCTCCTACGAAGCACTGCAACCCGATATACGATCCCTTGGTGGCTGAGATCAGCGCTATATTCATGTATTCGTTAGCGTAGGATAAAATGGGCGCAATATGTGAAGAAAGCTCTCGTGAGATTGTGGATATGAAAGAGAACACATAACTGTGTAAGTACTCACCGCCACCGATGGATGGCCCAGTCAAAATTCCCGGAGCCATCGCTGTCCTAAATGAATCGTATTAAACCAATGAAATGAGTTCGCAATTGAGGCGGAGGCTGGATTAACGGGCTAACATTAAGATTCCGACGCGAGCGCCAATATACGAAGGGTTGGATGTCAGCTGCGCAGAGCATGCGGGCGCCAGCGACATATACGCAGCTGAATATAATTGTCTATCAGTTCATAGGCTCACTTGTAACTAAAAAAAAATAGAGAAATGCACCAGCTGTAAACCCGAAACTGTGAACGCGAGGATATATCAGCTGGTTATGAATGACGCGTTCGAGATTGGAGGAAATACGTACACGATCGCAAAGGCAATCAACTCTCCCGCAGCATGCGAGGTGGTCCAAATCGCTAACGGGGCGATGGTGGCCAATATCAACGTGAATATCATGACGTTGAAACGGCCGAGCTATAGTCGTCCGGATGAGTACGTAGTAATTGGAAGATAGATGGCAGAGTGGACGAGATGGGCAGAGACTGACGGCGTCACCGAGTTGTCCCAAAATTATACGCCCAAAAATAGCAGAGGCGTTCATGATCGAGATCAAGTAAAATGAAAGTCTCGCGTTCACTCCTTAGAGTGGCGTATAAAGGCCTATCAAAAAGAATAACGCAGGCGTAAGGCCGGTGAACGGCAGGTCCCGCTACTTTGGAAAATGCCCACGAAAACAGTCAAGTTCCTCACAATTATCTAAGCGCTGAACAGGGCCACGCGAGCTCGTCCCCGGAACTGTGGGGGAGATTTCGGCCCCACAGTTCCGGGGACGGATTTCGTACTCCGCTCAAGTCAGGTTTGCGCGAGATAAGATTAGATTTCGCGGCAGGCTTGCAGGAAGGGATGTACGAAACGAGTTCTAAAGACGAGTCGTCATCGAGCACAACGATGCATCACATCGAGAGAGAAAGAAGACATATTGAAAACAGACAGCAAACCTCAGGTTCACGTACTGCTGAGGAAATGATGGATTGGCTCATCTCAGTGCGGATGAGCTTCTTCATGTCTTGCAAAGTCAGTCCAAGAGGCATGAACAGGAACGGAGGATTTTATTCGAAGCCAAATGAGAAAGAAGAGAAATAAACGGTGAAACTTCTAAACATGAGCACAGCATGTGCATTTTGACACCCAACAACAAGGACAACCCGTGGCAGACAAGATGAAGAAAGACCGGAATGAGAACATGGCTAAAGTCGTACGAGCCTATTGGTAAGAGGAATAAGGGAAGGCCAACGACGACTACTTACGGGCCTTTTTGTTGGCGGGGGTAATGGTGAATCCAGAGAAAGAGGACTTCGACTTCGAGGGAGTGGCGGTGTTAGAAGGGTCAACGCGAGGAACGGGAAGGGAGGGCAGGTCACGAAAGTCCGCGGGTTCGTCGGATGAAGCGATGATCTTGACGCTATGAGCATGAACCTGATATACCTGCCAAAGTAATCAATGAATCAGTAGGAGTACTCAACAATACAACAGAGACTGACCTTATTGGCGCCACCAAAGATCCAGCAATGAAGGCTCGCATTGATGAGCACAAGGGTACCTGGCTTCAACTGCTCGTAGTAATTGAAGGGCGGTACAAGATTCCCGTCCATGCCTTGGACATCGTGCTGCGCTAACTTCGCTCTATTGAGACCGAAGAAGTCGCCGCCGAAGTCGTAGAGCAGATGGGGGTCGTAGAAAGCGCCGAGTTTGATTTCGGTATCTGTCATTCGAGTGAGTCAACATCAGAACGACCAGTAGAAATGACTCCGAGAGCACACATACCACTGGAGGCTGAGGCCGTCCCAGAGTCGGGGCCATGGTCATCAACGTCGTCAAGGTTGACCGCAGGTCGCTTACGGGTGATGCGCGGGGCGGTAGCAGTCTTGACAGCGGGACCTTTTTTAGGCTCCGGAGGAACCTATGCCAACGGAAGCAAAATGTGCCGTGGATGAACAAGACGACGAACAGATAAAGGGGGTGAAAACACGATGGGAGAACTCACCACGTATTTGAGAGGCATATGGACGGAGATGAGGTCCAATGGCTGCGTGATATCGTTTGGCGCAGACGAGCGCAGCCATTCCTTCACGAAGACTTTCTATTAGAGCGAAGCAGATAATGTCAGTGCAGCGGACGACATAAGATACCAAAGAATAAGAACCTTTTTCTGCGCCTGTTCCTCCGCTTCGTCAGCCTCACGGATCTCGTTAAGGGCGCCGATTTGATGTTCAAAGATTTCGGTGAGAGCGCGAGTGGAGAGGGAGGGCTTGCGAAGGACGAGGATGTCTTTGACCTTGTCTTTGTCAGACATAGGCTAAATAAAGAAAATACTGTTAGAAAAAGAGTGAACCGAAAGAATTAGGGGATGTATACGCACCGTAGGCGGATCGTTAGGTGCGAACCAGTTCCCCCTCGCAGAAAGAACAGTACCCATCGCAAGGGGAACAATCTCGCCGATGATATTGAAGCGCGCCTCAACGTCTTCAGCTCCGGGTTCATGATAGAACACGTTACCCTTCTCGGACATCCCACTAACAAAATCCTCTCCGAGAACAGCACTAGCCAGCGCCTGGGCTCCCATCTTCTTCATCTGCGCCGCGCACTCGTCGTAGATGCCATCGTCGACACGTTTCTGGTCCCAGGAGACTGGAATCTTGCGGGGAGGCATAATGGTAAGGTGGCCAGTCGATTCGATAACGAGGAGAGAAGGGAAGATGCTCGGCGAGTGAGGAATTGCTGTGGTCGAAGGGCCATATTTATACTCTCAGTGTAGCGCAGTCTCTCTCGTTGTGCACTGTGACTGCTGCAGTCTTCAGGCCTGACATGGATCAGGATAAAGATTTGGCCATCCTATGAGAGACACGTACCTAGCGTTGGCCACGGGCGATCAGCTTGGACGTGCTGGGCGGTGTATACGTGGGCGTTTTGCGGGCAAGCAGGAGTCGTGCCCGACGCCGGTACCTTGTGGTCGCTTGGACGGGATGTGGACATTGGACGGGTTGCTATTCATCCGTGAGTGATCCCCATCGCGCAATGTGGTCGATATTACTGTCGTCGTAGCCGCTGTCAAGGATGTACTGGGGAGCGGAGGGCGATGTTTATCCCGCCTGATGCGTGGACGTTGGGCGGCCTGGTTGTTTCCTTTTTTGGAACGGCCCTTCCGATTAGCCTCCGTTCGTTGCTGTGGCGGAGCTCGTCCGATCCCTCTCTGCAGGCGTTCCAATAGCCCATTTGGATGATGAGCGGTATCTGTCAATGCTATGCTGTTGTCTGTTCTGTCTGTCTCTATGTCTTCATTCATTGCCCTCAATTGTCCCTCAGCTTGAAGTGTTTCATCTGCAGTTCCGTGTGCGGCTATAGTATGCAAGCGTAGACAGCCTAATCGTTTCATTTCATCTCGAGTTTCTTCGGACTGCCGGCTGCAGATTTTTGACCGCGTAAAAGGACGAAGAATTAAAAGGCCCGATAATGACGTTGCACGCGATACCATAACATACGGGCTTTCGGTCCCTCGGCAACTCTCAATATCCACCACAACGTGCACGAGTGACTTGCCTTGCGCTTTATGAGCTGTGAATGCGAATGCTGGGGCTATTGGTACTTGTGTACGCCTGATTCGACACCGTCTTCCCGAGAATGGGTGGGTAAATACCATGTCTGTTGTGTCCTCTAAGACTGCAACGTGATGTTCCGGTAATAATGGTAGTTTTTCGTCTGTTGAGTCCAGTACTTCTACTACACATGATCGCAAATGCCGATCACCTTGTTCATCCACATAAAATCGTATTTTCTTCAGAATACCTGTGCTTCCATTTACTATGCCACCATCAACATCAAAGTTATGTGAGATCACCACCGGCATCCCGATCACCAGAGGAATCTTTCCAAGTCGCTGGCTTGTTTGTCCAGAATCAAGATCTTGCAGTTTCTTCTTCAAGTCAGGATCGGTCAAAATAACACCGCTCCGCCTATCTGTTGAATAATACCAATGGAGTGCTTTGCCTGTTCGTTGAGCAAATGCAATTGTGGCCTTCACGTTCAGAGCATCCTTCACTGCATTATTAGATACAATAATAGGTACCCCATTCCATTCTTCAGCTGTTGCATCAATATCTGTTCGACTGATAATGCGACTGTTCAAAATGTTGAAGTCTTCATCATTGCATTTACCCTCCCGAAGCCTAGCTAGTAACTGTACAAATCGTATGTTCTCATTGCCACCTTGTCGCATGATCTGATCAAGAACAACAACAGTATTGAATGAAAGCCATAACAGTTTTCCAAAGATTGCTTTCTGGCCACGCTGTGTTCCTCCTTGTGCTACGCTGCGGGTGTCAAGCCGTGAGTACAATCGTTTCTCTCCAACAGGAGGTAATTGCGCAAAATCACCAGCTAAAATGATACTGATGTTTCCAAAAGCTGAAGAATTTCCCTTTGCTGCTGAGAGTGCCTCACTGATCTCTAGGAGAAAGTTACAACCAATCATGGAAACCTCGTCAATGAACAGATAGTCAACACCCTCCCACATTGACATTAGATCACGGTTTGTCTTTGACTGTGGGCCTCCACGCTTTCGTTGATTCATCATCAGGATAGAATGCAAGGTCATTCCTCTTATATTACGTGCTGCTACACCTGTATAAGCTCCGAGTCTAAACCTTCGCTCTTGTCCACGTCTTCTAAAGAAGTCTTGCAATGACTGTATAACACGAGACTTTCCCGTACCGCCTGGCCCACCGAGATACATCCTTAACGGTGCAGGTTTGTTCTGAAGGCTATGTTCAGCAATTATCTGGAATGCCCGAGCTTGTTCTTGGTTCAACGACCATTCATTGATTACATCTGTGATATTCACATCTCTATCCGGGTCTGATGGCTCAATGTCTTGTCTAATCTGTGGCTGCATTGGCTCAGACTCTAATGTTTGCTGTGCATTAAAAACTGAACTGGCATCACGAATGGCAGGATTGTTATTGGTTGCAGTTTCTGTTCCGGCTGTGTTATGGGCTGCAGAAGTAGTTGCATTAGTCAATGGTGCTGCAGCTCGGCTTTTCCATCTTTCGCGGCGTTTCTCATAAGCACTCTCCCAGACTTCTTCAGGTCCTGTTGCATTAGAAATCTGTATCTGTTCAGTATCTTCCAAGGTGTCATTGTTTTGCAATGTTTCATTTTGCTCTGATTGTTGTGGAAACAGCCCTCCATGTGTTGCATGCTCTATGCATTCTAATATTGCATCCTGGATGTCTGGATTTTTGTTAGATCTGCATGTGGTCACTGAGTCTACATGCTCGAGTATTTCGGCCTCATCATAGTCTGCAGCAAAATCATCATTGGAACTAGATGAATGTCTTGCTATATCTCCAGAGACACGCTGGGAGCGATTCCGACGTTGTGCATAATGGTCATCACGGCTATCTCTACACTCATGAAGCAGCTGCATATTTTCCATTATTTTCTTGAAATTATCAGGACAAGTGTGCATGAATGATTCAAATGCATCTGACCAAGATTGGTTTGCCTCACGTAAATCAGATGCTTGCTGCCATGGCTTGAACAAAATTAGCATAAGTCTGCAATATTTTGGACGTAGATGTTCACGATCACGACGAGGGACAGCAGGACCCATTAGCACAGGCACCCAGCGTCTGATTGGCTTCCTCATGCATAGTTTTTTAAGATGGCTTTCATAATGTTCTGGTTTCAGCTCACAATGAGGTCTATTCCTTCTGCGATTATTCAACAAGTCATCAGGTTGCTCCTCTGTATCTGATTCACTTCCGCTATCACTTTCATTATCTATACCATTGTTGAAAAAGGGATCATCAGTGTCTAGTTCATCATCAAACTCCTGCTCAATGTTCGTCTCTTCAATATCTGACTCTGACTCTGGGTCTTTTCTATTCTTCTTTTTCTTCTCTTTCGGAACTTTCTCAACTTGAGCAGCAAAATCCCAAAGACATATATTCCTAAATGCATCTCCACGTAATGAATAATCAAGAGCCTGACCGCCACATGCCTGAACCTGTCCATCATCCGCAATCTTGATCTGTACTTCTTCATCTTCAACAACTGGTTCATCTTCTTCTCCGACCTCTTGTGTATCGGTTGCACTGTCTTCAGAATTGTCAACAATATTATCTGGGATGGAGTCTGAGTTTTCAGTACTTTCTGATGATGAAGATGGTTCAGTTGCTGCAGTGGACTTGTTTTCTTGATAGCATTCTGGACTCGGATCACTCTTGTTTATCAGATACTCCACACTTGTCCAATATATATTTCGGTATGTATGGCTTGTGAAATGGTCCTCAAAGTCCATGAGATATGAACACACTTGTTGTGCTGAGAGCTCTTGATGTGAAATCATTGCATATGCACATCGTTGTAGTAGTCGCTTTGCCCGTGCTGTTACGTCATCCTCTTTTATACTGAATTCACCAAGTTTAGCGATGGCTAACTCAAGTGCAGCAAAGGCCACATGTGTTTTCAATTGCGACTTTGTTATGTAGTCTGTAATATAGTAAAGGATTGCTTTTGCTGATGCACCAGAGCCGATGAACTTGATGTCCATATTACATCGAACAGCCTCCATAATTGTCGCATTGAAGTTGTTGACCATGCCATCTAGACATCTTAAACTAAGTTCCCCAGTTTCAGCATCAAAAGATGATTCTAAACAAACATTAGACTGATCAAGATCAAACCTACATTCTTTAGGGTTTGGTGGACCTTTCCAATACTTATAACAAGTCTTAGAATGTTCATGTGATTGGCATTTCTTAGCCAAATGATGCAAATCTTTCAGTCGAGCTTTCTCAAGCACCTCATGATCTGTGTATTTTGAGAAGTTCACACCACGAACTGTACATGGATGATGTTTTGACGAAGGAATATCCATTTCAGGATCAGGATCAGGTGGAATCGAGTTGGATATTGTATCGTCCAGGAATGCAAGTAACTGCTTTTGAAAGTCTGAACCTTGTTTCATAGCTCGATCTCTTATTTCATTAGGGTTTAGGCCACCTTCTACCCATACAAGCATATGACAATGAAGAGTACCTCGACCTTGAGCTTCTACACAACCATAGTAGCCTTTGACTAGACCAAGAATACCGCCTTCAAGTTCCTTGCTCTTTGGGTCATATCCTAGCAGTGTCGATATAAATGCTTTCATATATATGTTGAAGAACTTTGCTGCTACTGCAGGGTTTTTTGCAACAAGGATTGCTTGTTCAGCATATTTTGGAACATCTTCGGGAAGAAGATCATCAACATCTATTTCCGATCCAGCTAAGAATTTGACAATGGGATTGAAGATATCAGCAGGATTAATTGTGATATAAAAGCTAGGCATTCCTAGTGTAGTCATCAAACCTCGGATTTCATTGCGCATCTGGAGACGAGAAGCTGCTGAGCCAGGAACATGTGAAGTGATGACCTTGACTTCATTCATAAGCTTTAGCACCTTTCTCTCATCATCATTATGTGCAGTTGCAGTATCACCTCTTGAGACACGTTCTGTTACTGCATGGATTGCATTCGGAGACACAGATGCAAGATCATGTGCAATAGCATCAAAGCTTGACTTTTTGACTTTCAAACTAGTATGCAAAAGTGCAGCACGTCTCTGTAAGATATTAAATGCTGTGAAAAGAAAAGAATAGTGCTCTTGAAAGCGGCGATCAGCAAGATTGAAACAATGTTTGACCTGACGCTTCATAGACAGTTTTGTGTGACGTGATTTATCCTCAAAGCCTCCAATTCCATAAGGAAATAATGTTGGATAGATCATGGGAAAAAGTGACGGGTTGTTGAACTCATTCATCGGTTCAGTGTCATGCGGAATCTCAACATATGCACCACCTTGTTTTTTAACATGCCGAAGAGCAGCAGCACGTAATTGATTTGAAGGAGCATTGCCATCAACATCAGTGATAACTACATTCTGGAATGGAATTGGACCAGTGGGAGTAGACGAGCTTGGTATTTCTGTGTGCGAGTTACCAGCTGTTGTGTCTGTAGTTGTTGAGCTTGTAGCGGCATTAGCAGCCAGAGCATCCGCCGCATCATATTGTGAAGTCAAAGAGTCTGAAGCATTACTGGGAAGAACATGCTCAATGTGGAATGGCAAGATCTGTTCATTCTCCAAAGAGTTTAATACATTATGATCTATTTCGACATCCTTATACAGAGGATTATGAGATTTTAGCCACATGAGTGCCGATCGAACCTTTTCACGACGAACAGATAAAGGCTTGGCTTTCTCACGTAACCATTCATCCGTAGGTGGTTTAGATCCTACAAATATTACACATATTGGTGTTATGATATCTTCAATGGATGGAGGAAGGACCGAAGCAATATTCTCAGGGCGCTGAGGATACACAATGATATGACCCTTAATTCCTCGCTGAGCTGTTGGAAGTTGAATATCTGAATTTTCTTCTTTAAGTTGAACAATCCAGCATTTAGCACGGCACCGTGCGATCATGGCCTCTTCCACCACAGTGAGATCTTTCAATTCATCTGGAACTCCACCCAAGTACGTATGATTTGCAAGTGCCAGAGGAGGAACCTGATTTTTCCTAAGTGATGTGATGCATGTTTTACATACATGAAGTTCAGTCTCGTTATCTTTATTAACAATAACACCGGCAGGGTCAACAAGAACATCCTTGAGTATTCCATCACCGAACGGCAAAGGCACTGGGTGTATAGAAGAATTGTGAGAGTATGGTTTATCGTCATGATCACGATGAGCAGGGCATGACAGAGTATACAATTCCTCAGAGTCCTCATCGACCAGAATCTTGTGGCGTTCTTTTACAGAACATGACTCAGCACATGATGCACAGGTAAACTCAGCTAGTGCATCAGAGGATGTAGCTTCACGAAACATGGTAACTAATTTTTGCTTCAAAGAAGAGGGAATAAGCTGAGGCCAATCTTCACGTATAGATGAGAGTTTGGCAGCATGTTCACGTTCAGACTCAGCAGATCGCTTGCCCTTCTTAAGTGCTGTGATGTGAGCTTTTAGTATTCTCCGCAGCCGGGATAGACTATCATCATCCTCAAAGGGAATGTTGTGAACCATCAGAAGTCGCTTTAATGGTTTACTCTTGATGGTTTTACGAACAGAAGAGAGGATGTGAATCTTCAGAGCATCAACAGAGTCAGACTGCATAGCACATTCATCAAGAACATCACCACATGCAGTACCAGCAGACATCTTACACAGGCCACTAGTGAAGTGAAGAATGAGTTCATTCCGAAGGGCAGACTTATTTCGGAAATGTTCAGGATCAAGACCATGTTCATGTGCCATTGTATGCAGTGATGTGGAGTTCAATGTCTCAAATGACTTAAAGAACATAGACACTGATGCAGATTGTGATGACTTAGATATACCTTGGACAATAGTAGATGAAGACGAAACCATATGAGCCGGAGAGGGTGAACGAGATGCACGCATGCGTAGCGAACTATCATCACGGCGGCAGCGTCCATCACCAGAAACAAATGTGCGTTGATCAACATGGTGGGAAATGGGAACACTCATGCACAAACGCTCAGAAGGGGCAGCAGATATTATATTAGAACGACGACGGCCGTCCTCCGAGACAAAGGAATATACACGGGTATTGCTAGAATCAACTGTCACAGACGAAGAAGGCCGCGTACTAGATGACGCTGAAGCGAAGGACAAAGAGCCCACATGAGCAGCAGTTGACGGTCCCACATGGGTAGCAGAAGAGCCCACTTGGGCGGCAGATGTTTGCTCAAGACCGAGATGGTCGAGCGGAGGGAGGGAGGGAGGTCGATGATTACTTCCACTGGGGGGTACTACAAAACAAAAGCATGTAAGAAAAGAAACATGGGAAGAAACAACGTACACGGACCATCAGGCCTCCACATGTGAGCCGCAGGCAGAGCAGCAGTGATAGAGAGGGGGGGCCGTATAAAAGACCCAGCCCTTGGGGAGGGCGAACAGGCAGATACCCAATCCAGGCCAAGGATGATGTCAAAGTTCCCGAAGTGATCGAGAAACAAGCACATGTGCGAGCGGTAAGATCCACCATCGGTGGGGACAACGACAAGACCTCGAGAAGTAACAGCATGGCGGGAGGGATCCGTGGGAGCAACGTCGATGCTCTGCTGCACTTTGTGCAGCAGCGAAAACCGCGAAGAGATCTTAGAGTACGGAGACGAGGCGTCTACGAGAATGTGCACATCAAGGCCTTGAAAACGTCCGAACACAGAGAGCGAAAGAGGAGCCATGGTAGACGGAAAGCGACGATATCCGGGAGAGCGTGAAGGAAGAGAGACAGCGACGAAACAGAACGACGTTGCAGCCGCGACGCAAAAAACTGTGTGGGAACAAAAGTAGCCACAACTATACAGTGGACGAACCGGTAGCATGTGCCGAGAGAGGAGCGGAAGGCGCGCAGGAGATCCGAACCGACTCTGAGTCAGCAATTTCCATGTAAGGGAATTGCACGATTCTCCGCCAAAAACCAAACGATACTTCCTATAAGACCCACTACTAAAGTAGCGGGAATGAAAGTGTCAGTTTACAAATGTAAAGAATTCGAGCCTTTTGCATGATATGAAACATACAGAATGAGATGAAGAACGCCCCGACGACGTGAAGCATGAAAGGCATGTCTTGACTGGCAGATGGATCGAACCTGGGCGCACCGACTTGTGGTGGGAATCGCTCCTTGATGAACGGGATGGAGATAGCCTGGAGAGTAAAGCACATGAAGGCCAGCGTGCGGACTGCCCAAGGAAAGCCAACGAAGTCGAAGAGCCTAGATAACATGATCGGAAAAACGACGCCACTGAGGCTGGAGCCTGAGACGACCTAGATTTCTGCGGTCTCAGTCGAAAGGAACTCCGGGACTGTGAGATAATGCGAGGTACTCACGATGCCCATTGCTAACGCAAGCTTGTTCTTGAACCAGTGAGCAGGTATGATCAGCTATGAGAAGGATGTCAGACCCTCTCAGGTTTGGAGGGGTGTGAATTTTACAAGAGGGTAAAACCTGTGGACCTTCAATGAACGGGGAGATAGACAAGATGGAAACCTTCACACACTGGAAAGCGGCACCAACACCGAACCCAAACCCATGCGACAGAAGGATCTGGTAGTAACTTGTTGACAGAGACAGCATCATCAGACAAAAGGCCGACAATAGCCACCCGGAAATAAGAAGAACCTATTGAAGTCGAGACGCGTGAACATACGAAAATACCAGGATGAGATAGTACGCACTTTTGAGCCATAGCGATCCATAGCAGGGCCGAGAAAGAGCCCGCTAAAATAAATAATGCTGAGTTGTAAACTTCCTATCCAGCTTATATTTGACGCTGTTTGGCTAGCAAGCTGGTTGTCGGCGTAATATGTCTGAAACACGCCGAAGGCATTCAGCTGTCCTATAATATCATGAGTAATAGGTTCGATGGTGACACAGCATGCATAAATACGTCAGGATCGTACCGTAGGAGGTGAAAGAAACGAAAAAGCAGCTCAGAATCGTCATCCATGCACGCACTCCACCGTCTGGGGACGGTGGTCCCGAGGGCGTAGGCTAAAGTGGGCGGAGAGCATTAAAGTGAAGAGCAGGAGTTTCTTGAAAGGATAAGCTAACCATGACGGGATGCTTTCCGTCCGATAATATATTGCCCTCATCTTGGCTGGTCGACGGCGAGTGTGGCGAGTGTCCGAACTCCTTCGCAAGCTGTGTCTCGGACATTGAGGGTGGCACGAATGTGGATAATTAAACGAGCGTGGCCTGGCTGGGAATTGGAGCGTAGACGTAGGGCAGAGAGATGAAGTGAGGCAGCTAGCCGAAGTCTACGGAAATTCATGCCTCAAGGCCTCAAGCTTCAAGGCCGACAATTTTCGCCATCTCCGCGGACCAAATTGTAACAAATCGAGGGAGCCTTCTGCAGGAAACGCCGGCATGATCGAACTTCGGGCATTTAGAGACTCAGGATTGCTGAATCAGGCTGGAATCAGGCATTTTCTTGATTCTGTTCAGCGCAAAGATATACTTGTAAGGTCCAAGTCTATAGAAAGTGTGACACGATGCATAGTAAGTATTCCATTGTCGGGGACCGCACAGGAGAGTAGTGTGAACCCAATCCAATGCTCATATGTTCCAAACTAGGAAGCCTTCCAGTCATGAAGCTTTGAAGATCGAAATGTTGTAGAATGTTGTCGAGTTGAAAACAAGCTGAAGGAAGCCAATCGAATCGAGTGTCGTGGAAGCATGCATATGCCACTCCCTGGAATGGGATATTGGAGGTGTTCAGTAGACCGTGTTGTACTCCAAAGCTGATGTGATGGACATAGGACCAGAGGACTGATAGAATGGACGTCGAAGGCTTCACGCACGAGGAGGGGAGGGAGGCAATGCAAGGCTCGGTACACGTTTCGTACCGCCACCGCCACCTCACTCGAAGGCCCGAATGGACGCCGCCACCCACCCCAAAACTCCGCATTCGCACCGCCGGCGAACGCCCAACACAAATACTAACCTGCACTGACACCTCGATGCCTCCACGACGACTTCATATACTTCCTGACAGACCCACGGCACGAACTTCCACCTAACGACCCTCCTCCACTCCTCCCACCTCTCCCCAAACTCCTCTCTCAACATCTCATCCTCAGGCCTCAACACCCGCCCTCCTCTCTAACGACACACCCACAAACCCCGCCAACACGACATACAGCGCCCACCCCATCCGACCACCGGCACCGCCATCATCCCACACGTCCTATTCCATCCTCCCTCGCCGAAATGTATCGTCAGGACACCGAGGATACTCATACCTACGGCGGTGTAGCTCAGATGACGGGCGTAGGCGTAAGGGCCGGAGGTTATCAGGGAGTGGGATGGACGGAGGATGACTTCGTAGGTGTGGAGAGAGCCGAGGGAGGAGTAGCATGCGCTGCGGTGGAGAGCGCCGGTGAGGACGAGGAGGAATCCGAGGATGAAGGAGGGTTGGAGGGTTTCGAGCGAGGAACGGTTGTGGGAGGTAGGGCATAGGGCATGAAGGGTTCGAGTGGGCATGAGCTCGGGGAGCGCCACCGACGCCGTCACGATGAATTCGCACGCAAACATCAACGCGACGAACGTCTGGCCATCCACTTCGGTGAGCACTTCCCTTGGCTGTCCTGTTATCTACGAGGGACTTTGAAGCGAACGAGATAACTCGCACGAGCGATAATTTCTCCATTAGCTGCCCAGAGTATACTTTGTCTTTCTCCGTCGGTGGCGGCGTAGGCGGTGTGAGGGAGATGTAATAACTGGCGGCTCCTTCTGCCAGAGCTGCGAGCTTCACGTAGGCGGTGAATGACACATGTTGCTTCGCTTGTATGCTGTGTGTTCGAACATCATCATGCTCTCCATGCAATTTATACGCATTCATTACGGACCGTTTTATTCCTGGTTGAACATTTCTGCTCGCTGGACACGAATCGCGCAGTCTCAGTCTGAGCGATGAGGGACCATCCGACATGCTCGAGATCACAGCTCTGCCTCGAAAGCGTGTCTTTCTATCTATAGGCAATCGTTGTCCCGATTCGGTCTTGCTTGATTGTTCGATCCTCCACCCATCTATCGCGCAGTGAACAGCCTTCTACTCCTACTCGAGGCAAAAATACCGTTGTTGAGTCCATATTGCTCACCGTACAGCCTTTCCTTCTACCGAGGTACGAGGAGTTCACAGGAAAATGTCGAACCTGAGGCCTGATGCCTGATCACCCGAGAGCCCCGATTGGCCAATACTCGCTATTACTGAACGTTCCGTTGTGATTGGCAGTCGAGGTTGAATCACTTGGTCAAGTATGGTAAGCGCAGTTACTTATAATGCTCTTTGCTCTGGTACACCACCCGCGTAGACGCATTCATCGCATAGCCCATCTCGTCAACCTCGGGCCTTCGTGGCTTGTTGTTCTGCCTGACGATGTGCGTTGTAATTAGAGGACAGTCGGTCGAAGGCGGCGATTGTAATCTAATTTGTCCCGCTCTCTCTCTCGAAGGGCCCCGGGAGGAGGAGCCAGCACTGTAGATTTTTTTTTGCTTGCGTTGACGGACGAACTTCCTCAAGAGACAGTATATAGCTGTCTATACCTTGAAACCTAAACACTCAAGTTTTAACGCCACTCGTCGAACGTGAACATAAAGGCCTACCGACCCACCCACAACTCACGCCCAACTACAGCGATCATGTCTCCCCCTCCTCCACCCTCCAACCCACATCCGACCTTCAAACTCTTCAACCACTCCGTGACCATCTCCCAAATCCAAGCCGTCATCCCACCCCATTTACCCGAACACGACATGAGGACGAGTCTGTTATACCTGGTCCGGGACCAGATACAGGTTTTGGTGGTTAGATTCGGGATCTATTACGTTGACCTGCTGCTTTCTCCGTTGTGCAGCTCGAGGGTTTGGTGGGCTGCGCGGGTGTTTCTTAAGTTGGGTATTAAGTGCTTTCCCTTGCTTCGTTCGATGGGTAATGTAGATCCTTGACAGATGGTGCTTTTACTACGTAGCTGGTGGTTGCAGGTCCGTTCCTGATCCGTCTATCACGCTCTATCAACCACTAACGCTCTTCCGAACAGGGACTCGCACTCACCGGTCTCTGGGTCTTTGGAGACAAAAGTAAGTCTCCTACTACCCCACATCCTCTCAAGTTCTCTCGCCCACCTCCTGCATAACCTGCGTCTTCCTCTTCGTCTTTGAATTCGCTTCCTCTTCATCTCGCACATCTCAGTGTGGTCACTCAGCCTTTTCACCCTCCTCAACTCTCACCGTTATCTTCGGATTCATGATCCATATGGCACTGTGGACGCCATATTTTAACTGGAGCATCTCGCATCATCGGCATCGTGCGAATCATGCGTCTATGGAGAGGGACGAGGTGTGAGTCGTTTGTTCTTTGTGCTATTGGGAAGTTCGGACGGGGGAGTTGGACGGGAAAAGTAGACGAGAGAATTGGACGCATATTTGTACCATATATTGTACTCATATATTGACGTATTCACTGAGGTTGTCTGTGCTTCATTTTTTCGATAGGTATGTCCCGAAGACACGAAGCGATCTAGCCATACCATCAAAATCCCAATCCCAACTCGACACAGACTCCGACGTCCACGCCTATGCCCAGGTCCCCGTCTTCGCTCGTGTTACCCATCAACGAAGGTTCTGAACCTACGGTATTTCACTGTGGCGACATGGATTGGTTGCCACTCCCTGATGTGGCGTTTGTCATGTTTAAGAAAATTACTTCTTCCTGTTCGCACAAACGAGCGTCGCCTTCCCGGATACGACCTTCCTCCGGCGAATAGTAGAGCTTTTTCGCAGTCCAGTCCGACGTCTCGATCGCCACGGATTTGTCGTGGAGAGAGCTAAACAGCACTTCCCACGTGTCCTAGCCACCTTTGTGACGAGCACGAATCCTCTGATGTATTTTTTAAACGCACGGAAAATTGGCAACCCATATCGCACACTGCGCTTTCTACACATACCGGTGGCCATAACAGTGCTCAGAGTATTTTATTTGAAGGGGACACGAGCATGAACCATGCGTGGAGCATTTCCGAAAGACGATCTCGTCATGGTACCCACGAAGCGCCTGCGCCGCCTTGCTCTGTCTCTGTCGCGTTGACAGCTGTTTGTCCCGGTTGCGAAAACGGTCTAATATATAAGGCACTGTCAGCCGGAGGTTGAGCATCGTGCTTTTTCTACGTGTCCGACGTCCATTCATTTTGGTTGGTCTTCGGTCTCCTTTGTTTTCTTCTTCGTTTATTTTTGCGACCCATCCACCCCCCCGGCGGGCACCATGTTAGCTTATCCGCAAAGCGCCATTCTGTTTACTCTCAGCGAGGTTCTATGTCAGACCATTGTCTATGGTAGCCTCTCAATCGTCATTTTGTCCATGGAAGTGCTGATGGACTACTATTCAGGCATTTTTGTCACCGTCATAACATTATCAACTAGTATCCTGCTGTGAGAGTCACATTGCCGTGGATTTGCAGACGGTCAGTTTACTGATATCTTCTCGGACCCAAAGAAAACGAGGAATGAACCTCCGTGGCGACGTCGTCCTGCTCTCCATCACGCTGGGCGTGTTCTCCCTCTCGACGGTACACTGGGCGGTCTCTGTCAACAACTTCATCTCTGAGATCACGGGAGAGCATGGGCGGAGGAATACAATCATCAGGGAAGTCTTCAACGCTGTTGTACTGATCAATTGTAAGGCAACTTCGTATCGCAAAGTGCTTTTTGATCAGAATGATGATGGCTGAAACAGAAATTTTTGCGGACGGAGTTGTTGTGTGGAGGATGCGGATCTTGTGCGCCACTCGATTTCCCAGAATTATCATGATCATCCCGTCCATCATGATGGGGCTAATTGCACGTATGTTTTTCCAATGTTTTACTTTCCGCTTTTACATAGTGCTCTCCACTAATTCTGTTTACGACAGTGTCTATTTCTACCACCATCGCATTCCGCAGTGCTATAACTGCGCTGTTTGGTAGCATAGCCCCACCCAATGCATTTCTCGGACACGCGATCAAGATTAGCCAGGTGACAAATTTGGTATTCTCCCTAATCACGAATGTTATTGCCACGTCCCTGATCGGAATTTGGGCTTGGTGGGCGCGTCTCGCTGAGCTTCTCCCTATGATTAGACTGAAGCTAACAAGTGAATCCGATTGTTTTATGTGCTCCATTTCGCAGGGAGTATAGGCGGTCGATCCGTGATATTCTCCAGTCCCAAAAAGGTGCGCCTTCGTTAGCGGAACATATCCTGGTCCTCCTTGCGGAGTCGGGAATAGCATATTGCGTCTCCTCCGTGCGTTAAAAATTACTGTCATTGCACGCATATTCTTATCACCAAAGAAACATTTGTCGCCACTTCTAGACTATCGCACTCATCGGGATGTTCATCAATATACGGGGAGGAACCATGGGCGCTATCTACACCGGTATTCACGTGCAGATTGCTGTGAGTATGCTTCCTACTCCCGTCTAGTCGTACTTGCCTTCGACATATGATATGGAGACTCTGAAACGCTCTTCATCTCCCTAGGGAATGTACCCATCTCTCATAGTGATCCTTGTCAAGAATCGTCGCACCTCAAAAGTTCTAGCCACAATTTATGGCCGTCATTCTCTCCACCCAATCCCAGATGGTAGTGCTAACAATTCCGATGTTCTCCACGCCATGCACTTCAACGAAAATCCTGCTGTTTCGAACCAGCGGGGTACGACCGAGATTTCCCCTGTTGTGCTGTAGAACCGTGAGAGTGTAACGGTGAACGTCCCTATGGTCGTTGAGGTGGGAAATCAGATGGTAAACCGGATCTGGAACTTAAGTGGGCATAATGCGGGTAGCATGAGCGAAGACTTTTGGGAGGGTCGGCAGAAGCAGAATGCGAAGGAGGTCACATTTAGGCTTGGTGTTATTTATTACCAGAGAGTTGGCATGCGGTTCGTACAGGTCTTCGATGAATGTGACGTCCTCTTTATACACGTCGAATAGCAGAATCCGACCAGGGTTAAAATACTGTAATGGTATCACGGACGAGCGATTGGTGTTGTGGACATTCCTTGAAGACGGGTGATGATATCTGGGGCTTTTTGCTGTACGTTTCTTACGGTCTTTATCCTTCGTCCTCCCATCCAACACTGCCACGTATAAGCCCTCTAACCACCTAGTGCGGTCACTCAGCCTTCTCACCCTCCTTGACTCTCACCGATATTTTCGGTTTAATGATCCATATGGCGCTGTGGACGCCATATTTTAGCTGGAGTATGTCGCATCATCGGCGTCATAAGGTGCATTTGAGTAAGAAGAGGGATGAGGTTTGAGTGTTGTGTTTGTTTCCTTGCGCTGCGGGGAAATCCGAACGAGAGCGTTGGGCGGCAAAATCGGACACGGATGTTGACCTGTGGAGTGGATGACTATATGCTTTTTTTTATGAGGTATGTCCCGAAGAGACGAAGCGACATAGGGATAACCACCCGAACCTCAATCCCAATCCGACGGTCCCCATTCTGCTCACGCCAACCCCGCCAACTCCATCGCCCGGATAAACTACGGGCACCACTCACTACACTCTCTTAGTGCGACCTCGGCCATAGTGGCGGAAGGAACGAGGCGTTAGAACCAAATAAAATAGGGCTTGAGTCTTGAGCACAGTCTCTAGAGATACCGTATACGTTCCGCCGGAATTAGCCAGCGGGCCGTCACAAAATGTACCAGCGAAAAGCCATACAGTATTGAAACACTCCTTGATCCTGGGCCCCTCTCTGATCCACATTCCGCACGCTGCTCCCTCCAGCAATACTTCCCATAAAGTGAAAATACAGTATATTTGCATCCTTATTGTACCCCTCATCAGGTCCACGTTCATATTTTGAGAGAAAGACATGGACTGCAAGCTCTCCAGTTGCGGATCAAGCAGCGGCTCTTTGTGGCACCGCGGTGCCACACCACCTTTTTCTTTGCACATCATGCAATGTTGTATTTTGTACCTTTCCCATTTTCTTATAAGTCCATCCAAGGGTATTTGACACTCCTGGCTTGAAGGATTGAGGGGAGGGGAGAAGAGGGTTCGGAAAATAATATGCATCGAAGAGCCGGATCAAGGAGTGTTTCAATACTGTAGCTTTAGAGTGACAAACACAGATAGCAATGGATAGCACGAGATGTATGCAGGGTTGATGTCATAGTATAAAGTAAGACGACAAAAGTGCGTGCAATCGACAGAGAAATTAATTCAATATAAATGAGACAATGAGAAGACGTCGTGGAGAACTTGAGGCTCATCCTTCCACCTGGAGGAACCCGTACGAAAGTCGAAGGAAAGTAGTCGGTGACAACAGCACCTCACAGCAGAACCTACATGCTACCGCACTACGACGGAATGAGGAGTCACGGACATGCCGGACAAGGGGTACGAGCAACTTAGCAGTGAAGCTACCTTTTCGAGTAGCGAAACAGGGAGACTTTGAGTAAGCATGATTGGCCACTCCGGCGAACGAAGATGTGCCAAGCATAGAAACATATAACAGTACAGCAATATACATTCATTTGTATATATGCTGACACCATCTGTATAGCAGTTTCAGAATCAGACATACTGTACAGAACAGAACAAAAATAGTGGTGTGCAGTGGAAATGAGTTATGCGAGCGTGTTCGTGGCAGGAGGAACCAGAATGTGTAGCCAGAAATCGACGCTCAGCAACAGAGCAGAGGGGAGATGTCGGAGAGAAAGGCGTCACCGACTTTAACGACAAAGAAGGTCTGAGAGACATGGTTTTGGTAGCGAGTTCGCCTGAGCAGACAATTTTTCTGTGTAACTACCACCGTGATATCCGCTCGCTAGCAGATTCACCCCAAGCTGAAGACAAAGGACGAAGAGGCAGTGCAAAAAAGAATAGACGCAGACGAACATCGGAGAAGTACACATTTGATTGTAAAGGGCGTGCCTGGAAAGAGATGCTTCAATGTTGGACATTCGAGACTGAAGAAGTAATAGTTGAGGGGCAGTTTCAAAGTGAACGATTGACGAAGGACAGGGCAAGGATGAGTGGATGGAAGGAGAGCGTTCGACGTTCAAAATTGTCTTGGACAGGCGATCGCCGTGATTGGCTGAGCGGAGTTTACCATGGGAATGTGACGTCATTCCGGGCGTCTTTCTCAAGTCTTCCTCCAAATTCTGCATCGACCTCGTTCTGCTTTCTCGGCGCTGCAGAAACCAAAACAGGAAACCAGACGCATATACATATTCATCTCATTTACATGTCGATGCACGTATTAACGACACACATACACTACTCGAATCCCTCGAGTCCGCCTAGCACACCCACGGCACGAACTTCCACCTAACCACCCTCCTCCACTCCTCCCACCTCTCCCCAAACTCCCCTCTCAACATCTCATCCTCAACACCCGCTCTATTCTTTAACGAAACGCCCATAAACACCCCCAACACGACATACAGCGCCTACACCATCCGCACCGCCGGCACCTCCTTCATCCCACACGTCCTATTCCACCCTCCCTCGCTGAAATGCAACATCAGGACACCGAGGATACTCATACCGACAGCGGTATAGCTCGGATGACGGGCGTAGGCGTAGAGGCCGGAGGTTATTAGGGAGTGGGAGGGGCGCAGGGTGACCTCGTAGGTGTGGAGAGAGCCGAGGGATGTGTAGCATGCAAAGCGGAGGAGAGCGCCGGTAAAGACGAGGAGGAATCCGACGATGAACGACGGTTGGTGTTAGAGATTCAGCCTTGCATTCCGTCCATCTCAGTTTCGTACGATTAGATTTCATCTCGGTTTCTTCCGTTCTCACTATATATTCTCGTTACCTCGTGCTCATCATACCTCAGCGTCTTTCTTCTGCTCCGCACGCTGAGGTGAGCCACCTGTGGTGTTTTTCTATTCTTACTTGTACTTGTACTTACTCGGTCATGTTTCATACACAGACATATATACAGGTACAGTACTCATACTTAGCGTCTTTCTTCTGCTCCGCACGCTGAGACATATATACAGTTGTCATATTTCTATCAGTTGGATGTTTAGGAGGGAGGAGAGGTTGTGCGAGGTAGGGCATAGGGCATGAAGGGTTCGACTGGGCATGAGCTCGGGGATCGCCACCGAGGCCGTCGCGACAAACTCGCAGGCAAACATTAAGGCGACAAACGTCTGGAAATCAACCTAGGTCAGTAAATCTCCTATCTTGGCAATTGTATGGCGAGAGAGGTACCTTCGAGGTGAACGAGATCACTTGCTCGAGCGATACTTTCTCCAATAATTGTCCAGAGTACACTCTTTCTTTTTCGGTCGGTGGCGGTGTAGGCGGCGTGAGCGAGATGTAATAACTGGCGGGTCCTACTACCAGAACTGCAAGCTTCACGTATGTTGTGAACGACATATATTGCTTGTCTTGCAGTTGTATGTTCGAGCATCATACTCCCCGTGCAATTTATACGCGTTCATCACGCCCAGTTCCATTTCTCCTCGTATATCTCGCACTCGTTGAACATCAATCGCGTAGTGTGAGCGATGAGGTACTGTCCGAAATGCCCGAGCTGGTGGCATGAACGATCTGTGTCTTTCTATGTTTGGACAATCAACTTCCCGTTTCGTTCTCTCTGCGTGAACTGCCTCCGAGTTCTACTGGAGACACCGATACCACTGTTGAGTCCATATTGCTCGCCGTTCAGTACTACAGCCTTTTCACCGACGTACGAGCAGCTTGCAACACAGGAAAGTCTTGCGTGGTCACCCGAGGGGCCCGAAGGTGGGCAGTACTGTCTATGAACGAACGTTCCCTTCGTTCGACTGTGATTAGTCCAAGTGGAATCACTGATCAAGCGTTGTAAGCACAGTCCTGGCGTTTGCTGAACCAGTCCAGACGACATAGCTCGTCTCGTTCATGTCGCGCTTTCCTGGTTTGTCGTTCTGACTTGCCATAGATTTAGAGGTTGGTAGAAACTGTGCGATTTAATCTATCTCCTATCTCTCTCTCTTCCTAGACGGGAGGATCTAACTTTGTCGAAAAAGTCCTTACGAACCTGCTCGGATACAATATAGCACTCTGTCATCTGCGACTTGAACGCCCAACCAAGTCCCTTGACCACCATGAATGTGTCCTTCCGCCACCATGATATTTCCTCCTTCCCCGCATTCGACCTTCACCCCTCAACCACACAATCTCCAAATCCGAGCCGCCATCCCACCGCGTTTGTTCGACCGTGACACGAAGACCGAATACGAGTCCGTTTTACATCGTCCAGGACAGTGCTTCTGATCCCATACTTTCTTTGTTTATGCTCGGTCAACGGGGTATTGATGCTAGCGCGAGTGTCAACGTTGGAATGGGGACTCGTCCTCACCGGTCTTTGAGTCCTTGAACATCAGCTGAGTTGATTGCCCTCCTTCGTCCTTCATCCCACCGTTCGCTCTTTGAATCATCTACTGATCGTTCACCGTCATTTTTACGCAGCCAACACGCCCTTCCCCACACGCAACGAGATCGTCGGCTTCATCCTGCATACTCTCCTCTGAACGCCCTACTTTAGTTGGTGCATCTCGCATCATCGGCATCATACGAATCATGTGTCTATGGAGAAGGACGAGGTGTGTTTTTGCACTAGGTTTTTTCTGTGTGCGGGAAAGATCGCACGCGTATGTAGTGGCGTATCGATTGCTTATTGAAACTGAATTTCTATGTGCTTTCTTTGATAGATATGTCCTGAAGATGCAGAACGATCTCGGTATCCCTTCTGAACCCGAGTCGCAAGTCAACGGTCTTCCCACGCCACCTCGATCAACTACGCCGAATACTTCGAAGACGCGCCTCTCTTAATGCTCCGCTGTCAACAGCTGTTCGGTGCCCGACTTATCTGCTCTGGAATGTGTCTAGGTATCTTAGGTGGTGATTCTTTTTTGTTTTGTTTTGAGAGAGGGTGAGGCGCTGATTGCGCTTGCGGTGTACGTAAATGTAAATAGGACGAACCACTTTGATCGTGATTGCTCTCCTCACCACTACCGCTTTAACCGCAACTGACAGGTGGCAATGCATGCTAGGGCTAGATGTTCTTCCAAGTGGATAAGGCATGACGGGATGGCTCACAGCCAGGTCATCCCGCGCCCATATCAGGTATACTAATGCTTCCAACCTCGTGGTCAGTTTGACGGGAATATATTTAATCTAGACGTTCACATCCATCCCACATCTCACCGTCAACAGAACTGCTGATGAACCACCCCGCAGTTTGTCGACCTGATATATTGTTAACTCCGCCTATTAATGAGTTGGTTGAGAACGGGTAGACCACTTTATTCGTGGATACACACCACAGTATCGTACAGATATAGGTCAATGACGCCCCGCTCTCATCATCATCTGCGGTGATACTCCTGGATATTGATACTTCCGTGTCTAGAAGCATCTTGTGTTGCATGTATCCTTCGCTTCGTCTTAAAAATGAGCTATGGGTATTGCTGATGGAACTCATAGGAGAAATCCGCCCGTATCAACATCAACATGGTCAACTGGGCCGTCTGATTCGCTGTATACGTGAACTGTGATTGGAGCGTCAATACCAGTGGGCCACTGGCGGGGATGCCACATGCATCGCCCTCTGCCTCCTTGTTGCGGCCACAGCTGGGCCACACCATGGTAGATGCTCCGGCTCACTTGTGTCGAGACCTGAAGCTGCAGTCATCCAGTTGGTCACTCGCCGCCGAGCTACGCTCGTGAGGTTGAACTTTAGCTCAACTTCAGCTACAAGTCGGCTTGAAATTAGCTCACTCGTATCATCTCGTTGATTCCATAACACTTCTAGGTGGTGCGGAAACTGAAATACTTATTCCTAATCGTGGGTACATGTACGTCCTAAACCCGCTCCTGAACTGAACTGCAGTCTCAACTCATTGCAAGTAGCACCACGATTGCTCTCGCGCAAAGTCACTGAACAGAGCAGGATATCAGAAGCTCAGGAAGCTGATGCACTGCCTAGCGGCCCTTCTGCCTGAGAGCATTTTCTCGATGACAAGTTGCATGTGTTCAACGGAAACTTCTGCTATTGGGCGTAAGCCTCATCAGAAACACATCAGTTCGTCTCCTGTTGGTATCAGTCGCTCCTCGATAAATATCTCAAGACCTTTGGTAAATAGCATGATAACATCTCCACTCGATATCTCCCCCACAGTGACAAAGGACGACAGTGGCTGGTAAGTGACTAGGGGTCCGAGTCTTTTTCCCTTACGATGGTTCACAAACCCTTGTAGTGGATACTGACATAATGTACCACACTAGACTCAGTGATAATTGGTATACTGTATCATGCTGGCCACGAGCTCTATAGTGGTTTCGTTTTTGGAACACAGCGCTCCACGCCCCTCGCTTGAGAGTGTGTTAGGTATCACATTTCCCTACTCTTTCAAGATATGAACCGCTGTTCATCTCGGTTGCTGGTTCTGCTCGATTAGGTTCAGCATTTGTGTCCGCTATAATTATGTACATGTTGTATGGAATTACAACATTTCAAGTGAGGTCTTAACTGCATTCATCCGAAGATTTGAAAGTGCTAATGTCCTCAGAAGACATACATTTACCATTCACTGTGTTTCAATGACAATTATGTCGTGAAGACCCTGGTACGATTATATCGATCACAGTGATCCAAGGACGAGCTGACATCCACATTTACAGGCCTATTCCATGTGGTGGGAGGACAATCACCACAGACTCCAGCAACTGATGGATGGATAGCTAACCTCTGGATGAACCGTATCAACAGGTTACTCGATAGCATTCACATGGGATTTGGTACGCTTGCAAATACTTTTTTACCGTTGATTTTATCACTGACATATTGCCAAAGTGAGCCACGCTATGTATTACTTCCTGGTACGTGTTCGTGGAAATGTCGAGTGGCGCAATTCTGACACAATGTTCGTATAATCAGATAGATAATTATGCGGATGCTACAAAATCAGGAGTCGGTATTTGGTGAGAGAATTATTCCTCCATATCGTTTCTTACATACTAAGCCCAGACCAAATTGGCATTGCAGGTCGATATATGTGCGTGATTACACTTTCTCGTGAATCTTGGTGCCATTAAAATTTGGTCTTTGACCGTAGGCCTCGTTGGTCATCAACGTACGCAGTTCATCCAATCTGGAGACTCATTGATCGTTTACTTCCAAGCAGGTCGTTATAGCATTTGTTGTGGCAACGTGAGTAGCAATCACTAATTGTTTCCTGAGAGGCAGTACTCAGTGCTGTGAGAAGATTCTTTGCCTGGAAGATACTCAGACGTGCGTGCGGACCACACGTCTTCGACTTATTTACCGTTTGATAACTTAGCTCTTTTAAGTCTGCGAGCGTAGATGGAAATTGATAGTTGCCGGCCCTGTAGTGCGTAAATACAACCTTGGACCGTGTAAACCAAGGTTTTGACTCTAATTGTCCCCAAGTTTCTCTTAGTCTTAGTCAACGCAGGTCCGTGCCATTCACTCACTATGTGTCCGCTGATTTACGGTCCAAAATGTTTCTTGATTTTTGATGCTCAGCATTCAACATACGTGAGTCTCAGAGTCCGTGGATAGCCCTGGTAAATATCCTGATGACTCCGAGTTTGGCTTAGAAATCACGATTCTGGTGTATGTTTTCACTTGATGATACGCAATGGATTTGAACGGTCGAAGTCTGACATCACGATCATCGCAGAACAAGAAGATGGGATATTACGAACCTCGGTAATTTACCAGTAAGATTTACAATCTGTTCAATGTGCATGGATACTGACGAAGAGTCTTTCAGAGACAGGCGTCGATATCCTACCTGCTGGCCTCCCTTGCAACCAATATAACCATCATGACGGTCATGATAATTCTTCTCCGCAAGAAGAAGACCGGGTTCCGAAGGCAGGAACCATCTTCTTGCTCTGAATCTGAATACCGAGCTGATACACTGCCTTCATGTTATAGAACAAATACATTGATAAAAGCGCTCATCGTGTATATGGTAGAAAGATCCATCGTCATCACGTATGTGCTCGTCATCCCAGTACTGTCAATCGTTCTCAAAGTCTCCTTAGGATCGTGGACTCTACTTCGCTGGTTGGGGTAAGTTAAATGGGTATCGCACATGTCATATATTGAATGACTTACGATGGGCCATTACAGAATATCGTAAGCCCACTCAGCGTGTGGCCGCTCACCATAAATTTCTTCGGTGGCCAATGTATGTATTACTTTTCGTTCACATTCTGATATACAGCACCATTAACGCATAGCTTTCTCATTATTCCGCCTAGTGAAAGCAAATTCGGTACTGACCACTCTCAACTCGCGCGAGCATCTGAGAAAAGGATTATCCTCAGAGTCTGAGGGAATATCAGGTGTAAACAGTGTCCATGTTCATCGTCTACGGCACTGGAACAATCAGCCAGTCACTACAGTGGACGTGGATCATCCGATGGTTCACGATGGGGAAAGCAGCATTGAGAGGGGTGGAGATGTCGAATTTGCGCGAACTGCGCCTAATTTGAAGATAGGGACTGAGGGGATAGAAAGTGAAGCCATCAAGGATAGCTATGTGAGCACTTTGTAGACGCTCAGACTCTGCCTCCGGGACCATACGCTTGCCTTTGATGGTTTCTCGTTGTGAATCTCTCTTACTACAGCTTCCTATTTATGGTCCACTGGCTCTTCCGTTCACCGCTTCTAGTTGCTCTCATGTTGCCTTTGTCTGACTCACCACCTACGCTGTATCAGCTTATAAGCCCTTGTCTATATGCACTTCACATGTCTCCGTCAATATACATAAAGTCACAAAGATAGACATATGTATGGATATCAAGTGAGCGAACTAAAAGTCCTTACTCATCGCTATTGCTACTTGGATCTGACTACAGCTTCGATGTCGCCGTTTTGTCTACAGCTGGTATTTGGCGCGCATTATAAAGGATGGAGTAAATGGCTTCAGCGAGTGACTCTGGATTCTCTTGCGGGATCTGTCACGGAGCATATACGTTGATTCCAGTACGTTCGAAAGAATAACGGAGGTAAGTAGACATGAGATACTGAAAAGCAGCCTGGTTCGACTTACCATATGACCGACGCCAGGCAAACGTGTGACGGACTTCATGATACGCCCTTGAGACTGATCGATGAGCGAGTCCTGGCTGTACTTAGGGCTACCATGTAATCTCAGCAAAAGATACGACAAGCGGATCCACAGAAAGATGCAGGATGACAGGGTAAGTTAGAGACAACTCACACTACATCCTCTCTCGCCCCAAATATGACATGTATCGATGTCGCTACACACGTTGGTGCGATCATTTCAGCAGCGTCAAAAGTCGCATCGATGTCGTTGTACGTCCTAGCTTCGTGTTCCTTCGAGCATATAACACTAACATAAGTATGACCATCTGCATTCCTAGTTTCACGCAAACCGTGCTCCTATCGGTTCATTATCAGTTGAGGTAGCAGAGGTGCAACGGACAGAAAGACACGAGCTTGGAGATCCATAACGTACCACAAACAGCTTCACAGCCATTCTATCCCATGTCTTCCAAGGGTATTTCTTCGTCAGCCACGACAGCGCCTCCTCCCTCGAGTTCCACGTCGCACGGCTCTTGACCACCGATTTCATGACCGCATTGATCTGACCTTCTCGATCGTCAAGATGAGCGTCGTAAGTTCTTCGATCGATCAAGGCCGGCTCGACGAGAATAATGGACGTATAGAGAGTTCCTAGTGCTGAGCTAAAGCGTGAGGCAGAGGTAGTACACGGTGTCGCTGGAGAGGATGTCGAGTATTGTGATGGGATGAGGTATTTGGTGGAGTACATGCTGAACAAAAACATTGAGTTATAGTATGCGTGGACAGATTCCCACGCAGTAAGATGACGCACATCGCAGATGCTCCAGCTGAGTGGCCAATGGCGACTACACGCCGATCTTGCATGTACTCGGAACCCATGAATCGTGCTAACGCAAAACCCCACTCCGAAATGCCTAGTAAAGCGAGTCTTTTCAACATATCCGGAAACACGTTCATAATGGGATAGGACGTACTGATTCCTTCCGGTCGCTCTCGCAGGGCATCCTCGTTCAATGTCACCGAATAGCCATGGTGTTGCCAGTCCAAAGCCCAAACTTCGCGAATGCGACGATTTTGATCGAGAGTGAATAACGCTTGTATGGTCGGTTCCCATGTTTCTTTGTCTAAATCATCCAGCAATGAGGGATTATGTGGAAGCATGTAGGAGGGTGCATAGGTAGACTTACGCAGAGCCGATGCGTGAGCGAACAGCAGAGACAAGCCGTTGTCTGGGTGGCCCGGAGTACGGTCAGGATCATCTCTACAGTATCGTTTCCCAGAGAGTTTAAGTTGCGGTGAGTTTGGCAGCGAAGGGTCAAAGGTGAACAGTTCTATCTTCATCGTCGCAGGAGTCGTTGTTGGAGGATGATGGTGGTTTCTGAGCAGGAGTGAGGCGCCTGAGGCGCGAAGGTGAACTCGAACTCCGTATCATGCCGGTCGGTGTACTCGGGCGGTGTGATCCTGAGTAGGCGCCCGAGATTGATCTTCGGTCGGGGTGCAAGGAGCGCATCCTGAGGATGCGCAATATTATTATGCTAGAAGCTCGTCTCGGCCTCCATATTTTCATATATGCTAGTCAATTCTCTGTATGTTATTGTTTCTATGCCATGGGCTAATTACCAATATATGATATAGGCAACTCCAAAGTCTGCCATTTCCATACGCTACTCCACTACCTCTCTCTCCATCTGCCGTATCTCAGGATCAACCTCACTTCTACCTGTCTCTCTCAAAGCCCAAGTCTCATCCATATCCGTCCTCATCTCTACCTCCCTCATCAACCCGCAACTCAACAACCCCGCCAGCGAAATGCCGATCATGACTCGCCAGATCAGTTGAGCACTCTCTGCGAATGCGACCCGGACTTGCGTTTTGAGAGGCTCAGTAAGGGACGATATGAGTGGTATGATGGAGTATGCCAGTTGTGTTCCCTGTGGGAGGGTGGCGATGAAAGAGGGTGGAAGTCGGGATTGAAGGGAGTTTTGCAGAATCGTGCCGCCGATGACGGTCCCCCATGTCTACGTATGGTACTCGATATCAGTGGGACTGGAAGACTGGGGCGTTGTAAAAGAATACAATAGCATACCTGCGCAAAACACCTAGTGAACGTAAAGAACGCCAACGCATGCGCATTGTTCGAATACGGCAAAGGTGCCAAAATCGGAAACTGCGTGCTGATCCACACAATCCCCAACCCCGCCCCAACCAGGACTTGGAACCCGAACAACATCGCCGTCGAACTGTCCGCGTTCAGTAAAGATAGTAGACCGGTTCCGATGACGGTCAGGGCCCATCCAATGTAGTTTTGAGGACGGTAGCGTGATATGAGCTGGACGGAGAGCCCGGTTCCGATGGCAAATGTTGGGACGATGAACGCGATTCCGAAGAGGTCTATGCCGGAGCGGATGGGAGAGGCGAGTTTGGATGCTTGGAAGTACAAGGGGAGGTAGACTATTCCGCCTGATGAGTATCTACTCGCCTTGATCTTCGTATTTACTTACAGATGACAGCCATGGACAAGATTCCATGGAAGAACGTGCCGATGTATCTATGTTTGCAAGTAAGTGTTGGACGGATCTGGTATTGTCGTAAGATATGGCTTACCCGCTGAGCGATGTTCGATTGGATAGGAGGAAAGGTGGGACCTTCAGACATAGGTTGAGTAAAACACGTCAAGAAAATGTCCGATGAAACACACACTGTCGGCTCTTTAGCCCATCGAGACTCAACTACGAAGAAAAATGCAATGGCAAGTAGACCAAGGGTCAACGGCGCAAGTATATGAGCGGAAGACCATGGGAATCGAACGCCAGCCAATGTCAGGGCGATGGATACGGATAAAGTACCGCTGATGATGACGATGAGACCACTAGAGTACCTTAATATAGTTCATCAGTAGACATTTCGTGATTTATCAGTGAAAGAACTCACATCCAGTCCATACGGAGGACTTTCTCCCGAAGAGAAGCCTTTGGCGTGAATACATGAAGAAAAAAATATACGAGAAATGCTGCAAGCGCGGTGACGGGAAGATTGAGGAAGAAGAGCCATCTCCATTTCGCTCCCGAATTGGCCAAAGCGCCGCCTATGGGCGGTCCGATAGCGCTGAAGTGAGTAATGAGATCATTGTTACACCGGAAGAAGAACAACCAAGCTCGACATACCAAGCGAATGCCCACACGCTAAGCACATAAAGAATATAAGACTCAGTTCGAACGACTTATATATGAGACACTTACGAAGCCGTGATTCCCTGGAATTTCCCTCGTTCAGGAAGTGGAACAATGTCTGCGTAGATGATCTCGGTTATGGCGATGCAGCCTCCTCCTCCGAAACCCTGTATCGCTACAACGTCGTGTCTTATGATTTTACGAACATAGCTGAGATATGGCATGACGCACCTCTACCTGATATGAGCATATTCATGCTCCAGGAGGAACCACATATTGCGGAACCCAGCGCGAACAGAGCGATGAATATGAGTAAAACGGGCTTTCGCCCGAATACGGAAACAAGGCCTCCAATGAGGGGAAGCACTGCGGTAGACGCTATTGTGTAGGCGCTTCCGACCCAGATAAAGTCTATTCCGTTCAATTGATGGACGATAGTAGGAAGAGCCGTGGAGACAGCAGTCTGTCAAGTGAAATACACCTCGGTCAGCGCAACTAAAGTGAGATGATATAGAATACCACGAAAAAATAAAATACCAGATCGAGTGCAGAGAGCAAGTCAACTGTCAGATTTGCAACAAAGACCAGCCAGAAGTCGACGCCTCGTTTTGTGTCGACGGGTGGGGCAAGATGATCATTTTTGATGATCGTGTAAGCATGAGACCCCAAGGTGGCTGCATGCGATTCTTCAGAGTCTGAATCATAGCACGCTGGCTCTACAATCCTGCCAACAGGACCAAGTTTCTGGGTCTCGGCCGATAGAGCTAGTAGAGCGTTATGAGAATGGGATCCCTCTGTTGCTAGATGCGAGTCATCAGAATGGGAGTACATCGTCGAAGCGAGGTATATCGAAAATGACAGGATATCAGTAGGAGTGCGAGTTCGAATAGGCAGTATCAAGAGGTTTCAAGGGAGGGAAGTCGGAAGTCGTCAACTCTGGAAGCAAACTGGACGAAAGAACGGAATGACAGACAGGCGTGGAGATCATAAGTACGTGGCTCATCGTCTGCATCAGGGATCCCAGCACGAGTGCGAGGCGATTAATCTCAAAAGTGGTAGTCCGTATGCTAGCGGAACAGGAATAGAGGTGGACATAGCCTTGGTGAAAGGTGGCAAGCGGAAGCTAAAAGGCATGTTGTGTAGCGAAAGTGTGAGTGGGAAATGGTAAGAATGTGCTGTGACTTTGTAGACGAGAGAAAGCAAGGAGGAAGACCAAAAGAAAGACGTGGAACTGGGAAATGGAAAAAACGCGCTACGGTAACAGTGTGACGTGACGTGACGGATAGTGACGACACGCGGGAGAGCAAAGGAGTGTGGCTGAGTGTGGCACCGCTGCAAGGAGGTGCGGTCTGAGCTGCATTCATTTTTGTAGGTTGATTTCTATGGGCCGATCGTTGTAAGGGACTCGGGGAATAGGTTATACATGCATTGAGAACAAAAAACATATATTAGACCGTATCTGCAGCCCAAAATATGAATGGGGACTTGAGAATATCAGTCTTTCTCCTGAAAATTTGAAAGTTTGGAGCGATAAAACAGGCGTGGAGCGAAGGTCTCAAATGGCGGTCGGAGGCCGTCCGAGCCAATCACAACGCGCAGACAGTGCGTTTCCGGCTTCCTACGACTTTTGAACGTCCAGCTTCGGTTATTTTCGAGTCTGCTGATAAAAAAGTGAGTGATTCTTCTGTTAAGAAATCTCTCATATTCTGGGCTGCAGATACGGTCTATTATAGCGTACTTCTACATTTTCTGAAACATGTACATGCACATAAATACATACCATCACTGACAAATAAAACAGGACTTTGGAAATGGCCGCGAAGCGGCCCAGAAATTAATTTTGGCTTTCTCAAGCATTGGCACGTCTCTGAGAATTTTTACAGAGCCGTGGATGGTTGAGTCTGAGCAAAGCGACTGAAGGGAAGCCGGCGAAGGGTGGCGAGGGAGGGAGTGTGGCGGGCGTCACGGAGGCGCGCTGGATCGTGTTTTGATGGGACTGGATCGTGTTTTTTTGGATAGGAAGGTGTCTGCGCACCTGGGCGCTTCACACCAAGCTCCCCGCCAGAATTTTACCGAAGGTGGGACGAGGCGGGAAAAACACGCTCCCGATAATCAGAAACACGATCCAGTGCGGGCGCTTCAGTGGTACGCAAGGCGCCGCCCATCAATCTTATCTGTTCGGGTGCCGTTGCCGGGTTTACCTCATGGCCATCAAAGTTGTCACTCCGTGGAATTTCGAGGGAATTTCGAAGTGGTCATGATCAGTTGCGATTGAGAACACAGCCTCCGGCGAATGCCGGATCGCGGAAAAAATTCCAATTTTTCAACCATGCCCTCGCCCTGCTCCTTTGTACTTTTGCTGCCGATGTACAGGTTGAGAACTTAGCGAATCCTTCCAATCATGGCTTACTGGTGCGATGATACAGATTGGCCGCGTTGACCGAGAGCACATTGAGAGCACAGCTCTAGGTAAGTCGAGTTCTACAAGTCCTTCGTCCATTCAGTAGCCGTTTGACGTGAAGTGAGTGGCTGTATACCGCTCACACTCTCAATTTCCTCGACGCTCAGAGAATACTGCGCAGGGAGAACGCCCATGACGCGCTGCACTTTTCACCCTTCCTCGGAACCTCGATGCCCTCGCCCTCGAAAGCACACCGGTCCAGCTGGTTTCCCGATCTTTTTCTCGTCTCGTATATGATATCCACGAGATTTGTTATTGTAATTCACTGAGTAAAACGATTCTTCATCGAGCTCAAGTCCAATAGTCTATAGATCATTCCGCGAAGCCCGAATATAGGGCGGTTCACACATCTGTTGCTGTCCGTGCAGGCAGTAGAAATGTTGATACAACCAAAGTTCCGCGTTGTTCTCATTGATTTCTGCCTCATCGCTTTTGGTAATCTTCTTTCTAGTGGGTTCGATCAATTCGGTCTGGCCGGGTAGGTGGTGCTGTGTCAGCTTATGTGCAATATCCTTTTGCGCAGGCCGAAAAGCCCATATAGTAGACTAATCATGCAATTCTTTCCTCCGCAGTACATCGAATGTATGTGCATGAGATGTATTACCTTTGTTAGCAGTGCTCGCCAGGCTCTTCAAAAGTATCAGGATCATGCAATGACTTGCTCACTCGCAAAACAGTCTTCACGCTTTACAGGCCTCTTCGACTGATATTTTACTCGTAAAGTGATGGCTACCATTCGCACTGGTATCACGATGGATTCAAACTTCATCTTTGCCGGATATTCTACACTCACAGGAGCAGTACGTCCATGTTCGTCTGGTCTCGTCTTTCACCGCTTCGTACTCAAGCAGCTCCTAGGTTATCTGTGTCTTTTTGCATAATTTCCGGGTCAGGAGTGATTATGCAGCATGCATCATAGTGTTCGCGTGTTTGGCTCTGATTGTTGTCAACATGGCCTCCGTTTCGGCAAATGCACTCTACTCGCCGTTATCTCCTCTCTTCTTTGTAGTAGCGGCAGCCTCTTCCGCTTGTGTCTGCACGGTCTTGTATCGTCTATCACCACTGCATCCACTGGCGAGCTACCCTGGGCCCCGTATATGGTGGATCAGCAATCTTAAGCTGGTCCATGTCTCACTCACTGGACGCCGCCACCTAGTCATCGACGAACTACACGCAAAATACGGGCCTTACGTTCGGATAGGTTCGCACTTCTCCCCTATTCGGCATTCGTTCCTTGATTTGACGGTCACCATAGGTCCGAACTCAGTATCTATCAACTCTCCCTCAGCCACAGTTATCTACGGCGCGAATCTTCACATGGAAAAGAGCGACTCGTACAGTACGCCTGGCCATATCAAATCTGTATCTTTGTTCTTCAAGCAGGCGTCGAGGGAGACGCATAGCGACCGGAAGAAAATCTGGTCTAGGGCCTTTACAGGGAACGCGTATGTGATCATCATCACCCATCAGATACATATCTCGTGCGTCGTCACGATATGGATACTGACGTCTTCATCCTTGATTTTAGTGTGGCACAGTACATGCCCTTGTTAGAACGTCGAACGTGGCAATTGACGACATGCCTCGAAAGCCGGCAAGCAAGGAGTCCCACTGGTACGGTCAATCTTCATGAAGCGCTCTGCCATTGGGCATATGATCTTATGGTGAAATCCTACTGCTACTCTTCAATATCATATCTCGTTAACATGAACTGACACTGGATGTAGGGAGATGTTGTCTTCGGAGGCTGCAATAGTCTCGAGCTGATGAAGAACGGAGATCCTCGGGAGCTGGTGGAGGGTGGGAAGGAGGCCACCATTCTCGTCGATAGGTTCGTAATTTCCATAGCACAAGGGGTTTTCTCTACCTCATCTCTCGTTATTCTCAAGTAGCCTGGGACAAGCACCGTGGTTGATGGACATATTGTGGCACCTGCCTGCGGGTGGCGCAATGCTTCGCCTGCGAGATGTCGCCGCAGAATTGATGCGTAAGCGTGTGGTTTCCACACGAACGACTGAGATACGTGACTTGACATCTTACCTCGTAAGTCCTTCATCGCCATGCGCGCTACAATTGATAATAATTGCAGACACAGCTCGAGGGTGATGCCACTGGGGAGCCGATTCCTCACAGGGATCTTGAGGTCGAAGCGGTGGTAGCCATGCAAGGAGGTAAGATGTGCTCACTACATCTTCCACTTGACGCTCACTACTCGGCATCATGTTATAGGTTCTGACAACACGTCTACGACCATGACTTTGGCTTTCTATTTCATGCTCTGCCAGCCCAGATACTACAAGATGCTCCACGAAGAGCTCGAGACGGAGTTTCCTGACCCGCTTGGCGATCTCGAGCAGAATCGACTCGCAGAGCTTCCATTTCTGAATGCAGTGACACATGAAGCCCTGCGCCTCGGCTCTCCTTATTATCTTCCCCGAATAGTCCCACGAGAAGGCACAATCATTGATGGACGATATCTTCCTGGAGGAACTGCTGTCGCGGTTGCTGCCTACTCCCAACAGGTCAGCCCAGAGAACTTTTACCCAGATCCTTTGGTACGTTCGATCATTTTTATTGTCGCTATTCTTGTGTACGGACGTATTGACTCAATAACGACATCTACAGGAATTTCGTCCTGAGCGGTGGATGCCCGGTGGACTTGGTGAAGGTTCTCGGCTCAACAGAAACGCTTGTTTTTCTTTCACGATGGGTACGCGTATATTATCCATGTTATTCTATCGCATCATCTCATTCCCTCTATTGCTTCAAGGTCCCCACATGTGCATAGCCAAGGCCTTCGTGTATCAACAAATGCGCCACGTCCTGGCACGATTGGTTCTTAACTACGACATGGAGCTCTCTAAGGGATTCGACGCGAGAGCATATCGCGATGGAATTTTGAACATGCGTACCACGATACTAAAACACCCGTTAGATGTAGCTGTTAAGCGCCGCGTAAGAGTTGCGGCTACGTAGCAGACGAGCGTGAGTGAGGCCTCCGATTTTCCTTTTATGCCCTTGTACTCCCGGACATATCTTCAACCTTCTTTTTCTCTCTGGAATTTATTTTTCAGTATTTTCACTTCTACATAGCTGATATGTTTGCGCTTATTGCGGATGGACTCTACTTGCCACATCACGCCACCCTCTTTATTTGCACCTGTTTATTCACTGTTCCACATCGTCTGCAGAATCATAATGTGATCTCGCCCGTCCCGTTCGTCTTCCACCTACATCTCAGTCTACCAGCGGTACTCCAAAACTACATCCACGACGTTCAACAATCACCGGTACCCCCGTTGATTCCGTCAAGTTGCCGTCTCACATCCCTCTTTGCATCTGAGGAGCCTTGTAGTCAGCGGCAAATACTCCCGTTCGATGCGACGGTCAACTTTCTAGACAGCGACCAGATTTTTCTCTGGGCGCTTGATCCGTGGCGGTCCTGAAAATGCTTGTTATGCAAGCGTTTACAGCACTGCTCACCTCATGCATCGAAACCCACCAAAAACGTCGGGCGATGGTTATGATCGAACCCTGCCACCGCGTCCCGAGTGGGAAAGCGCCTCGCATCATAATGGAACAGACGACAGCCTGCATCTATCCTTGACTGAAGCGGAAAACGGACGGCTTTTGCTTGGCCCTTCGTCTCGCTCTGGCGTAACAAAGTGTTCGTCGGCGGAAGTCATCCTTTTCCTGTTTAAGCTGCGACAACGATCATTGCGGCGCGGATGAATGCCGTTTGGTCCTCACACAATGGATTTAAGCAATGGTTGCCCTGGACAGGGACATCAATATTTCACACGCCTTTCCCGCCCGACAATAGTGAACTCATTCATAGAGGATATGGTTTCATCGTTATCTTCAAAAGTTCCGGCAGAAAAGTACTTTTCAGGTTCGTGCATCCATCCCCTGAGCGCCCAAGCGAGCTATATTAACCCAATGTCACGCAGCCGCAGCTCTAATCATCCTTCTATACGACCATTGTATTACGCTCGGCCCAGAGATTGGGTTGATTTGGCTACGGAGGCCGTGGTCGACGTCTCAGCGGACACTCGTATTTCTACGCTACCTCGTAGCTGCATCGCAGATATACACAGCATTCGGTGAGTCCCTTTCGTACACCTCTTTCCTCGAATATTACTGACGTCGCATGGCAGCACTAAGCGGGCTGTTCCACCACGGAAATCAGATAGTATGTCGTTTCTTGAGGTGCTTCACTCTGGAGCTGACTCTTTTATCTTTCGCAGTCGTGAGTCCTCTTGAGTTAATCTAGATCATGAAGCAGTCGTAATGGACCTATGCAGGTGTCAGGTATGGTTATTCGTCAGCGCGGCCTCCTGCGGATTATCGTTGGCTATAATTGATAGTGAGTTCCATCGCAGAGTTTTTGTTATGGTATTACATCCTGATGCGTCATGCGCTCTGCACAGTCGTGCTCGTTCTAAGACTGTACGCTCTCTGGGACCATCGCCGAAGGGTGTTATACGGACTGTTAGCCGGTTTTGTCATGTCTTTCTCTTCAACGATCGCCTTTGGTACCCTCAGTATGGCCCATATGTTGCGTATGTTAACCCCATAGTTTCCTCACTGCGTCATCCCTACTGATGTCTGTGAAAGCGAATGTTTCATATGAGGAGACCTTCCATATGTGCATACTTTCCGAACAGCCGCGCCTTTGGGTCGGACTATGGGCGTCCCAGGTACGAGTCTATACCCGCTATTCCACGGCTACACTGAGACTCGCAAACCAGGTTTTCTTCGATATCTGGGTGTTTGGGTCTACCGTCGTCAACGCGGCCTCACGACCGAGAGGCGCAGATGTGAAGCTGATCAAAGATATTCAGCGCGACGGGGGTCTATTTTTCTTCGTGCGTGGATCCCATGTCCTTAGAGTTTCTGTTCGTATCTGATTCTCGCCCATCATCGGTCTTCGTAGGGTCTATTTGGTGAGCAGTCTCGGAAGTGCTAAGTATTTTGTATGGCTGACCTCGTACATAGCTCTCAGACTCGTGAATATGCTTCTGTCCGCTTTCGACTCAAATGTCAGTCCGCATCCACGCACTCTCATACATGATAGCTTCTAACATTCCTCTATCTCATTTAAGCCCGAATATATGGTCATAGGCTTCTTGTGAGTACTCTGTCTCAACCAATTCGTGTAATCGTCTGGGTTACTTATATTGCGCTAGTAGTTTCACCTGGACCATGGTCGCCGTCATCATGTCCCGTCTCCTCCTCCGCCTCGAACAAATGACGTCCACGCGCTGCAGCGGCTCGGACCGTGCAGCTTCAGTATCTGTACTCCCGGAGTGTCATAATCCGAGAGACGAGGCCCACCAGTTGATATCTATAACGCGTCATATCGAGCGGGGGGACTTGTAGGTTGTAGGTGACGCAATGACGAGATAGTGTACGAGAGGATTGGTGCATTTTTTCTTGGTGTCGGTTTGTGCATGTATTTTCTTGATCTTGACGTTTCTTGATGAAATTTATTGCTATATGTTTGATGATTCGGACAAATACAACGTGATTCCACCATTTTAGCTTGTTCGCAGGTGGGAGGATAATACCACGACTCCCAGGACAAACTCGTGTACTCGTGTTGTACATAATAAATATGGTTCAATTATAATAGTACAATCGTTACACGAACGATGCATTACAACAGCAAATCCATCGAAGCAAGGACATCGATTACACCCGCAACGAATGCAGAAATTAGGGAGAAAAAGATACTATATGCGAATCACTCGAATAAGCATACACTCTCCCGCACAATAGCTCTGCTGCACCACCTCCTGCTAAAATGAACCCCGATCCTAATATCTCCTATATTCCTACCCGTACTAGCCCTGATCGACTCTAATCTCCCCCACGTTCCTAGCCCCACACTCCTCATTCCACCTTGACGCTCTCCAACTCCGTCCTGCCAGCTCCGAACCGGCCCCGTCTATCCCTATAGAACAAGACGTCGCCTGAGAATAAGAATGAAAAATCATAACACACGTGTCAAATACTCGTCAGCGTTCAGCGCCGCGCAACATTACCCGCGTACCCGAAGGAATTGAGAAGAAGCAGCCGAAAGTACTGCGGAAAAACCAAGTGAAAAAACACACCCTCATCATCAACGAACTGACACCCCACATAGCTCCGCCACAACGCCCGGAAGACAGGCTCATCGGAATATAGGTACGCGTCGCCGAGGAGTGCTTTGAGATGGAAGGTTGCAAGATCGGCATTGTCTGTACATGTGTGGAAGGAAGGAAGTAGTCAGGGATTGAGGACGAGCTGAGTGTGAAGGGAGAGAGGTGACGGGGACCAAGGAGGGGAAGGGAGAACACGTACACCAAGGCAACTTCGGAAAGAAATGATGTATCACATGAAAATGTGCGACTATAAAAACAGCACATTCATCAGTCCAACTGCTTCACGTCCTTGGCCAAAAATAAATCGAACACACCATCATGCAAGAACCACCGCCCCTGCCATCCCAAGAAATCTCTATCGACCGTCGCAGCGGCGCCCCTCACGAACGTCCACGCGCCGGCTCTATAATGCGGGATGTAGGGCGTCGTGTGGTGCAGCTACATAAAATCACATAATAAGATCAATATATGCGTTGTTAACCAGCACTACATCCCCAAGGAACTAGCAGGTTGCGGGGATGTAGGATGAAAAGAGGGAAAAGAAAAAATAATACGCACATAAGTAATCATAACGAACCAGTGCGTAACACCCAGCCATGGTATCCCATAATACCACAACACGTTCCATCCTCCAAATGTCTTATAAAGCTTAACCATGAGGAGGACCATGGTGCCGATCCCGAGATCGGAGACGATGACGGCCCAGAACTGGGAGGGGCGGAAGAGGATGGAGCGGGCTGGTTAAGTCGAGGGTAAGGGAGATGGGGATCAGCGCCCTAGAGCAGGAAAGCAAATGGAGGTGTGAAGGCTTACGATCAAAGTGATTCGTCCTACATCCCAAAAAAAAAACACGTCAACATCTCTCAACATTCAACAGCACATACACGAAAAAGACTCACCAGTTCGGGTAGCCCTTCTGCCCAGACACGTTCCACAGCAAATAAACCGGAAACGCAAACAGTTGTTGACGGAGGAGCATAGCTAGAGTGTAGAGGGGCGTGTCTTCAAAGTATTCGGCGTAGTTTATTGGGGAGGTGGTGGAGGCGTGACCGTCAGATTGGGGTCGCGGTTCTGGTGGGATACCGAGATCGCTTCGCGTCTTCGGGACATACCTAGCAAAGAAACGACATTGGCGTTGAGCTTTACGGATCCCACAAAATAGAAGTGGATATCCTGTATAAAAAAAACGACGTAAACTCACACCTCATCCCTCTCCATACTCCCATGATTCGCATGATGCCGATGATGCGAAATGCTCCAGCTGAAGTAAGGAGTCCACAGCGCCGTGTGGATCACGAAACCGAGGGCGTCGTTGAGGGGTTGAGAGGGCGAGAATGCTGCGTGGCCGCACTGAATCGTGCAAGACGAAGAGGAGGAGTATTTAGACCACGAGGAGAAGAGGATAGATTGGATAACAAAGAGGTAAATTAGACGACGAACAGGTAGATTAGACGATAAGAAGGAAGTCAGGCAGGAAGGGTGGAGGGGGTGGAACCGAAGAGATACGGGAGTAAAACACTTACTTCGTGTCCGAGGACCCAGAGACCGGTGAGCGCGAGCCCCTGAGAATGATTGAATATCCGTGTTAGTATCTATATCTCATTCACAGAGCGTAAACGGGGGAAGGTTAGGATGAGGAGCACCCACCTGGAACCACCAGCTACGCAGTAAGGAAACATTAATGAGCATCAAATCTCCCTCACCACCAAATCACACTTATCAAAGAAACGACGTACTACCCTGCCCAGAGCAGACTCCTCAAAACCCACCAACCCGCACCCTTCCCTTCCTCAGCCAATAACGAATCGAACCAATAAATCCCAAACCCAAGCACCAAAATTTGTATCAGGTCCCGAACTAGGTAAAACAGACTCGTCCTCGTGTCACGTTCGAATAAACGCGGTGGGATGACGGCTCGGATTTGGGAGATGTTGTGGTTGAGGGGTTTGAAAGACGAGTGTGGGGAGGGAGGAGACATCGTGTTAGTTAGCGGTAGGAGACTTTCGCGTCGGTGTCGGGATTGGTGTCCCAGGCTTCTAGTAGAGTGTTATATACCGTCGCTTGAATCAGTTCTTCCGTCAAAGACCAAAGTACATGGATGAGTTATCGACAAACTTGGTTCTTCCTCCCTCAGGCCCTCCGAGAGCGAGCGAGCGAGATATATTAAATCGCACAGCTTCGACCCACCCACCAAGGTCTAAGTCCACCACGCATCGCAAGGCAGAACAAAGGCCGACATCGACGAGAAAAGCTATGCCGTCCACTCTGGTGCTCTACCAGAGAGTCGCGACTAAGCCGAGCATGCTTAATCAGTCCAAGTGATCGCACTCCGAGTCTTCAACTGATCACAGTCGAACGAACATAATGATAATGTCCAGTAATAGCGAGTACTGCCCATTTTCGGGACTCTCGGGTGATTGGCAGTAACAAGACCGCCCTGCGAGCTCCTCGTATGTCGGTAGAAAGGCTGTAGTACTTTGCGAGCTCAGTAGTGGTGTCGTTGCCTTGAATAGAAAAAGGCTGTTCGCTGCGCGACAGATGAGGATCGAACAATAAATCAAGCCCGAAACGGGAAGGTGATTGTCTACACGGGAAAAAGGCTGGATTATTTACGCAGAGCCATCATATCGGGCTTTTCGGGTAGAGCCCTTCGTCTCATCGCTCAGAGGTGGCTCGGAGTCTTCACCCAGTGTGATCGCGAGAAAGAGGGCTGCGATAGATGTGTACTTATGCCCTCCGCTAATGGTCGTCATGATGGGTATGTATATGAACTTGAAGCTGCCCCTATTCTCGAAAATTGTTAGCGATGGCAAAACAGAGAGATGGGAGCTCACGGCGGGACGAGACGTCCCGCAGCGTAGGGTATCATCGTTCGTCATCTCATCAGCCAAACTATTCAATGCTTACCACAGCACCTTCACCTCGAATGATCACAGTCGAACGAACGGAACTCCCACTAATAGACAGTACCGCCCACGTCGGAACACTCGGGTGATCAATCGTACGATACTCTCCTCGAGCACTTCGTAGTAAGCACAGTAGCGGTGTCATTCTCTTGAAGAGAACTAGAAAGCTGTTCGGTGTGCGACAAATGCATTGAAGGATCAAACAATGAAGTAAGACCCGATATAGAAGGCGGTTGTCCAAACATAGACATCATTCGTACAGAGCCACCACCTCGGGCTCTTCGGACAGAGTGTCTCATCGTCAGAGCCTCGGACTGCGCGAATTGTGTGCACCAAGCGGAAGACGTACGACGAGAAAGAAATCAGCTATCTATGAATGCGTATAAATTGCATGCAGACTATGATGTTCGAACATACAACTGCAAGACAAGCAAGACATGTCGTTCACAGCATACGTGAAGCTCGCAGCTCTGGCAGTAGGAGCCGCTAGTTATTACATCTCGCTTACGCCGCCTACGCCACCGCCGACAGAAAAGGACAGGGTGTACTCTGGACAAGTATTCGAGAAATTATCGCTCGTCCGAGTGATTTCGTTTTCCTCGAAGGTACGTCGCTCACGACCCTGAGAGAGAAGAGATGGACTCACCTACTTTGATGGCCAGACGTTCGTGGCGTTGATGTTCGCCTGCGAGTTCATCGTGACGGCCTCTGTGGCGCTCCCCGAGCTCATGCACACGCGCACCCTTCATGACCTATGCCCTACCTCCCATCCCAATTCGCAGAGCCTCTCCTCACTCCGAACCCTCCAACCATCCTTCCTCGGCGGGTTCCTCCTCGTCTTCGCCGGCGCTCTCCTCCGCATCGCATGCTACGCCTCCCTCGGCTCTCTCCACACCTACGAAGTCACCCTCCGTCCTTCCCACTGCCTCATAACCTCCGGCCCCTACGCATACGCCCGTCATCCGAGCTATACCGCCGTGGGTATGAGCATCCTTGGTGTTCTGATGATGCATTTCAGCGAGGGAGGATGGAATAAGACGTGTGGGATGATGGGGGTGCCGGTGGTAGGGATGGGGTGGGCACTATATGTGATGTTGGCTGGATTTGTGGGGGTATCGTTAAAGAGGAGGGCGGGTGTTGAAGATGAGATGTTGAGAGGGGAGTTCGGGGAGAGTTGGGAGGAGTGGAGGAGAGTGGTCAGGTGGAAGTTCGTGCCGTGGGTGTGCTAGGCGGAGTGTAAGGCACAGAGTAGTCCATGTATTGTGGTGTAGCATCCCTAGGACCTCCCTGGACATTAATGCAGCGAGAGAAATGAATGCGTTCGTTCTCGAGGGAAGAGCGACGGACGAGGTCGATGCACAATTGAAAGGGGAAGACGCCCGGAACAACGTCACGAGCCGATGGGAGTAGTAGACCTGTCCAATTATTATGAGCTTATCACAAAATGAATTGAACTAGAATTGAGCCAATGAGAATATATTTTGTGATGTGGGATTTGAAGCGATAACTCACCGGTATGCTAGCCTTCGTTCTCACTCACTACTGGGTCAATTCGGCTCAATATTTGTGTTTCAGGGGTATAACTAACCCGCCACATCGGCTTGACCCTATATCAAGCCATGTCGAACCACAGATGAGCAAACCCAAACAGAGCATTTTACTCAACTCGGAGATTCGCAGCGATCACGTTCGTTTGAAGGGATAGAGCGTAATCCTGCGGCCAGGGATAGGTAGCCCATATGTAGGCTGTCATTTCTAGCTAGTCATGTTGAGAAGCAAACCGCAAATGGGCGAGAACGGACCGAATTTGGAAGAGGGGGGGTCCTGAGAGTAAAACTCACCTCGTTACTCGAGCTCGTTCTCGACGACGCGTAGGTCGTTTCTGTCCAAATAATGATAGTACTTATCTGTGCCGTTCCTTCGAGGCCGCGGCATTGAAGATCGAAGGATACTTGAGCAAACGCGAACACATTCCGGAACGGGATGCCATGGGCGAGAACACACCGACGTGCTTCATCTCGTTCTCGCCGTTGAGTGGCCCGTTTCCTTCCAAACACTTATCAGAGCTGGTGCACCTGCGTCGTACCGTCATTTTGACGATGGGTGGGCATTTTTCTGATCCGACGCGTCCCATGATTTGGAGCCCATGACGGTAAAACCGAATGGACATTGAGCGAACGCGAATTTACTTTTGTGAAGGGACTATTGGAAACGCAACCTCACCGACGTGTTTGTCCTCGTTATGAACGTTGTATGCACCGTTTTTATTCAAATCTTGATTGCCGCCGACTGAAAATATTCCTGCCGGCATTTTGAGCCTACAACATCCAAGATCGGGCGTGAGATGAGCGATTCCGAACATATTCACGAGGGAGAATCCCCGCAGGCTCGGATTCACCTACCTATTCTTTCTGCTGCTGAAGATGAGCGAGTTATTTGGATTCAGGCCTTCGACATAGGTGAGAGAACGGTTCCTCCCGTGATTTGGAACCCGTGCCGTGAGACAACAAGCCCAAACTGAACCATACCCAAGGGATTTTATGGTCAACAGACTTGCGAGTTCCCTGGTTATCAACCAGCGAGCATAGCACAGTCCGAGCACTAAGACTCGGACCTAGATGGAACGACAGACGGACAGACAGGCACGGACAGACAGACAAATAGAACAATAGACTTGCGTGCGGAAGGTGGTGGTCAAAAAGAGAAGAGGCCGGCAAATTCCGGTGAACGACAAGTCGAACCTACAGCTACTGTGGCGCTGTGGGAACAAATTTACTAAGCACGTTTGCCTTGTTGCATAGCCATTTCTACGACCGGAAAAATAAGACAGGCGTGCATTATTGAATCATATAGCATGGAGAGGACATTTTCGTAATGGAAGAGGGCCAAATAGGGAAATGGCCGTGAGAAACTAAAATACACATCCAAATACTTATCAGACCGCATTCATCATCTTCCGCAGGAAAGTAGGTGCTACATCCTCCTCTTCACCGTACAACTTCTCGTCAGCCTCAATAACATCGAGGTCGCTGACGAAGTCTATCTACGAAGCACAAAGGCAATGGTTCAGTCCCATTACATGCACGCTGCGCCAAAGATAGACTACGCCACACTCACCTCATGCGGCCGCACGATCCGACTCTTCAAATACCACTTATACCCAAAATAAAACACGGCAAACCACCCAATGGGCAGATAATTCGACACAAACGTCGAAGTGTCCCATTCTCCCGGCCTGAACACCTCCCATCCACTAAACACCGTAATAACCGACATCGTAAAAGTCACCCACACCGCCGCCGGCCACCCCAAGCTCGTCCTCCATGGTAGTACAGTCGCTCGATCGAGACCTTGTGCGGCCATACCGCGACGAAAACAGATATACATTATGGCGATGACGAGCCAGGTGATCGTTCCGGAGATGGCGGTGAGGTTGACGAGGAACAAGAAGACGTTCTCGGCGGAGGAGTTGAGGCCGAGAAACGCAAGGCAGCCGAAGGACCACGAGAAGAGAACGGATATGTATGGCACGCCTGTGCGGCTGGTCGTTCTGAAGATGCGAGGGGCGTGGCCTTGTGTGGCGAGGGAGTGGAGTGTGCGAGAGGTGAGGAAGACGTCGGAGTTGGCGGCCGAAAGCGCGGAGGTGAGGATGGCGGCGTTGATGATGGAGGGTAAGACTTTGATTCCGGCGGCTTGGATGGCGATGACATAGGGCGAGGCGGATGCGGTGGAGGTGGTTCCGAGAGCGGGGTTGGTGGAGGCTACGACGAGACCTACGACGAAGGAGCCGAGGAAGTAGATGATGACGATCCGGATCCAGACAGTACGAAGGGCGTGGGGAAGTACTTTGCGTGGATTGCGAGTTTCAGCCGCTGCGATAGCGAGCATCTCTAGAACGAGCCAGAGTCTTTTCAGAACATGGTGTGTAGAGAAATTATTATGCGGACTTGCCTGTTCCGCTGATAGTGAACGCAGCTTGAGTAAGAACGGAAAAGAAAGCGAGAAATCGTCCCTTAGATCCCGGTATCCCAAGATATTGAACAAACGGTCCAGGATCTCTCCAGAATTGAAACCCTATTGGTTTATGGTCGGGTCCACCACCCGCGTCCAATATGATAGACAAGATAATAAGCCCCAGCATCGTGATGACCTTACGGCTCGCGAAGCAGACTTCCGCCTCTCCATAATACTGGACGCCGAACAGATTGATGGCCAAAACAATGGTTAGAGCGATCGCCATCCATACTCCGATATTGATCGAGGTCGTCCAGAATGAGATGAGTACAGCTGACGCAGAGATCTCTGCGGCGAAGATAAGGACCCAGCAGAGATAATAATTGAGGCCCAGGGCACATGAAAGAGCAGGGTCGACAAATCGGCCTGCGAGGCGGACGTGCCCGCCTTGCACTGGAAGGAAAGTCACCATCTCGCCGATGAGGAGCATGACAGCAATCGCAACGGTGCACATGAGGGAGTATGCAAGCCACACGCCTATCCGTTCCAACGCCGGGATAAGAGCCACGAAGAATAACGGTAGCCGAAATGTGCATACCGAGTGGTCCACCCTTTGCCAGACTCCCTCCTATTCCCAGAAATATACCTGTCGCATTGAGAGATATTGAGTGGAAAGGTCCAGTCAAAGTCTCAGTATACTTATGTACACACCTGTTCCGATACAAGCACCAATGGATATGAACGCCAGATGCCTTGGCGCGAGTCCTCTTTTCAAGCCCTTGACATCATAACTGTTCAATGAACGGAGGTCGTCAAAGTCTTTGTTTTTCTCTACGGCAGTCTGCTGCGGTTTGTCGTCTGCCATGGGATGTTGGGATTACAACGTTGGGCTCTGCAGGGGAGGAGGAGCAAATTGGACGAGTCAACGCAGATGAATGTCAGCTCTGAGAGCAGTTGACAACCCCTGGGAGCAGAATCTGTTCGGGTACAGAAACAGTCGGAATGCGTTCACGAAACTCTCACATTGCGCAATGGAGCGCCCTCACTGCCGTGGAACGCAGTCATATGCGTCTTCCCCGTGAGGAAGTAATTCCACAAGGGACCAGATAAAGAGTCCCGTCCTTGATCCTATTCGGACTCTTATCGAAAGGAAATGGTTGGTCGTTCAGTACTGAGGATAGACAAGCAATTTGGGTTACGGTGAACGATTGCTTGTTGTACTTTTCAAGATCGCCCAAACGACCTTGCAAATACCTCCGCGTCATATGAACCGAGAAGCTACTAGGGCTAGGAAGAACTCTCTGAGCTAGAATAGAGCCATGGTGTAGACAACTGGACGTACCATAAGTGCTCTGGGACTATACATGATCCTATAAAATCTTCGTGCACACTCAAAGAGGTGAGATAAAACGTGTAACTGTGAGCTTATCATCCAAAAGGACAAGGATAGCATCGGATGATAACTAAACCGAAACTCACAGTGGGTTTTCCTATCTTTTAGCGTCAGATCGTCTATGACGTAGGGGTGTGACCTTTTGTTGTCCTGAAGCATCATTGCGCGGAAGAATTCGCAGTCACTAAAGATAAAAGGAGTGCAAATGCGAGGGTAAGTCTGAACGTGAACGACTGATTATACAGGCAGACTGACAAGCAAGGATGCAGACCACGAATGTAGACTTACGAGCTCCGTGTTGAATATCCTTTCCTCTGGGCCTTCGAATACTCTGTTCGCTCCGGGGTACAGTTCTCAACTAACTTCATCGCCAGCAAAGCCACTATGCATTCCAGTCTCTGCTTCACACGTCAATGTCACGATAGCTCTCCCGATCAAGTTTCTCTTCGCTCTCCTTGCTCTCCTTATTGTTTGCTGACGTCACCATCCTCCTCTTTCCGCCTCTTTTACGGAGTGCATTGGACCAGTGGGACAAGGTATCGAGAGAGAGGACTGCGTGAAGTTGAGTATAGGACATCAGAGGATCGGAAATGAGGGTCCTCGAGAATGCAAACGAAAGGGGCGCGAGTGGAGAGCCGGAGCCAGGACGGAAACCGGAAGCAACCAGTTCTAGAGGTCAGACAAAAAACGAGATCCAGAGGTGCAGACGCCAGCGAAGGTTCGTGCCGACGAGGTTGGAGTAGGACTATGGCTAGGGCTAGGAGCGCTTTAAGGTGCTGGTATGAGAGAACCAAGGGTTCGAATCGGCATTCGTGATCCATTTTTTAGTGGGAATTACTCAATTGTATAATGCATCGTCCAATCCGCCCAGTCCGTCCAGCATGCATCCTGATTCTTTCCAGTACCGTACATAGGTCTTCAGATCAGGTCCGACCTGAATCTTTGATTCCGCAGTGAAAGGAGTGAGCGGGAAGCATTCGTCGTCGCCTAGTCACAGCAAGTTCATAGAGAGCTAGCACAGTGGCGTGGCTTCTTCTAGAGGGTGGAAAGAGCATTCGAAGCTTAGAATTACGACCCAGTGGCGCCATTTCCCCAGCTCGGTCGGCCTTAGCTATTCGAGACCATGGACTGAGCTGAAAGGATCATCGGCAGTGGACCACGACGTTGACGTTGAAGAGAGAGCGGCTGAAGCAAGAACGACGAATCGTCATGGTGCGACGGAACGGGATAAGCCACGAGGTCGTCGGATCCAAACCACGCGAGCCATCCCGAGCTGATAAGATCAGCATCGAGCGCTCCGTTATTCTAGTTCTCACTTCTCTTTGATTCCTCATCTTTTTGCGCCTCTTCTTTCTATGCTGACTGCCTCGTCTGCGTTCCATCTCTTCTTTCTCTATGATGCTCTAACCAGTGCGTGCGCTATCCTGCAATTTAAACGGGCTTCCTGTACGCTCTGCGTGAGTTACACTCGGACCGAGCAATATCCAGGAACCTGAACAGGGGATACACCGGAATGGGCAGGATGGTCATCATCGCTGAATCGGAACCAATTGGATGTCTCTAGAGTCCCCACCATCGTATATCTGAGATATATCTGTCATGAGCAGCCCGTCATAGTTGACCAATGTGGAGCTCGACGTACGACTGCGGCCAGTGTGGTTACCCCCTGTGTCCTGTGACTCATACTTGCAGCCGGGTGGGTGCGTTCGTACCACTGTAGCTCATCTGTATGATATTCCGAGATACTTTGACTTAGAATATCTTCTCCTCTTTGTCGAGCACGAGGTCTACCAAACGATGGTCTCGATAGCGGGGGAGTTCTGGTCACTAAGCCTTGGGCGCGGTAGAAGTTGCGAAGATTAAGTACCAACTGGTTCGTGACTAGATTGGTTAGGCTATACATGTCTGATGTTAGAATCCATAGATCAGTCTTAAAACCAAGAAAGCTCACGCTGAGTAGTAAGGGTTGAGATAGGCGAAGGACCTCGCTCCTGGAGACTGATTTGTATAGTGTTAGGATGGTCCAAATGACCGAAGTGATCACAGCAGCGACTTACATTCGGTTTTATGAGAGGAACCTACAACAGATCATGAGATCGAGTATTGGACAATCATGCCATTCCTGACTTACTATGTTCGATATTGAGTATACTGCTCCAAGAACTCCCACAGTGCTAAAGGAGAGAAATTGATAGCGGAATATTAAGGCCCCGATAGTTCGATACTAGATCCAGCGAAAAAACAACCTACAGAAAATGAAAGAAGCCTAGAGGAGAAAACATTGTCAGTGTGCTCAATATGAATAGATCAATTGTGTCACACACCGTCGTCCAGTAAAGCATGTGCAATACTCACGCGTCCCAGATCCTTCATAGCTTTTGCTTGATCACGCGTCTTCCTCACCGTGAGGGCGAAGAGGAATATGTCGAATGTTATACCGAGAGTCGGTATAACCGTGTTCACTGCGTTGTCTTTAGTGTGGCTTCTCTACAAATCAACGTTGAGACCTACAACTGGTATCGAGGTCAGTCGAGCGAGGCATTCCAAAAGTAAGGACCATAAACACACATATCCAAGACCTTGAAGTTCTTGACTTCGATAAGACAGCGATCAATCTGCTGCAGAGGTGTCCCTATGTTCGATGTGTACTCGGCATTGACTGTTTGCTATATATACGTCATGAGCACTGATCATCGTGTATGATCCCGGACAGACTCACCCAAATATCACAGAATGCGCGAGACAGGATTAAGGCAGTGGTAGCCAATAGTACGATCCTACTGCGACCGTAAATGCCGTATAATCGAAGTGACAGAAGAGCTGACAGCTTGAACGTCAGCCATAGTTCCAGTTCATATGTCTAAGTACGTACCAGCGCTCGTTGCAGTTGTCAAGGAGAAGAAAACGATCTGTAGATGGCCTGCGGATGAGCACCTGTCACGAGCATTAACATATGGGTCAGGTTACAAATAATTAAACGAATGTGCGTACCATCTGCCCGTGGTCACTCCCGGAAGATACAGGAAGAGTTCGAAAGCCAGCGCTATCAGATACCCATAACGATTGACAGCAAACAAGACGGAGCTGCCTGTCCACTTGCGCCGCCATATTACATTCACTTCGATGGGAAGCGTTTGGATGTAGTCCATCATCCATATTACTTGAGAATGCATGAGTATATGAGTTCAAAATCGGGCCAAAACACGAACCTGCAGCAGACACGATACAGCACATCTCAAGAAACCTTGAAGATAGGTCAGTAGGGATGGGTCAAAGTGGCGGCATGGACCAAGAGGACTTACCCTTGGGTCGCATTGGTAATTAACTCCTCTTTTGAGTCGGACATGGAGAGATGCAAAGGTGCTCTGAACACGGGTGGGTTTTATGTACCTTTCACCCACAATTCTAGTCTATTCATCTCATAAGATAGAACGACATTGACCAGCGAGAGACCGAAAGGGACTTCGCGATTCATTCTATCGTTTCCATCAAACGGAAAGATCAAGGAATGCGAATCATTCACGTCCTCGAAGTGGCGTCGTCGCAAGACAGAGGGAATCGCATCACCCTGAATAGCAGATGAAACTCGCATATCTGCTAGGTATGGTGGTCATCGTACCACGTCGTATTCCGATTTGCATGACTGTCCTTCCAACCATCGTTGAAATACCTGCAAAAGGACATATTAGCCAGTGGATGTCTTAGCGAACCCAGAGATCTCAGACGAGCAAGCACCGGTTATTCAAGTTTCGACGTACCATCATGATCGTATGTGGCCTCTCAATACTACTTTCGGACATTGCATTGCAATTTCTTCGGTTATGCAGCTCAAGTCTCGTCAAAGATATCTATGATACTCTGGCGAGATCCCTGACCCCCCGCCGCTCTTTCTCGCCGCCCTGAGACCTTCAACGGCACTGAAGGAAGTCCAGGTTATCCTAAGGAGACTACGCTCGGATAATCCTCAACGGAATGTCCATACGCCATGCCGGCGTCGATAAGCCCGAGGACAGTTATTCTCTACCACGAGATAAATATTAAGACCATAAGACGACAGACTCTGCATAACCGGATGCTTTTCTAATGATGGCCAGGTATGTATCACTCCATCTTCGATGCAAAGTGACAGACATGTCCTCGCTGCTGTCATATTTCAAAGACAGGGGCTCAATGCATCTCAGGTTCGATCAATCAAGACATAAAGTCGTCTAATGATTCCCGCAACCTCCACGACCATGAACAAATTAGGATGACACTCGAGCTGAGAGACAAAAGTCCTACACTGCCCGAAGGGCGAAACAGGCACTTCTCTCGACGAGTTCGTATCGACACTGGTAAGATGCCTTGGCACATAAGAAGTGACTTCTTGGCTTCTCCAAGCTCATGGTATAGCTGTCTGTAGAGTATTGGGTTGGTGCAGCGAGCCTTGTATGGCGACGAGCTGACAACGCATAAATGTGAGGAGAGAAGACAGAGCGTTGCCTGGGTTTCAGTCAGCGACACAAAACGGTACAGACTCTCGACTCCATGTTGGCCCCATTCACCGTGTTCTATTCCTCTCTAGAGATGTAAAATCGCAACTGATTGCCCTTTACGATCTGTTGTTGGGATCCGACCAAAGCCACAAACATTCCGTCGATTATGGAGAATGGTACGGCATATGCATATGGACGTATGCTCCGACCACGGTCCATTTTTTTTTATCAATGCCACACAAACCTTAGGCCATGATGGAGTCAAATCGCAGCTCGTGCAGCTGAAACCAACGGACAGTCAAATTTGGGCGAATGAGAGTGAGATGATGGAATGGATGTTCGACAGTAGTGAAACAGGAAGGCTAAGCTTTGACTCGAAGTTATCGTGGTCAAAAGCGTTCGAGATGAACAGCAGAGCTGCTCGCAGTGTCCATATTGCACAACTTCGTTGTCCACTGAGCTGACTGGTTTCAACGAAACACAAGCGCAGAATGGACTCAATGGGTGAAAGCGGACTGCGTGGTGTACGGAACAAGAGAGGAACATCAAGCCATAAAGCAGCCGTACGCAGGTGTTTATGCCACATCCAAGTGGCACCTCGATACGCCACCACGACAACGGTCGCAGCAATTCCCGAGTATATCAAGGGAGACGCACCTTATAGCAATATTGCATCAAGGTCTATTATGCTGGACTTGGCGATTGGTGGATCGATAGGGAGGCGTCCATGAGAAATCGTGGAGCCGACACACGAGAGCGCATGAAACACCGTCAAGGCTGAGGCAGGCGAACTGGCAGCGGTGCACGAAGGCTGCTAGGAACGTTCTTCTTCGTCCTTAGGTCGTCCTTGTCTTCCGTTGAATGAGTATTCCGCCCATGGAACACACGGCTAACTAGGGTTCGTCAGTCGATCTCTCAACTTGAACCTAGTACTCGTGCCGTAGCTTGGTGGCGAAGAAAACACGCACGATTTGAGGAAATTTCAGGTCAAGTGAAATTCGACTAGAGCCGTGATTGATGTGCATCTCGAAATGGCGCAAAGACGTTTGTGGACGACGGTAACGTTTACAGGCACGAAAGCGATGCGATACATGCGTCTTGATAGGTATATCGGGCGGCAGAGGTCGATATCGTGACCTGTCTAGGGGATTATATGGGATGACCCAATCAGCTCAGCCTGATTGGGATGAACACGTATAACGGGAAACACAAAAGTGGGAACGATAATCCATACCAGTGATGTTTTCACTCCATCGGCCTCTGCACGTTCTGACACACTCAAGCTGGTGGATGCATCCTCTCCCACCCGGTATCCGGCCACAACCTGATCATCGATCGTCCCCGTCTCTGTCTCCACCTCGATGTCCTTTCCGACCTCTCCGAGCCCCTCAGCTTCATCTGTTTCGTATATCCGCATGACTTCCACAGCTCCGCCTCCCGCTTTTATCTCTGTCGTCCTCAGACTCGGATTCGGAAGCGCGACTTTCCCACTACCGTCGTCGGCTTCCGTACAATCCGCAGCACGAAAACGCACATTGTCCCCTTCGACGTCTGGCTTCCGCATCCGAGCCAGGTACCTCGCGATGCACGAGATCTCAGACGAGGATATGGGGAATGCTGCGCTATGACCGGTTGGAGATGTAGAGGCGCTCTCCGTCGAAATGGATTGTGCGAATGCCAAGGTTCGAAAGGCGGGTTCTGTCTGCGTGGATGGGAGGGTCATCATGATGAGGGGGATGGGGAAGAAAGTGGCGCAGTATTATATTTCTGTCAGCCATGACCATCGGTCTTACAAGTCTAGCAAACATCTGACGGTTTTTAAAGGGATCGAAGAACAAAGGGAATTTCGTAGAAGGATGCGTACCTTTCGCCTCATACATTACACTCAACGCATCAACTTCCTTCATCACCGTCGAGATCGCTCTATCCTCATCCTCCGCCAAGCTAGGTATCTTAGCCAGATCCTTCGTGTTGAGCCGGTGATATGCGATCAGGGACCGTCGTGATAGACAAAGTCGTGAGCGAAGAGATAGCATGTGTATAGCTGGTCATGCCCGCATCAAAGAAGAGATGAAACAATTCGGCTTTACAGCTCGTAGTTTATGTTGAAGCCGCCCATTAGGCCTCCAATAGCTGGAAGGGTTGGACAATGGTCAGCTTGACGACTCATGTTCAAGTTTGGATGAAGGCAATGAGATAAGCTGCGCATGAAAACGACGCCACCTTCAGCTATATCATGTCAAAGTATTCGCACTTGTTGAGACAGCATGGACCATGATATGACAATAAGTCAGTCGATATTAAGGTGTTCAGCCTGGTCGTGGTTGTAATGAGCAAGGGATGAGTGCCACTGTGATGTGGCGTTCGGCCAAGAGCCGAAGGCTTTAGAAAATAACATGTACAAACAACCACGTCATTTTCTTTCGTTGACAACCTCGCGCCGCATGCCCAACTCCTGTTCTGTCTTGTTCTGTCCACTCGCTCCCTGCGTATAAAGACATGGATATTGCACTCTAGAAAGTGATCTCTACGGTGCACGAGCAGGGTCAGGTCCAAATCGGGGTCGGACTTGCTCCTCCACCTGCGGCCGCGCCTTTCCGGGGTCTCACTTGTCTCCTTCGTTGTTGAATGTGGCTGTCACGCAGCCTCACGCTAGCTTAAATACCACTCGCCTACAAACAGCATCTACTATGCCTGGTCCGCAGACCAGGAACAACGCCGGCGCCCCTCGTATCATTGCTCCCAAGATTGCTGCTTCTGGCCTTGTCAAATGGTTTTTCTCTACGGGTTTTTGATCACGCTTGTCCCTACAATCGTCGATTCTGGTTCTCATCGGCATCTTCGACTGTGCGGAGGCATTACTTATTCTCTGAATTGGATCTTCTACGTGTACCGATACTTTAGTAGGCCTCGGAAAGAGGCGCCGACCACAGGTGGTGCGCTTGGTTCCCTTTTAAACATACTTGTCTCTAACAGCCACTACTTATACGGGGCCCGGGCAACCTGTATTACAGATATTAGGATATCAATCTTAAGTATCTGGCTCCGGTCATACAAGAGCATGTCTGAGGGCTGTTGTGTTGACAACGTTCAAGTTGGAACTGCCGTTCATTTCATATGCATGTTCCGGGTGTTATTCTGCTGGTCATTCTTCTTTCTTGAAGCAGCGGAATGCGACAGCGAATTGATATTGTCCCTCTCGAGTTCATTTAGACCAAGGCCAGCCTTGCCTGTGTCATTTGTTGAGCCCGATGAGCTGATACTAAGGGAAGTCAGCAATCTTTCGCCTTGTTCCTTTTATGGTTGCGAATCAACTCTGGCTCGATACCAGCCAAATTCGGCCCAATGTCATTGCATCTTTTGTTTTGGGCTATCACTGCCCGAGATGTATGCAGGTCATACCTTAGATCATTAATGATATACAATTTTGTCTCACTATTCAATTTGTGCTTGTCCTCAGACTCCATCGCTGAGCCTTTCCCTTAGTCTATCATCCATAATTTTCACAAAAAGTACAAATGAGATATTGACGCTGTCCCTGTTATCAGTAGTAAGAGACATGACAGACAATCCAAGGACTTGATTCTTGGATGCTCCAATACTTCGGAGACCTTCAGATGAGGTTGAGCTTTTCAATTTAAGTACTAGGTGATGGAGGAACGGTAGTGAGTCCACAGGAAAGAACTGTGGCACCAGAAATTGTCTTTGCTATCTAGACCTCGCAGTCCGCTAGCCACATGAGATTCACACTTAAATGAGTATATCATCCTATGTTATACTGCGTCGGAGAGGGCAGGTCACAGCGTACGGTACCCATCAAGTACCCATCACGGAGTTCCAGGACCCCATGAACCGCTGCGGAAGTTCGCTCGCCTTCCCGATTTGGACCTGACCCTGCTCGTGCTCCGTAGATCTCGAAGTGAATCTATTGTCTTCCGGATATTCTTTATCTGCTTATGAGCTCAGTCTACGTCGAGCACTGGAGGCCCCGAGAGGGATTCGGCGACCGATCGCAGGGCAGAAGAACATTCGAAAGGGCCACAACCGGGGCTTTCAAAGATATGGTACGTTTCATTCACCCAAATGTTCGCCTAGAGCAGCAATTCTCCACGGATTATGAGCTGGGCTCCTTGACGAGTAAAATACTAGGAAAATCATTCGTTGGCGCAGCTACTTGTCTTTCACCGAGCTTAGTGAATCCCAGGCTTTCGTACCACGCAGCCTCCAAGGATCATTCATGAATGTTAGAATTTATGACCAATCCATTGAGACAAAATATAGACTGCTTACATTGTCCAAGGTCTGCGTAGAGAGCCCCACCATTCTGTGTTCGCGCGCCGCCTGAACTAGGCGTTAGTTCTTTGTTTGTGATGTGATTTCGATGTACGTCGCACCTGGTCACAGATTTCATTCATAATAGATGTGGCATGGCCTTTGTGCTGCTCAGCAGGGTCGGTCGCGATGAGACTGACTACCCATTCCGTTCCAAGCTGTGAAGGCCGTAGTGGATTCAGTCTCAGGAACAAGATACAGTCCAAAAGGGAGAAGCACCCGACGCTTGCCTTTGTGCCTAGTAGAGATTTCAACCATTGAACATTATCCTTTTGAAACTAGCGAGTGATGAAGACATCAGTAGAGACCATAGAAAATGCGAGCATATCGCAAACTTACGCCCTCCCACCAATGTTTCGTTTCAGGAGAGAGTCCATCCCAGAGCTCATAAAATCCCAGTTTCCGCTGCTCTTCGCTGGATCGAGGTATAAGTCAGTATGAGATCCGCTGTGCTAGGGAACTCACCTTCCCCAACAAGATACACCCAAGATACGCCTGGCGGGAAGCAAACAGACACCGAGGAGACCACAGAGGTATTTTTTCCGTCGTTCGCGATATAGAATGAGCCTTCAAGTGCGCCACCTCGTAGCATAGAGCGGAAGAAAATGTCGGTGAGCTTGAGATCATCTCCAAGCATAGCCTTTAGCGCAGTATCTGTGACACGTTCAAGTTACCAAAGAAAGTGGCACAGCAGTCCATACACTAACCGCCGTCATATGCGCGAATACAGATTCCGACTGCTTGGTCAATCTGGGCATCTACGACAAACTCTGTTGGGGGCTGAATATGCCTTGGAGAGGTTGAGCTTACCCGTTGGATGCGGTACAAGGTATGCTGGCATGGAAGCGGTATGAGTGGGGATGGTGGGCGTGAGCGAATCACGACAGTAGATACTTACCTTCGTCCGGTTAGATGGCATCGTTGTGAGCGGAGCGGCAACATCGAGTTCCTGCCGAGTTGCTCATGAGAGAATTCGGAGCAACATGCATCATCTTCTGTCGCTTGCTCAGTCCAACATGATGTTCTGATGCTCTGATACGTTTGAGCGTGTGTACGCATATTGCTTCCACGGAGCGCTCTTGATGTGAACTTCTTGAAAAGAAATAGCTAGAGCGATCTGTCAATCAAGACGGGTCTGACGATCGAGTACGATTTCTTCGTGCCTTATCTCGGATCAGCGCTTGCACCTGCTCTAATCCCATGGTAGAAGATGCACGCAAAATGGATAGCAACAGGCTGGCAACAGGATATATCGGTGATGATGTACGCCGTGACAAGCCAAAACGATCCGGGTATAATCTGGTTTGGAGATCGGGTCGAAATAGGATAGCCATCACAATTAGCCGCACCGTAAAGCAGCACAAAATACAGACAAGAGAAAGGAAAAAACAGTCGAGTATGAGCAGGTCTGAGTCAAAACTCGCACTGCATAGTCTAGGCATTGGACGGCAAGAGTCGGCGGAAGAGACGCCGGGATGGGTATACTGCTATGGAATTCTGATTGATATTGGGCGTCGAAGGAGTAGGCCTGAAGAGCGCTTGGAGATGTGTGTAGGAACAGGAAGTGCCATGGTGTTGGTGGGCCCAGAGAGATAGGGTTTGTGATACCTATCCAAGGTAGCGTTAGGAATTGTGATGTGCAAGACAAGACACAGAAGAGGAGAAGACGGGGTTAGAGTAGAGGTCATCCTGTTTTAGCGGGACGAAGACGTGACGCTCTTCGAAACAAGCGACGAGATCGTGCATACCGGGAGTTGTAGGACCGTACTGTGTTAAATTGGGGGATTGGAACACGCAACATAAGGCGAAGAGAACTGCACGATTCGCGTTCGAAAGCATTAGTAGAGATAGGACGTGGAAAAACCCTTGAGAGCACGAGGGAACGACACCGAGGGCGAAGAGTATAGTGTCAGTAGAGAAGTAATGAAGCACAGGAGAGAGCGACACACTCGACGAAGGAGTCTACGGTCCAATCCATGCGGCCCACAGTGTATCCGACTTGACAGTCTCCAACATCGGACAACCTCTTGCTTAGGTTTTCAGACCTTGTTCGGCGATGTTGTATGAAATTAAATGTTCCGCGGCAGGAAAGAAATGCATACCATGGACTATTCAACCCACCAGGCTCACAATAACCGAAAAACATGAAGCGTTTGTACCTTGCGTCTTGTTGGTTCGAGTTGCTGCTGTACGAAATCCGGAGTTTATGTTACAGTAGATTGTCAATGACAGCCGCGAACCCAGTGGCATCACGCATGCTTGTCGAACAGATCCAAAGATATATTCATGGTTATCCAACCATCTGCATTGTCCTAAATGTTCTGCGTAAGTGAATGGCAACAGGCACACAGCAAGAGTCGAGCAAGGCGAAGTTCTTGTTTGGAGGGACGCAAGAGGGATGCGAGCCCGGAGGATGACGGAGCTGGCCTGAGCTGGCGAGCAATCCCGGACTGATAAGATAAGATTACGGCAGCGCTCTCTTGGCGCTCTCTCCGATCGACTCTTTTCCCTCTCCCTCATCCTGTTCCTGCCTTCGGATCGTTGTCGTTCTCTACGAACTCCTAAACCAAGGAATCGCATGCTAGCTTCATTCTCAAAACAGCTTTCTCTGATGTAAAAAGCCGGACTGTTCTGATCTCTGCTACCGCAGGGTGCAGCCAAGGTGCAGCGTTCTGCTTCAGCCCGGCCTTATCCAGGTTGTTCAACAGTTCCATGATAGGTTTGAACTCATGGACAGGTTGGACGCACCTGGCCAGGGGTCGTGTTTTAGGTTATATTCGGAGTGAGTCGAAGATTGGTCGTACGTTGGGGAGATGTTGGTAGGGAGGATAGCGGAAGTCTATGTCGATAAGAAGACGAATGAGGGAGGTGGAAGGACAGCGGAGCTCGCAAGATGCTTGTCGAGGGTTGTTGGAGGACAAGGTGGAATCGTCTTGCTACTTTTCAACAGGTTCGTATCCATGTCTCAGATCATTTACGCGAGCTCTCGAGATCGTTGTCTTGTCTCTCGTGCATTGATACTGATGCTAATGTATCATTCAGGACCATCATATGGCGTGGTTCGCAGCGCTGAAAAAGGGTTGGAGGTGGAGCGGCTGGATCGTCGAGGTGGTACGTCTTTCTTCATTTCTCTTCGTCATACCTCTACCGTGTCGAACCTTTCTAATCACCTTAGCTGTGTTCGATAAAAAGGGGTTGACCGTATTACTTTCGACGCATGCTTTCCTCGTTCCACTCTGCACGACGATTGGAAGTGTAGATACTCGCACTCATGGATGTCTGTGGATACTTAGTCAATGAATGGGTCGACTAACGAATTAATGGTCGCTATCTGAAACCGCTCCGTACGTACGAGTGGGAGCCGTATCGGAATCTTTTCATCCTGAGGAAAAGAGAGAGCTTTAGTGCGTATTTTATTTTATCTCATTCTTTTCTTTCGATCTCCACATCCCGTTTCGCCTTTCTTCTGTCCTACTTTTCTATCTTACTTCACCTTTTTGTACCTGCCTTCTCGCTCCCCAGTCAAAGTATGGCTGCCATATCAGCTGTTCGAGCTTGTGCAGATGTGTCCTTGTTTCTAATCCATTTTTTTTTGTTATTTCGAGGACACTTCGACCGTCTCTTCGCTTCGGTATCGTATTCTGTCCATTTTTGAGCTAAACAACCTTATCGGCAGGGTCTTGTTATCGGGCGAATGAACAGACGGACGGACAACCAAACGGACTATCGTGCTTGGCCCTCTCTCAAATAGCCACATATCTTTGCGGACCTCCCCAAATTGTGCTCGATCGCTCATCACTACCACCACACATCAAATCTCAGCGATAATCGTTGAAACCATCGTACTGAGACCTTTACTCGTAATCACATTCCATGTCCCAGTCTCGAGCTCAATCGCCCCGAGTTATTCCTCGCCACCGCCACATACATGTCCACATCTAAACTCCCCACCACAATCGTCCTCAAAAACTCACGTCAACCGAAAACGAAAGTCCATCCGCGGTCGAAGACTCTGTGTATGTATTGTGGGGCCGAGGAGAAGAGATGGGCGCAATACTCTTCCTCGTGAGACATCCCAGAAGGAAAAGGAGCGGGCTTGATGGTCTCGTGAGTCGTGTGCAGTTTAGAGGGGGGCATAGAGGAAGTAGTTCATGGAGCTGGGGGATCAGGAGGGCCGAGCGGGGAAGGTGACGTGACTGGTACGTTTCGCACCATGTCTCTTAGTTGTTGAATTTTTTCTTCACTTACACGTGTTTAATCGTATTCCTTGGTGTAGACGCATTCACATCGATGATGAGCAGCATGTTTGCCCCCATAGCGATGATTTTTCCGAATCTTTTGCGGTGCTGAGTGGCGAGGACGGTGTAGATGAACATTTGACACGGCGAACAGGCTATATGTTCGCGGCTGCAGAGGAACGAGATCTGCCGGCGCCTAGTCTGGTATCGTGAATGCACCGCATATGTGTACTCTAGACCATTTTCTTCGGGAAGGGCGGTCACACTGATACTGTTCTGCGATAGTCTGCCAGGAGAATTTACGAACCCAAAAGTTATACAGATTATCAGAACTAGTGAGGTGTTATGTTCTGCCTGGCATGAGGCATGGGCCACGATGTCCGAGGAGCGCCTCCGCACACTGGAACGGAAAAAATCTACCAGCTTCTGGTAATGCACCATCAGTGGAGAATCTTATGTCTATAATATCCAGTAGGCCGTTCGCATCCCGTAAGTAGAGCATATTTCTAATCCCTACCATACCTAGACAAGCGTGTCCAACGCGCGCCTACGCATGTGGAGAAACTCTCTTGTCTTCCCGATTCTGATGTCGACCCCAGAACCGTCCGTCTTCCATTCTTTTGAATATGGCTCTGTTACCTCGTTCGATTTAGGAGATGGCCGCCCGCCTTCACATCGAGTGAGACTATGGTAGCAGCTGATATCAATCAATCTCACAGCCCGCTCAGTATGGCTATGCTTCTTCTCTCATATGCAGCAGCCTGTTCAGAGATCAAACTCATTGTGATTCCCCAATACTATTCTCTTCCCTTTGACGATTGCAGAGCGCAACAGATATCATACATCGCCAGCTAATAGAGTTTGGGCCAAATGTCTTTCCATGTCATCAATTCGGCGATGTGCGAAGCACGGAGAGCGCCTTCAAGGGGCGCCGACCAACGAAATTCGTTTATAAGACATGCTTGATCTTCACAAGGTTCGCTGTCCAATGGCGACTATCATGTTTCCTCTTCCCGTTACGAACTGGACCGTAGTTCACGCTGCATTGCTCATTTCAATCGTGCTCGTATACCGCAGGCTTTTTGTACGACGGAAATCTCCTCTTGATCCGTTGCCTTATCCAGACGTGAGTGATATACTGGAGAATCACAGCTGTAGACATAGACTACCTCCTAACAAACGATATTCAGGAAGAACCAGAGTGGATATGGGGCCACGAAAAACGGGTTTATGACAGCCCTCCAGGGCAAGCGTATTTACGGTGGATGAAGAGCGTTGGGCATACTTATCGCATTTGTGCTGCCCTTGGTGTGAGTGTTTCCTCCACCTCTTGAATTCGTCGCTGAGTCGTCAATCTGTTTTACAGGCCCCGGACGTTGTGAGTATATTGTGGGGGACAGTTCCCTCTCGGTACTGCTCTGATATATCTTGAAGCTGGTTCTTGGTGATACGCTCGCCATTTCTTATATTCTACAAGAGAAAATTTACGACTACCGTGAGTGAATTACTCTTTCTGTTAGCATATGATACCATACCGTAATATCGCTTCCTGTGCCCTAGACCATAGCGCTGTCGTACGCCCTAGGGTGGCTCGCTTCCTGGGAAAAGGCTTAGGCTGGGTCGAGGGAGAATCCGAGCATAAAAGAATGAGACGTCTTGTTAGCCCTGCATTCTCGTCAGTGTTATATCTACAGTTACAACCTTTCAACATCTGCGTCCGTTTCTGACCGTTCCTTGCAGGGCTCAAACCGTTAAAGACATGGAAGGCGAAATATTTCAAGCAATGTCTACGGCTAGTCTTAATAGTCAGTGGTTATCTGATCATCGTTAACGTTTTGGATCAGGTCTTAGATGATCTATCACAAGCAGTCGAGGACTCGGATGGTGAAATGGGCGTAAACATATTGTCATGGACGAATCGAATGACGTGAGTCCCATCCGGCAGATCTTGAACTATTGTTTACGTTTCGACCGCACTACAGCTTGAATGCAATCGGACGCGTCGTATGTCTCTTATATCTCAGCCTACGTTGACTACCGTGTAACAGCGTGATTCCCAGGCATTCTTGTACGATTTCGAATCCGGGAAGAGTCGCGAGGCACAGCTTATACTGGACACAAGGCGCAGGTCGCTGACCGGTATTGCTCGATACGCATCGTTCTTAGTACGCAGCTTGGTTCACCCCTATTCCAACATTATTGAGACCGTCCACCCTCACAGACCCTCATGATGCTCAGGCGGTTCCCTGCCCTCAATAGCCTTCCTGTACCCGCCCTTCAGGCGCAAAGCCTAGTTACGGCAACCATAAAGGTACGTCCCTTGACAGTTTTTTAGCTCAGAAAGATACATGAATACTTTCATAGTCTGTCGTAGCCAAGGAGATCATAGCGAGAAGTTCTTCAGCATCTGATCTCCGAACTCGAGGCAAGGACCTGCTAAGCCGACTCTGTGAGTAACTTGAAATCTCTTGACGATTGAAGCAGCGATGTCTCACACGAATATGAAGTGGTAGCTCATGATGAGCAGCACCTTTCAGTCGAGGAGATGTACGAGCACGTGCGTATAACACGTCGGCTTTAGATGGTTGAGGTCATAATCTGAAAGAGATTCCAACTAGATATCAACGTTCTTGTGAGTTTCCTTAATCTGCCGCTCAAGATATATCCCATCAATCGTTCTTCATCCAGAGTTTCTGGACAGGAAACTACGAGCCAAACCGTCGCGTTCTCCATCTACGAGCTTTCGCGTCACCCAGAGATCCAGCAGCGTCTAAGAGAAGAATTGGACACGTCTTACCCGTCTTCCACAGGGATGTCGCAGTCGCAGCAATCTTATCTGCATGCCGTGCTTAAGGAAACGTACGCCATGAAATATATTTCCATGAAATTCTATCTCAGTGCTGTCTCCTAGACTAAGGATGTATCCCGCTCTTCTGTACATGGAACGTGTTGCCACCAAATCTGATAGAATTCCGCTTCAGACTCACATCAGTCACGGTAAAGACCAGCCGCTACAGGACATTCATGTTGAAAAGGGCCAGGTCCGTGATTGATAGGCGTACAGCGATAATTACAGACACTGATTTTACTTCTCAAGACCGTCATCATCCCAATTATATCTCTCCACCGCTCCGACGCTATCTGGGGCGATGGAAATGTCTTTCGTCCCGAGCGATGGCTTGGGACTTTACCTGATGAGGCGCTGCGTCTTCCAGGATGGTCTAACTTGCTTTCATTCAGTGATGGGCCCCGATCATGCCCTGGGATGCGAATGGGTACGTTATTTTGTCGACAACTGAGCGGACGGTATTGACGGAAGCTGTTTTTAGCGATATTTCAGTCAAAGGTAATTTGTCTTAAATTGTTCAGACTCCGAATGGGTACTGACATTGTGCAATCAGCTCATATTGGGCTCTCTGGTCAAGAAATATCGCATAGAAAGCAAGAACTCAGAGATAGTTCTCAGGATTTCATCCAGTTTGCAGCCTTGGGTGATAGATGATTCGGACCAGGGTCCGCAAGTGCCTGTAAAGCTGCACATGCGGTGACCTCCTACCCTTATTCTGGCAAATAATTGCACGATATGACCACCATTGCTCACAGCGACCACTAAAGTGACTTTTCAATCATAAAATGCTGCATATCGTGATTCTATGGACACAGGGGTTGTTTCTCACTTCAATTCAGCATGACGCTCAGTTCTGTATCAATCCCTGCTCTGCCTTTCTACTCTCCTGCGAACAATTGATTCCTTGTCTACCGATCGCGGTCGAATGATGCACTTGAATGGGATAGGGTAACTGTGAATTGTGAGGTCCCCTGTCATCCTTCCAATGCGTTATTTGGAGGGCTCCCGGTGGGAATCATACCTTACTAAAGCTTCCGTAAATGATGGGGTTATCCTACTGTCCGGGTCTTCTGATATATCTAGCACAGACAGGATAGTTGCGATTGCAATGAAGGTCGAGTTGTCCGCCAGATATTTACCCGGGCAGACTCTTAAGACCGACCATTCTCAGTTTGTATGTTCCTCTTAATCGCAGGAATTATATCCATAATAACGCTGACGAACCTTCTTCCAAATCCAAACAAATAAGTGGAAGGATCGTCCGCTGCTTCGGAGGGGTCGAGAAACCGTTCCGGGATGAATTTTTCGGGATCGTATGTGTCGCTGTGCCTCCGTGTGAGTGCCCTTTGAATAGTTTCAGACCACGGTTATAAATCTGGGAAAGTCTTGGGACTGACCACACGTTAGGGAAAACGACAGTATCTTTTGGTACGAAGTATCCCATGTACACATCGTCGTGGTCCGTACGGCGAGCGATGCCTAAAGTGATGTGAGATAGAAAATTGATGAAAGCGCGGAGGTAGGACCGCTACTAACCCAGCGGTAACACAGGATGCCATCTCAAATAAATCACCACCATCATTATGAGCGAGTATGAACGGAAACATAAATGACGAACCTCATTGTCTCATTGATGACGGCTGCTACGTATTTCAACTCTGTCTTGTCCGAGACGACGGGAAGTCTGTGCATCCCTACAATTTCATCGATCTTCTTTTGGGCTTTACGTTGAGTCTCGGGATTCATTGCCATTGCCATGATGAAAGTAAGGATGGTGGCGTACGTCTGGTTGAATTGCTGATCAGTAATATAGTTAATAAATTTACATTATACCTACCGTTTCGCCGCCTGCTGATAGTTTAATTCCCATCAGTGCGAGACAAAAATAATCTGAACAAACCCAAGTCTGATACCTACCACCATATAAAGATCCAGTTGCCCACTTGACGGAACTCTCAAAAGACGCGGGGGCGTTATTTCGCAAGGTCAATAGTTCTCGAGTGAGAGATGGCGCAGCAATATCTTTCATCTACCTGGGATTGAACGTCCAAAATCAAGATTTCAATTCTTTAGATGAGCACACACCATCTCTCGTTGAACGTGTTCAAAGGGTCTGGTAACAAGGGTCTCGATCATGCTTCTCCCATAAAGTGCCTGCTTTCGAAAAGGCAACCAGGAAGGAAGATACTTCACTATGACTACGAAGTGAGTAGACTGATATCATATGAGTTCATGTAAGACCTACTCCAAGGCAACAAATCACAAATAAATGCCCCTGGGACCATTGCGTCACCCACAATTTGCATGGTTTCTTCTGCTTGAGTGACATACTGACATGCATTAGGAAATGAAGCCCAAAGAGACAAAATACATACTTACTTCATTACTGGAACCATCGATATCAACACCATATACCACGGAGAATATTATACGCTCCGCGTAACTACGGCAGGTAAATGTTACTCCTCTGAGGGTTTGTCCATTTGAATCAAGTCTGACTTACAGTCGTACATGATCAAAGAATCCCTCGGGACACGTGAGAATATCAAGCGCTAATATAGAAGCTAGGTTCTCCTGCACGATGCAGTACTTTCTCACGGCAGAGGGGTTCAAGGCAACGTGGGCGAGCTTTCTCTGCTCTCGCCACTCACGGCCGTACGGTAACATCGGCATGCTCTAGCAATGACGATTAGCTTCGAGATGTCGAAATATGACGCTCGTCTTGCCACAGGGAAGGACGATTCTCCGTCACCAATATCGACCTGTCCCTCTGGCAAGCTCACGATATGCGACTTACACGATCCAATCCCATCAGTTCCCCTAGCACAGTCAATACCGGCCGATGAGAATAGTTCTCGCCTCGCTTGTCGAGCAGATCCGTTATGGAGGTCATTGTGTTGAGAACAAGGACGCTGTTCCCCAAGCCGCGAAAGAAGATAGGTTCTCCTACGTGGTAAACGTAAGTGCAACAACACAATCCCCCGCATATGGTACTCCAGACCTACCACAGTCGCGATGCAGCTTCAGAAGGAATTTCCATGCTCCCGTCTTCGGAATGGTCATGATATTTCCAAGCACGGGTATCGCGGGCGGACCAGGAGGATATTGATGTGCACCGAAGCTGTCTCGCTTCATCTTTCGTATGAATATGAGCATCACAAGTGATACAAGTGGAACAACAAAGGATAGTATATAGTTCATGATGCACAGCGTAGAAGATGGGTGTAGGGTGGAGGGGCAATGCAGGCAAGCGCGCTGTTATAAGGTATATTATATCACGTATGTAACCTTCCTGCCTTATGTGATGTTATCTGCTGAAGTGCATGGAGAGGGATGCCTACAGTCACAAGGATGCAACTCCTCGGCTCTTGAAAGTTGGAAGGGACGTTTCTGACATCTGTTTCCCATGCTAAAATAGAAAGCCGAAATCGGCGAGAATCTAAACTCGGAGTTTGGAGAGAAACTCAATCGAGTTTCGCTCCACGGGAACGAGCGCTCACCACTTGAGTCTGGATCCTCAACCTTTCCAGTCTCGGTTTTTGGATTTCGATTTTCGACGAGTGCACGCTCTCTAATAGAACCGAGACACGAGAAATCCCATGTGATGGATATCATCCATCGAGTGTTATGTGATTAAAGCAGAAATTGCGCCGCAGTGCATCGTACTGAGAAGGTTGAGCTTTTCAAGACGCTTCAAGGTCAAACTCGTTGACTCGGACATGATTCTTCTTCTACTGTTATCCCTTCGGTCCATCTTCCAACTCGCCTTTTATCATGTATACACTTTATATTTATTCACTTCGACTGACTACAAAACAGTTTTTATCCCGGTTGTAAGACCTTCTCCATTGACATATCTTCCAATAACTGATTTATTCAATAGATGGTCTTCGCCTGCTCGACCGCTCCCATACATTCGGTCGCCAATCTTCTCCATGGAGGCACATGGATATGGATGCACCTACTTATGTGTAATGTCTCGAACCAACTGAGAGGGGAGCAGGAAGACGCTGTGAATCGACCGTGGAGACCACTGCCATCGACCAGAATGACCAAGAGGCAAGCCACGGCACTCCGCTGGTTTACGGTGGCATCATGTCTGCTCTACTCGTCCGCCTACGGCCACCGAGTAGTATACGTTACTGTCGGCCTTTTCTTCACAACATATGCATACGACGATCTAGGCTTCTCCCAGAGTCCGCTCGGAAAGAACTTTTGTAACGTTGGTGGATACGCGACCTTCGAGATCGGTGCCACAAAGATCATGGGTAAGTCATATTGTATCGCGCTGAAGAAATGGATTGCAAATAACAGGCTGGTATCATCTACTGAATAGGTACACAGCACGAGCTAGACACTACCTCACTCACGTCCGTTCTTCTTAGCGGCATGGTGATATTTACCACTATCCAAGTGCAGGACTATCCCGACATCGAAGGCGACGCAGCGTCTGGTCGGGTCACCTTTCCGATCTATGCACCCGAGTTCTCGCGATTATTCACGCTTTCAGCGATCATTATCTGGTCCTTCGTTTTGTCATGGTTCTGGGATATCGGCATCCTGGGTCAGTGCTTTCTCGCAGGATTGGGAGCATACGTCGGTGCTCGTTACTATCTCCATCGGACACCAATTGCGGACAAAAAGTCCTACAAGCTCTTCAACGTAATTATTTCTCGTCCTAGTACATTTTATCAGACGCTGAAATGTTTGCAATTCGGTGTAATGTCAGGTTTGGCTGGTGCTGATACATCTTCTTCCACTCCATGCCCGCATCCGCGTGTTTCTCTATTAGATCAATGACCTCCTGAATCTTGTTTTGTGGTAAGATTGATCGTGTTCAAATTGAGGTGTATCTGATACCACTCCTTGCCTAGGCCTCTGAAAATATGTTTTCCTCTTATTTTTCGAATCAATCTTCGGGGAGTCCGAGATATGCCGGAGCTGAAATGCACATCACGCCGCTTTACCTTCGTTCTTGTTTCTGGTTATCAGTACACATTTCCATGTAACTATGCTTTCGCAGATAGCTGAATAACACATCGGGAAGAGGATGGTGAGGATAGCAGTTATTGTGACTTGGAACATTCTACATTACATGCTAGCGTTAGACAGAGCGAGTCTACAATACCCGAAAGCACTCTTTCCGCTGCCATATCTCTCAATTCAGTGCTCTCTAGGACACTGAATTTGGTCAGATAGCAAGCATTTGCCATGCTGCCGAGATATGAATCTACATCGGAACGGTTTTGGAGCCCTGTGCGAAGACGTAACATGAAATGAGATATGACGTAGACAAATAAGTGAGAAATAATTACGGAGTAAATCCTTCCCTAACTTCCAGCGGGGGTGGGTATGCATTCCCGTCAACCATCTCCGGGGAGATTTTGAAGACTGTCAGAAGGCGAGTTATGGTAATAAAAAGTGTTGTATCCGCAAAATCCACTGCGGGACACCTTCTGCAGACAACGTCATCATACAGTGAATGGTAGCATGTCCAGAAGAGTGATCCACCTTCGTCCAAAACCATAAACAAAAGAGCGGGGATCGGGATTGATGTCCTTATCGGAGTTGAGAAAACGTTCGGGAAAGAATGTCTCTGGCGATGGATAGACGTTAGGATCATGTAAAATGGACCTGAAATATGTCAGCCAAAGTCCATCTTTTCTCCCCAGTGCTAAGATAGCTTACCACAGGTTGACGAGGATCCAAGTCTTCTTGGGAATAAGATGCCCTTCGTACTCCTCCTCTTCGTAGTTGCTACGGTTAACCACGGGTACGATAGGATTGAACCGGTATGCTTCTCGGATAAGTGCATCCACAAAGATGAGCGATGGGCGATCTCGACAATTCGGAAACCTATCTGTGCCGACAACAGACAGAATTTCCGCATACGCACGCTCTTGAAGATCTTCATGGTTTGCCATGAGGACGATAAAAGAAAGAATTGTACCTGACAACTGAGGAAAATATGAGAACTACAACATGATTTGGTCATCAAGTGTGTAAACTTACGGTCTCTGTCCCTGCTGAAGTCACCGGTGTGCGTAAGCGTTTCAGAAACCTCGAATACAGTATCAGTATCATACCACTAAACAAGCTGCCTGCGGCAGATATAACAAGTGACTCATCGATACATGATGGATATAGCGAGATGTTTTCCAGAGATCGTTTAACGAAGGACGTTCCCGCTTCATTTTGGTCCTAGGGTGAAAACGTCAACATCTCCAGTCAAGCGTGAGATGCAACAATTACCATTCTCTGCTTTACGAGCGCGACAGATTCATTGAGCAGGCGCGTGAACAGATTTCTTGCATCGATAGCGTATCTTTTGAAACCAGCACCGGGCATCCATGCGGGTACCCACATAACTATATTGTTCATGATTCACGGACTGTTGCAATGATAAAGATTATTAATATGTTGGAACGTACGAGCTGGAAAACTGTTCACGGCCCATCGGCCTGCCTCCACGGATTTCCCGGTGTGTCGCGAAACCTCGGCCGCCATTCGCAGATACTCTGGACTTGGCTCGTGGCCATAAGTAAAGCGTCCAATGAGTTTCTGTATATTGCTGAAAGAAGAAAAGTCTGTGGGAAGCGGGATGAATTCCTTTATGGTTATAGCTTACGCTTCAACCTGGCTGTAGAACCGTTCCGGAGAAACAATGAAATCTCTACAGAGATTATCCGCCTGGTAGTCGATGAGTTCAATCCACGTGGAGGTAACTTCAGTCAGGTTAAGGGCGGAGTGAAGCAGGGTTCGCATCCGGATGAGTCGCTTTCCGTAGTACGTGAAGCCAACATTGTTTTGTCTCCCCATGAGCTCGGCCATAGGTACACGTGGCCTGCAACAAAACGATTTCTTTCTTATCAGAAGATCTCGGATTGCTGTGCGACCACTGACAACCATCGGTGGGCGTGGTGCCGTGGACAGTGTGACGAGAGGACCTTGAACGCCTGGCGTTGAGAATCAGGAATGCGAAGAGAGATCGAAGTTCCATACCTGATTCTTTCGACCACCGTGAGTAAGCCATCCACTTGTGTTCATTTTCGCACACATTGTTTGGCGGCCCTAAAATTTCTGCAGTCAGTTCCACTCAGTATTTGTTCGAACATAATATCACGTACCAGGCGGAAGCGGGAGATACCGGAGTGTGAAACACCGTTTGAATATCCAGCACGCAATTCCAGCGAGCGTAATAAGCGATATTATCCAGGCGAATGGAAGATGCATTGCGAGGAAGTACTGAGATGAGCATCAACGAGGAATGAATTAAAGGGAATACTTGAGGGGCTATGTATCCTACCGAAGCTCGTTGTCTTTCCCTTCTCATCCCGTAACCATAATAGGTCCTGATGTCTGTTTTCGATGAAAGGATCGTTTCGACCATTGCGGGTTCATTACTTGTGGAGTCTTCGAATAATCAAAACACCGGGTTACGCGAGTCGCTGATACTGATTCAATTGTATGTGAACAAGCATGCGCTCGTGCATCCATATCGTACAGCATCAGCCGATCACCGTTCTTTTCCAAAAGGACCAGACACACTAGGGATCATGAGCTATGATTGGGGCCTTACCGCCCACGAGCGCTTCCGAATTGGCATCGATGTGTCGTATCCATGATGGACTGGCTCCACCCTTACTTCCCTCAATACGCCTTGAGATTCTCGCTCAGATAGTAGACTGAGATCGAGGAAAGCATCATTCCATCCAATGATGATCACATTCTGCGACAAATCATAATACTTAGCACTGATCATGACATAGGATATCGGCTCGCAGGTCGGATCCGCGGGGTATATCGTCTGGTACAGATTCGGAGAACCCTGGCATGTTCGCTGCATATGGAATTCCATCGAAGTGACGTCTTGAGTGTGAATCTCCCATATATCCCGATTGTTCTCGGGTAATCTCACGCCACAAACACCCAGTGCACTCCGGCACAAAATTACTTCCGTATCGCTATATACGTTCATAAGTTTCACTGCTCACTCGAAACGACTTTCTCAGCCCCTGCCTTGATAGCAACGTGTCATCATGTTGCATTTGCCAACGGAAACAGTTATACACGGAAACATCATCGCAACTGACAGAGTGAGAATAACAAGAAGTTCTGAGTACAAGGGGAGTAAGACGGTCATCAAACATGTCCATGCATCTTTTGCCTAGTGGTCCGCGCAAATAGAAGGAATGTATCGTAGTCTCTGCACGACCGACTATAATCACACTTTCCACGTCCCCTTTCTCTTCACGGTCATCTGCCTGGATATCACCAGGCATCCGACCCCGGCCAAGATGACCACCTTTGAACATGCACAACACCGTATCATAAACAGTCAATATAGAGCAGTCAATACGCGCGAACAAATTGTACATACCGCGCTAAAGATGACTGGCTTCGTCCAGGTGTTGTACTGAGGCGGTTTGAGCAGCGCCCCGGTGATGGGCGTACCGGTGAGGATCGCAAATCCGCAGACAAACATTGCTATACCGATGCGCGAGCTGTTCGTCACCCCAAAAATCATGAGTTAGGGTCCAAATCTACCGGGGGGAGGAAAAGAAAACGGATAACTGTTCAAATGTAACAACTTACCCAACTTCATGAATCGACCTCGAAAAGTTCGCAGTTATCGCTGCCAGAAGTGATATAACTAGAATTCGAAACAGGAACAAGCGTGAGTTCATCGAGAACAGGTGAGATCGTAGGTGTTATTGCACGCACATGCTCCACCGAAGAATCCATAGACGACTGCGAATGTGAACATTCCTGGCAGGTCAACTTCAGGGTCCCCCTCTCTGCTTTCGAGCAGTCGGTGGCGGGTGTATGCAACCTCGTCAATTTCTCGCTTGGGACTCCGCGCTCAGTTCCTCCGAAAATACTATTCACCAGCTCTATCTCTGTGTTGAACGGCGGTGCGCGTTCCCCGCTACGTACAGTCGAGTTGTAGCGCTCACGTTCGTTTTATTCGTGCGTAACAGCACCTTCTGGATCAATCGTCAGAGAGTCAGCCATCACAGACCCAGTGACCGCAGTAGGAAGCGGTTACGCGGAAAGCAAGTGGGTGGCCGAAACCTTACTGCTCAAGGCTGCAGACGTACTCGGTGCTCGTGTGACGATTGTACGAGTTGGCCAACTTTGTGGAGACCGAGCCCAGGGCGGATGGAACGAGACAGAATGGGTCCCTGCCATCGTGCGCAGCGCACAGGAACTCGGCGTGTTGCCATCCAGGGACGAGGCAAGCCCTTCATTATTTTTTCCTCGAGCAGACTATTCTAAACTATGATTTAGAAAATCACTTGGCTCCCGGTAGACGTAGCTTCATCTGCGTTGTTGGAGATGGCCGGTTCAACGGAGGCGATCCTACACCTCGTTCATCCCTCACCCAGCAAGTGGAGTCTCTTCTCCGATACAACTTCGTCGATTTTGGGCATACCTTCTGTTCCGTACAGGGACTGGATTGCTGCCCTGCGGAAGACCTGGGTCGAATCATCGGACTCCGACAAAGCGATGATCAACATCCCGGCTCTGCACCTCGTCGACTTTTTAGCGGAGTACACTGAAGCGGCCAATCTCTCTGTGGAACGCGCCACAATTGTCTCCCGAAGCTCGAGAGATGCGAGGAGATTAGATGAAGAGGATGTGAAGCTGTGGCTCGCGTATTGGAAGAGTAGAGGGTTCTTGAAGTCTGACGCTTCCGCTCCTGCTGCGTGAGCGGATTAATCTTCTTGAGATGTATCTTGAAGTTATTCTCTAGGTAGTTGAAAGTATACGAGTACGTATTTTCTCAGATTTCGTTGTGTGTGCGTACCGCGGAATGGTATCATATGTTGTGGATTTCCGTCATAGTTTATCCGCCTGACGCCTACTAAGTAAGTGTGGCGCAAGTCTCTGTCACTTGGCTTTCGCTAGAGGCTTTTTTTGTCGGAAGTTTTTACCCGTACCTATGTCCCACAGAAACGACATCAAGTAAAAGTCTAACATCGAAATTTAGTACAGTGAAGAAATCGAGAGCGAGACGGCAACGAGAGACCGTCGGGGAAAGCGCCGTTGGGACCAAGTTGGGAACCTAGTTTTTCGAGCCGCTAGTGACTGATGTGACATTTTTTGGGTTTCAATGAAGTCCTCAACAATGAGAGCGTGGTGAAGGTTGGCACGATGCCAGGAGTAGTCAGGAAAGAAATAAAATGCGAGAAGTTAGTCGATGGATGCTACACGCCACATCTCCGACGGGTGCGATAAGATTAGATTATCAATCAACGAGATCCAGTTGCGTCCTATCAAGTGAGTCGTATGCTGCTGTATCTTACAGTACATAATGAATTATATTCCTCTCGCACCGGAGCTATACACCTGCTAGCACTGGAAGCATACAAAATCTATAAAATACGGTCGGCATGCACTCGAAGGTTGGCAGGAAACTATGCAGCCGCTGCTCCAGTCTGTTCTTCCATCCTCTCCTCGATTTTGTGCACTTCTTCTGTTGTCTTGTCCTCCCCGATCCTCGTCTCCCGATCCTTCGTGATTTTGTCCAAACTTTGCTTCGCCCCGCTGTCCAACAACTGGCTCGCCAACTTCGACCCCATGGCCTCCACGTCCTCCACACCCTTGAGCACCTCCTTCAGCTCCTCCACTACATGCCGCTGCCCATTGATCGAAGTCACAGACACAACGATCACCAATTTCGCATCACGCGATCCTTCGCCCTCATCCTTGATGACCTCCAACTCACTATGCACGCCCACAGGAACACTGCACCCTCCTTCGAGCACACGCAAGCAGGCGCGTTCGGCGAGACATTTCCATTGCGTCTGCAGAAGGCGATCATCTTGGTGTCGTTGGAGCGGATTTCGACGCCGAGAGCACCTTGGTGTTGGGGCTACGATGTCGGAGGCGATGCGCCCTCCGAGGTCTTGTCGGACGAGGCCTGCCTTTGCGAGGATGATAGCTGCGAACGGACCATCGGGGGCATCGAGTTTTGATAGACGTGTGGTCCTGTGGCCCACCCAATTCTGAAATTTACGCTGAGAAGGGATGGGATTATAGAGAGAACGTACAAGTTTCCGCGCTGAAAGTAGGAACACAAGATGCGGGTACTTCCTCTTCAGCTGTGCCACCCTCCGCACACTGCTCGTGCCTATCACGCTCCCCTCCGGCAAATCATCCAGCGTCTTCACTTCCTTTCCATCCATCTTCAAAACCCGCCTTCACCACCAGACTATCCGCCGGATCCTCCCTTTCCAAGATCGCGCCCAACGAACACCCATCATCAATACCGTCGGCATGTCCTTCAGACAATGCACGAGCATGTCCACGACCCCTTCCTTGAGCGCGACCTCGAGTTCGGGTGTACAAACGACTTACGATGCGCCGTCCTTTACTTGATGAGGTATTTTCCATCTTGCGAATTGTTTGGAATCGGTATGGTTCATTTCACCCTCACCCATCCAATGATCACTTCCTCCTTTCGCGCTCCTCTGATTCACAATGACCACGATAAATCACTCAGGTTTTTCCCTCGGAGCGAATGTTCTAGTAAAATATGCCGGAGAGCTTGGTGACCAATGTCCGCTTTCTGCTATTCTCAGCGTCGCGAACCTCTGGTAAGGCCGCTGCAATCCGCGTCGTTCACGTCGGACATTGATCACTACAGATGTTTGTGGGCAGGGACTATGCAGCCGGTGCAGAGCACCTGAAACGCGGTTCGCTTGTGAATCGATACTTCTGGAACTACGCTCTTGGACATTCATTCCGTTCGCTGCTCAGGAGACATTCTGATGTCTTCTTAAAAGCTGCATCCACTGGTACACCCGACCCTTTCAACCCTCTCTTCAACGCAAACGCCCACAATGCATCCTTCCCCGATCGCATTCATTCAAAACCACTACTCAGTCTCACTGACATACATGTCGTCTTAGATAAACCCCTAATCACGCTCACGGACTTCATCGACAAGTTCATCGCTCCACTGGAGGGCTACGAGTCGAGCGAGGCGTTGTATCGCGATGCGAGTTCGCTGCATTATATGAAGAACGTGAAGGTTCCGTGTCTAGCATTGAATAGCATGGATGACGAGATTACACGGGCGACCATACCTTACGCTGAGGTATGTCTCCTGATTCATCGAACCCTGCACCTGGAAATATCCAGCCTCAGTGGCACTCCTGTTTGCAATCGCTGAGGAATTCACGCAACCCGAAAATGGGTACAGCGTTCCGAATACATATTCCTCGCGACGACGAACCGTGGAGGCCACCTAGGCTGGTTAGACCAGAATTACAAGAGGTGGTATCATCGTCCCGTATTTGAGTTTGTAGACGCGATCATCTCGGTGGGTACATGGTAGTGGTTCTCTCTAACCGGAGCATGGATGTAATACAGACTCACCCGACTTATCTCTTTCTGAGTAGCTGGGACCTCGACAGCGACCTATGCCTCGTCTGCATGAATTGGAGGGCAGATGGATGCAAGAGGGCAGAGATGAAGTCGGATTCGAGGTGATGTTGGATTGAACCTGCCTTGTATTATTCCTTTAGGGTTGGAGGAAATACAGTACTAGTACTCAGTATGCAGATCCGCGACAGCGAATGCAGCTGGAAGAGTTGTCTTGAATCAGCAAGTTGTGTCTCCGAGTCGGACGTTATTTCGAGCCTCAGTTGTCGGAAGGCGATTGGCCTTGAGCCGTCCCGCAAATGAGCGCAGGTCCATTATCAACAACTCTAATCCGCCTTAACAAATCAGAAGAGCGATGATGGTTTCTAGCACGGGGTACCTTAAACAGTAAGTACGAACGATCGCAAAGGACAGAAAGCAGCTCCTCCCCACGGAAGGAACTCCGCGGATATGCTCCCTCCGCTTTTGTCTCCAGGATCTTATCTTATCTGAAGACCCTGAACTCACCCTGCACGACCGCTGGCGATATTTCTGGCCGCCCACTTATACACCATTCACACTTCGAAGTGGGTCGAGTGACTCCAGCCGACGTTCCTCTGCATGCTATCCTTGGTCTAGGACTTTCTGTTTCCTCTCTTTCGCCTCTTGTACATCTGAGTCAACCGAAGACAAGAAAGGGACTAAGTCAACCATGGCCACCGACTCCATACCGTCCAAGGATAGCCAAACGCAGGAAGAGGTTCCTGCTGCAGTTCCGTGGGACGAGCAGGAGGAGAAGAGGTTGGTGAGAAAGATCGATGCTCGGTGCTTGGTACGTCTCCTTCGTTTTTCTGGTGCGAGTCTCTCGCTGACTCTCTGACTCGAACGGCGCAGCCGGCCCTCGTCATCGTACGTTTCTATTCGCTTTCGTCTTTGGAATCGTACAAGCGCTCACCGGTTTCTTTTCTCGAAATAGTTGTTCATTCTCAACTTCATCGTCAGTCCCTGATTGTCGCTCGTCAATCTCTCCCATCAAAGCTAAAACCTCTTGATGTTCACCCTTCTCTTTACAGGACGTACGTCCTTCCAACCAATCAGATCCTTCCTATCCTCTGCCATGTCCTTGACGACCGTCGTTTTAGCGAGGCAACCTCTCCAATGCACGTCTCAAGGGCCTCCAAACCGACCTCTCCCTCACCGATACCCAATATGCGTCCGCATTGTCCATTCTCTTCGCGGGATACATCACCGTATGCTCTCCGCTTCTCATCCCTTCCATTCATAAACGCGGACGGTGGAATCTAACACTGTTGGTCTGTTTCCTGTGACACAGATGCAAGTTCCTTCTAATCTGATCATGCACGCTATTCCAAAGCCGAGGTTATTCATGTCTGGCGTCGTGGTCATCTGGGGCATGATCTCCGCATTGACCTCTGTACGTCGTCTCTCGCTCCTATTCCTCATGCTTCCATTCTACCCTGCACAGCTCCGTCTATGCTGACATCATGCACATAATCACCAGCAATGCCACACCTTCTCGTCCATCGCCGTATGTCGCTTTTTCCTCGGGTTCGTCGAGGCCGCGTTCTATCCTGCGTCGGTGTATTACTTGTCGAGATGGTACACAAGGAAGGAGGTTGGGTTCAGGATCGCTTGGTGAGTTCAATTATATCACTCTAGTCTAAATAGTGATGTTCGGATAGACTTCGGTTGCGTTTGTGGTCTCGTTCTTTGTCGAGATCTCGAGTGTTGGTGTTGGTAGGCGCATACATACGTGTGCTATATCGCCTATCGCACTACACGATATGCATTTACTGGGATGTCACTGACATCGACGAGGAAGAGGGCTGTGCTTGTGATGCCGGACAGTCCACGCCCCTTCATTTTGCACGTATCGCTGTCAGTGAAGCTCCGCCCCTCGTTCTGCGGATGTCTCAGATTTATATTTTTGGAAAGAGTATATGCATCCGGCGCAGAGTCGACGAACTCTCCTTCACTGCTCGCGACATATCCAGCTTCTCGCACGCGGATAGGCTAGCGTTCACGATCATCGTCGCATGAATGGTTGTGTCTAGACCATGAATGGTCCCATTTCGTCGCTTTCTCGCTCGGATCTCATTTTCCTTCCTGCTGACCAGCATTTGATTAGTCTCAACGCAGGGAATATGCTTGCACAAGGCCTCGGTGGTCTACTCGCAGCCGGTATCCTGAGCGGATTGGAAGGCGCTCGCGGTATTCGTGGGTGGAGATGGGTACGCTCATTCATGTTTTTTTTTGCCTTCATTCCGGGCATAGGCTGACTGATTGTAACGGATAGTTGTTCATTATCGAAGGGTCGATTACGGTCGCGTTTGGGCTGATGTTGCCGTTTGTGCTGGCTGACTATCCAACAACGTACGTCTTTCCATCTTTTAGACATCCTCCCGCCTTGTAGTACGCATACACTTACCTACGTCTTACCTCCCATTCTAGTACAACCTGGCTCACTCCCCGCGAACGCGAGATCGCAGAAGGCCGTCTAGTCCATGATGTCGGTCTGGTCGACGATCCACAAGTCACCGATTTCCAGGATGGAAAAACGAAGGGTATATTCCACGACGTCAAGATCGCCGCGGGTGATGTCAAAGTATGGGCTCTGGCGTATGTTTCTCTTCGTTTGTCCCTGTGAGATCGAAGTCTGAGAGTTCTTCAACAGGTTCATGTACTTCACCTATATTATGGGCCTCTCCTTCGGACAGTACCTCCCGACTATCACGGCTACCCTCGGTTTCAGTACCACTATTACACTCCTCATGACCTTCCCACCCTGGGCCTTCGCCACCATCTACGCTCTCTTGAACTCATGGCACTCGGATCGAACGGGAGAGAAGTTCTGGCATATTGCGACCAGCTATGGGTTTGCGTTGTTGGGGTATATCGTGGCCCTGAGTGGTACGTCTTCTTTTCCTTGGATGATACATTGGGGCCACCGAAAGCTGGATACGGAGAACTGAGTTGAGTCCGGGTTTCCTTTTGATGGTTTAGCGAAGACGGTGGCGGGGAAGTACATCTCCTTGTTTGGGATGTGTATGGGCTTTAGCGGTACGTTCTTCGAGCCTCGCTATTTCGGCTCTCTGGTCTGATCATACATACGACCACTATCTAGGTGGTATTATCCTACTTGGCTGGATAAGCTCGTCGATTCCTCGTCCACCGGGCAAGCGAGCCGCGGCTATCGCTCTGGTGAACGGTTTCGCCAACATCGGACAGGTACGTCTCTTCGCCCTGCGTATTTATGTCTTCAACTACACTGGACTGACCGCGCAATTATGTTCGTCATTTGTGTGACGATACTCCAATGTGCATAGATCCCGACATCTTATCTTTGGCCGACCACCTGGAGCCCGAAGTACTGGCAGTCGTTCGTCACGGAGATCTGTTTGATGGTGCTCAGTCTCGCTATTGGACTCGGTACGTGTTCTGATTTGTTTCTAATCTTCGTCCTCGATCGTGTTTTTCTTGGTCACCATTCCGACCGCAGAGTCACCAGTGCTGACTGCCCCTTGTTCCTGCTGTATTGGTACGGATAGGTTATCGACAATGTCTCATCCACCTGAACGGCAAGCTCCAACGGGGAGAGATCGAGCCTTTCGAGACAAACGAGAAGGCGGTGGAGAGGAGTGCGGAGTACGTCCTTTCTGTCCTATTTTACCATGGCTTCAGTACTTCCTCGAGGGTGTGATGCTGACGTGTGCTTGTAGTTTGGTCCACGCGTCCGTCGTGGAAGAGAAAAAGATGGTCCACTCGTTCCAGTATCTTTACTAGCCAGTAGCATAGAGCCATTTCGGCTGGCTACACCGATCTATCGAGCCTTCGCTATCCTATGGTTATTGCTGTTTAATATTCCTCTCTATTTTCCAGTGAAGACGGGTCTTTGGGTCTTCTGGTGCACGTGTAGCGATGCGATTCTGGCTCTTATTTATGATCCCATGTTCTTAGTTGCGCTCATCGTCATTCTTAACACTGTTGGCTACGCCATCGTCCATCCCTCCACTCATCGCATGCACGTGTCCTCATATCATCGGTATTCGAATCTACTGGGGATCGCTCTGAGCACGGGGAGTAGCAGGTCCTACTCCATAGGATCTCCCACTCATATGGACACCGACCTGTCCGTATCTGTTTCTCCTGATTCTAGTACTACCCTGGATCTTCGACGCATCACCTCTTGGGCTTTTATAGCGCTGTTCGTTTCCTTGATCAACTTGTTGCTGTTGGCACCGACTGCTTCTTGAGAGAACACCACACACCGTTCTTCCAATGATAGTTGGTCACGTCCGAAACACCCTACCCACTGATGCCGATGTCGTCTTCAGAGAACGTGGACACATTATCGCACTTCTATCGGCTGTGAGGTCACTTATGAATAGCATATATCCTTCCACGAAATGGCCGTACCTTCATTGTCATGGTCTTTGTGCATTGGATCCGAGTGCTGTTCGGGCGTCATAGGGCATCGATACCAGCTGTACTTGCGGCTGACATTCTTCTACATGGCTATGGACAGAGGAGCGATAAAACGGCGACCGATGATGGGGTTTGATATTCGTTGCATTGGTGAGTGGTGTCTACAGCGCCTAAACGGGCCACATTGCACCCGGTACCTTCATCCACCATTCTCTTCTCTGGTGGGACCTGTGTATTCCGGGTTACTATTACTAACTACGCTTTTAACCTTAAAAGGACCATACATCGAAATTTGATGTATCAAGATAATTTCAAGGGGGACCTCCTTCCTTCATCAGATCCCCGGTGCATGTGGATCCGAGAGCGCTTGCACATCCGTAGCTCTCGCGCCGTGGAGTCCAGAGATATGCTCTACGAGGCAATACATACCACAAATTCACCTAATACTTGACCTATCCGTAAGGGGGACGGCTTCTAAATGTCAATAACGGAAACAGTATACTCGACGTCAACGAAACACTATTCGCGTATATCGGATCATAGAAGACAGGCCGCACTGCTCAGCGTAGACTGATGTTTGGTCAGGAAGCTGACGCTATCTGTTTCAACCCGAACTCAAAGGTGGGTATTTAAGCGATCGCTGACTTCTGCACGCACTGTTCGACGGTCGTCCTCATCTCTCAAAATGACTCGCGAATACTCAGAAGGGTCCATTGATTCACAAATGTTACAGTGAGTATTACCTTTGTTAAGGTAATTGGATGCGCTATCTGAGCCTTGTTTCGTGTTATCAGGTTCGTGGCAAACTGTGCTCAAATATCTGCCATGGGTGAGTAGAATACTCCTACATATTGTAACGGAATTAGGTGATAAACAAGGTTGTTAGTGTTATGGATTTGCGACTACCTTGGTACTCTACCAAGAGAAATAGATTTCCTTTGGCACAATCGAATCTCCATCACCACAGTTTCGGTCTTGCTCAACAGATACATTTTCTTTCTTTATCTTTTCATTCGCCTAGGCGCCACCACTAATTACTACTTACCCCCGAACATGTGAGTGGTGTTCTCCTCTTCTCATATACACTAAAAAGGTGTTCCGCCAACTTTGAGGTAGCTGCAGGGATTTGACGTATATATGGCAAGGCGGTTACATTCTGACTGACATAACAACTTATGGTGTGTTTCCTTATTCTTGTCATGACAACTAATGAGGACATCCTGTTCTCACTTTAGGCTTGTTGGCATTGCGTGTTTGGAGTATCAGTGGACGACCGCCCACGGTCTTTGTCATATGTACGCTGCTGATAATTGCAATTGCTACAATGGATATGTTTGTAGGTTTTCCAAACATATAGTCTGTTTCGAGAGGGTGACTTCTGTACTTCTTTAGTTTATGTTCACCTCGATCTCCGGAGTCAATATTCCTGAAGTCAACTCAGCCGTAAGGACTTGGGTAGTCTGTGGCATCCAAAGTTCGAACAGAATCATTCCCAACAGGTACGATGATTGTTATATTTATTGAGATTAAAGAAACTAATGCGATCTTTGCATAGTGGTCAGTGTATGTATGACATGTAAATCACGCAATTCTGACGATGCTTGCAAAGGCGCGATTGCTTCCTCCACACTGCGAATGCTCATTGATTCCTATATTTTCATCTTGACCGTCACGAAGACATGGCGCCATGTATTAGAGTCAAGAAAAATCGGCCAGTCCGGTGTTACCCATATTTTTCTCCGAGACGGTAAGTGTATACTTCAAATAATGTTGCAGTCACCCGGCGACCGGGAGCCAACTGGGCTAAGTCTTTGTCAACACAGGGACCATATATTTTATGTGAGTGACTTCGATCAGATTATCGTCAAAGCTCACATATGACCACAGTTTCATCATGATATGCCAGCTCTTTCTCTTTGTCATCATATTGGTGAGGAGATATTTCCTACGGCTATGCATATTGCAAGGACTGACGCACTAGGACAGATCAACGTGCTCGGAAATGATGTAATATCATCTTGTACAGAACTAATTGCATCCATACTGACCCGCTGATTATTTTCAAGGACTCATTCTACCTCTCTGAGCTCATGATAAGCGGTCTTGATGCTCCCCTCAGCATGTATGTCTGCTATGCTTGAATCTAATGCACATGCTGATTATTTCTAGGTTACCCAATCTCATCGTGAACCGCCTTGTGTTGAGTCTCCGAGCATATTCAAGTCAGCTTCACGGAACGGGATCGGACCCCTCGCCTGTTTCTGAAATCAGGTTCTCCCAAAACAGGTTTCTGGGAAACATAGGCGCACCACTCTGTTTTGACGAGGATGTTGACTCTCTCATCGCGGAAGAAGTAGTAGCAGACACTACTGAGTCTTAAGAGAGACCGTTGTTTCTACGGTAGGTGTATATGACGTGGCTTTATGCGCTAGTTGCTGATTGTAACGCAGGAATATAGATCAAATGAGCCTGCAGAAATATAAGCTGCACCAAGAGAAGAAGGCGGACATAATTTCATGTGTGATTGAGATCAATAGCATGAGCATTTATTTATCAAAGCACTCCGATGTTTGACTATATTGTGTGCTCGAGGACCCAGTGGGATCAAAGACATCAGTACCAGTATGTGCGAATATAGTAACGGCTTCATGGATATAGTGTGTTTTACTCGGATTTTCTACTCCTTCAATGAGCGACGGTTGTGCGATTGCGTTTCGACTGTTTCCCGTGATAGTCAGCATCTTGGCAGAAACAAGCAACCAGATGCCAGTATGACACGCGTTCGAATGATTTTGCGGCGTCTTTCCGGATCCAAATCTCTACATTTTGCTGCGTTGTTCGGTATGCTTCCATATTAGCACCATCTGTCGCTTTGGGGAAGCGCTTGTTAGAAATTAGGATCTATCAGCGCGATTCCTCGCTCTTTGATGGGAGCATGAATTCACACGTCACCTCTGAGTGCAGATGCGGCCCCATAGCAGTCGAAAATGGCTTGGCTTGAAACGAATGTCGACTTGTTAAGGATACACTCTTCTCATGCATCATCCCTTGCATCTAACAGTCTCTCGATGTGAGTTAAAAATCGTCCGCCTTCCACGGAAATCTCCTCGGTTTTAGGGCCCCAAGCGCTTGAACATGTACGCACCGAGGTGGAGCCTCCAGGGTGTATTACTGGACTCTTGCTCGCCCCAGGACATTCACCGTTGACCTATTCTAAGAGCTGTATAGCCTCGAACGTGCTGATAAAAGTATGGATGTATCTGCACGCGGATAGCGTCTAGCGTCTAGTGTTTACAGCTATCCACTAAAACAGCATTCCGAAGATGGGAATCCCGGACCATTGGAATCACACAGTATTGAAACAGAGCTCCACACTGGATCTTGACTGCCTGTTGTAATTTGGACCTTGTTCTCATAAAGGGACAAGTACTCCTCACTCCCCGACTTCGATTTCAACATGTCAGGTAACGCTTTACTGGCAGGTTCAGCTGGAATTCGGTCACCGTGAGCACGACATTATTTTATTGACAATTCGCTTTCGCATCGATTTTAATGATCTCTCTCACTGCTAGAATTATAGTGAATTGGGCTACCGTGTCTTCCTCGGGTAATACTACAATACTGTCTGTTTTTGGGATGATCTGGTTGATTGAAACACGTCTGTATCAGTGCTATGGTTATACGACTATCTTGGTACTCTTCCGAAGGAGATCTTGCTCATTTGGTGCAACCCTATGTCAGCGAGTACAGTCATGTTTCTCATCAACAGGCATGCGATGCTGTTATGGGTGCTGCTACGACTCGGAAGAGCCATCAGCGGAAACATATCCGATGCTACGTGCGTAATGTTACATCTGAAGAGGTCGACTACTGACATCCTGTTAGATTAGTTGTAAGAACGTTCTTCAGGTGGAACAGATAGATGCTCTCATAACTACAATCACGACGTATGGTGGGCCCCCTCACTTTTTTCCGAAAGATTCACCGTCATTATTACTTACACTCAGGTCAGGTCTATTGACTTTGCGCGTTTGGAGCATCAGTGGACATCGATTTCAAGTAGTTTTCATTTGTTCTGTGCTTTTGGCCATCATCGTCATGATAGGTCTATCTGTGAGAATTTTGGATAATTTACACCGCTTTTATTCTAATATGCAATCATCTGGATAGAACGTCTATGGTCTGGCCACGGGCTTGAGTGATGGTTCTCTGGAGACGACATTGAGCATACTAGTCGGTTGTGGGTTCGTTCTTCCGAATGAAACAGTATATTTTATGTGTGTCATCTTGACGTCCTTCCTTGAAGATATTTGCACTCATATTGATTATCTCCCAGTAGTACGTTGCGCACGCACCTGGAAATTAATGAAGACAAATAACGTCTCCGCACAGAGTCACTCTCCAGCACAATACTGCTGCTCTTATTGGACGGATATATAGTCGCTATAACGATAGTGACGACATGGCATCATGTGCTCGAGTCACGGAGGTTAGATCAATCTGGTGTTTCCTATATATTCCTGCGTGACGGTGGGTCTACCTCTTCACATTGATCATTATTTAGATGGAAGAACTGATCATTTATCTTACAGGGATTATACACTTCCTGTAAGTGACTTCATTAGTAATGCTAGATTAAACTCAGTGCGCAGTAGCAGGTTAATCACAACAGCCGAAATTCTCGTCTTTGCATTTGTCTTGGTCACAATCTTCCTTTTATTCCCGTGCGAGTCATATTTTACTGACCATTTTATGTAGGTGAACTATCTGTACAGCGACGTCAGTACTCTAGCTCGTCTACTCAAACGATCATCATTGACCAATGCATCCAAAAGGCATCGTATGCGGCGAAGCTCTGGTTAACCAACCTCGGGCCTTTTGTGGGATTGTACGTCATGGTCTCATGTTTTGTCGACGTCTCCCTCAGCTTTTGTATTACTTATCAATCAGGGCTCCTAACTTGGTGGTAAACCACCTGGTCCTCAACCTCAAATCGTACTCGCACCGCGATAATGGCTTAAATACGTCCCGTGACTATCCGCACTCCGAGCTCCAGTTTGCTCGCAACCGTGTTCTTGGAAACATTGGAGGTCCACTCGTCTTCGATCAAGACATAAATTCCCTCATTGAGAACGACATCACAGCCACTGAATGTGACGCTGGAATTCCACTTCACAATATGGACATTGACACTTCAGTTGTAAGCAGACTGGTTCAACACTTATACTTCGTTGATACCGAACTTGATTTATCACAGGAACAAAGACATGAATGTCACGAGGAAATTGCTGAAGTCATTCGGACTGCACAAATGGAGAATTCAGGAGCATCGGTAGCTACTCATCGTGCATTGTTTCCGCTGTGCTCATATACTTATGTTTCCAACTTATACCAATACTAGACACCGCCCTCAGCATCTGTTTAGGCTTCAGCCCCGTTGCCTTGCCGAATTACGACACGCTGAGATCTCTTCAGAGCTCCTTTATGTCGACTTCAAACGAATACCTGATAACTACTAGATCACGGTTTTGTAGTTGGTTCAGGTGCATATATATGTTAGCTGTCAGTAGAATCATAATGCCAGACTAGGCGAGCAGCACAAGATGGTGATGATTTGAGAAGGACTGTGTGACAGCGTCACCCGTCACTACATCGTCCACGAGCGAAATGCGATTAGATTTGACATTTCATTTAAGAGCCTTTGAACTAGAATTCTCGCTCGACATAGTAGCCACTGAGGTAGACATACGACGTCGACAAGTTCAGATGGGATAGGATCGAACCATACGTGCACGTCGAAGACGCACATCTCTCAAGGAGACACATGTGGCATACAAGCGAACTCGGCCATGCAGACAGATCTCTACGCTAGCCTCCTTCTGCGGTATGAAATCATGCGAGGCTCAGATGGTGAAGTAATAAGCGTCTTTGAAATGATCATGAGTACGCCATTCTCGGAAAGCAACAAGCACGAGAGTGAGAGAAAGACTGACATGGTAATTGTTCTTCGGAAATGACGTCGGTAGGCGCATCTCTATCTTACGTACGATCGTCGAGATGACAGTGCCGAGCTGTAGGTAGGCAAACTTCAACCAAAGAGTAGTAAGTGTCGTGCAACGTAAAAAAAACACAACAATGATAACTCACCTGCTCGCCAATGCACCGATGCTTACCCGCTCCAAACGGCTGATACGGGCTCTCCGTCCCTCTGCTCACCCCCTTTCCCGGAGTATCACCCTCATCAGAACTTCTCAGTGCATTCTGCGCCTGTCCATCCTTGTCCATCCAACGACTGGGATCCCACTTCTCACTATCCCTCCACACTCTCGGGTCGACTTGACTGAACGCCGGACTGGCGAGGACGTGATGGCCTTTTGGGACGACGTAGATACCGTCCTCGGACGGTGCGGCCAAGGCAGTGGGAACGGGGATGTTTGCACGGACGTAGCGCATGACGGAATGGATCGGAGGATGAACGCGGAGGGATTCGCGGATGACGGAGTCCAGGATGGGGAGAGCTTTGAGTTCTTCGTAGATGGGAGAGCGAAGTGTTCCGTCGTCGTTCGAAAAGTGCTGGACCTGTTCCTTGTAAAGCGCCTCACTACAGTCCAAGGACGTTAGCTATGATATTCATAAGTGCTGTGAGATAGGGAATGCGCTTACGCGACGTCCGGATTGGCAGCAAGACGGAGAAGAACCCAGGACCCCGACGTGGCACTTGTATGCTGACCGGCCATGAGAAGAGCGATCATGAGATGAGCGACTTCATGGTCCGGAAGCGTACGCCCGTCACGGTAGCTCTGGTTGCAGAGGACAGAAATCATATCGGTATCATCGCTCTGGAAGGGCGAGTACGAAACATAAGAGGTAGAGTCAAATAACATTCAAAGCCCACTCACCGGTGAAATTCCCGTCTTCCTCTTGTTGATGATGTCGAGGTAGAACTCGGTCATCTTCTGTTGTGCGTGATCCCGTTTCCTATAGCTCTCCAGAGGTAAGTTTGGGAACAGGAAGTTGATAGGCTTGAAGCCTGTGGCAAATGATGCGGGAATCCGATCTCAGTATACCTTGCTTACAATCGATAGAAGCAAATGAAGACTTACCGCCGTCCAAGTCCTCGTAGAGCTGCGCAAACGTCTTGTCCAAACCGCTCCTCACCTCCCTCCCTTGCAAGGTCCTTGAAGCGGTCAGTATAGTCATTTGCGCCATTACCTTATGAGCATCGAAGCGGCCCCAATTATCGACTTCCGGAGCGACGGCTTGATACGTGCGAAAGGATGGATCACGGTCCATGAAGTTTGACACCTCATCCTCGATCATTCCTACGTATGCTCTGAAACTCTCAGTAGTGAGACCCGCCTTCACGAACTTCTTCTGTTGCATGAAAATCTCGTTAGGAACGTCGTGGATGACGTCTTTACCAAAGACGGGTGTGGTGAGGTGCTATGAAAAGTCGGTCAATGGAAGGATGTATACGAGGATGATGAGAAAACGCACTGCGTAAGCATCCTCCGCAGACAGATTAGCGTGCTTTCCTCCTAACACGAAGTCGTTGCCCTTCGCACCTAAAGCGACGGTGACTTTACGGCCGAACAAGACGAAGGTGAAGATATCGCCGTACTGCGAAACCCTAGTATGGGCGAAGGAGACGTTGAATGCAAGGGCGAATAGGACGTACCTTCTGTTGACACTTGAAGAAAAATTTGATGGGATCGTTGCCGTATTCGATAGCGGATCCAACAAACGGTATCCAATGAAAGATTTCGGGAGGCAATGATTTGTCCCTTGGCTGGATCTAGAAATGCAACGGGTTCGATGAGGGGAAGGAGTCGGCGTACGCTTGGGTTTAAGCAGCAACTCACCAACTGTCGAACAACGTTCAAAGTGATAGCAAGCAGAGGAAGACTGGAGAGGAGTAGAGTATATTGGAAGAGTCGAGACGAGGATTCGTCTGAGAGGGACAACATTGTGTCAGTGGATACGAGGAATGGACACCTGATATTTTGCAAGACTACCTGGAGTCCGGCCGTAGGACCTTATGAGTTGGAGTTCTCAGCACCTAGAGACGACTCCACCCACTAAAAACGTACGATTTATCAGCTCCACCAATCGTAGAGTACGAATCACCGAAGGTGATGACGGTGACTTTGTAGCCCCTCTTGATGGTGAGATTCAGAATCGTAAGATACTCGGATGATAGTATTACTTTCAGTGTGTGCACTTCATAAGGTGTTCTGTGAACGGAGTGCGTACAGATTCGACACATAATCAGCAACGAGTAAGAACGCCGAGATATGAAGAAAATCGAACCACGCGTATCGAAAGGCAGCACCTCCAATACTCGTACGTTTTCCACTCAATCGGAGATTTCCCACGACACCATCAAAATCGGGAGTCAAATGGCAGTCTAAGGCTCGAATATGGGCCAGGAGGTTGACAGAAAATCAAAACTTACAATCTGCTGGCACTGGCTCGCGCAGGATTGCCCAAGGATTGCCTCACCACTAAGTAGTAGCGTATCGAATCGGGCATAAATATACTGCACACCCCCCTTATTGTATGCGGTACAAGCGATGACTATACGAGGAATTTCGTAGAGCTTTATCAGTAAGATCAAGGCCAGAGGATGGGCAAGTGAGAGTTGATGTTGGTGGTTCGAGAAGAGCAGAGTGGCGCGCCACCCGTTTATTTTTGCGATGGACGACGTCATAACTCAACCTCTTGCTTGGCGTGCATCCCATTTCTCATCCTCTCGTCGAGTATAACATGGAAAGCACCTCCTCAGGATAATTACTACCGTATTTCGTCTTGTATGGCGATATAACTCGACATATCATCTGAAAGCTATGGCTCTCGTCGACCTCAACCTCTACAGCTTTGGTGACGTCGGACACTATGCACGAGCCTCAGGGTGCGAGCTTGCCGTTGCCTTCACCCAACCCACCCACCATGACCGTCACCTCTCAGTCAAATCTTCAGTTTCGAATACTAGAACTGGGTCATATGGCTGGCCACCCGAAACACCTCGAAAGACCGTATAACGAACGGCCCTATTTACTCTAGACTCTCCTTCGGTGTACGGGATGTGTAGAAGTGGTTCCAGAGGGATAGAAGTCGTGGGTGAGTTTTGCTGGTTCTTTCCCTCTTAGTGCGTGTTTTTATGATTTCGACGCGCTATCGAGCGCAAATTTTCTGTTCGTGGCTGAGATGTCTGGCTGGTCGATGTGGCACTGTACGCTTAGGTGTGAAGTCATCATGGCTGTAGCCATGACGTCGTCTCCACCAAAAGTGCTTCAGCGTCGAGCTTGACGCAGGCATTCAGGAACGATGCATATATGCAGCTTCCTACGATCAGGCTCTAGATACCAACAGGCATGTATGAAGACCATCATACTCCCTTGCACCGTTCATCACGCTCGACTTCGCACGAGTACCAAACGTGTTCGAGTTCGACTTTTTTCGACGCTTGTGTGCCAGCGAACTCGTCTCAACTCTGAGGACATATCCGTGCTACATGTTCCTTTTTTCTTTTTCTTTTTCTTTTCTTTTCTCCTCGTATCATGCTCTTTTTTGTCTCACGTGCCGATCAGATGCTGATATCTCATTCTTCCGTCCTCGCAGGCCACAACCTCCATCCCGTCCTCCCCACTTCCCATTTCCCACTTCCCATGTCCTATCCCCCCTTTTCCCTCCATGGTACGACGTCAATAACTACCTCCGTTGCAGGAATGCCATCCTTCGCTCACGCTCAACCGATCCATCCTCGTCCTCATCAGTGGCTGATCGGAAGGTACGGGATAAGAGTCAGGAAACGGGTGGAAGGAAGTGGCATGGTCGCAGTTGCGGTCGTAGTGGTCTTCAGAGGAAAGACGTTATGGGTGTTGAGGAAGTTGAAGATGGTGATGGAGTCGAACAGAATGGGCGAAGAAGTCGAAGCATGGACGAGGGTTCACATTTTAACTTGTAATACGAACTTGCGACGCCCAAAAGTTAACTTGCGCAAACTTGTCGGTGTACAAGTTAATTTGTCCCAGTTAACTTGCAAGTTTGCAAGCTCACTTGGCTGTCAAACTTGCGTTTACGAACTTGTATAGCTTGGCACACTTGTGAAACTTCTGAGATCATGAGGCATCAATATGTCCTTCTACCACTGGTATAACACTTACCATGCCTTGTCGGACATACCTACATGTAATCACGCGTTTGACTAGTTCGCGTGCACAATCGCCAACGGGTAGCTGGCCGTTTGCCTCTGTACCACAAGCATCACAAGTAAGGACTCGGATACTGTAGATGATGCCTCCGCGGACACAGTAGTCAAAGACCATCGTATTTATCAGAAGCGCTAGCTCATCAATGTATTGCCTGCCTCCTACTAAGTACCTTGACCGATGCTGAGCTTTCCACTACTGGTGCCCACTAAAGCATCACTTTTAGCATGCCAATAGCGATGACTTGGGCGTCCCCAGTATCCAAGTACAGCGAGACTTTCATAGCGACTAGATATATACTGGATGATCACATTTACTTCGACAGACTAGGCTACCTTAGTTAACTTGCAAGTCAGCATGCGTGCTTTACAAGCTCGCTTGAGAAACTTGGCCCTACAAGTTTGCTCAAGTTTGCATTACTGCAGTCATACAAGTTTGACACAAGCACACGCAAGTGAATCATACACCATGTCATAAGTTGATCAGTGTGCTGAATGTAGCAGCGGAAAAGGTATTTCAGACACATGCTGACCGGGAAAACTAGAGTGAAGAGAACGTTAAGAGATCGAGATAACAAAAGGCTAGTGTTTCGCCATGGTCGAAAGAGGTCATAATGACTTCGGGACTCCACTCAGATATAACCCGTACGCGTGAAGTTTACCGCTCTGTTTGACCTCAACGGGAGGGTTATATCATCGATGGAAGTCCCAAGTTGGTCCCAAGGATTCCATCTTTGCAATGGCCCGTATCGCCATGCTGGACATCTATAGCCCGTCTAGACAAATCAAATCTCCGAGGGTAGGTTCCAGCTACAGCGCTAGCTCGAGAAATCATTACGCAAGAGTGTACGCAGTGGAGGTTTAAGCCCGCTATAACCGAGACTAAGTGATCGACGAGCGAGTCGGAGCAGGAGTAACAAAGATTCGTAGTTGAGATACGCGTCAACACGGGAAGAGGGAGAATAACCATGTAGGGCACACCAGGTGTGATACTTATGGGTGTCATCGCTGGTGAGCTACATGGTTATCGAGGATTATAGGAGCACAAGTGCGCCACAAGTGAGAGGTACGCAAGTGCCACAAGTTTGTTCCATTAAGTCATGCCCGATTTGGCAGGCAAGTCAAGTTACAAGTTCGCGCCACAAGTTAAATTGCGCTGGCTCAGCATGGACGAGGAAGAACCGTTTGGCTGCGTTGGAGGTACGACTGGATTGCCGCCACCACCACCACCACCATCACCGACAAATGCTCTCCCAAAACTAAACTCCTCGCATTCCAACCCCTCTACCGAGCTCACAAGCCCTACGACCTCACAGATATAACGCCTTGCCGCCCCCGCCACCTCACTTGCATGTCCCAAGCGAGGAGTAGACGCGCACTTCGGATGCGACGGTGGTGGTGAGCATGCTGGGGAAGTGGGAGAAAGATTGGCAGGGGAGAAGGGAGGGAAGCGAAGACGGGGACGGAGATTCAGAAGGATATCGAGAAGTATAGCCGGGGGGTGGGACGCAGCGTGCACATCGTACAGGCGCATATAGATAATATCGATAGGGGAACGAACGTCCTGCGCGTGTAGCTGAGATTACGTGCGCTAGGGCACGATGTGTGGGCAGATAGGATGAATTCGATGTTATGTATGCCTAGGCGTGCGGAAGGGTGAATGTATGCATGCGTCTTTTTTCGGTGCGTTTTGCTTTGCCACGCTCGGACTCCGTAATCGCGTTTTTGTTGTCCTCAAAGTTCATATCTGACATTCGCATATCTCTCTGGACAGATTATTGCGTAGTTCTTCATCCGATTTTGGCCCTCATCGCGGTAGAACGTTGAGACCCTTCCCGTAGCCGACTACCTGCCGTCCGTCCATTCGAAGATATTCTATGCGACCACTGTCTCCTCTCGACTTTCCCCCGTCATTTGATTTTCCTATCTTTGAATGGTACGCCCGTCGAACCAGTTTCACATGCACATGTTAGTCATTATTTTTCGAATTTTGCCTTGTCTGGATCTTTCGTTCTAAGGCTCCAGCTGATCCTACATCCTCGAATCTTCCGTTGCGTCACCCTCCAGTCGGCTTTCTCTGCCACACCCATGGCGTTAACGATGCAAAGTTGTTCAATGCTGACGACGAACCGGACGTGTAATTCCGGTCGAGATTCATACGGAGGAAGGTGGTGGGTGGGGTAGAACGGCGCGACAGGATCACGAATCTGCCCATGGCTCTGAATCGAACTTTGGCGGAATGGGTAACTACTAGACGTGCTCGAGCAGCGACCCTTTGAGCTTCCAACTCCTTTCCTCTCGAGACCAACGTCATGTGCTACTAAAACGGCTCGCCATCAAATCACATTTGACGTTGATCTACGTCCCCCCTCTGTATACCATCGACCGCTCTGGAAGTTGAAAATGTAATCGTTGGCTTTGGCGATTACTGTAAGTTTCTCTCACACATTTGATCTCGATATTTATGTTAGGATAATTGGTTGTATGGAATAAGGCATATATTGAACGACGTGACTGCCTGCTATGAATAACCGATGAGCGATATCAGTTACCCACTGGCCTTCGGCGGAAACCGAGCTCCAAATATCTTTACCCCTTCCTCCTTTGAGTCCATCCTTTTCCAAAAGACCTTTGTGTCTGTGAAAAACGGAGGATCATCTTTGGTATCAAGCCCCTCAAGGTCATTTTGTAATTTTTGTGAAAGAGCCCTTCCCATGGGTGGATCGGACCGTGATCTCTTGAACATATTGGATAGTAAGGATTTTGGTACTAGTTGCATGTTCCTTGACCGTTCTGCCTCAAATATGAAACGTTCATCAGTGCAAACCTAGATCAAAGAGAATAAACCTTACCCTTATCATTTTTTTCGCCTTTCAATGGAGCTTCCGAGACAGGAACTGTGCCCCTTATAATTAGGGACTCTCGTGTATAAATGTCCTTCACATAAGTCTGCGATGCAATGAGTCCAGAGACTGACTTCCTCAACTACGGCACTCACGCATATATCGACTGCTACGTAACAGTAAAACCCTTCCGGGTGTTGAACCCACATATTTATTCGGTTTCGCATGCAAAAGGACGTGCCATGTATCATCTAAATGCTTGAATTAGTGTTCAATTGTCAGGATTAGTGCGTGTGCATCTATATACCTGTAGTGTCTTGGGAAGGCATAACCGGGTCGTCATGCCAAAAGATACTTCCATAGAGCTGGAGTAGGGGGGCTTTGACCATGTCCTATAGTCCATATCATATGATTTGGTCGACCGAGTCTCAATTGTTGATGGTTGCGCGAGAGACTTCTCCACAACCCATTCCGTTGCGGTCTACATAATATGACGATGAGAAGTTAAATGAAAAGATAATCAATCTCTTCCTAGCTCAGCATTGACGTGCCCCACTATCATTCGATTCAGTACCTTCCTCCCGCGTTGTCATAAAGTTGAAAGTAGCACTAGGAATCGCGGCTGCTGTGACTTGGACGCCGTATTGAGTAGTCTTCTTCGACGTATCCTTCCTTGTGCGTTCAGGAGCTTTGTGTCCGCGATGAACACTACGAAAAAAAAATTCATTGAGAAATATAACAAAGGATGAAAAGCCCACAAAGTCTCTCACAAATCAGACCCCAAAAAGTCATATGCCTCTCGAGGGGTCTCGTCCTTGTATTCTGGACCTAGAAGTGAAATATTTCCTTCGGATCTACAAATGAGGCTTTCTTCCTCTTGGGTCTCCACTTTGAACTTCTCGACAAAGGCGGCGATAGGCTGAAAATTAGGATCAACAGGGAAGGTTGGTGTTATATTGTCACTTTTAGAATGGTGAGGGAGGCAACCGAACTAGGTCAAGTATCTTTGAGAAACATCAAGAGGATTTGACTCCAGCTTCTGAAAGAAAGAATTTCACTGACCAAGAATTCAGATTGCACCTCAATAGACACAGACGGTGTCACGGCTAGACTGAGGTAGAGTGTGTGTACATTCCCAGAGTTGGGACGATTTCTCCATAACAGCTGCGGGCTTGTGTCGTCGTATCCAGGATGACGCTGCACCTCATACGAACGCACATCCCTATCAGGATCTTCGTTACGTTCCGTGGCATGATTAGTACCAGGAGCGTCGTCGTCGATGTCCATGGCTTGAACACTGTCCATTATACGATCGTGGTCCGAATAAGGCTGCATGAAAGGACTTTCCTCAGGTGTATACCAGTTGTCCGTATCATCTGATTCCGAGGATGCGTTGCCTGCACCACCACGCAGGCGAAATGTCTCTGTGGTAGGCCTTGAACCTGCATCCATTCCGCCTTCATCTGGCTCTCTGTCATCTTCACTACTTCATTTAGAGGTACGTCAAATGATCACCACATCTACTGGGAGATACTCATGACGCGACTTACTCCGTAGAAAATCCTGGCACTTCTCCTTTGGGAATGGTTACTACATTTAGGCCAGAAAGGTTGGATAGACGTGTGGCCCATGTGGTGAGATTGATGGTGGCGGTTGGACACAAAGCGAGCGCATCCGCAAAAGTGTGGAGCACATATGGGAAAGGTCCCCTGATACCTGCCTTCTTCATATCGGCCAAGAGGGTATTTTTTCTATTTCGCGACAGCCAGTCTATTGCATTTGTCGGGGCATACGCGGAGTAGCGACATCCACCGTGCGGAAGTTGTTTTCCTAATGCGGTTAAATCTTCCGCAGTTAAGACTTCCGATGTGGCATTGCCGCGTGCACTATCGTGGGATGTTCAATACTCAAGGAAATCTGGAGAGCTGTAACAATGAGGACATACGCTTCATCAACGTCACTGAGCTCCAGGTTGTTGGGCGGTCGGTAAATCTGTATCTTCTCTTCCACTGTAGACAATGTTAATAGGGATAAAAGGGAACGCGATGGATGAGATAAAGTGTTTACCATCCGGAATGGATTCGCTCTGGGTATCGGATATCGATTCGCTATGGGTATCGGGAATTGCTTCGCTCTGGGTATCGGGATTTGCTTCGCTCTGGGTGTCGGAAATTGATTCGCTCTGGTTATCGGGAATTGATTCGCTTTGGGTATTCGGAATCGATTTACTCTGGGTACGCAATTGGGGTAGCACAAGGTACTGCCGCGCAGCTTCAACTTTTGCACCGGTCTTGGAAATTCCCTTCCCGTATGCTACAATCTGGCCGTCCACTAGTATATTCGTTTAGTGGCACAGTGAGAATTACTTCGAAAACACTTTGACGATAAATCAGTACAACATACCATGCAAATAAGCGGTCCAATCAGGAGCGCTGCTCGCCCCAGACGATTCAAAAGTCCAGTTGCACAGTTGTAGTCGTGCTTGTAAATACTGATTGAGTTCATTCAAATAGTCTAAACCCACAAAAATAAGTATCGCTCGCATATGAGATATCGAGAGTGATCATACATACCGTGTCCAGAGCTAGCCATTTTGATCTGAACAACCACTAGAACGAGTCACTGAGCGAGCATGTCAGCGTGCCTCGAACGAATGCGCAACGTCCACATATACTAGTACCTTCAAAGAGTTGAATAACGAGCAATTAACTCGACTTTGGGTAGAGGAACGAAACAACGGCCTGACGCGTTATACTCCGGAATACGGGAAGTACCAAAATAAGGGAAAACGACATACTGGATGCAAGAAGGGATCCCAAAGTATCACGAGTGTGCGTTGAGTGATGTCAAGGCTATCGGCGACACCAGAAGACTCGTTCTGAACAGAAGAAGGTAGAGCAACTTGAAGTACAAACAGTGGAGATGTGGTGCAGGCGATGCAAGTATATAAAGGGGCATACTAGGGTTATTTTATACAGAGCTCGGGTGGTCGTATGAGGATGAGGTGATTCAATCGTGATAGCACAAATAGAAAGCGCCAACTGCTATGCATTCATGTACATACACATACACGATTTCAGTCATCACGTTGCGCCTAAGTGATTGATTCCGCTTTGCTTGATCCATACTTAGGTATGCATACAGCAGCCGTGCATCCTGTGCATCTGATTTCTTCATAATAGGCTTTTGATACTGCCTGAACCACGAGCAGTGGAGCAAAGAATGCGATGTCGCTCAGAATAGGACTAAAATAGCATAGCAGAAACGCTGAAAACGCGGTTGGAGCAGCAACACACACCGCAAGCGTGGTTTTCTTCTAAAAATCGCCATCGTGATAAAACTGGCAAGAAGCCCTAGAATCATTTCGGGTGCGGTCAAGGTGCGATTCCATCAGAACGTCCCTATGAAAGACATCGGAGCTGGGTCAGAAGATATCATGTCGGCGACGTGCAGGCTGCGAGGGGAGATCGGAGGAATGAATGACCGAAGACTATTGCAAGACGCGAACATTGTAAACGCATAGCCCCCAACATGGAGCAACCTTAGAAACAAAGAGAACGACCAACGGAAGCAGTATTCACGATCGGGGACCATCTGTTTATGGCTCATTTCCCAGATGAAAACGGGTCGTATCCTTAGAGCGCTGCTCCTCGGAAAAGATCAGCTTAGCTCCGAGCAAAAGCATGGGCTGGTTCTTTCTTTTTCCGCGACGCAAAGCAACTATTAAAGTATCCTTCACAAAGCGCCTACCATACATGATTCTCGACGGGTTCAAAATCTTTGTGCTCCCAATAACTGCTGGTGGTCGTCGATAACGATCACGTTGTGCAAAAACGTTGACACTGGGACATATTGGTATGAAGGGTCTCACAGTACGGCGCCGAGGAATCAAGAGAGGTCGAACACGATGTAAACGAGCGGTAAAAGCACTTCTAATAGCTTCACCCAGCCCTAGGACACTGCCAACCTTTGGCCGCCATTTATAGACATGATAAATGAAGCGTCAGCTCTCACATTTTATGGTGCCAAAGGGGAGGGAAGGCGAATCCAAAGTGGGAGCTGGGGGTTCATATGCTCCATTAAAGCACGGAAAGTGAATCTCTAAAGAACGGTCAAGATGTAGAAGCGGGCGATGAATAAATCAATGCAAAAAAGCATGGTATAAATTTAGGAGGGACAGCACGATTGAGAGAAGCAGAGGCCTACCGGGCGGCTGATAATGCCAATAGCGCCAAAAGCTTTCGACGCATCGCCTTCCTGAGAACACCAATCATCAGCTCTGGAAAGGATTGATACACCAGTATTGTGCGTTGAGCTGAATGGTCTAGTCCAGCCCAGAACGGCAAACAATGTAGGGAAGGGATAAAAATAAATACCGGCAGACCGATTTATATTAATAAAACGCGGGCAGTGAGATGATGAGAACGCAGACACATGTATGCAGCACAGTAGTGTGATTTTGAACAGCACATTCTACTCGTTCTTTCTCTGGCACCGCCAACGAAGCAGTCCTTGAGCGTGGCGTACAGGATCTGGCTTAATGCGGTCAGAATAGTCTCATGAGAACAGTGCACAGCCAATATCCTTGGAGCAAAGTAGATGCTCTGCTATTCTGATGAAGTATCGTACGTGACATGTACGAGAATCACCAGTCACTCCAGCAGCGTCCATGCAGGATGAGCGAGGAGCACAGTCAGTTTGGTCAAGAAGCAAAGCTTGCGGAGCCCCGAGGACCTTGAAAGAGTATGGACTTACCCCTGCGACTGTTGAGCACGAACTTCGCCCTCGAGCGGATATGACTCTGGGACTGGATGGTACCGAGAGGCCGCGGAACGAACGGTTGACCACTCATCAAAGCGTCCTGTGTAAGGTAAGCTTTTTAGTTTAGTAAAGAGTCATAGTATATGACTTTATGAAACAAAGACGGTCAGATACAGAGCGTTGGCTGGTACACTTGGTATGCACAAGTGACCCTTGACCCATGTTGGATGCATTGAGAGAGGAATCCGTTCGGGTTCCCAAGGGGCAAGCAGCATAACGGCTGTCTAGGCACAGATTGAAGTCCTGAGTCTGTATCTGTGGCAAAATACACGACGTGAAGTCTGTAGGCAAGAATAAAGCTTATAGCCCGAGCTCATAGAGTCAAAGATCGTCGAGGAAAAGGTGATGGCGGTTCGGAAAGAGTAGAAAGTGTGGCGGCGCCACCCGTACGGACCCGCTATCCGCAAAAGATAAGATTATGATAAGATCTAACAAACAGCACGCGTTTCGAACAATCTCCTGCTTGACCTCCTCCTTCACGTTTCTCATCCTCTCGTAGAATATAACATGGACAGTACTTCCTCAGGCTAGCTGCTCATCTTATACAGCTATATAACTCCCCAAATAATCCGAAAATTATGCTCCGTCGTTTCAACCTGCTAGTCATCTCTTCCCTGAGACCTATAAACCGAAGCCACGCATCCGACCCGCTACGCCTCGCCTCCTTCACATCTTCGTCTCATATCTGCCATGGTGCCAAAAGACCACATCATAGAACCATAAACACTGGCAGAAGACGTCAATTTGGTTACAAAAATGATAATCTCCGTATTATACAACCTTGGCACCCGCTCGAACCGCTGCCTTCTTTCGGAGGTCCGGATGATCCTTCGCTCTCGACCTTGCTAGGAGACGATCCGTTATATCGATACATGAAGGGGCTGTATAAGCGGGGCTGGGGAGTATTGAGGCGGGATGATGTTATGGATCCGGATAAGCAAGAGAGCGCGAAGGTCGTACGGGGTGTGGCTTTAGCGAAGGCGTTTTGGTTTCGACGGGAAGACGACGGACGGGAAGGAAGAACAAATGTTGAGACGAGTGATAGAGCTCCGATGGACGTGCTAGACGAGACCTCGGACGTCGTGAAAGACATGGTCGGCTTTAGGGAGAAACTATGTCGGTCGACGTGGACTTCACATCCTTCAGTACGTTTATTCCGGTTGTTCTCTACTATTCCATGCCTTTTTCTGGAGAACTTTGCAAGGCTCCTCGGCTATACCCCTGAGACATACCATTCTCATTGACGATGTAAGCTAATACCCCCTTGAACAGCAACTCGTCGACATCTCCTCACCCGAGCCCGACATTCTCTCAGTACACCTATCCTCCATTGCGTCACGCCAGCTTTCCCCTCTCACATTACCTCGTCCTATCCCTCAAGTACCAACACTCGCAGAAACTCCAGCTCCACTCGCGAGTCTAAGCCCCGTCTCCGTCCTCACTTTCCGTGAACTCGTACTGGCGTACGCAGCAGAGGAGATGTACGAGCGGTACCTTGGCCGCGAACTGGAATTGACCAATAGCGAATGTACGGGGCGAGATCAGGGACAGAATGTGGACGAAATTGAATCATCATCCGGGACCTCCTTCACGCCCGCCTTCACGCCCGCCCTCGCGCCCGCCCTCACATCAACTACTTCAGACGAGACTACCTCATCACTCGCATCTCCCGCGACTCAGCCACCCCCCGACCCGCCCACACCAACCATCACTTCCGCTTCGTCTCCTCCAAATCCTGCCATATGGCTCGGTCACCAAAAAAAGCTCGAACGGCCGTACAAAGAGCGTCCGCATTCGCTCGATAACCTTGTTAGGTTTACGGGGTGTGTGGAGGTTGTTCCGGAGGGATGGGAGCTAAAAGTGAGTTTTCTGCTTCGGGGGTTTTTCGTCTCTTTCTTTCTCGGTGTGCATGCTTGACGTGATGCTGGCACGCTGCGGGACGTATGTCTCGTTCTTTGTGGAGCCAGCAGATGTTGGCTGGCGTGGAAGCAACGGGGTTTCCATAGCGCAACCGTGCGTGCATCAATCCTGGCCACATTAGCTAAAGTGTCGTCTTCGCATACAGCACTTCACCGTCGAGCTTGACGCGGGCGTTCGGACACGTTGATTATGCGATGGTCAAACATGCTCGAGTCCCTACGAGGAGAAGGTCGTACCGCCCTCTAGACACATCTGCCTTCTACCCCTATTGTCCCATCTATTGTCGTCTTTTCTCTCTCTCTCTAATCACGGTTGTATGTCGTATACTGATATCTCATCCATCTACCCTCTCCACCTCGACCTTCTCCCCCTCTTCTCTCTCCCCATCCATCTCACCCGAATTCACGCTCCCCTTCCACCCTCTCCGCCACTTAGGACAAAGTCAAAGACTACCTCCTCCGCGGGCACAAAATGCTCCACTCTCCGAAACCTGCATCCCGATCGAGGCCCACGACCGACCAGACAGCACAAGAGAACACGGGGGAAAGCGACGGGGTGGAGCAGAGCGATGATGTTGGTGAAGATGACGGTCAGCGCGAGCATGGGATCGAACGAGAAGCTGGGTCCGGTGAGAGTCGTGGTGGTATTGAACGGAGCGGGAGCAGGAGCGGTGACGGGCAAGGGGCTCCACCGAACATCCAGCCAAACGTCCAGCCAACACCCAGCACCCAATCCAACAATCCACCACAAAACGCCCCCACAAACTCCTCCAAGAAATCCTGGCCAAATCCTACACAACGACGAGCGCAGGCGCGGAGACGGAACGCGCGTCGTGACCCCTCATTAGCGCCGCCCCTTCTCCATATCCCGAGCGAAGAAGAAACGCGCGCGGCGGATGCGAGGGCATTGATGAGGTTGGTGGCGAGGAGTCTAGGTAAGGAGGTGTAGAGGCAGTGGAGGCAGAGCTGGGAAAAGAAGCATTAGTAGAGGATGAGTTGGGAGGGGGGTACGTACGACGGATGGGAGGGTGCGGGGATCTGTGGAATCGGCGGGCTTTCCGCGGAGACGGCGTTGCGAAAGGATGGCGGGGTGGAAGTGTCGAGATCGAGCGGGCGCGATAGCGAGAGTAGGGCGTGTCACGTATATGCGGATGGGGAATGAGGACGTTTTCATGGAAGTGGAATGTTGGAGACTATTAGTGAGGGTGAGGGATGTATGGGGTGATGTCTATGCATGGTATGCGTATCTACGGTGCGTTTCTTTGCTCTCTGACTCCAATCCTTACCGTTGAACCCTGACATTCGAAAATTTCTTGAGCAGATTGATAAATACCCTCATTTTATAAACAATAATAATCTTGACCAAACAGGATATCGATATATCCCCGGCAACTTGGACCATCCCCGAAGAATAAGTATTATATGCACCTGTGGCACTCTCAGCTATCTTCCACCTGGAATGATGTCCATAGGAACTCGTTCGCTTCAAAGGCACTTACTATGGTCGTCCTCATGCCTTTCTGGGATCATATCCTCAAATATGGATCGCTTCCGGACGCGACGCTCACCCTTCCTCTACTAGAATGCTTTTTACCCTCAAATAACCTTTTCACGATGGCCCATCATCCGTTCTTTTCATCTCGTCTCCTAATCCACACCCCTCCGTTCTTGGCCAGCTCAAGGTGATGTATCCGAGGACGTCGTTCCACGAGAGTATTGAAAAGGTGTGCCCAACTTTGTTCGCTCAATCAGATCCGGTGGAATTGAACACAGAGTTGTCCTTACAGCTCTCATTCATCCTCCACCGGAAATACAGCTACGTCGCTTTCAACTCCTCGTCCTGTGGCGTTACCCATATCCTCGCCCACAACCAAAATGAACTCCTTCGCGCATCAAAGTTTCACCTCATTCGAAACGCCGTTGGTCATGACGTTGTCATATGCGTTGGTGTGAAGGAGAAACATGTGAATTTGGTAAAGGAGGGTCGAACCTTGGACTGGGTAGGATTTGTCTGGGGTTCTCATTCATCTACCCACTACACTTCCATCTCTCATTTCTGTTCTGTTCTTCTTCCACGCCATCCTTCACAGCCGAATTCCCGCTCCCGATCCCAGCTCTCCACGACTTATGATAATGTGAAAACCTATCTCCTCCACGGGCACGTAATGCTCACCGGACACAGATCCAGACGTGCAACCAGAACCAAACGCCCAGCACACGATTCACCCCATAACACAACTACATAAACTCCTCGAAAAAATCCGGGCTGGACTCTGAGCAACCACGAGCACGGACGGGTAAACGGAATGCACAGCCGGATTCCTCATCAGCGCCGCCCGTTCTTCATATTCCGAGCGAGGGAGAAACGCGTACGGCGGATACGAGGGTGCTGATGAGGATTTGTGGGAAGTGTCGAGAGAAGGAGGCGTAGAGAAAGTAGAGGCACAGTTAGGAGAGGAAGCGGTAAGAAAAGAGCCAGGAAAGGATAGGTGAGTCGAATAGGAGGGTGCGGGTATCTAAGAAGTGAGATTGACGAGATCTTACCGGAGACGGTATTGCAACAGGATGGCGGGATCGAAGTGGTAAGATCGAGCGGGCGGTAGAGCGAGAGTAAGGTATTTCAAGTACGTGCGGAATGATGACGTTCCTACGCGTGGGAGATGTTACCTCGCTCGTTCAGAGTGGAATGATGGAGACTAGCAGCGAGGGCGTGGGATGTGGGCGTGTAGAATAGGGAGAGGACGGGGTGATGTCTTAACGGTATGGACCCTGCATTCCAAACCTTTCCCAACGAATGAGTGAATAGGTACGCATTGCAATAGTGGATCTTGGGGCAATAGAATATTGATACGCCTTCTGCAGACTGGGGCCATTTTCGAAGATCACCTGTAGTACTCACAGCTTTCGTTCTCCACCTGGTCTCCTCATATAGAAAGGCCAGCGAGGGTGAGCATTTATGAGGTAGCCAAATCGAATAAAATCTGTTTTGTACCGCATGTCGACAAAACAAATACGCTCGATATTATGCGAGCTTGGGCGAAGGTATCGCTGTGTGGCGTAATACGAGATAAACGCCAAGCGTCCTCCCCGTCACCACAGCGGCCTATTGTCCAACGGAATGTTGATTATTTCGGTAGAGAATTCATCGCGCTCCTGAGGAATCGGTTGATATCATACCGTTTGCGGAATATGATGAAGAGTAGGTGGCGGGGGTTTCTCGCAAATTGGAATTGGCCAACACATATTTGAGAAAATTCTGCAATCAACGGGGGGATAGCCTCTGCATCAAATAATTCGACCGGTTGTATTGAGCACTTGTTTCATTGTACAACAGGATATATTTTCTAGTAGTCCACCCTCTGAACTTTTCAGTGTGACTCTACTACGTCCTGACTCCTCAACCTGCACTGACAACGGCAAATTCAATGTCTCCGGGTCCTGTTCCGGTGATGTGCACGACATCCCTTGTGGACCCCGCTTTACGAAGGTGGAGAACGACTCTGGACACGAGTATTGTGTGTGCTAAGTACTGAAGGCTGCATGTAGCAGTGGAAAAAGATGACAAGACAGTATAAGTATTTCTCTCGAGATCTCTTCGGTAAATCCAGTAAGTTGCGTAAAAGGCGAATGTATACGCACTCAGAGATGCATTTTGAGACTGTGTTCTAAAGTTTGAATAGTCAGTATGAATACGGCGCTCCAGCGTCCCCAGATACGACAGGACTTACTGGGGCCCTCAAAATGGTCACAATGTTGACGAGTGAAATCACTGGTGTGTTATCAGCAAGATCCTTACTTTCTATATCAGCAATGACTGTGTAGCATACAGAGAACACATGCATAGTAAAATATCCCTAAATTCATGTTCAGGTTTAGCCGTCCGATGCCAGGGAAGAACTAGCTCACCGTCTCGATAGACAACCGCAATGAGGTGGCCTGTTAGCGGTACGGCTAAATTGAAAAACATCTTTGATTGGTGACCTGGAAAAAAGTAGATGAACTCCGTTCTACTCACACCTCCATGGCAATTTAGCCAGAGTAAGTACAAAAGCGACTGTGCAGAGAAAAAAACATGAGGATGTTGTAGACGGTCAGAGGATCAATAGACTACGTACTTGTCTCTGTTCCAAGGAGACACGCAAAAACGATGGTGATATCGCTATTTCCGCTAATTCTAACACATCCACGAAGTGCGTAGGGTAGAGGGGAACTATGCTGGAGGTCTGCGCTGGGAGTGTTATCTCTACTTCGATGTATTGAGAGAGTTCACTTACATTGAACTGATGCCACGTACTTGTTCGCATAGACGATGGCAAGGGGTAGTAAAGAGATAAATATGCTGGCAAGCCCCATCGCTACTCTTTTTTCTCTGCGCCACAGAGCCCACGTTCGTACTACAATTATCACTTGTGATTGTATTACCACTTGGAATCGTAAGTGATACTATGAGACACAACATACGCTCCGCGGCAGAGAGACTTATAATGAGGCCACCTACAAAGACGTATGAGAGAATTAGAAACAATACCAGTTAAATTGGGTGCTCACCTTCAATGGCACGATTCGTCAGAGTACATGTATACTCCGAGGGGTTGATCAGTCCATAACCTGTTATGCGATTGTCGTCATTGCGGCGGCAACCAATGTTATGAAAAAAAAACACTTAACTATCATCATTAACACTCCATTAACAAGAGAGAGATAGCGACCGAGAAGGAAGAGAACTTTCACTGTGCTCCATTCCGAGCGCCACACAAATTGAACCTCCCTCGATAAGGTCAAGGAGTAGTCATAAAACTGAAAGTATGGCCATCTCAGCGATACTGATTCTTACTCATACATAACGGGTTTTCAGATGGTACTTACAAGAAGAGTGACTGCAGACACTGGAAAGCTTGTCAGAACATTAAGTAGCAATATATAAATACCAAGCTCGTCACCATCAATGGACTGTAGAACTCTCAATATTGAGAGCATCCAGAAGACAGGGCGAAATCGACATACCACAATGATGAGAAGCTGCTGAATTGTATGAGCGTCGAGAGACCCGTCATGGTGTGAGGGAGACATGATGCAGCCTTTGACTAGATGCACCATCTACTTGATACTATGCCTTATAAGCTGTAATTTTGATTGTTACATCAACGATCTTGCTGCAAGTATGCGGTCGTTGCTAATAAAAGCGTTGGGCGAAACAATGGGTACAGGTTATGTCTCAGAAACAGGAGTGGGAAGAAAGATCATCGCATACATCATGATATAAATCTCGATCTTGATGTCCTCGAAATATGGTACCACAGTCGATTGTAACGCCAATTCGTATCTCCGCTGTTAAATGTGATCTGAGCAGAGAGATCTTTCAATCAAGTATCAATCTATCAAGTTCAAAGCTGTGGCCACAGCACGAAGATACTGCAGCTAAATAAGTACTGGATGACTTCCCGTAGACAAAATTATATGTTTATTCGACGCCATCACCGTTCGGCAACGCTCGGAGATGAAGACGGCAGCCAGCTGCAGCCAACCACTGAGCTGCGATCTTCATTTCGGAGCATTTCCGAGCAGCGATTGCGTGGAATCAATCCCGAATATACATACATCTCTTTTCTCTACGGGAAGTCATCCACTCTTGATGACCCGGATCTGAAAACTTGTTTCACTCCCGTACCCTGCTCCCCTAACTGTTTTGATCTTTGTCGGCTTCCACACATGCATAGAATAATGTCCCTGCTATAACCCTGTGACGTATGTGGATTTTCTTGACACTAGAAATGTGGTGCAACGTCGCTGCCGATGACGAGCACGATCTGGCCGCGCCAATTTGGCGCGGAAGTCGATCGGACCGCGTTCGACACCTTTCAATTTATTTCTGCTCATCCACGCTCTACACGAAAGTTGGCATGTGTTGTGGGATATGCATTCCAAGCATATGGTAAAAATGATGAGTTGGTAGCGTGAGGGGAAATCATCGAACAGCGAGTCTTTCACTTGTAGGTCACTTTTCAGAGCCGGGTCATCGACAGTACGAGGAGACAGACGAAGCAAAGTCAGATGCCATAGTCGAGGTCCAAATTTCATGAAAAGGAAATGTGTGAGATTCGAAGGGTTGTTTCTCCGATACGCGCGGCTGCACTACAGCTCAAATAATATATTGCAATATACTCTAAGCCGAGATGTATGATCTATATACAAGATAATGAGCGCACAGACGATCTATTCAAAGCTCGTTCACCGAACATATGGTTACTCAGCCTTTTCGTTAGGTGACTCCTTCAATCACAACTCATCAGCGAAAGGGTAGTCGATATATCCAACGGGACTCTCGGGAGTATAGAATGTCGACCGGTCGTACTGGTTGAACGATATGCTTTTCTCGATCCTGTACGGGAGATCTGGCTAAAAAAAGATGAAAATTGGTCAAAATTGAACGACGTACGCGATCAACAATGGGACCGATGCTCGCAAGAAAGAAGGAAACAGTCACTCACATTCGCGATAAAGAACCTCCCGAACGCTACTACATCCCAGGCATGCTTCTCGGCATTCGAGAGCGCCGTATCCTGCTTGAAGCCACCGTCGATAACGAATGGCCTCGGGCCCCAGAGCTCTCGAATAAAGTCATTTCCGATGTCGTGGGGTAGAGACGAAGAAATTCCGGTAGGGCTAACAGTGTAGGGTTCTGTCGAGTGGAGATAGGCCAGGTTGGGGTAAAGCGTGCGGATTTCGGATATAAGGTGAGTGTACGTTGGTACGGGATCCTTTTCGGCCATCTCTAAAGGGAAAATATAACAGCAATTACTCGGTGTGAGATCATAGAAGAGCTAATCAGAAGGAAGGGAATACTCACGGAATGACGTGAAAAAAGGACTTATTCTGAACGCGGTCTTCTTCTCTCCAACCGCCTTCACCACCGCCTCGATAACCTCCAACGCTAAACGACATCTCGCCTCCGCGCTCCCGCCGTACTCGTCCGTTCTCCAATTCGACACCTTCTTCAAGAACGTGTCGATCAGCCAGCCGTTGCCACCGTGGATCTCGACGCCATCGAAGCCGGCGAGATGTACCGCGTTGTGGGCCGCTTGGGCGTAGAAGGAGACGAACTGTTTGATTTCAGGGATGGTGATCTCGCGCGGTGTATTACCGATGTGGAGATTAGGGTAAGGCGAAGCGGCGATGACGTCCCAAGAGGGGTCTATGGAACTCAGAACTGCAGGGTCCGCTTGACGACCTATCGCCCCGATTTGCATGAAGATGTAGCCGCCTTTGGCATGTACGCTGTCGACGATCTAAACGCAAGTAAGCCAAAGCGACGATTGGCGAAAATAGGTGAGCAGTCATGTTGGAAAAACGCGCAGAGAAGTCGAGACGAACCTTCTTCCAAGCACTGATCTGAGCCTCGGTCGTAATTCCAGGCATGTGAGTCCTCCCTCCGCCCCTTGGATGGACAAGCGTAGCTTCAGTGATCAGGAGCCCACCGGGTGAGGAGCGCTGTGTGTAGTATGTCAGGCCATGACCGCTAGAATGGACTCCAGAAGAATCGGAGCGGAATCGAGTGACTGGTGAGAGAGCGACGCGATGAGCGAGCGTGATGTTACCGAGTTGAATTGGTTGAAAGAGGGCAGGATGCATGATGTGGTTAGAGGCGTTGTGAGACGGCGAACGGGTTGTACTGTAGAAACCACAGACCTGATGTGTTTCTTTTATCGAGCGGATGTTAATGAGAATTGATCAATGGGCGCGATAGACATTCTAAATTTAGCTCAAAATTAATCGGAGACGTGATTGATGTGGGTCAAGAAACACGAATACTGTGTACTTTCAGGGATACCCGTCCAGTTCAAGTTCAGTTGAAGGACGACTCATAGGCTATAATAAGACGTCCTCGGTCCCGCACGCACGTCACTTCTGCTATCTATGTTGTGAGTATCACGAGCTAAGGCAACTTGACGATGTATCGAGTGAAAAAATACCGGGAGACGACAGTACAAAGCAGTCACTACGACTCATCTAAATCAGAGCCCCTGTTTAGAGCGCTGTTACATGAGTCTAAAAATAGCACATGGACACCTCTTTGCGGTGCGCTAGAGACGAACGTCAGATGTTTCCAAAGACGAGACCTTGTACTCTCTTTAGGGACGCTGTTAGATCGACAAAGCCGAGAGACACATACACACGAGGGCAAAGGACGAGGGGAAGATGGACTTGAAGGTGAAGACGGTTGAGTCAACAGTCACGTACGTACCGTCCAAATCTTGGTAGAATTGTGCGAGTTCATCTCATCAAGCATCTCCCTGAGCTCTTAGTCTTCAGTTTGTGGTTCTCCGCAGTCCATTCCCGAGGAAAGCGGAGCAGGATTGCCTGGTCAAGAGTCATCATTGACCATCGTACATATCACGATATAGATCTATCGATAAACACGATGTGTTAGCCCATATTTATACCATGATCCTCGTAACTTCATTATGCAGGCCTTCAAGAGATAGCAGCGAAGAGACTCAGTGGATAAGCAGCGTTGTCGAACGTCAGTCGTAGTAGGCCGAAGTTCACAAAGAAAAACATAAGAAAAGCCGCACGTCCCATGGCATCTGCCGAACTGAATTGTACCGGCGACTTTCGGAGTGTAAAGTTGCTGTGCCGCGTGAGAGCTCGCGACTCGGGCAGACTCGGACGCGACCCCCAACTTGCCCCAAGTCATCAAGTATTCTAGACGGCTTGTAAGTTTACGAATATCTTCTGTCTGTGCTGCTCTTTGCTCCCGCGATTCCCTCAGTACCATAAGATGACTCCTCACCCTCGGTTTCCGTGGAACTTGCGTGGAACAAACAACTCGCCGACGTGGCGACAACTCCAACCGACGGGGCCCGGGCCAACTTCGACGGGGCTCTCTTCCATATGTTGATTGTGTGGCTTGTTCGTACATTTTCTCTCCCCGCGCTGATTCGGAAGACTCGGACGACCCAAGTACTGCTTTTCGCATTCATTCCGCCCGGTTCTGCGTCCTCGATGAACTCGATGACGAGACGCGGACCAGATTGTCCTTCACGCCACGAGAGGTAGCGCGGTTTCGGGCCGCGGTGTCGTCACGACTCACAAGTCACTACATCACCGAATGACATATGCGGCATTCTCATTTGGTGCACACATAGACGCCCCACAGATTCAGCCTATGACGTTCCACTACACCCTCTCGCAGATAGGCCTCATAAGCTTGTTGAAGAATGCCCTCCCCGGGGCACACCAAGGAGAGGACCTCGGCATGTATACGTATCCGTGTTGGCTGGGAGAGCTCAAAGAACGCGTGGAGGAGGGTCTGATCTCCAGGCGATGGATATGAAGATGGGCCGCATGGCCAAGATGGGGGAGAAGTGGATGTGGCTCGAGTTGTCCGGCTCGGAAGAGGAGGCACGGGTGTCAGTACAAGGCTGATTTCGTCATGTACCTTCCTGATGATCGGTTCAGAACTTGGGATTATTGGTCCATGTTATGATGGAGTTTGTTTACTAGTTGCAATGCTTTCGCACTAGTCGATACTGGTTTGTGTTAGCAGGCACATACATATCACGCTGATGTACACTTTCGTTCACTGTACTGCGAGGCAGCCAAAGTCCGTCACTTCTTGTCAACCCAAATCGGGCGAACATGAACTGTTGAAGTACAAACAGAAACGAATAACGGAGAAAACCCGACATACGACCATCAGACAGAGTAGCACCACGACCGAACAAAACACCACTTACCCCATATCCCTCCGGTCCTTCCCCAGCCTAGGTACAATACGCCCCACTATCCGTATCCTCACAACAGCTCGGACACGCACACTCCGCAGAAAGCTCCCACACGCCGCTCGCACTACAAACGAGCACAAATGCGTTCCCGTTGTCGAAGGACGACACGGCTTGACAGATGTAGGCACCTAGAGTAATAGTAGCGAATCGTCAGGTCAGTTATAGCTTGTTCGAATTGACGGATTAAGTTGTAAGGGAGAGAGAAGACTGACTGGGCCCGGGGTTGCAGGTTGAACCGGCGCTGCCTTGGGCAGAGACAAGACTTGTGAGTGCGAAAAGGGAGGTTAAAGTGAGGAGTTTCATGGTCACTATCTGAATCGAGCTGAGGAGTCGGTGGTGTGTGATCGTACGTAGTGAACGAGGCAGAGGAGCTGAAGTTCGATGGAGCCTGGTCGTTCGGTGAGATGACCTTATATAAGTACTTGTGCAATTAACTGTTTGTGCCCTTGCTCAGTGACCCGGTGCTGCAATGTGCACTCAGTAAGTAAACTTCATAGTCAGGTGTAAGTCCGACTCTTACATAGCCCGATCACGGATCATTGGTGTGTAGTCCATGGAGAAATAGACCAGGCGTGCGCTGATCTTTTGATTCCTCCGAAACCACAATCACTGCTCGCAGCTGCTGGCCCCTATTTGAGGCTCTTCTCCACAATGCACTGCAGTAACATGTGTGCGCATAGAATCAAAGGGGTTTGCGGTCCTATCTGGGGTAAGTCTTTGCTCCAGACGAAACGATCACATCGTAGCCTCGATTTATATTTATGACAAACGGTCTCCGTCCTCCGAATCGCTCATTGTCGTCGAAAACATCAGTTCGGAAGGCCCGAAGCTACCCCTCAGAAATAGGATGTGTTTCATGAAGACCGTGACGGGAAGAGTGTGCGCGGCAAGAGCTAGGAAGCTAGTGGAAGTTCCAAAGACGTCACTTGAAGCGTGTTTATCAATGATGGGCATCATTGAAATAATCTACCCTCGTACGAGGGCCTGCCTCATCTCCCGGACGGTACGAACACGCAGCACCAAACGCGCATATGTTATGACGTCCTGAATGTACAGCGTTTGTACTCATCGCTGACAGTGAAGTCATCCGCTCAAACGGATTGCAGAGCAGAAGTTTGCACGAACAGTTGGGGATATGGGCAAAGCACCTACAGCTTCAAAGATGAGGAGGACGAATGACATCCAAGTCCGACCGGCGGCCGCATTAAGAGCTCGTGCCCATATAACGCAACGATATCTTTCAACACGATTCTGAGCAGAACAGAAAGTGGTCGTTAACATGTTCCATGAACGCCGTCAGAAGCCGTGGGCGGGCGGCTGAGCATGACGGGAAGTACAATGTCGCCGTAAGAGGTGGCCATGACATGGAGAGGTGAAGTAGAGAGATGGGAGAAGACGGTGAAGAAGTGAATGGACAACCATCGCTATTGCAAGGACTCAGATCGCAGAGGTCAATCACTAAAGACGAAGCATACTTATATGCGCAGGACATACAATCCGTTCGAAAGACGCAGGGTATACAACACCATGAATAAGGTATCTGTCCATAAAGATAAAAACAGGGATGAACGAACGACTATATCACCTTGAAATTCTAGAAAAGAAGGTACACCCACAGAGTCCATATATTTCACCTCCGACGTCACCATGAATATCCCAAAGATAACAACAACCAAACAACCAAGATCCTAATCACCTCACAACCGCGATTCCCTCCTCCGATTCACCGCGACTCTGAATATTCGTACCACCACTGTGATCCTCGAAGGTCTCCCGTAGCGGTGTCGCAGCCCTCCCAATGACCAACCCCTCCGCCTCCTGCGGGCCAGCGACGGTTTGAGGTTGGAGTTCTCCCATGTCTCGATCTCGTCTGCGTTCAGCCATCTGCATATCCTCGGAACCACCACCCCCCTGGCCCTGTCCGACAACACCAGCCGTCGGCACAAGCGCCCACCTATACGCCACGCCATCCCTCAGCACCGTCTCTCCTTCCACCACTTCCCTCCCCGCACCTGCGCCCATACCACCACCAACACCTCCACCTCCGCTATGTTCCCTCAACTCCGCGATATTCACCGAACTAGCACCAGCAGGCGGAGGAGCCACGACCGCATAGCCCGGATTGCGACTGACGAACTTCGTCCACCTCCTCCTCGTCCTATTCCTCGAACACGTCACACAACTCAATATCGACAAATAGAAAATGAGAACGAGGATGATGAGGATGAGCGGGAACCAGGAGACGGAGAGACGTGCGCCTTCGCAGGTGTGCTGGAGTTGGGTGAGGATGGAGCCGTGTGGGTCTGTTAGGTTGGAGTCGTCGTATTCGGACAGCGGATCGGATGAATATCCGTATTCATCGGAATAGGACGCGGAGTGCGTAGAGTTGAACGCAGAGAGGAAGGCGGCGGGGTCGGCGCAGATTTCGGTGTATTCTGGGTCGGAAAGCGCCCAGATGCCGTTCGATTGGGCGAGCCAGTAGAAGAGGATGAGGACGACCCAGAGGATGGTGAAGAGCGTGTTGAAAAAGATGGCGAGGCCGACGGGGAAATGTCGGGAGAAGAAAAGGGCGAGTTCGAGGAGGAGGATGAGGAAGGAGAGGCCTGTGAGGCCGAATATGCAGAGACTTTTGGTCGAGTGTGAATGATAATTCAATTTATAAGGAGGAGCGAGAATTACAACCTACCTGGTGAACCAGTACTGTCCTGAAAAGCCTTGTATGTCCCAGTACCGAGCATTTACGAACAGAAGAGCGAGGAGAAACAGGCCCTGCAGTCCCACAATAATGAGAAAATGCTTCGCGCCCCATCGAGGGTCCGAGTTTCGAACGACGTTCCGAAGCTTTTCGACAACAGGAGACGCCATGGTGGTGCCAAAGGAAGGCTAATGTCTAGCCTGTCGACGATGCTCGTCGTGGTTGACAAGGAAGATAGAGAAAAGATGGAGGACACATGGCCAAGAGTGAGTTTTTGTTTGTGATGGTCGTTCCCGTCCGAGTCAACATGCTCAATATTGGGAGACGCCGGTGCCTGATGCCAAGCAAATCCGCCGGTTGGAGAGATCGACGCGGGAACATCCGATCTCAAGCTCATCCGACGGTCGACCTCGTGTTTTCTGTCCGCTTGGCATTCATCTCTCTCCCCTCCCCGGCCACGGTTCGTCTGTGTGGGCCACGGGTGACGAACCACTAAAATTGTTCGCATTTAGGCTCGAAATTGAATTTTTGTCTATTTTCGGTGCATATTGGTCACGATTCCTTGTTCGTGAACTCAAGAATGAGCGTGACGAGTTGGCCAAATAGGTTCGCCGACGCACCCTGCGCGATGCGTGACGAACCTACGGTCGAAAAACTACAGTATCCGGCTCCGCCTCTCGCTCTTGCTCATCTGCTCTTCCGCGCTCTTATGTTCGATCCGCGTGCACCTCGTATCCATGCTCGTCTTCATTCATGGCCGGAAAAATGTTTTTTTTTGCGGATCAGATTGGAGGAGAACGAGTCTCTGTGAGGTTTTGGAGGTGCGAGAGGGTTTCTGGACATTTGGGCTTTGCTTCCACCGGGTTTTACGGCTTGGGGAGTCGAGATTGAAGTAGCATCACGACTATTAGAGGTAATGGTGCCTGGTATGTTTATAGATGGGCGACGACTACTAAGTGCGTCCTCTTCACCGCTATCGCAACTAATCCGAATAGGTGAAATCCAGAGAACGGAGTCCGCGAAGGCCTATGAGTAGCTATTAACCCTCTTATAACGCAGATAGCTTTGTCCCAGCAGAGCGTGTACTCACTCGTGGGTCTTCAAAGTCACTGTCTCGTACGTGCTCTCTCCATTTAGATTCCCTCCTCGCTATACCTCTTACTCAATCTCAATCTCAGCATATATGCAGGCTTTTGTCTGAATACATAGTCTTCGGGTATCCGGTGAGTGTTCGAAAAACGGAAGGGTTGTCGCATTCAAGTCCATAATATGCATCTCTTTACTATTAAAGATCTGTGCGCCTTTTTTGGATCTGTTTGGATCGTCGTCATTGCCCTGCGATATCTAAAGACGCACGTTAGTGCTATTGTAATGATCGTGGTAACCTGGCAGGTTATTCACCCAGACCCTTTACGCTTCGGCCATTGCCAAGGTTGTCGTATCCGTGCATCTAGATTTGCCATGCACTCCAACTTCATTCGGATGCGTCAACCATTGGCGTTAGGGGAGGAGATCTTCTCCTGCACCGTTGGGCGCAAAAGGGAGGTGACGTGGAGCGTATGATGTGGTGGAGAGGAAGAAAAGGGAGATTTATGACCGCCCCTTCACCGGTCTCAAAGTCAGACGACTTGACCGAAGGCCCATGCACTCTCGTGAACGAAGCACATTGACCCATGCAGTGTCCATTAGTACCTCTCCGTTATAATCATACGAGGTTGGACCATGATTTTATGCCACCCTTGACCGAGTATATCGGAGCGGAGCGATGGTCATGCTTTGTATTTACCATACTGGTACATTCTGCGTAGTGAAACATGCACACGTAGCTCCTTCTTTCAATAATATGGCCGCATTATAAGTCCTCCTGTTTCCTCATCGAAGCAGACGACGAGTCAGTCTCGAAAGGCGTCCTTCCCGTCGAACCCACCCACTCAGTAATGGCTCAAGCCCTATGCAATTACTACACCGACCGCATTCTCTATGAAGAGAGTAATATCGCCGAAAACGGAGAAACTGACGTGCTATTCGCGCTGTTGCGTGTATCAAAGTTGTTCAAAATGGAAGCGGACTCTTCGGAAAGGGTGAGGCCGTTCGACTCTTTCATGCAGTACAACTTACGAGCCTCTCCAGGTAGACTCGTCCACCTCAAGACATACTCCACCGCCTCCACCATCCCCACTTGCTCCTATTCATAGAGCTCACACGCAGTCCATCTCCTGTAGATGAGAGATGTCAGCTTGAATGAAGACGATAGAGCTCCGAACTGACCTATTACTTAATTGAGTGGGTCAACATGCATATCAGCGGTGAGGCGAGCGAGCACAGTATCCGCGGAGGGACGTTCTGCGGGGTCCGGGCGTACACATTCCTCGACCAAGGCTTTGTACCACATCGGTGGAGAATCTCTGACATCCGTCCATATCATCTGCGGCGGCGCGGTCACATCGTCCCTTTCAAATTCCTCGACCTCCTCGGAAAGGGCCCAAAGGACAAGACCCATCGCAAACACGTCTCGTGGAGCGGTCAACTCGGGGCGACCTAGCCGTAGGTCCATCTCAGGAGGGAGGTAGGGCTCTGTCCAACCTCGCTGGTGTGCCACATCGATGAGACAGAGGTGGCCGTCCGGTAGAACGAGCGTGTTATCCAGCTTCAAGTCGCCGCAGAAGGAGGGAATCCGGTGGAGGATGATGACACCATGGACGAAGTCGAGCGCCCAGGACTGCTTGACTTCCCACGGTATGCGTTTCGTACGATTCGTGAGAGGGAACCGTCCGGATGCGCGATCGACGATCGATCCGGCCGTTTGACTTGGCAAGCTGGGAGGTCCCCAGTCGTCGTCGGTGCCTCCCTCTCGTCTGCGTAGATCATGGAAGACCTGCGACAAGGACCCCGCAGGCGCGAACGGCATCAAGAAGCCGCGAAATAGTTCTTCGTCAGAGACGAGGGAGAGTGGTTTGATAATGAAGGGCGAGTCGAAGCGTGAGAGGAATGTGAGCTCTTGGATCAAGGCGTTGTCGGTAGTGTCGGATTGAAGGATCGTTTGTCTCTCCACGGGAGTATCCCCGTGATGTTTAAAGGCGTATGTGTTGCCTCCAAGAAAAACTGGCTCGACAAATGGGTGACCATCTCTATCTGGATCACGGCGAAGGGATGATATAGGGACAACGGGGAGATCAAACCCCTGAGGAAATGGTGGATATGGTGGAAGGCTGGACGTGTCGAGTGTGAAAGTCGGGAGGCTGTTGACTGTCTTATAGATGACTTGGGTGACGTAATCGGTGAGATGAGCATCTCGAACGAACTGTTCGAAGAGCATGATGGGAGGAAACACCATCTGAAGATCGCTGTCGAGGATTTCGTTCTCGAGGCAATCTGGCTCCTCCGTATTCCTTTCGTAGTTCACGACGATGAGAAACCCGGTGTCGAATTTGGACGGGTCGAGTTGGTATCCGTAGATGGTAGATCCGGTCCCCCACGAAGTTTCGTCGGAGCTAATGACGTGTAAGCCAGACCAGCGTGTTGTACTAGTAGTCGCGTCGGAGTGGGTCGATTTGGGTGGCGGGTTACCTAGCCCTATGTAGCGTCATGTCAGCAAATCTGTTAACGAAGAGGCCTTCACACTTACGGATGGCTAGCTCAAGGCTTGTCGGAGCCATTGGGGTTTGCATACGCTCTACAGAAGTGGAGATGGTGTCGGGCAAGGAACGGAGCAGCTGCGTAACCCTGGCGTGCGCTACTGCGGTATGGCAAGGAATTGTCCTTGTTAGGATTCGGAAGCCTCCACCGAGCCAATCAACGGCTGGAAGGCGCCATACGCGACAGCAGCCGACTTATCTCTTCAATTTCTCTCACTCACCTTCTGCATCCCATGATCATATACTCGAACGTTGTGCACCATTTGATTTGAAGAATACGATATTGAAGATCGCGACTGCGTGAGCACATACCTTTCTGTTGCGTCAGGATAAAATCTACCGGGATTAAACGTAAAGGATTCAAAGAAGGTACGAATGCCATGGAGGGTGATGGCTGACGAAAGGTGAGCGCACCCACCACAACTGGCAACATTATCCGAATCTTTCACGGTACTACTTAAACGATTTATGGTTCCCTTCCGTCGCATGCATATGCCACGGTCGCGAGTTAAACAAAACGATTATATGTGAGATAGACTCCGCATTCATGGAAAGAGAGGTTAACATGATATTTCACGCCGGTACGTCAGTAGTTCGATATATATCGCTATCGATCTCCTACAAAAATGACGACCGTCTGCGTCAGTAAGAGCATGGATTTCTACAAATCATGAGTACACTTACGACCACATGAAACAAGCCCTCCACGCTACCCACACACGTCCTCAGTTCTACGTGATTCACGCTCAGGCTTGAATCATCGTATCACAGTACAAAGTACCATTAGCATCGAACTCGCAGACTTCAGTAGTAGGATTAGTCAGTTATCGGTAAAAATCTCAAGAATAAAAGCAGACTGGAACGTACATCCCCCAAGAAGTGCATCACAGCTGAGTGGTTCCGTCGATTCGCATGGAGGTAGAAGCATTGGTCGCCTTGGTTCAGTCCGGCGCAGGCGGTGTCTGTGGATGTCAGTGAAGTGAGTGCATTTATGTCAGTACTTCTATAAAAATGCTATCGCTAGGGGAAAAAAGGCGAGACTGACATGGATCAAGTGAGAGGCCCTGAGCCTTCGTCGTACCCGCGAGCAGGACGATGGACGCGAAGGTGCAAAGGAGGTAGGAGAACTGCATGTCTAAGTTTCGCACAGTTGGTATGAACTGGGATGACTGGAGACGATATCGTTATTTGAAGACGATGGGATGACGTCTGCTCGTACACAGTGCGAGGTTTTATACTTTGTTTCTCGCTGGGCAACGGCATGGTCTCGGCGTTGGATGAATAAGGTGAGCAGATGCTTCCTTGGCAGGACGGTCCTTTCTGGCGGCCTTTTTCAAGGGAGTACTGGGCATGTCATGAATGACCATGGCGGCTATAGTTATTAGTAGCTCGTGCACTTACTGGAGTACATCGTGAAGTCCAAGAGATGTCGATGCACCTCCTTCTTCACCTGTGACCTGCCACAAGCTATGCGTGGTCGACATGAAACAAGGATGAAATGAAGCCATACACGCCGTCACTGACAAAATGGTGGAGCGCGTACTTCATGTTGCGAGGAGTTTAGCTTGAGTGAAGCTCGACACTGCTAGTAGGCACGATCTCGGCTTTCGAGCTGGCCGCAAAGCCGACACTGTGTACTTAGCATGGCTAGTTTTGCTCTGTACAGCTCACGAGTCCTTTCTGGTTTGAGAGTAAAAGGAATGTGACTTTAGGGCGCTCCGCTCCCTGCATCATTTTCCAGGCTGAGGAAGAGGAAACCAAGACGAAGACGAAGCTGAGCAACGATTAAAGATCAAGGAAATCTCCTGCATAGTGACAACGTTTATGGAACCCTAAACTCGGAGAAAAATAACTCCTGCAATGCACAATGACAAAGAATTCGGGAGGGTATGGTAGGAGGCGCTTATGGGAATACGAGAGAGAGCCTAGAGGACATGAGTTTCGAGCTAGCCGTCGGTATATTGAAGAGAACGCTAAGGTAAGGTTTCCAAAGTGAGCTTTGGCTAGGCTAGAGGTGTGTTCACGTCGGAAAGGAGACCGGGAGGACGAAGACAGAGGGCAGATGGAGGTTTCGGTGCGTCGGCGGTGGTTAGGAACGTTCTTCGGCGAGGGCTGGACGACCAGACGAGAGATACCTATGGAGATTTTTCAGTGGCAGAGCGGTTTTGTCGAAAGGTAGCAAAGAAATAGTCTCGAAACCAGCCGTTAGAGGGGTGCTCTCTCCAGGCGCTGAGTGAGAGGACGGGAGGGAACCGGGAACAAGGCTGAGTGGCTGAAAATCTGCGGAGTGAAAAAAACACGTGGAAAATTGAAAGTCAGAAAGTTGGGAATCGCACCCCTCTAACGTCTGGTGAATTTCGTAGAGAGGAGGCCCCATCGGTGACATGGTGACGGCGTGGGAACGGCACATGCTCCGTTTCACGACACATGTGACCGAACGCGTCGTGTGTCCATGACACGAACCCTTCCTCGCGCACACCATACTACTCGTCATATTGCTGTTCATCTCACGCTACAGTCTATTATCTCGTACCCTACTACAACTATATTCTACCGATGGTTCTCACTTCGAGTAGTGCACCCAATTCTCCCAAGAAAACACGGCCTTCCCCAACCAAAAATGCCCAGCCTCCCAAGGGTGCAAAAACCCCTGCCAAACTCACCTCTTCTTCCAAAACAAAGACCTCAGCTCCCCCCAAGCAAAAGAACCGCACCTCTACCGACCGCTCATCATCGAAACCTTCCTCGAAACCTGCCCCGAATCCCCAGGTTCCAGCTGATTCTTCGTCAACACAAACTGGTAAAGCGTCCGATCGTGCAGAGCAGGCGAAGAGGGTGCGTGCCGAGCTTCATGAGCACCAACGTATCCGCTCGTATGCTTTACTAGATGCTGCGCGAGAACGGGCTAAGAAGGAGTGGGGTTATGATTCAGTAGAGGCACGTCGTACCATGACAGAGCAGTGTGTGGCCCGCTCGAAGGGTGCTATCACACCTCACGTGTGGCAGCTAGACATCGCGGAGTGTCTGGTGTTGGGGATCGACTGTGAGCTGATCGCACCGACGGGTTCAGGGAAGACAATTGCGTTTATGTTGCCGGTATTCTACTGGGAGCAAGCTCGCAAAGAAGAGAGTGGTGATAAATCGAACGGGAAGACGAACCAGAAGGAAAAGCCAAAGGTCTTGATTGTGGTCTCTCCCTTGAACAGTCTTGAAGCGGACCAGGTGAGCGTTCAAACTGTCTCCATTACCTCTCGAGATCTAATGAAAAGCAACAAAAGGCTCGTCGGTTCACTGAGGTTGGCCTCTCGGCAGTCGCTCTTAACGGGAAGACTTACTCTGACAAGATACTGAAGGTGCGTTCGTCGTGATCTTCATTCCATACCATCAGCGCTGACTGACTCTTTCTCAGGACATAGAAGACGGCCGTATCAATGTGGTCATCACCTCACCTAATATGTGCTTGGAACACGACAAATTTCGCTCTCTGCTCAACAAAGCTTGTTTCGCCAAGCGCATTGGAGCCTTCGTCGTCGATGAGGCTCACTGTATCACACAGTGGGGTGAGAAGTTCCGCGAGATCTACTCAAAGCTCGGGACCCTTCGTGCATTTGCAGCTCACACACCGTTCCTCGCAACATCCGCCACACTCACTCCGGATGATCTGACAGCTATCCGCAAGTCCGTCCATTTTTCGAAACCGGACACCTTCCACCTCAACCTCGGTAACGATCGCGCGAACATTACCTGGCACGTTGTGCACATGAACGCAGGCAAATCGGACCTCGAGTCGCTCGAGTTCCTTCTCCCGAAGGACTCGAACGCTGAGCGTCTCGGAAAGGTCGTCATCTTCTTTGACGATATCCTCCTCTCGATGAAGGCGTGGCGATGGTTTCGAGAACGATTACCAGAACACTTACGAGGACGCGTAGCTTATTATAACTCCCGTCGTGGCGAAGACTCCAAGATAGACGCGGCCGCTCGGTTTTGCGACGATAAGACCGACATCATGTTTTCGAGTGAGGCTTGGGGCATGGTAAGTGGTGTCACTGCAGCAGCTATTGTTAGCTCGGGTACTCACACTCACATAACACAGGGTTGTGACTTACCGGGCATTGAGTCCGTCGTCCAATTCATGGTTCCGGCATCGTTATCGATTTGGCTCCAGCGTGCTGGGCGCGCCGGTCGGAAGAAGGGTTCGCAGGCGAGCGCATACCTGTTGGTGCAACCCACGGTGTTTCAGGAGAAGAATAAGAAAAAGAGAGAGGAGGGGGACGAGGTTGAGTTCATGAAGGCCGTTGAGTCGAACTTACGGCGATGGATCCAGACCTGTGACTGCCGCAGGGATGTGGCGGATGAGTACTTCAATAACCCCGTGGATCGGGAAGGTGAGTGAGTTTGTAAATGTGCGAAGAAGCTAGTGCTGACTGTGAGAAATAGAACCGACCGGAGAGTGCTGTGATATCTGCGGTCAGAAGAGAACAAAGGCATCAAATCACGATCAACACTCACCTGAAACCGAAACGACAGAGCGCACCACTATGGGCGAACCTCCATGCTCCTCTGAAGCCCCTTCGGCGGACAAGACAAACCCACGGGACAAAGAATGCGGCGCTGTCAAACGTCGTGATCAACATTTGGAAGACGCCAGAAATATCCTGCTAGGGTGGCGCGCATCGACTTACCGAGCAAAATATCCGTATGCGATCTGGGGCGAAGAGGGATTGATGCCGGACGTTGTGGTGACGGCCCTGGCCACGTATCGTCGATGGCGTACTTCGGAGGATCTCCAGTTCGCTGCGGCAGATTGGATGTGGAGGGAACAGCACGCGGACGAGGTTTTGAAGCTCTTGAAGGAACTCGACGAGCGTGTAGACGCGGAGAAGGAAGTTGCGAAGCGAGCAAAGGCGGACGCGCGCAAGGCTGAGACCAAGATGAGGCGAGAGGCGAAGAAGAGGGCGAGGGAGCGCGACGATGACTCGTCGTCGTCGTCGTCGTCGGATGAAGAGCCACTGATGGCGCTCGTCGAACGCGCTCCCAAGCGCCCGCGTGTTTCGCGTTCTCACGAAGCGACGCGACCTTCAACGCCGCCACCTCCGGCCTCTCCTCTCCCCCTCACTTCACCTCTGCCATCCACGAAATCTTCTGATGAGCCGGTATGCTACTCCAACGTCACTCACTATCCATCTTCACGCTGACACTTCTTGCTTTGTTTGCAGCGATATCCCTCATGCGAAGCGTCATCCGCGCGGTCAATGCATACAGGTCTACCCTCCCCTGGCAGCGCGAGGACCGCGATCTTTGCAGCAACATCCGTAGAACAGTCAGTTTCAGCTCATGTTAGCTGTATTCCATCGTTGGATCATCGTCCAACTGGTTCTGGACGCGCCCAAACGGGCAAAGTATCTGAGCCGTCTACAGGTGCGTCTATTCCCGCGAATCTGTCCAAATTTCACTCTAACATCCCTATCTCATTATTGTAGTCGCTGCAAATCCGGTCTTGCAGTCGTCTGAAGCCCATCCTCCAAATGACCGCGGACCCCAACACCCCTACACGCCGCCACAATACGGCTACTACACAACGGATCCTCGGTACCCCGGCGTTGCATTTTGGAACCCAATGCCATACCCACCCTACGGGTATCCTTCATATTCCCTTCACCAAACATATCCCATGCACGCCGCTCATGACCACCCAGAGCATAACCCACAACCTCCGCAAGGCTCGTCATGACCGCTCAGTGATATATCAGGCATCCCACCCATCGCAGACATACACTACTCGTACCATTTTATATCTACTATTGATTCCCTGCTCCTCTTTCTTCCCCCGTTCTCTGCCGTTTGGACTTCTCGTTCTCCAGCTCCTCTGCCTTTCGCTTCCTCTCATCCTCTTTCTGCTTTTTCTCTTCGTCTAACCATCGCTCCGATGTTTCCCGTGGAAATGTTCTATTGTTCCACCACTCGTTCACCGTCCGACTCTGTGCTAAACTTGCCATCCCTTCTGTCACAAAATCTTTTGCACGATTACCAGTGTTCTTGAATGTGCGTCCTTCCTTCGGCCTGAACCACTGTTCTGCTACGGCAATGTCTCGCCACGTCGCCACATCTTGCTCTTTCACTGGTGTTGTATGCCTGTCGCCACGTGCACGTACAAGCTTGAATTGTGATTTAACATGGTCCTTTACCAGATCCACCACCGGGATTGTCTTCGCCCTCTTGCTGTGGTTCTCCATCGTCGCGCCTGGTCCTAGACTCCGGTAAGAGTATTTCTCTCTCTTGATATTGTGTTCTTGAGCTTGATCTACCGGTTTATAGCCGTCACGTTTGCCGCTGAGGTTGACCAGCCAGCAATGCCGCACAATGAAGTTCCTGGTTGTGAATGGTAAGCTTGCAATCCATCATCTCGCAATGGATTCTATCACTCACTTGACATCCGGCTGCCATTCACGCTCCAATCCCTGGAGTAGCTCTAGGATTTCTTTCGTATAGTTGCTATTGGATCCACCTTCAAAGCGTAGTAGCATCCACGGAAGCAGGTCCTGAATACGTCCGACATCACCTCGCTTGATCGAATCGCGAAGGTTGAAATATGGCAATAGGTCAGTAAGAAACATTATGGCTTGCGAGTTGACTTCGTCCTGATCCTCTGGGTCAGTAGTGCGTGTTCGAGCGAGAGCCTTGCGGCACGCGAAATTCTCATATATCTCCCCCGCCATTGTCGCAAGCGCCTCCGGTGGCCATGCGACCAGCTCCTCCAATCTCTCGACACCGGTAGCCTCCATCCAACAAGCCAAAATCATCGCCTCCCCGACGTGCCACAAAGCTTCGTCGAGGTGATGCCAGAATGGGCCCTTGATGGATGTCGTAAGTAATCCTTTCCTCTTGAGCTTGTCGAACGCCCTCCTCAGACCAATTCCTCCCGACTCGCCTAGGTATTGTGCATGTATCGAATTCGCGACCGCAAACATGATATGAAGGAATCCGTTCGTCCCGACCAAGTAATCCATCCTCTCGTAGCTATTGATGTCTTGTCCCTTGTATAGCGCTAGGCCTCGTAGCCGGGAGGTCGTGAGTGCGTCACCGCCCCATGGAAAGAACCTGCCCGTCGATGTCTTCTTCATCTCCTCCAGTGAGTCCATCTTCAACTGACGGAACCACTCATGTATAACCTTCTCCACACCCTCATAGCTGGCCTCGTCAATATCCGCCGTTGAAAACATGAACTGCTCCGGTATATGCTCGCGGCCACATGGAAGTTCGTCGACAGGTACTGGTCGGTCAAATAAAGTATGTCCACGGTCGGGGTAAGTCTCTAAAGCGGGAGAGTTAATAAGGAAGCTAGTGATCTGCCAAGTGTCCTGTGCGCGCTGACGATCCTGGATGTCGGCATTGCCTTCGAGGAGTTTTCGGTAGTTGAAACACTCCTTGGCCCCTTCACGACGGCCTTCCTGGTATTTCCGGTTTAGTTCTGGGTCAACAGGTATATGCTTCGGTAAAACCCAGAGTGTGCCGCCGGTTGCGCTGATGAACATGTTCTGGTTGTTGATGCGTTGTGAGAAGACTCTGCGAGGTATGTTCTCGTTGTCGAAGGTGCCGAATATGGCTCGCTCACGACTGTACTTGACCATCGTGTTCGTCTCGGATGTGGCAATGCCCAGAAGTGCGTCACAGGTCCATTTGTGGCTCATAACAAATCCGAGAGCATGTAGAGTGTCAAATGCACGAGCAGATAGACCACAGTGCTTAAGGTACAGAGCCCAAAACATTTGTAGGCGGTTGTGATGGTGGGAACGAGTGTATGACAGAATCGCGATAACATTCATGATCACCTGAAAGAAATAGAAGTCAATATTTTGGTGGCATCGTGAGGGAAGGATGAGTGTGAGCTCACGTTCTCTGGTGTCTTGTGCGTGTTCCTCTCCACTTGACTCTTACTCCACCCAGCCTTCTCCAGGATAGTCCATAAGGTCAAGGCTCTCTCTTTGAGCTCCTCACATAGCTTTTTCATATCTAATGCTGTCAATTTTTCACGGCTGAGAGCATCCTCGCCTGCTGTCATTAGATCAGCTATGGCCTTGATGTCTTCAGCAACGAGCTGCCCGACAATCTCTGTGGCGATGCCCTCCACTACCTCGCGACCACGTTTAGCTCTCCCTCCGGGTGGTTTCGCGCAACGCAGTATGCTCTCACGAAAGTCGACACTGTTGAGCAGGCCTGCCCGTTCAAATTTGACCTTTGGATCTGATGTACATTCCTCATCCCCATAGAGCACCAATCCCCAGAACCATGACAGAGTGAGCCCGTTCGTTTTCAAGGCATCAAACACAGCGTGAACCGCGTCTAGAGGCCGCTTTCCCGCGTTGAGAAACTGAGCTTTGAATGAGTCGGTGTGAGCTTGTTGGATCGGTCGATGATCCGCTTGTCGAGCGGTCTGGGATGTTTCATGGTCGGATTCGTCGATATCCCCGACAGACTCGGCATCCGAATCGAGATCATCCTCCCAATTGTCAAAGAAGTCGGTAAGAAAGTTTGAGTCGATATTTAACGTGTCCATAAGATCTCGGAGGCAACGATGAGGAAAGCAGAGTGATATTACAGTCTGAGGCGCGACGCGACGCGACCAGCGGTGGACACAAGGGACGGGATCACATGCGCATAACGCGACGGTAACGTGTGACAATTGTGACGATCCGTCACCGATGTGCGTGTCGCGATACGAAATGCACCAGACGTTCGAGGAGCAGCTCTCCCTACACAACCGGCTTCTTGGCTCCGAGAACGGCTGGATCCGAGACTACGCGTTCTCCACTTTGCTCTCATCTGTCTAGAAAATTCTTCTAGAGCCTCTCGCCCTGGTGCGTCTTTGACTCCGAGAGCAGGGTGGGCCTATTTCCTGCACCGTAGCTGGCGGTGCCCCGAGGCTCAGTGCTATCGGTCGTTCATGCTTTTCTCTTCGGGCAGCAAGGACTCGGAATCTTTCAGCGCAACGACTCTATGACTGCCAGCTCATCCCATCGATTATATGGCTATTATTTATGGTAGAACGTCTGTCGGTCCAGCTGTTCCCCTTGTCTTTGCGAAATCGCTCTAGCGGGCTAGTGCTACACTTCGACACTTGTATCACTGAGTCGGCAACTATGTTAAATCTTCGCTCTGATATACGGGCTACATTACGACTACAGTTTACTCTTCATAACACAGTTCAACTCGGACGTTCTCTCAGCTCGCGACTCTGCTACAGCCTTGAGCCACAGTCTCTCCAACGCGCCCCAATATCTCTCTGGATCCTTTCGCGCGTGCGACACATGCGCCGACGTCTCGAACTTCTCTATAGTAACATCGAGTCCTTTCCCTTTTGCCTCGTCAATATGGGCTTCAATGAGATCAAACGGCACGATCTTGTCGGACGCAGAGTATACGTAGAGTCGAGGTGCGCAGTTCGGTGTTGCAGAAGGCGGTAATGCGAGCGTGTTCTTGGTGTGGAGTGTCTCGCGAAGCTCGGCAAAGATGGGTGGATTTCCTGCTAACGCGTTGATTGTGTACATGAGGAGGTACACCGCTGAGACAACGGGGGTAGTGATTGCTTTGAGAACGGGTTGGGAAGGCGTGGCGACGTCGAGCATGGAGGACAATCCGTTCGCTCCCGGGACTGAGTCGAGGACTAGAGCGATAGGCGCTTTCGCCAGCCGGGTCTTCTCATCGCTGAAGAACCGCGTCTTTGCTAGGATTCTCCGAAGCTCGAGCAGCTGGAAGCCACCACCTATTCAAGGCATCTGAGCATCGGAAAGAGACATGAAGGAGATCTGCAACGACGCACCATTAGACAGGACATGCACTAGGACTCCATTAAATGGCTTCATTCCAATGGATCTCTCCCGAATGACATCGATTGCGGGTAGGATTCTTCGTTGCTGATGGGATCGTGAGTTGTTTTTGCGTGCGCATCAAGATGATGATCAGCTCACTTGTTCTCGATGTGATGCCCAGTAGAACGACGTGTCCGCGCATTTGATGAGGATTATCGTAGAGGACGGAAATAGATGGCGGAGTTGGATGACGTATCTCCTCAGGTGAGACGCCTGGGCATACACTGCCATGGAACACTCAAGTCATTACAAGTTATTAGGGACACAGGAAATAAGCGTACTCCAGCCAAATAGGAGAATGACACTGTATGGTTCGTCAGTGCTGCATCTTCGCTTGGTCACGGGACAATACTTACGATGGGTGCACAGAGTCAACAGCGGCATCGACTGTAGGTTCACAGACGAAAACATGGGAGCTCAGTTGAACGAGTCGAGGATCTATGTCCTTGGAGGTTTCAGCGGATTGTGAGGTCATGTTCAGAAGTACGGGGTAGAGAAACAGTGTATCGCTTTTGCTCCTGTCCGGACGTCGGGAGATAGCGACAATCCCAGGTCCATGGACGTTGTGCGGGTAGCCCGAGGTACGCTCCCAAGAATGTCATCATGCTCTTCGAAATCTGAAAAAATAACATCGTTGCAAATGGTTGTGCTTCTCAAACTCCAGCGCATGATGCGCCACACGTTTGTCCTGTCTACATGCCGGGATAAGGAGACGCCAGCTTCCCGTAAGCAGCTTCGATTTTCTTGGTTCTTTCTTGAGTATTGATATTTTCTCATGAACGGCGGCTACGCATGACTAGAACCTTGTTTTCTTTTAGCATCGAGAGCGGACCACAAGCTCACGCTGCTCCAATACAGGTGCTCTGCGCACGATTGGGACGAGGCATCAGAAGATCAGATCGATACTATATGGGGCGGCTAGCGCGCTGCAATGGAGACTCTTCGACCCTGAAGCTTGATTCAGAAGGCTCAAACTCCTTGCATCGATGCGTGCTGGCACGTATGTTGTCCCGATGGATGACAGTACTTCTTGGGGCCACCGAACTCCGAGGACTATTATGCTTCCATTTGATTCACATAACGGTTTCTATCTGCCGTTAGGACTTACGCATCAACGAAATCCTTCGCCGGTTTCTTATCCCATGTGCCGTATTTTATCCCATCACACGTTAATGTTGTTGTGCTCGTACGACATCCCGGGAGTTGTTATTCCCGCGTATCACACATTCGAACGCTCGCAGACTCTCAGACTCCAGAACCAGATCCCCATCTCCTCGAGTTCCTAGGCCTACTCGCCTTGCTGCGGACTATTCCAGAAAAGACCTCTCTAGACGTTCGAAAGGGTTTACTAAGTATATGCGTAGAACGTTGTAATGGTGCGACCATCCATGCTACTACTTACTATTTGTGGCCTACCTTTCGCTTGTCATCGAACAAGACAAAGCCGACGTTTAAAGAGGCTCCACACCTGCGGGACTCCTAGAAAAATACAATATATTACGAATACTCTATCCCGCAATCGTACAAAAAAAGAACTTCTAAACAACGAAACTACATTACAGACGGCTCCTGAACTGAGCATGAGAGCCGTTAACATACGTATCTGCAGGGTGAAGGGTGCCAATCGCTCTACCATGGCCGAATACGGTGGCTTCATCTCTCCTAAACGTCTTCATCCCTTCGACGTACCGACTCCATTCCTTTTCCGAAATAATTGGCGCAGTGACATACGCATCAACCTCCAACTTAGCCAGGAACTCCTCGATCCGTCCATAGACAACATCTACCGCCTTATTCTCTATTTCGCGCTGCTCGTACCTCGACAACATAGCCTTCTCCACGTACCAGGCGGAGTCGAGCTTCACACAGCTCGCAACGTAGAGATCGATTAAGACGGAATCGACCGACCTTGCGACAGCGGCATCGTAGGCCATGCGGTGACCGATTGCTTGGATGAGATTAGTGCATTCGGGAAGGATAAGGCGATCGAAGTCTGGGCTGCGATGATGCTTCATAGAAGCCAGAGAACGGCGCAGCTCGTCGAACAGGCCAGACTCGCGCCGTGCGAGGAGGCTGTCTGGATTTCTAGAGCCGGGGATGGTGTAACGTCCTAACAAAAGCTCTGACGCGAATCCTTATACCTGGTGTCAGCGACGGTGATGACTGAAAAATCCAGAACGGCTTACTAATTGAAAGAGCCAATAGGTCTCCCTCGGCGATTGAAGCTCCTCGAATATCGGCCTAGACGAACAATAAGCTATATTCATCAACTAAGACGAATGGGAGGGGCGCAAGACTCACGTTCATTGCAGTAATCTGGTTCGCTTCGAATAGCCCCTGAGCTCCACAGCGGTCTCCTAATACCAAGGTCGACGCCAGAGTATGCTGAACAGTAGTGACCTTGAATATAGACGCGATTGCATGGCGCACGCGGGGATCGAACGACATATCGCGGAATATCGAGGTTGCCTCGTCGTGAAATGCAGGCAAGACGAACGATTGCGCCAGCGCAGTAGTTATCGGAATCTTCTGCGTACGAAATGAAATGATAGGCCTCTTCGAATTCTCTTCCTGATGGTCAACGACCGTTCGACGCAGGCTATAATGACCAGCAATGAAAGTTGCCACGCGGAGAACGGGGATACTAAAAGAGGCGATGGCAATGGACCCGACTGCGACGCGGGAGATGTTGTGGAAGAAGGCCGTGCGAGGATCCTCGGGCTTGTTTAGAGGTCCGAGTAGAGCTGAATATTGCAGGCGGACACGGTGAAAGGAAGTGATGGAGTGATTGACAGGACGTGACCCTCCACGCGGAGGTATAAGTCTGGAAGAATATAATTTCAATCAGTTAAGCATAATATACCCTTCACAGCGACGACTTACTTGGAAACGACTCCGGGTTCCATATTCTTCCCGTCATGAAGGTGAACAATAAACGGCTTGATGCCATGATCACTTCCTTCTACTATGGCTCTCGCGAAGACCACTGCGACGCAAGGAATACCCATGGGAGTAGTAGGTGGCATGAACCTGCACGGCAGTCAGGTACCAGAAGTTAGAAAACGATCTCTGATGCTTACTTCGCAGCACTCTCTGTAGGGGTATTCAGTTCAAACTCGCCATTTGGCAGCAGAGTCGCCGTTGTCTCGAGATGGATTGCATCCAAGCCGTGACCAACCTCCGTCAACAAGTATTGACCTCTGTATTGTGTTATATGAGCATGAAAGCAAGACCTACGAGACGAATAGACTCACGAGACATCGAAATTAAGGACCTGTTGTAGAATTGGAACAAGGTCAGGTTGACTCCGCGCAAACATAGCCAGAGTGCCTGCACAACAATTGTACTGCAGAGTATTCAGGGTCATGGCGGCACCGTCCAGAGCGAAGATAGGATCCGTGTGCAGCTTCCAGAATCGTGGCGACAGCGTTAAAACATCGTGAGCAGTCAGGCCTGCGAAATAAGTCTTCAGTTGGTAGGATCACATCGGAGTAGACGACAAAACACACCGTAAAGCCGTCCGACTGATTGGGCGCGTTCGTATGATAGCCGGATTCTCTCGTCGAGAGTCAAGCCCTCAGGACGGCGCTGGTAAAGAGGGCTTCTAGCAAGTTGGGCAGTGGGGTACATGCTGGAAAGCTAACCCCGAGAGGTGCATCGTGCGATACGTATTTATGGCCGCCCTGTTGGGCTGCGAAGCGATCCTTACGCAGCAAATGATGGCTCGCTATCAAACCAACACCTCCTGAACGTGATGGGAAGGAGCGCGTCCATGAAGTCTTGAGTTCTAACAAGACCCAGGCGAAGAAGGTTAGTCTGATGAGTCACCGTGTCTGTGCATACTAGTGCATCCGACGGCATCTTTCGAAGAAAAGTTCTGTCGTCCTCCGAGTGGCACAGGAACGTTAACGCTATCCTCTCCGGACCCACATGAATGATGACAGACCACATATCTTGACTAGCATGGAGAACAGAAATCAGCCCATAAGTACAGGAATAAGTCCCTATCTCACGGCATGTAACGTCCAGGGACTTGCGATGATCGTGAGCGTACCTTTGAGACTACCACTTCAGGCTCCTCAGCCTCGGGATTCGGATGACCCGACGACATGGTGACCCAGAGGACATGCCCCTCGACCTGGATCGTACATAGGGTCGGTGTGCTTTTACACAAAATCGGGGTCAGATCCAAGGTTCCATTCATTGGTGCATCGATGGAAGAGACAGCAGGGCCAAAGCAGGGCAGAAAGATGTTGGCGCGCAATTCTACTCCGCACGGCCCGATTGGACACAGTCATTTCACGTTATTACGCCACACGAATTCATCAACGCCACATAACAATTCAATCACTCCTCAGTCGTACAAAACTTAGATACACATAGAATGGCAAAATTAGGAGGTACATGGTACATAATACACTTTCATAGTATTGTACGAACAACATTCTTCAATACAACCCGGGCCAAAGCCTATACGGCACATTCTTCGACCACCGATCCCACTCCTCCGTAAACCTCCCCCTCAACATCTCGTCCTCGAACCTACACCGCCTGAACAGCGGTATAATCGCAAGCGTGCCGACGATATACTGCCACCAAACGCCAACCCTGACCACATTCGACACGACACCACACTCCCGATCCCAACCCCCATACGATAACTGCATCAGCATGACCATGATCCCCACTATGCTCGCTATCGCGGATGTGTATGCGGGGTGTCGGACGATGGAGTATGGGCCGGAAGTAACGAGGCTGTGTGAGCCAAGGACGGCGACTTCGTAGAGGAAGAACCGCTTCAATGTCTTGAAGCACCAGACGCGTACAAGGGCGGAGGCGAATGTTACGAGGGCGGCGATGCAGAATGACGGATTGAGAGAGACGGTTTCAGTCGCATTGGAGGTGTGGGGGCAGAGCGATGTGTAAGGTGCCACGGGTGAGGTGGATAAGATTTGGGGATAAGCAGTCTTGAAGGTGACGAGGAACTCGCTCGCGAATACGAGGCTGACTATGATCTGAGTGTGGGTCAGTTTAGTACCCTCTGCGAGAGAGGGGCCAAGTGATAGCGGTTCGTACCTTGGAAGACCAAGCAATGTGCCGCACAAATTTATCGAAAAATTGGCCGGTAGCAACTCTGTCTTTAGGAGGTGATGGCGGATTCGGTGGAGTATGTGCAACATAGTAAGAGGCAGGCGCGACGAAGAGGCATACGAGCTTGATGGGAATCAGGAGAGAATCCATTGAAGACATGGGGTAAACGGCGATTTGGATCGTACACGAAGCCAAGATTTCAGTGCTATATATCTCGATGGGCTTTCGTCACATGGCCTAGAAGGTGATGGGCAAGGAACGTTCTATCGAGCTTGTTGACAATTTCGTAGACTTGAATTTACCTCGAAGAGGAATGCTGAATCATGTCCTATCATGACGCATCATGAAGACGATTCTAAGCGATCGCGAGCTTCGACAAATCCTAACTACGCTTTGAACCGAGACTCAGGAGTCGGCAAAATAACATTGATCGTGCTCTCGAGGCCGTCATAGACGAGGCCTGGTGATAATAGTATAGTCCCCCTCGATTCGGAGATTGCGCTCAAATGAACATCGGGCGTGCTCGTGCTCGACAGGTTCTGCAAATGGAAACAATGCTTGAAGGTAAAAGGCTGATGCTCCGAGGTAAAACAGGGTAAACCGCATCGACTGCTGTCGAGAGGAAGTCCAAGCAGGTCCAAGCGAAGTAGAATTGCCTACGGCAAAGCCATCATCCGAGTGTGTTCTCAACAGAACCGGCCCCTGTGAAGGGTGATTTGTCCTGTCCTATCGACAAGCAGAGGCACATCTCGACAGGCTACGGCGCAAGGGGACAAGCGTGGACCGCAGAAGCTACCTGTATGAGGAAAGCAAAAACCAAGGGCATAGCGCTGATGAGAAAGGGCGGCTACATCGGACACAAGGTGAGAAAAGGGCTGATTATGAATGATCCTGGACTTCCGTAAGATGCTGTTTTATGCGACACCGGCCGCAGTGGATCGCGCTAGCTCATACGGCGAATCGAAGGGCCATCTGGGAACTTCCAAAGAATTCCTTGAAAAACAGACACGGCTCACCTTGTCCCCCATGCGTTCGTATCGCTCATTCTGGACATTTACACAGAATATTTCAAATGTGGGCCTCTTTGAACGTCAACGTAGGTCAAGCTGGCTGTACATAAGAGGTCTTCCAAGTCGTCGGTGAGTCGGTGGAACATGCAAGAAAGGTCGCATTGCAAGAGCCTAGATGGAACCCATGGCGAAGAGATGGACGGAAAAACCAGTGCCGTCTTTAACTGCTACCAAAGGCGACGGAAGAACTAGATTTAATTATCAACCGACAGGATTTGATCGATGGAAAACAGAAGGATGAGGGGAGCACGAGAAAGCAATTGTCCACGCGAAAATTGATTCCCGGCGGAACGGCCGGTGCCGAGTTCGTTCGGCGGCTCTGCATCATTGTGGTCGCCACAGTGGCACTTCAACCTGCCCTCCTCATGGTCCGTCTCGCCAGTTCTCGTAACCGCTCGTGCACAAGCTCATCCCTCAGGAAATCCACACGGAAACGCTGCGGTGATTGGGAATAAAATGATCTGTGGTATCTTTGCCGTTCCTAGCGACACGTGGATCGCTCTGCCCCATACAGACCAACGGTTGCCCAACTCAAAGTTCCTTCATCGGGCTCCTATCGACGATGCTCTCCCTCGCTTAAGCACGGAATTCCCGCTCGCAGAAGTACTCGCCTCCGATATTCCCTCCTCGGTCCCTCATCCAAGCCTTCGCTTCTCCCCCTCTCTTGTTTCTTGAAACTCATGTGGCGTCCTACTTCAGAAGCCGTACTCAAGCTTGACTTTATAATTGTGGGAGGAGGCAAGTCATCCTAAATTTTCCGCTTTCGGAGTCTGCTCATGGCTGTTTTTCGCTCTTAGGTCTGTCGGGCCTGGCATCTGCTCATGCCCTTGCATCGTCGGGCCACCATGTACGCGTATTCGAACAATCCACAGACCCAACTCTCCCCTATTCCAGTGCCTTCCGTCTGCCGCCGAATGGGACGAAGATCATGGAGAAGTGGGGGATTTTGGACGAGTTGGTCGAGCGCGGAACCAAATTGACGGGCTGCAAGTTCATTGATCGTGAGTGGTCCGGTCTATATCACATCAGTTCCTTTTGCGCGCAGAGCTCTTCTGAGCGTGGATTCGTAGTCGAGACAGGGGAGAGTCTTGGATATCTTCAATGGTCAGATAAAGTCTGTCGCGAACTTGGTGGCCCAGCGTATAGCATATTCGTTCGTCCTTTCCTTTCCTTTAAAAACTAAGATCTACGGATATTCTTAGAGCTGACGGACTGGCCTGTCTCAGCATAATGATCTCCACAAACTCCTCACCGCCGCCGCTCTCAAATCAGGCGTCGAAATAGTGACTGGCGCCACCGTCGAGGTTGTCGTCCCCCCTTCACAAAATCCCGACTCCCCATCATCAGCGGTTAATGGCAATCACTCGAAGACATCCATCAAGCTCGCATCTGGCGAGCTCCACTCGGCCGACATTGTCATCGGAGCTGACGGGCATCAAAGTATCGTTCGGCGTACGATTGAGGAGGTACCCGAGGTACCTCGGACTGGCCGCGTCGTATACAACGGTGTTATTCCGCACTCGACAATGATGGGGGACGAGCTTTTGAAGGAGGTCACACGAATCGGGTTTCCGGTGTGGATGGGGGATCTGTACTATGCACATGGTAAGCGTTCGAAACACTTCCCGATGTGATGTCTCCTCTGATCATCAAAATGTACAGCTTATTCTGCGGTGAGTTTCGTCCTTTGTTCCGTCTCGTTACCTCACTGACTTTCTACTCTCTGGAAAGTGTCACGACGAGTATTGGTCCTTCAACTTCTGGCAAGTGGAGGATCCCAATGACGACGCTCCTTCCGGGTGGGGTACTTCGTTCCCTACGAGCCGCTTGAACTTCGGCGAAAAGCTTGATCCACGGTAAACAGTCGTTTTCCGATCCATCATTTGAGTCAAGGCTCACCAAACTTCATTATAGGCTACAAGCCGTGATTGACCACATACCATCTCTCGAGCGCGTCAGTTCGGACGTACCCCCTATAGCAACCTCGTGGGTCGACAAGTCGGAGACCATGCTTCTCGTCGGAGAAGCAGCCCACCCGCTTCCCGTTCGTCTTCTCCGGCCCATCATAATTACTTACGGGACTCAAGCGCCTTCTTTCCCGTAGCCATGCTCACAGCCCGGCGCAGCCATTGCCCTCGAAGACGCATGCTTCCTCGGCACCCTCTTCTCCCACCTTCGCCACCCATCCCAAATCCCGACATTCCTCTACGCGTTCGAAGACGTCCGGCGACCCCGAGCTACTAGACTACACGAGAGCGAACTCGATAATCAGACGATACTATCGTTGCCGCCAGGGCCAGCGAAGGACGCTAGAAATGCGACATGGAAGGAGCAGGAGAAGGTCTCTGTCGATAAGGATGTTCTCAGTGCCGCTGACGGGTCAGCTGGGAGTTCGGATGGAGACGATATGAGTTCTGAAGCGGAGAATCTGGAGTTGAGGAGACAGTGGTTGGAGTTTTATGAGAATTGGGGTTACGATGCGCAGGATGCGGCGAATAGTTGGTGGGTTGAGTGGGGTCTTTTGAGGGAGCGGGCTGAGGAGGCAGCGAGAGGAGTGAATGGTCATGGTGATGGTGCTGCTGGCGATGCACGGGGACTTGGCGTAGAGCGAGAGATTGTGGTGACGCGACATGACTGAGGCGATTGGTTACTCTTCACTCATCGGATAGCTCTCTGCGCTCTGGATAGTAGATGTCGTACAGGCTGTTGTAAAACCTTGTAAAACGCCGCTCGCGTTTGTCGCGGAGAAAGTTTGAATTTCATTGGTGCAACATCCGCCGCGAAGCCACCATCGGCTACTTTGCGTACTCACCGGTCTACATCGCCATCATAGCCTCTTTCTTGTCTCCGCAGAGTTGGGCCACAGATCTAGAGAAAGGCTGTCACAAAGCTGGATGGCATTCTTTGCCATGTGTCGTCGGCCAATAGGCTCCAAATTGTTACCATGAGCCGTTGTCGACCATACGAACTCCATACGATAAAGATGGCAACAGTGAAAATGGATCGCACGGTCGTAATTTGCGCGCCACAGGATGTGGCGTTAGAAAGCAATGGCCTGAATTGGATACTCCCCGGAAGCCAATAGCTTTGCGGCCCGGCCATTATTCAAATTGTGCTGCGCGTCATAAACGCGTCCCTTCTTGGTCCCTTCCGACCTCTTCCAAGTTCCAACTCTATCAACTTCGAAGGGCATGATAGGACTCAGATAGCTTTGTAACCTTAGACTCTTGCGATTTACCTGACCTGCCTCTCTCATCTACCACACCAACGAATACTCTTTTACATCCAACTGAACATCCGACACACGTGCTTTGTCGGTTTTCCAACCAGTCACGCTACCACAACCGCCTTGCAATCGTCACTCGGGCCTCATTTTTACATTCTCAGACAAGACGCCTGTCCATTTGCAGAGAGATCGTTTTTAAGTGCGGCAAGCCACTCTCTCCAAAGTGCTTTTTGATTCGTTCGGCCGCCCGAGTATGTGAGTTTTGTGCGATATATGCACCCAGCTTCCTGTGATGAAGCGCCCCTCCAAGATCTTGCAGACTACCTGGTGAGACTGTACTTCTGATCCTTGTGGACCAAACTAGACCAACGTTTTGCAGCATGTTGTCCGGCAATCAGTCTCGATGGGCAGGAATCGCCTCGCTCAGTTCACAACTAACCGTGGTCCATCACTTCTCGAGTCGATTGATCATGAATTATTTCGACCCAACATCTCCTCCCTGTCTACACAAGTAGTGTGCTACTTCATGTGGTCATAGCATCCACACTGCGATTCTCACACTGTTGGTTTTCTTTGAGCACACCTAGCACACAAATTTCGTCTACTATGCTGCTGAAACATCTTGTGCGTATCTCTTATGATCCTAAACACGCGCTTTGATCGAGATCTAACCGCCTCTGTATAAGGTCCTAGAAGAAAGGAGGGGCGGTATCGTAGCCTAAAGGATAGTTAGGATGGAATGGAGAAACGCGGAGCAGCGGGAGTAGGGTAGTATGGCTTTGTATGCGGTACGTGAATTCTAGGTTTATCTCAGGCAAAGGTAGGCTCTGAAGATCTGTATTGCCTAGTCTTTCGGCGAAGGCGACGTCGCTTTCTGTTCTGAAAAGTGTATGCTCTGCATCTTGAGCAAAATTCTGGGATGGGATATCGAACGTTAAATTGAGCTGTTCTGCACTTGTATATGTGTTGTGAGCAAAATCTCTCCATGGTGGAGGAGTCGGTGGAACTAAGGTGGACAAAAACTGCGGGCTACAATCGAGGAAGATTACTTAGACGACGTGGATAACGCGAGGATCACACATCAATGGTACGTGAGTTATTGGAGGCCTCAACGTGTATGACGCGGAAGCTGACTTTGTGTGTTGTGACGGCCTTACTAGTCTCCGCTCATATCTGAATGTCGTATCCCGTTTCGTGTCCATGTTATGAACCAGTAACGGTCACCGTGTGGCGCGAGCCACTCTTAGCTAAGCGTCTACTGTCCTGGCTTTTCAAACACGACGGTTTCAATACGTCGTAATTTAATTCTCACTACCGAGGTTATTTCAAGACTTGCAGCTGCCCTCGTCCATGAAACAAATATTTTTCCTATAACCTCTGTCGACATTAAAGCAGACACTCTGGCCCTAAGCAGTAGCCTCACCACTCGCGATCGGACCCTTGGTCTTCCATCTCACGAGACTTCATCGTAATGTTTCGACTTGGTAAGCTTCAGCCAGGTGACACGAGTGGCTCATCTAAGAGAGCCTAACGGTACCGCGAGTGCTTGGTTGTGCCGCTGAGTAGGCACAATTGTTAGCCCACTTTTTCATTCACAGAGACGATTTGACCGCATTAGGAAGAAATTTCATGGTCTGACTCACATGCAAAGGCTGTCGTGAGAGGACCACCGGCAGCCTCCTCCGTTCAGGTGAGCTTCTCCTCGAACGCTGTCAAATAACATGTTTGTCAACTGTTCTCTTCTGACTTCTTCACGGATATTGCTGACTGAAGATTTGCGCCGTCCTCTCAGCCTCTGCATCAACGTTTGAATGGAGACAGCAACCAAGGTATAAAGTCCAAGCATCTCATCTCGGACCTCGATTCTTAGACCGACAACAAGTCGTTGATCAATCACATTAATCATGTCTTCAGCTCTGTTCTCTCCTATTAAAGTCGGCGACATCACACTCTCTCACCGGGTCGCACTCGCTGCACTCACACGTCTTCGCTCCGACGCCTCATCTGTTCATTCAAGTGGTCATGGATACACGTACTATACCCAACGAACTACTCCTGGTGGACTGCTGATCACTGAGGCTACTCCCGTTCATCCCAAGGCGGGAGGTATGCCCCATGCCCCTGGTATCACGACTGACGCACAGATAGCCGCGTGGAAGAAGGTTCGTCATGTCATTCCAACATTCACAATCAGTTTGGTCTCCTCACCTATATTACGTCGATTGTATCTGCGTAGATCGTAGATGGTGTACATGCCAAAGGCGGCTACATCTTTATGCAGATATGGGCCATGGGTCGTCCCGCATATGGCTCCTTCCTCAAATCCGTCGATCCCACCTATGATGTCGTTTCCGCCTCTCCTTACTATCACGCCGACACCGATACCACTCCTCGCGAGCTCACCATTTCAGAGATCAAGGAATACGCCGCCCTACACGCTCAGGCCGCTCACAACGCAGTTCATATGGCTGGTTTCGATGGTGTTGAGATTCATGGTGGGAATGGGTATCTGATCGACTGTTTCTTGAAGGAGGTGTCGAACTGGAGGACGGACGAGTATGGGGGAAGCGCGGAGAACAGGTGTAGGTTTGCGCTAGAGATCATCGATGCTGTGGTGAAAGAGGTCGGGGCGAAGAAGACGGCATTTAGGATGAGTCCTTTTTTCACTGGTTACAGTGCGTCTTTTGCTTTATTCTTTCCGGGTCTTGACTTAGATGATAACATTGCGACTATCTGCATAGATATGGCCGTTCCCGACCCCGACCCCACCTACACCCACCTCATCTCCCGAATTCTCTCCCTATATCCCGACCTTGCCTACCTTCATTCCACTGAACCCCGTCATGACGGCACCGCCGACATTTTCCAGTCGCTCACTCCCGACGTCGGCTCCGGAAACAACTTCATTCGTGAGCTTTGGGGTGCGAGACCGTTTGTGAATGATGGAGGGTACCAGGCGGATACTGCGCTGTTGTCTGCTGAGAAATATCCGTGGGATATTATTGCATTTGGAAGGATGTTCATAGCCAATGTAAGTCGCAAATTTCTCCCGGAGTCCTACGGAAGGTGGTATCTCATCGAGTCAATGACGCTTTTTGTTGTAATTTGCAGCCTGATCTTCCGTGCAGGATCAAGGAAGGAGTACCGCTGAACAAGTACGACAGGTCGACGTTCTATACTTTCGAAAGTCCGGTGGGATACATTGACTACCCATTTTCCGAGGGTCTGCGTGAGAAGCACGCTAAATTGTTCGATGAAGAGGCAAGGTCGGGCAAACTCCCTGTCGCTCCTGCGACTAGCGTGGTCGTTTGAAGTGTAGTTTAGTAGTACTCATCCAGTCAGGATAGGCTTCTTCGCGAATCATCCTGTGTGTAATCTCGTGTGGATGTTTACCACGTTAGTCAAGCTTCCCTAAAGTAAGCTTGATACACTATGTAAAGAGAAACAAAGTTAGCAGTACAAATGCAGAAGGTTTAAGAAAGGATGATGTGGCGTTCGTGTGGCACCACGGCGCGCTCGGACCGCAAGGAAGTGGAACTGGGAAATGGAAAAAACGCGCTACGGTAACAGTGTGACGTGACGTGACGGATAGTGACGACACGCCGGGAGAGCAAGGGAGTGTGGCTGAGTGTGGCACCGCTGCAAGGAGGTGCGGTCTGAGCCGCATTCATTTTTGTAGGTTGATTTCTATGGGCCGATCGTTGTAAGGGACTCGGGGAATAGGTTATACATGCATTGAGAACAAAAAACATATATTATAGCGTACTTCTACATTTTCTGAAACATGTACATGCACATAAATACATACCATCACTGACAAATAAAACAGGACTTTGGAAATGGCCGCGAAGCGGCCCAGAAATTAATTTTGGCTTTCTCAAGCATTGGCACGTCTCTGAGAATTTTTACAGAGCCGTGGATGGTTGAGTCTGAGCAAAGCGACTGAAGGGAAGCCGGCGAAGGGTGGCGAGGGAGGGAGTGTGGCGGGCGTGACGGAGGCGCGCTGGATCGTGTTTTGATGGGACTGGATCGTGTTTTTTTGGATAGGAAGGTGTCTGCGCACCTGGGCGCTTCACACCAACCTCCCCGCCAGAATTTTACCGAAGGTGGGACGAGGCGGGAAAAACACGCTCCCGATAATCAGAAACACGATCCAGTGCGGGCGCTTCAGTGGTACGCAAGGCGCCGCCCATCAAGCTTATCTGTTCGGGTGCCGTTGCCGGGTTTACCTCATTGCCATCAAAGTTGTCACTCCGTGGAATTTCGAGGGAATTTCGAACGGTTTTCATTGCCAAAGGTCCCCCTCCCCTAACTAACTACACAGGTGCCACAAAAACACGATCCCGTCACAGACAAGACGCTCCCGGCACTTACCGCGTGACAGGAGCGTGTTTTCCCCGTGAGAAGTGGATGATGCCTTCGGCGCCTTCCACGTCGGTTGAAAATATCTTTTTCTGCGTCTGCTTCATCTCATGCTGCTTGTCTATCTTGACTCCCCTTTACATACGCTTGCGACATCGACGATCTTTTCATGACCTTATGTATATATTCAAGACCTATGGCCTCCTGAGAAGTGTTCGGTAAAACGTCACTCCCTGTTGATAGACCTAAGTACCGAATTACAGTAAGTTCTTCACCGTAAGGAGAAGTGGTCAGAACGGACTGATTGCAACATTTTTCGTTCATTGGTAGTCAATTGTTGCGCCACCGATACCGTATATATTAGAACCCATGACTGCTCGTGGTCAGGAACTGCACACAGAGGCCGTCTGAGTCCCGCTGCAAATATATCTCATGGCGTCAGGCCTCGAAATACTTGGCTTAGAATGTATGTAGAGTACCTTGCTCTCCAAGAAGGCCCCGAGGGCCGCTTAGAGATATGCACTTTGTCTAGCATGCTCCAAGAACTCGAATCCTATCAGCTGGACTGCCAGTGGAAGTGCTTGCTAACGTACAACTTGGACTGCAGGCTTCTCGGGCGTTACTACATAAGTAATACCTCCCGCAATGTTCGAGCGCCTAATCTAACTGAATCCCTGGATATAAAGGCAGGAATGGCCATCTATCTCGGATCACCCATCCTTAGACCTTCCCTCTGATATGTTCTTCGGACGCCTTGTCTTTCCTCTCCTGCTTCTATGCCTTCACGGCGTTGAAGCGGCGCTTTTTCAGTCTCCGTCAGATCTTCTTGCAAACACGAGGTACAACTATATCATCGTTGGAGGTAAGCTCCACTATCTGTTTAGCATTCAATACTATTGTCTTACGATTGTGACTTTACCCCGGAAAAGGCGGAGCGGCCGGGGGTGTTCTTGCGTATCGCCTGACGGAAGATGCGGAGGTCAACGTTCTCTTAATAGAAGCTGGATCGAGGTGAGTGCTCAACCACTTGAATGTTGACATAGCCGTCTCCAGCAGACTATGCAGTGACTTCGAAAACACAAATATTAAAGTACCTGGGCTTCAAAGTCGACTCCAAGGATCGCAATTTGTACGGGTGTCATACCATGCCTCCAATCATGTTACATGTCTGACGGTTTTCATCGTAATCCAGGACTGGAATTTCACGACGACCAATATGCCTGGGTTGAATGGTCGGTCGGTATCATACCCGAGAGGTTTTGTGCTCGGTGGCTCCACGGCCATTAGTGAGTGGACTAAATCGTTACTGGATTTAGTCGACGTGCATCTTAGTGTTCTCGAATATAGACAACATGGCGTTCAATCGAGGATCAATGGACGACTTCGATCGTTGGGCAGACTTTACAGGAGACGATGGGTGGTCTTGGGAGTCTCTTTTCCCTTATATCTTGAAAGTACTGAGACTCCCACCTATCTGACCTTTTCCGTGTACTCACTCCAACTTACAGATGGAAAACTTGACGGCACCCACGGACCATCGCGACACGAGTGGTGAGATTCTGTCCTCGATTCATGGTCATCATGGTTCGTACGCAATCTACATCATGACAATTGATTAGCGTCACTTGATCGCACGGATCTGCTGGTGTTGATGTCTCAACAGGGCCTCTTCGTACCAGTCTTCCCGGCCTTCGGTTACCTACAGACGATAGGGTCCTTAACGCATCGGCGGAGCTTTCGTCTGAATATCCATATAACATCGACATGAACTCGGGCAATACTATTGGAATAAGTGCGTGTAGATGGTCTCGATTCACTATCAGGTTACTCATTCGACAGGGTTGTACAGGCTGGGCTCCATACACGGTATCCATTGTCCCTCGTTTCCCTTGAGTCAATCATTCCTAATCACGACACATAAGATCTCCAATGGTGTAAGATCCAGCTCTGCATCAGCATACATTGCTCCAGCTCTCTCCAGAGCGAATCTCCATGTTCTCGTGAACACGCTCGTGACAAGAGTCGTCCAGACAGTATCTGAAAACGAAACCGCAGCTTTCAGGAGTGTCGAGTTGACTCAAAGCGCTTCCGGTGGGTAAAGTTCCACTTTACAGGGAGATAATTATCTGATTATCACAATGTGTATGCATGTTAGACTCGATATTCATACTCAATGCAACTCAAGAAGTTATATTGTCGGCGGGTGCAGTCAAGACTCCCCAGATACGTGCGTGGACAGTCATCGGCGTTGATCTTAGTATTGTCTGGCCTGTCTGACCTATCCCTACGCGATATGTTGCTTTGCTTCGGGATAGTCATGTTGTCTGGTATAGGAGATGCCTCGCAACTCTCATCTCTCGGAATACAGACACTCGTCGATATCCCAGGCGTCGGACGAAAGCTAGTTGTGAGTCTCTTCCCCAAATTCCCTTTCTCTCTATATTCTTCTTACACCAGGCTCGTGCAGGATCATCCTCTTTTAGGGTCATCGTGGACCGTCAGCTCAAATGATACGCTTGACAATCTTCAACTTAATGCTGAGTTCTTCAATGAGCAACTCAGTCTTTGGGAGACCGATCGTACGGGAGAATTGATACTGAGCGGCGCAAACCAGAAGGGGTTCTTGAGGCTACGAGACGATGATCCAGCATTTGGAAATGGGACGATAGAAGACCCTAGCGCAGGATCAACTTCTGGGCATTACGAGTTTATCTTCTCAGTGAGTGACTTGTACGGAAAGTCGGCAACACGAGACTTGATGACAACGATCGGTTGTATACGCTCGATAGGACGCGCTGAGATATGTGAGTGGGACACGCCCGGATGGCCATTTCTTTTCCATGGCCACAAACGTCGTTTCACCATCGTCAGGTTGGTGGCTTACAGACCCGATTGGTTATTTATTGCTGATAGCATTCACCTTTTGTGCCACACCGTTCAGTCGGCAATATAACTCTCCAGTCATCCTCCCCCTTCGACCCGCCAGTCATCAATCCCAACCTCCTCGCCACACGCTTCGATATTCTCACCATGGTCTCAGCGATCAAATCTGCACGTCGTTTCATGTCCGCATCGTCATGGAATGGATGGATCCTCGAAGAGTATGGGGAATTTGCGCAGGCCATTACTGATGCAGAGATAGAAGAGTATGTAAGAAACAATTCTGCGACGGTATTTCATCCGTGCTGCACGGCAGCTATGGAACCTAAGGTGTATAGCGGCACTGGAGCCAACACGACGAGGAAGGCACATGGAAGTGGAAGAGGTGGCGGAGTACTGAAGTCGGATTTGACGGTAAAGGGGACAGTGGGGTTGAGGGTTGTCGATGCATCCGCATTCGTGAGTGACTTGCTTTGCCTTCGAGAGTCCGTCCATGAGTTCACCACGGTAACGATGTTTTGCTTGCTACCGGTGGCGTTCTCAGCCGTTCATCCCGTCTGTCCATACACAAGGGCCGACTTATATTCTCGCAGAGCGTGCTGCAGACCTGATCAAGGGGGCGTCCAAAAATAGCTCCTGTGCCATAGCACGAAGGGCTGAAGCGGTTTGATCAGCCAAGATCCGATAAATACGAGACTTTCCCGATGTTTTGTTTTCTGTGCAAAGGATGGTTGCTCACTCTGGCTCCGAATGTCCTACCTACCAATGGTCGGATACGGCTACTTTTTCACCTTCACAGAACTCGGAATGGCTCCCCGCTTCTCACAGTACGTTAATGCTCCGAGTCACCCGAGAAATATCCTCGTACGCGATGTCTTCAGGCGTGACGCATTCCCTTCATGCATCACTGGTCCTGTTTCAGCTGAAGCATATTTATTATTAGACAAGAATGTCGAAGCTGCCTGCTTATCTTCAGTCTAGGATCTCGTGCTCATTCTGTGCCGTACCTCTTATCGTCTCCACCTCGCGCATAAAGCTGACTCCAGTGAAGTCTCCTCCATGACCTCTACGGCCAGCATGGCTAACATTGCAGATCCCCCTGCGCTCTCCTACGGTGGCCACTTGAACATTTCTGCGGCCGAAGTGGATGTCGCATCCATGCGTTCTGGAGCACCTCAGGAACACGGTGAGAAGGAGAAAGACCATGAGACTGTTATCTTGGAGGCAAATGTCGAGGATGAGAAGTCAGTTACGGGGGACGTCGGTGACAATGTCGAGGATGACGAGGAAAAAACTTTGCTTGGAACAGATGTCCCATTCGTGAGCCTCCCTCGCTATTCGCAGCTTTGTCTAATTTCTCTGCTCTTGCCGCATCTCATAATCTTTCTTCTCTTTGGCCACGCAGCCCGAGGATCCCGATGCCATCCCAGAACCTCATCAACTCACCTTCCGCGCCATTCTCGTTGGCTGCACACTCGGTGGTGTCATCGCAGCATCAAACGTCTACCTCGGCCTAAAAACAGGCTGGACGTTCGGCTCGGGACTCTTTGGCTCCATTTTTGGCTTCGCCATCATCAAGCCCCTCTCTCGTATCCTTCCCGAGCGCTTTGGAGGGGGCTACTTTGGACCGAAAGAGAACGTGTGTGTGATGAGTGCAGCAACCGCAGCAGGATCGTTGGGTTTGCTGTTTGCGAGTGGGTTTCCGGCGATGTATCAGTTAGGCGTCATGGGGAATAGTCCGAAGGACGACATCGGGAGGTTGTTCACGTTTACAATTTGCTGTGCATATTTCGGGATTTTCTTCACCATTCCGCTACGTAAGTTCTATATCCTGAGGTTGAAGCTCGTCTTTCCAAACAGCGTTGCCACTGTGAGTGAAGATTGCTCGACTTGCGACCTATCCTAGAGCTGACCATCGCTTTTCAGGCATACACTATCAGGTCCCTTCACGTCGGGAAAAATGCTGCAGTCAACGCACGGAAGAAAACGTACGCTCTACTCATCGCATTCTTCACCGCAATATGCTGGAGAGTGGTCTCCGAATACGCAGTATGTTTTCCTTTTTGTTTTTCATCCGAATCGTATACCTTTACGATAATGTTCTTCTCTTAGCCCGGGATCATGTGGGACTGGCACTGGGTACATTCTCTATTTCGTGCTCGTCGCGGAGAACACTAATTATTTGTCCTTGCTATAGGCCTGGTGGTTCTATAGGGCCGGGTGGTCGTGGATCGTACGTGCGGAGAACTTTTCATGGGTCATCGAGTAGTAGACTTTCCCCTTTTAGTCGAGCGCATCTAACTTATGTATTAACTGCCGTATAGATGGACTCCTGCCTTTCTCGGTGTAGGCCTCCTTGTTGGATTTAACAATTCCGCCTCGTTCCTTGGCGGTAGCGTTCTATCGTGGATGGTCATTGGTCCGGCTTTGATCGCCACTGGTAAAGCTTTCGGAACACCAGTCAGCTCCGAGTATCCTGGGTATATCAGCGTAAGCATTTCTGTATCGTGTAGTCAATACAGAGCAGTAGTGATCATTGACATTTTACAAATTCGACGTAGATGATGAACATGGTACTCGATGATCCTGTCAACCAGCCTTCCCCGAGGTATTGGCTGATTTGGCCCGGAACGTTCATCCGTACGCCACCTTCGTATCAAACCATGTTGATGAACCTCACTTCCTGCACTTTTCAGTTCTCTGTGCCTCATTCGCAGAAGTATTTTGCAACTTTTCCAGCGTCTTCACCGCTATCCACCAAATGTTACAACCAATCCTTGCTCGCCTGCGGAAATCGCCTCCCCCCTCAACCGATTCATACATCAAATCCAACCCGGAATCAGAACCCATATACGACCCAGCCCCTCCGCACGAACAAGTCCCGTCATGGATGTGGGTTGGCGGGATGCTGCTCGCCACCGTCGTCACCATGATCGTCATGTCCACCCAATTCAATCAAAACGCCGGTGTCACCCTCCTCGCCATCATCTTCGCCTTTCTCTTCTCGCTCATCGGGGCAGAGTGCTCTGGTAGGGTCTCGGTGATTCCTGTGACGAGTATTGGAAATGCGAGTCAGTTGATATTCGGGGGCGTTAGTAGGGGGCGGCATTTGAGCGTCCCGGATAATCAGAGATTAAATTCGTTGACGGGGATGATCGCTCTGGGTGCTTCGGAGCAGTGTGCGGATATGCTAGGTGAGTGTGCTAACTTATATTCGTCTGTACGGTCATGAAGGAAGGCTCTGAATCCGGTAGGTGATCTCAAGTCGACGCACCTGCTCGGAGCTTCACCGCGGGTCCAGCTCTATGCACAATGTTGTGGTGCTCTTGTCTCCATCTTCATGAGCACTGGGATGTATGTTTTGTTCTCTACTGGTCAGTTTTGTAACTCCTTCACGCTCGCTCTTCACGCTTTGATCGGTTTACCTTCGTCAGCCTATCCTTGCATCAACGACCTCGAAGCATCCACTACCTGTTCATTCCCTGCGCCTGATGTAGCTTCGTGGCGCGCAGTAGCCGTTGCGGTCTCGTCTCCAACACTCCCAATCCCTCCATCCAGTGGCTACACCGCCATCGTACGTCTTCATCTCCCCAGCTTACGATTTCAGCACTAGCACTTATCATTTATGAATCACACCAGGGCCTAGGAATCCTCGCCGTCCTCACCACCATCTTCAAATACCGCTTCGTCCCACCCGCAAAGCGCCACCTAGTCCCAAACTGGAACGCGATAGGCATAGCGTTCATCCTCAATACGTGCACGTACCCTATCGCTATGTTCATGGGCAGTGTCGCGGGATTGACGTGGCGGAGGTTCGGTGGGGCGAGTTATACGATGGTCTGTGCCTTCAGGTTCTTCGAATGGGGTGTGTTGACTGATGTGCGAGCAGTATATGTTCCCGGTGGCGGCTGGTATGATCGCTGGTGAAGGTAAGTTCTCGATGCGTTCTGTCGGACAAGGTCTGAGGATATTATCTCGCTCATCGATCACTTTCAGGGCTGGGTGGAATTATCAACGCCGTCCTGCAAATCGCTGGTGTTTCGGGCAGTGTGCACGGTACGGCTGTGGGATGTCCAAGTACGCATTCTCCACCGCTCTCTCGAATAATGAGCTACTGACAATCGCTACCGATGTTCCAGTGAATGTATACTGCGGGTAGGTTGAGGCGGGTGTCCTTGTGTCTTGATGAGGACGAAGTTCCCTCCAAGGGACAGCATAGTAGATCGTCGTATCACGAACAGCAGAACAGCCTTCAGAATCGGGAATGCCGATACGTACGGCGCTGAATTGAAGTCGGACGTTCTTTTCTTCAGGAGTGCGAAACGCATTCGCCTGTCGATTTGATCGCCTTAAGCTTGGAGATATTACCGATATTGACCAACTTTGTTCGAAAGAGGGCTGGAAAACCTCATTTTTGCTGGGCAGACATGGTGCCAAGTCTGCGTCATCTACGAATCTCGGCGATGAAACCTAGTATATACGTAACGCTGATGTCTCGTCGACCCCGCCTCATTTTTCTCTGGATTCGAGCACCTGGCAGTGGATGACTGGTCCATGAATATTCAATGGCTGCATCGGCCCAAACATGCATGCTTCAGGTCAAGGGCAACCATGGTGTATCTCGAAGCCATTTTGATCGACATCGAATGGTTGCTGACATCGACAAGTTCTCCGCCTGGCGAAAGCCTGACGGACAGGGACACGCGCAAACAGGTCCGTGCATGCATGATACGGCTATGAATAGCACAAGAGGTGCCCGGAACTGATCGAGCAATTCCGCCAACCGCAGCTTGGACTCTTCTGCAAATATTGGCGGCGATTCGAAAATAGGTAACCGAGAATGGCATGGAAACGGAGTCTTGCCACTCCTGAATTTAAGCATCGTCGGCGTGTGACCCCGGAAAACAAATCACTCAATATTGTTCAAAATATTGCGTTCGTGGAGGAACGTCGACGTAACCATCGGGGCATACCCTATGACATCCTACGGTAGAAACGTGACTTTTTATTGGACGCCTTTGTTTCACGGGCTTTATATACAGGAGACCGGCGCATTGGCAATGCGTGAATTATTACGGCAACTTTCTCCCCGGTCATTTTAATCAGGAGTGAGTAGACAGTTGCCGAGGACCTTCAGACTCAGAATCCCACCATTCAAGCCTGCCATATTTATAGGTTATAGCTCATGAAGCCTGAGGGGATGGTCCCATGGATGGCAAGCCCCACCATGACATCAAAACCACTGTTTGAGTCCAAGGCCCGAGCACCTTCTATAAGAATTCATATCGGTTACCGGATATGGGCTTCTGCATGTCTCGAACGGGTCCCGGCCAGTGCCAAGCCGCAGGCTGTCTGAGCAACCGCAGCCCCCACTTTCCATCGAGTATGCCAAGGGATTCAGCTATGTACTGTAGATGCAGCGAATTGGGCTTTTGTACGAGGTATGATGGCCAGAAAAAGTCCAAGAAACAGAGAATTTCGTGCACCTTTACGCGAGGTCGAGGAACGGAGAGCGTCCGAATGCGGTAGGAGCCGGCACGCGGCAAGACGCGGACAGCCGGGGATATGCGACCGCAGATATATATAGGGCCTCTTGATGCGCTGTTCGCTAACGATTTTCTCTTCTCCCACCTTAACTCTTCCCCTTTGCCTCATCGCGCGTTCGAGTTACTACCTCTACGAACTGTGCTCTTTTAATCGCTCTCGAACACCCACTATCCTTTAGAATCTCGACTCGTATCCTTTCACAACAATGACTCGTGCTGCTCTCTTGCCCGTTCTTGCCGTCGTTGCCACGTCGGTTGTCAAAGCCGACTACTTCAACTCCATCGACCCGCTCATCTCGAAGACCCTTACATGGGGCTCTCTTGTACGTTCTATATTCATAATGTCTTCTCTTCAGCGTCTGAAACTTACGAAATGGACCGGACAAACAGCCCCAGCAAGTCGACACCGACACCGCTGACCCCCGTGGAACCCAGACCGGCTACAATGTCTGCAACTCGACAACGGAGAACCAGGAATCCCTGTGCCAGACGATGGTTGTCAACCACATCGATGGTGCGTTCTTTTCGCTCTCCTGAATGGTGGTCTGCCTCGCGTATTCTGACTGGCGAACACGCGTTCCCACGGTGCACATCTATAATTAGACTTCTGTATTTGGGCACCTCCCGAAGCCAACACTGCGTACGTCCCCCATCCTCGCTTCTTCCGTCCACTTCAGACGTGCTTACCTCGCCACGTTCTCTTCTTAGCATCGCTGACTCTGAGGGCGAGGAAGTCGCGTGGTGCACCAAGAAGGGATACGGCACCCGTCTTATCCCTGAGGGCGCTATCACCGGTATCCAATTCGTTAAAACTCCTTCGTACCTGCAGATCGCAGCGTTCGTCGACCAGACCCTGCTTAACATCCCGGCTGACGACTACGGAGGAGAGCTCGATTCTGGAGGACAGGACGGTGTGCGTGTCTCTTCTTTCTTCGCGGCTTTCTCTTGCTAGGGTGGAACCTGAGGTTAACATATCGTTTGCATCGTAGAACGGTAACCCCATGGGCGGTGCCGTCTTCTCCAACGCATTCCCCTCGAGCAACGGCGACAACTCGACATACGCCCAGGCTAACCACTGGTCCTTGTACGTCCTGGTTCTCTTCACCACCTACGTCATCATGTTCCTGCCCCACCGTCCCAGGATGATTCCTTATATGCTCTTTCTTAACTAGCTTCATCGGCGGTAACTTCACCTGTGGCAAGGTCTGCGACCAGACTGGTTCCAACCCGCAAGGTCTCTGCCAGAACATCTACGACAGGCTTGGGTGCACGTACAATGCGCCCAACAACGCCCAGGACGGTGTCTTCGAATACGTACGTTTTCATCTTTGCCCATTTCTGTGCATTAAGACAAGGTACTGACTGGTGATGTACAGTGCGAGGGTGACGACATGACGCCCGTTGGAACTTACGTCGTTAACGGTGCTACCAGCGTGTACACCCAGCCCGCCGAGACCGTCTCCATCACTGACATTCCCTACACGTACGTCACTCCTTTCACCTCGCACGCTACCTACTCAACCCACTAACCACTCCTCGTTTCCTCCTTCAGCCCCACCCCCGCCGCAACCTCGAACTGCATTACCTACACTTCCTCCGCTCTCTTCACCGACCTCGTTGGCGTCAGCCCCACCGGCACCGGCGCCTCGACCACCGGCAGTGGTTCCGCCGCCGCCACCGGGTCTTCCAAGGCCTCGAGCGGCAGCAAGAGCGCGACCGGAAGTGGTGCTACCGGGACCGCGACCGGCGCGTCGTCGAGCGGTGCCCCTGCGGCTCTCAGCATGGGGTGGTACTCGTCGGGGTTGACGATGGTCGTTGGTATGGCTTTGGGATCTCTGTTGATTGTCTGAGCGTTTGATCTGGGCACATCTTTATGCACTTGACATTGATTTTCTTTCGTGAGAGGCTGGAGTTTGGATTGATTGAAGGAGTAGAGTGGACGGAGAGTGAGAATCTATGATGGACATGAGCCTGCAAACTTACACACCCACCCACCCACCCACCAACCCTTTCTCGATATCGATATGGATTCTTTTCTTTTGGGATCGCACACCGAAACGATACCGAAACCGCACCGAACTTTCGTTGGAAGCTACCTACCTTACAACGTATACCACTTTCTTTTTAGTGTTTTACCCCGCCCTGTCTTTGACTCTGACTCTTGTTTTGTTCCTTGGTTTGAATGATTGATTTCTCTGTTCCGTTGGTGATCTCTCAATGTTGAACGCGATCGAGCCTTGGACGTGGACGCTTGCGTTTGAGATACGATTATGGACGATGATGTGGACATGGACAACGATGCTCTATGGACATCACGAACGTTATTTCGCATCGAAATGGACCACACACACAGACATTGCATGCGATCCTTGGACTCTCGATTCAGAGTTTGCGATATGATTATGGACAACGATATGGACGACGGACGAATACTCTTGCTCTCGACATCACGAACGTTATTTCGTCTCTGAATGGACCTTACAATTACTGGCAGTTGCTGTTAGTCTTGATTCTTACACGCATCCATGTATCTCATCCGAGTCTCCGTGATATCTATGGACATGGCGCCAGGTCCAAGGTTCGGACTATATGATATGTATATACCACTGTTTCGCTTTTGTCCTCTTCTGCCGTGTTTCGTCAGCAAGGTGTCAGTGAGAAGCGGGGCAGTGCGTGCGGAGCAACCGTACTAGAGTGCTCGTCGAGTGCACATCGTGATGTCGAACGATCCCAAGGTCTAACTCTCTCCATCATGAATGCGCATGGTCTACTGATGCGACCGTATGTCTCTGCGACGGCCTATCTAGTCCGCATACTCAATATCGCGAACGCGCTCGCTCCGTGTGATGTTGATTGAGACTACGCGAAATACACAGCAGTTCACTGATCCTCAAATATACTTCCATTCTTCACCGCGGAGTAACAAGAAGTACCGCTACTACATAAGTACTATGAAGTATTTATCTTACACAAGTGACAAGCCAGAAGCTCTGCTCGTGAAGCGTGTATGTACGCAGTAGTCCAGGTGTTCACGAAGTGAATCAGAACTAAACGTATGTACCACGCTCTGTGAGAAGAGAGGCGGGAGTCCGTTGCTGAACAAAAGAGTGAATTCAGTGAGGTCGAAGAATGTTTGGTAACTGTTATCGATATCCAAGCGCCACCGCGCCACACGAACACTTACTCCTCTACACCTACGCCATCCTTCCCCTGACCTTCCTACTCCTACCCTTCGCATTCGTCTTCGCCTGAGACTGCTGCTCCTGCTCCTCATCCATGAACCCAACCACGGATATCTCCTGGAACTGCTCCGCATCCTCAAGCACCCTCTGATCCTCTTCGTCCCATTCCATCCACGTCCCATCGTCGTCCCTTCCGGTATCACCATGCTCATCATCATGGCCCTTCGCTGCAGGACGTCCAACGATTCCAGTAGATGACGGTGTCGAAATCGATGGAGCAGACTGTGACTCGTCGTCGTCCTGCGTAGCAGACGACGGGTCCCTCGCCAACATGAAGTCCTCGTCCTCTTCGTCGAACTCAAGCGCCACCGCCCTCGCGTCGTCCTCGCCATAGCTCGTCCCAACGCTTCCGATCAGACCACGACTGTCGGGCCTCGAACCCCCGCTCGCGCTCATTCTCGGCGACCGAACCCTCCCGATCTCGCGCCGCAATCTTCCCAAACCTTCGCTGACACCTTCACTCAGACCTGCCGCCATCCTGTTCACAGGTAACGAATTCCTGAACGAATTCGACCCGACGCCGCCATTCGGGAACATAGGGATGACGGGTGGCGATGAAGCCATGAGGTGCGAAAGGTCGCTTGAAATTGCAGAAGAGAGCGGCTCGTCGAAGGATGAAGAACGGCCGAGGTGTTGAAGGCCAGCTTGGGAGTCGTCGATGAACGACTCGCCGTTGCCCCCGGCGGTGTACGCGCTGATCTGAACTTCCTTTCGGACTTCAATGCGGGTAGCGTGGAAGTCGAAATGATAGCGACGTATAAGTGCGTGGTAATCATCGCCTAGAGTGTGGAAGGAGAACTGGTGGTTGAGATAGATTGGTCGAGGGAGCACGAGAGGCAGATGGGAGCAAGTCTGTAGCTCGGCATGGGCCAACCAGCTAGCGATACCACCATCAGTACGCTGGATCGGCGGGAAAACAAGGAAAACGTACTTGTTCGATGCGATCGGCTTCACGTCCCCCTGAGCATTCCTCACGGCCTTCCTAACCTCTGGCCAATTCTCTCCCCTCTTCAGGTTCCAAGAAGCAACATCCACCTCCCTACCCGCGATCTCCCTCCCTTTCTCCATCATTACCGATAATGCGGAGCTACTAGGGCCAGCACTGCCTCCACTACTCACTATGCGACCTGCTTGTCCTGTAGGTTGAGGAGACGTTCCAGCTCCTGACATCCATCCAAGCGAAGATCTGCTTGGCAAAGATATCGAAGTTCCGCCGAAACCGGGAACGGAGCCTGGGACTTTGAGGTTCTGCTCGACTGCCTTGGGATCAACGAAGAAACGACGAAGTGAGAGCGTGCTGTCGGCTTCGTCGAAGACGAGTATATCCTGGTAGTTTGTCGGCCGGCGAAGGCGCTGGGTCGGGGAAATCGGCTCCAGCCCTCGTGATGGCGATGAACTGATTGAACTTGGGGCCGAAGAGGTTGGAGTGGATATTGACGCGGGTGGAAGGAGTTGTTGAGGGACTGTGTCTAGGGCAGGATTTAGGAATGCGAACGATAGCGATGGTGGAAGCTGCTCATTCGTCGATGATGGGGGGGCTGTGGCACGTAACCGAACGATGGGGGACAAGCTCGTTGATAACGGCTGCTGCACCGAGGCCTGGTCAGTACATGCCACACAGAAGCCTGGACGGACAACTTACAAGTTCCTTGCAGTTGACAACCCTACCGCCCGTATGCGAATACTCATCAGCCTTGCCACCGTATGGGTTCGTCGCGAAGACGTGGATCGTCCTCTTTCTTGAACCCATCGCCACCCATCTACCATCGGACGAAATATCAATCCCGTCGATGATCGCATTCGTTCGGCCTCTTCGCAGGTCATACATATGCCATGGTGCACCATCGTCCTAGCCAGAAAGAATGTGTTAATGACGAACCGCTGCAGATAAAAGTCGTTGAGGACAAAAGAAAACGGGGAACATACCTTCACAGCTTCGTCCTCGCTGCCTGCACCAACTGCCTGAGCGCCCCCCCTCTTCAACCTCCTCAGTGCCCTCGACCTCGGCCGAACCGCAAACATTCTTCCGACTTGTCCATCCTCCGGTACAACCACGATATTCGCGCCATCCTCCGAGAACTTCAAGCCGGAGACTGCCTGTCTCTTGAGTGCCAGAAACTCGGCCAACGTCTCCGGCTTGGTCTCGGTATCGTCATTGCCTCCCAATGTCAATAGAGGCTGCAGATCGACGATGGTGACGAACGATCCAGCCGGCTTGTCCGAAACCGAGGAAGTACTCATCATCGGTTCCATGCCCTCCTCCCTCGCTCTTGCGGTCGCTTCCTCGTTCAAACTAACGACCCTACCCCCATCGGCTGCGTAAGCCCTCTGACTTGCTGCTGGCGCACTCTTCGAAAACCACATCCCCGCTAATCCACCTCCAGCTGCCTGAACTCTTGGATCCACCGACGTAGGCGTCGTCGGGGACGACGCCCCACCTTCACCCGCCATCTTTGTCCTCGCAGCGGAATACGCACCCCTCCCCGCACTCCACAGCCCACTGAGGACCGTCCCGCCAACCTTCAATGCCGCGTTGCCCAATTCAGCCTGGGACATGCCTCCAATTCCACGAACGCCTGCACCGATACCTCCGACGGAACCGACGGTCGAATCAGTTCGTGTAGAAGTACGTTCGCGAGGTTGCCTGGAGGTAGAGGTTGATGCGGGGGAGTCGGGACGTGGAGGTGGAGAGGCGAAAGCGAGCAGCCGGCCAGAGAGAGCGAATACGGGTTGGGGAACCGTGTCTAGATGATTATGAATCGAGGAAGGAGATGGAGCGGTGGTGGTCTGATTTAATAATACACTGGTATCCTTATGTTGTTGATATTGTTGGTTTGCGTTCGTCGTACTCCTACTTGGGGTCGTGAATTGATTCGTGTTGTTTGTTATGCGTGGTGTAGTGGAAAGAATGAGTGAAAGTGAAGGGGCCGGGATTAAGTATAACGATGAAAGTGTACAAGATGATAGTATTCTGAGAGTTGCTGGGTTTGATGTGCTCTATATCGCGTACTAGGTTAACGTCGCCCCTGAAATAAGCAAAGATGGCACGTACGATAATGATGAAGCTTGCGTTGGACAAAAATGATACAAGGCCGGGAATGGGCCGCCTGTTCACCACCTCGTGGCTCGAAAGCGAATATACAATAAATTCGGGCTCTTCGCGTGGTCGTTGGGCACTGTTCGACGTCACAGCACCAATTAGCTCGCGTGGAGGAAAAGAAGAAAGCAACGCGAGGAATTGGACGTACACAACCCCGATCAAAGGCCTCTTCTCTACGAAAGCGTCCTCCACTTCACTCCCAGTCCCACCAGCCGGTGTAGGCAACACGGCAGCGAAGCGCACCCTACCCCAGGACGTCCTCGACTGTCTGTAGGTCGACGCGGAGAGGTTCAAAACCTCATGCACTCGCTCGAGGTTTGTGCAATCCCAGATGTGCAGGCCGGTGGTGTAACCTACGAATAGGAGGTGTCTGCGAAATTAATGGGCCGACGTAATGAGTGAGCAAAGTCAGTCGTGTGGCATTCTACCCCAGATTCCGAGTACGCACCTGGCTTTGCCATGACCTTTCGCAGGAGCGGGTAAGACGTCCCATCTAGACCACAAGACCCTCCCCCCATCCACAACGTTCTCGTCCCGAAGAACGTGGGCACCGGGGTAGCCTACCCCTCTCCTCATCTCTTCGTGCCCATCGCCAACCGCACGTGCATCGTCCTCGTCCAACCCGAACACTTCGCCGTCTCCACCAGACCCTCCCATTCCAACATTCCATCCCTGTGACGCTGGCTGGCCGTACTGCTGCTGCTGTTGATTCGTCCCTGCGCTCGAAGGCGAAGTCATACTTCCGAATGCGCCAGGCCTCGAAACCCTCGGAGGCGAAGGGACCGCGGAAGGAATGGAGATGCCCAAGCCGCCCATTGATGTTGGAAGTGATGGCAGGTTAGAAGGGAGTGAAGGGAGGTTGCTGGGGAGAGAGGGAAGTCCGGTAGGAAGAGACGGGATGGAGGAGGGAACGTAGGTCTTCACGGTGCGAGTAAGGGATTCAAGCCGCGTGTGGTGCCTATTGTGGGCGTTTGAGGTCGAGGGAGCGGCAGTGGTGTGGTTTGGATGGTCGTGAGCGTCGTAGTTGTGGTCGAAATCGAAGTCGTAGTCCAGGTAGGGTAAGCACGACGGGTGGCGAGTCGTTGAATCGGGCGGGTAGCGGTGATGCGACGAAGACATTGACGATAGAAAAGAAAGAAAGAGAATTTGTGAGTACAGACGCCGCCAAATCGGTCGAACAATCAAAGATAAGAAAAATGCATAAAACAGAGAGGGAACGGCTGGATAAGAACTACGAAAAATAACGGAGAAGGGGGTTATGGACGTCGAGAACAACGGACTCGACCGGAGTCTATATGACTGAGCGTGAGGACAAGGATCTTAGGAGATGCCCCCAATCACAACGTGTCTCGGGCACGACACTGATCGTCAAGAGAAGTAGCGGGATCTCGAGTCATCATGATGCGCACGGGAACGAATAAGATAACGAGCTTTGAAGCCTACATATGTAGGACGACTAATTTACTGTAACCCTGTCAACCTATAAGGGTCCTCTGAAGCTAAAATACAGTAGCCTGTAGGTTAGGCTCGGGTACCGCTATCTGGCTGAGGGTGTATATAGAGTACACCGAAATCCGTGTGTGATGCGCGCGAATCAGATCCGTGGAACAGACAAATTTGCGAGGCCGCACTAATTATAACATGCCACACGATTTTCGATGAGGCAAACTTGATCCGTGCTGCTGCAGCAAGTCGACAACGATTCCTCAACACGGATATAATTTTCCCCGCATGAGCGCTCAAAGCTCGCTGCGAATTGGTATACGAGCTCACGTCGTAATCCAACCGCTTGTGTCCTCCCAGTACGAAACAGAACAAGAGACCGAATTGAAAATGAACGATGCGGGCAATCTTGCGCCGCGGCGCAACATCATTCACATAAGTCGTGCCTTGCATGATAAGCGCTGTGCGGACAACTGAACATCAAGCCCTCTGCGTCGTATGAGAGCCCGCAAGTCGCTCATCGTACTCAAAGGCAAAAAAAAAGCACCACTGAAAGGACCAAAAACGAAAGAAAATTGACAGGCAGGAAACAGAAAACAGTAGATGAGGATAATCAAAACGTACCTGGCCAAAACCGGCGCCCGAACATGCCCCATCTCTTCGTCCTCCACCGGTTCCTCTCTTCTACCTGCACCAACTCCGTACCTCCCGTCTCCATAGTCTCCTCTGCCGTAGTTCTCGACGTTCGCCATCAATCCATACCCATACTCGTCGCCCTGAGCGATCGAACCTCTCGTCCTTCTAGTCCTCTCCTCCAATATCGAGGGCGCAGATATGGGCGAAAGCCCTGCTGGTTGCACGGCTGGAGGCAAACGAGGCGGCCGCAATGAACGGATCGTCTTCGCCGGCTCGGAAGGTGCAAGCGTCGGTGTAGGATCCTGGTCGAAGGCGAAGTTGAAAGTCGATTCGGGTTCGGGTACAGGTTCCGATCCCGACTGAGGCTGAGGCTCGATAGCGCGAGTCGAACGATGTTGCTTGACGTGACGAGCTGTTCTAGGAGGTTTCGTTTCCGAAGCGGGAGCTCGCGCTGGCGCAGGCGAGGGAGAAGGGGACGAATCGAAAGCGGCTCTAAATTCCTCCTCGAATGTCGACAGTGACCTCTCCCTCTGCTGCTGTACTCCTCCACCTCCACCACCCCTACCGCCGTTTCGCATACTTCCGCTCCTCGATGACGGCTGGGACCGTTGTGGTTGCGAGTCAGTCGCGTCGTCACACGAAGTCCTCGCGTACGGATAGCTCTGGGGACTAATCATCTCCGGTGCAGGAGGATGTGCAGATGGGAGACCGAGCTGGGTTGTTGATCGAGGAGATGTTACCGCAGACGGAGGAAGGGACGAAGATGGGATCGAAGGCGGTCTAGACGACGGGGGAAACGATGACCCATGCGAGTAAGGAGACGAGCGAGCAGAATCGACGTCAGGGGGGCCAGGCGAAGGAGAGGGTGTTCCAAGGTCGGTTGCGGGTGGTGTGGCGAGCGAGCTCTCGGCTACTGATGCGACAGTGGCGGAGAGGTGCATGTCGTGAGTTTGAGAGTGAGATTTCTTCGGACGTTTCTTGCGGGTTGTGCGACTGCGGTAGAGCGGAAGATAAATAATTCAGTTTTGAGATTTGAGCGAGTTGAAAGGAGCAATGAGGAACAGAGCGCAAGGGAATGGTAGATAGTAGTTGTAGATGCAGTATAACGGAACGAATTGGTATGGCATTGTGCCCCTATATGGACGAAGGCCATGATATAAGGCGTTCGAGATATGCAACACGCTCTCTACACGAGTAGGCCCTCGCCACACAATCATCGTGCACAGCTTCCATACCGTGCCACACTGTAACGGTGCGGATCATTCTCGCGACGAGATTGATCCATGCAGAGTAACGCAAGTTGACGTTGACCGTTCACGATCGCTTCGACGTGCGTGTACGGACCCCATTACTGTGCAGTATCTAGACCGTTCCGATCGCTGTGTGGCGTAGCGACGTGGCACGTTCGTACTTGGGCCAGAATTGCATTACGACCTTCCAAAACGCAGCACTTCCAGAGTGCGCGAGAATAACAGAGAAAGAGACAAGTTTGGAGACTTACGTAGAAGTCAAAGGCAATGGAACACCACCCTGTATCTCCTCCACTCCACTCGGAACGGCTGCCGTACCCTCCTCTGCGCCACTACCAAAGCCTGTACCCATACCGCTCCCAAACTCCATCGCGTCCTCTACACGTTCGAGAGCGTGTGACGTAGGCTCAAACATGTTCGTCGACTGTCCTGGCGGATCGTCGAAGTCGAGTGACATAGTGCGCGGTGGTGATGGTGGTGTATCGTCGAATGAAAGGTCCGATGGTAAATTAGCCAGGATGTTAGAATTCGGATTGTCGCTGTTGTCAGAGTTCTGTTGCTGTTCTCGTTCTTGTTGAAGATATTTGGCATTGCGAGCGCTGCGAGATGGCATTAAACGGAGCGATGAGGTATAGGGAGAAAGTGGAGATAGCGACGATATCGCAGACGAATGAACCAAGAGAGCCGAGCGGAATAAATATTATGAATATGAGCAGTTCAAAGCGGACAGTATACAGTCAAGAAATAAGTATTGCGTTGTGTAAAGATTCGATGGGTTGCGTTGGGTTAGAGCGTGGGTGGTCGAGCGCAGATGGTGGTGGTCGACAAGAGAAAGGAGACAAGAACAGTCTAGCGAGCTTCATCACTGACTCGCCTCCAGTTCCCTTTTTCGGAAAGCTGGGGACATCGACGTTATCTAACCCCTAACCCCGCCACAGGGTTTCTGCCCCTTTCGGTCTTCTCAATCTTTCATCACGCTTGCTCATGACTTCGACGTTCTCAATTTCTTGCACCCGTTACGACTTCTACTCCTGCACTGCTTGAGTTCTATTAAAATGATTGTGGTCACGAATGGCCTCATCACGAAGGCAGAATCACAAATGCAGAAATTGGGATCATTGCAGATTTTGATGCTGACGTCGTCTTCAATTGCGTCTCCGTCAATGATCACTTCGACTACATTTGTTGTCACGGATTGGGCTCCCTCAGGCTGTCTAATGCTCTTTGCTTGTCTGTGTGAACTGAGGATGTTCTTAAGCTTATACTTCGTCCTGAGTATGCAAGCTCACCATGATGTCATTTACTTTACTAATCGTGCTCTCACACCGTAAAACCCGACACCCAAAACGCCATCTCTGTCACACATACTCTCACCGTTCCCTTTTGTCTACGATGGGCCCCCTAAGTCATAAAACGGATTACTCGTTCTCCTCGGCGACGCCGAACCCTCCAGCCCCAGCTCTCCTCCCCAACTCTTCCCACCTTCTTTCATAGGCCTTGAAATATCTTCGCATCCTGATCAGAGCTCGCAATGTCACCAAACGAGAATCTCCCATCCTTCGACAAGGACTATCGATTCAAGCATACCGCTCCGCCGAACCCATCGTTCAACTATCGTGACCCCGTTACGAGCACGGAGCAAGGGAAAGACTGGGCCGATGGAGCAAAGGAAGGTTGGGAGGTTTTCGATATCTCGAAGGAAACCCCTGCGTATGTGTTTGCAGTTTTCGTATGATACTGCGGTCTGTGGTAAAGGAACCCTGACAGCTTTCGTTATCGCATCTCAGGCAGATCTACAAGTTGATGATCAGTGGGATCGTGCCACGTCCCATCGCATTCGTTTCGACTCTCAGCGAAGGCGGTATTGCGAACCTTGCACCATTTAGGTCATTATTTTCTCTTTTTCCCGCGCCATTGATGTCACTGAATTCTGCATCTTCTCGTTTGCGGAACACCCATAGCTGGTTCAACCAAGTCTCACCCAACCCAGCCCTCATCTCGATCTCGATCTCGGCGAACAGCAACCCCGATGGCTCCCCGCGCCCTAAGGATACAGTCGCCAATATCAAAGCCACGAAAGAGTTCACGGTCAACATTATTAGTGAACCGTTCATTGAGAACGCGAATATCACGTCGATCGATGCGCCGCACGGGGTGGACGAGTGGGAGATCAGTGGATTGACGAAGGAGCCCAGCGTGAGTGCTTCTACCCTCCTTGGTTTACTCCTCGAGCTACGGTAATCCTTCAGCGAAAATATTGGGACTTGATCTGGCCCTGGGATCGATCACTTCCTCGGCTGCTCGCTCTCCATCTATCTCGGTCGGCATACCTGTGATCGTATCGCATCAATCTTAGTTTCTCTCGTTCGCTGGCGTCTATTCCTACTGCGATAGCTTGATGCACGTAGTCGTCGACGTTTGGGCACTGTTGCCGCATTCTCGCAAAGATCTCGTGACGAGGCCTGATATTTTCTGTATAAGATTTTTTTAGCATCTCTGTAGCCTGATAACGTGCAGTAATTTGATGACGCTGTTGTAAGGTTTGACCACCCACGATCATTCCTTGTAACTCGAGCGCAGTCTCAAACCCTTCATCCCTGTCAATACTCTTCACCTTCGTTCCATTTTCCGCTCGCCCATGCGTCCAATAACTCCCACAATAGCTGACAATCAATATCCCTCTTATCATATTTAGATCCACGTCAAGCCACCACGCGTCCTCGAATCTGCCTTCTCGATGGAATGCACCCTGTACGCGGCGCACGACATCCCTTCACCCACCACCGGCAAAGTTTCTACCACACTCATTCTCGGACTCGTCAAATATATACATGTTAGGAAGGACGTATTGACGGAGAATAGGACGGTAGATCCAGCGAAGTTCAGGGCGGTGGGAAGGTTAGGGGACGTTACGTATGCGCGGGTGGGCGAGGGGTTTAGGTTGGCGAGACCACAGTGGGAGGAGGACAAGGATAAGATAGAACGAGGTAGTGGTAAAGGATTGGTACCGTCTCTGTGAGCGGGAGAATTGCGAGGCTCCGCTATGGAAGGTATGTATGAAATTATACTATCAAGTATTACAAAGCTAACACATTGATTGGGTCAATAGGTGTCTTTGTTCACCGTACTGGGCCTTGTAAGTAATTTCACCCAGAATGTCGGATCACGACATCGGTTTCGACGTTGTCTACGCAATCGTTTGTGTTGTTTCAAATAATCTCGGTCGACTCTCCCATCCCATGGTCCACATAGGATAGTGCTCTCAGGCATTGTTTCGACGCTCATGTCAGCTTCCTTGCGGCGAGCTGAGGACTACCTCAGTGATTCCTTGACGGCGACAAGTCACACACTCGCTGTCTATACTGCGAGTCGGAGAGATTGACAATATCGGTATGCTTAGAAAGATCTGGCGCTGCTGTCAGGGACACTGCCTAGGTTCGGACACCTGACTGTTTCCTGGATTATTAGGTTTGGCGAAGCAGCCCGACGTAGACTCCAGACTCTATAGTGAAGAGGAACGACTGTCTTCCTCGATCTTTAGAGTCTGGATTTCGAGACTACGCTCGGACGTGCTCCAACGCTCTTGTCGGCCTTGAGCTAGCAAAAGTCTGACACTCGGCAGGCTTTAGCCCTCGGACTTCCTTTAATCACCACCGGCTGCTACTTTCATTCCTTGCAAGGTTCTTGCCTTTTGCGCGCAATGTCTTGAAGACTGTCGCCATGTATCGACTACCATAGGTTCCGAAAAAAAAGTAATGAGAAAGTACACAGTTAATAAGAAGTGCGCGGCAGTAGCTCTGATGCACAAGTCAGCATTCAAACACGTAACATGGCAATGGTAGGTATCGTACTTACAGGGACCCAAGCTAGACAGGGACGTGGCGGACGGTGACGTGACCGTTGTCCTTCTCGAAACGAACAGTAACATGATTAGGTTCATTTGGGTTTGTCCCACCCTCGTGTTCAACCGATCTAGATTTAAATCGTCAGCTCCTGTACTGTGGTCAATGAAAGCAGAAAATTGACGAACACTGCCTCAGCGCTAACAGCATTTAGACCATTGTCTTTATCGAAGTCCACGATCAAAGACTCGATTTGTGCTTTGCGCTGCGGATTTCTCCCATAAGGGTTCGGTAGCTTGTTGCTCCAGGTAATTGCAGCTGTTCCCAGGGAGCGAGCTTGCGCCGAGATGGTATTGAGGGTGGTGTTGACCTTTGCGAGAAGGTGGGACATGATTCAAGCAGGGATTGGTGGGATGAGAAGATAAGTTGCAACGAATTTCTAACACGGAGTAGGAAGGGATGAATTGCTGTTGGAATGGGTTGCAATACTCCCAGGCTTTTATAGAGCGAGGCTGGGATACACACAGTGGCCACTATTGTTCTTCCAATGTCAGACGGGAGAAACTTCCTTGAACCTTCGTGCCTCTGTAAATCCTGTTCCTACGCCACTATCTGCCACTAGACTCAATCACTGTGAGAGCGGCCCGGGTTGACTTTCACCGCTCAAGTCGTGATTTTCACCTTTCACCCCCCAAAACAGTGAATTACGGTGAGGGCGAAAAGAAGGTGATTGTCAACTTTGACGAATCACCTTGTCAGAAGGGGAAATTAACCCGTGTGACCTCCCCAATTAATTCATTTTCTTATTATTTTGTGGCATACTGTTTGTTACCTGGACCACACGGTAATTCCAAACTCCGGGACTACACACTATAGTATTGGAGAAATGGAAGGTATTTACATTGAGCTCCCATATGTTTCAGCAATACCAGGTCCCGGGAAAACTCATGACACTCCAAAGCCGTCCGTCTCTTGTCATCGTCCTTCTTGTGCAGCTCCATTATTGCACCATTGGTATAGTGCTGGTCGTCCCAAGAGAGCATATATCGATAAGGGTATGTGAGCGAATCTTCTGCGCGTGTGATGGGACGCCAAGGCGTATGGACGAACACTAGTGTGTCG